CATTACTTATGTTCTCAGATTAAATTAAATGTAGTTCAATTACATTTTTAAAATATTTAAAAAATGAAACCAACCTCAAAATTAAGAGTGAATTTAAGACTTTTCCAAAATTCTAGAGAAGCTGAAATTTTAGGAAAACAACCTTAAGGCTAAGATTGTTAAACTCCAGGCCTCGGCCCACCCTTAGAAGACACCCAGGAAGTTTGTTGTACAAGTTTAATGATCGTGAGGCAAATTCTGTTTTAATTATCAACCAATTTAACTGAGCTGATGAATAATTTTCACTATCAGCGAAACATTATCAAAGGATTTTCAACTTGAGCATCAAAAGGCTTTCAATGGAAATAAAAAAGTCTTTGCATCATAAAATTCACATTTTGTTCATGAATAAGAAATGTAATTGGATTCAAAATGCACTTAAGTTGAAAATTATAATTGAAATTTGTTTTCATGTCGGCAAAGCATGCCAAATTTTTGGTACAAAATTGGCTTTGGCACAGAGCCTGAGAACCCAAACTAATACAGAGTTTACTCACCATTAACATGGTGTTCCCTGCGGGCTGATTTGATTGCCGGGCACCAAGACTTCTTTGATTTCCCTTTCAAAACTGAATTGATGTGTATCATGGGAAATGTAGAACATTTTATTGATCTTGTCGCACACAAAACAAAATGAACTGGGTCAAAAAACAGATCAATTTTATTTCTCTTGTTGAAAAAAATGTCACGCCATGTATTGCTGGAGTGACAAAATGAGGCAGAAATCAATGGACTCGATCAGACACAAATGCTTAGAAATTACAGCAAAGGAGGAGGCCTGTGAGTTCTTTGAGGCTATGCTGGTGCACACTCCAAGGAATCCAACCTAATCCCAATTCAATACTTTTACATCTTAAGAGGTGATTCTCAGTGGACAATTGCTTGACTTGAATTCACTTCATTTTCGCTCAAAAAATGCACAATTGATCCAGTTTCTCTTGTGAAGCGCTTTGAGATCATGGCTGGTCTGTACCTCAACTCCAATTATGTCAAATGCAACATTTATTATTAACTGATTCCCTTTTAAAAGATAATATGACACTGTTCTAGGTTCAGCATTACTTTTATTCTAACAAGTCTCTGGGGGGGGGGGGGGGAGGCTGCAAACCTCTCCCTTTGCTCTTTTGAGAACTTTGACGTCCTCCCGACATGATAGGCACTATACAAATGTAATCTTGTTGTTGTTGTTGAGACATCTTGGCATAGTCATAAGGCACAAAGGCACAAATCAAATGCGAGGATTTTTATTATTATGTTTTCAAATACAAAGATTGCTACTCGACCAAATTTATAAAATCCCTTTTTTTCTATATCAGTTTTAGACACCCCAAGGCCACAGAAGAATGGAGCAGAGAAAATTGACCGGGATACTACCAAAGCTGAGCGGTTTTATGTTTGAAGAGAGACTGGAAGAATTAATTCCATAGAATGAAGAACATTGAGAGGAGAATTGATCAAACCTTTTAAAAAGGGGCGGTGGGGGGATGACAAGATAAACTGGAGAAATTATTTCCGCTGGTCGATGAGTCAATAACTTGAGAGACAGATTTAAGATAGTGCTCAAAAGAGCAAAGATTTGCAGCCTTTTTTCCCCCCAGAGACTTGTTAGAATAAAAGTAATGCTGGACCTAGAATAGTGTCATATTATCTTTTGAAAGGGAATCAGTTAATAATAAATGTTGCATTTGATATAATTGTCGTTGAGGTACAGAACAGCCATGATCTTATCGAATGGCGGAACGGGCTTGAGGGGCTGAATGGCCTACTCCAGTTCCTATGTTCTTATACAGCGTCTATAAGACCAACGTCTCAAAATGGTTCACAAGGTTCTGTAGAGTGTAGTGACTGTGTAGTGACTGTTCAGACAGACGCAGGCAAACACAGCAGTCAATTCCAAATTCCCGCAAACAGCCATGAAGTGAATACAAAATACGATACAAAACTACATTTGTATAGCACCATGAACAATTTTAATGTGGAGAGTTGTTGCTGAGAATAAAAGCAGCTGAATAGGAGAAAAATAAAAGAAATGTCTGATTTCACTTCGAACAATTTTAGCTCTAATGCTAATTGCTGATTTTAAGATCGTGTTTCTTTGTTTTTGGATTCCCTGCCAGAGACAAGAGTCATCCACAATCTAGTTTGCCATTTCTTTTCATTATTTTAAACACTTCAAGTAGATCAAGTCTTAACCTCCTCCAGGGTCTAACAAATATAATCCAACTCTGTCTAGCCTTTCATTAGAGGTAAACCTCTTCATGCCAGATGTTCATCTAATTAATCACTGTTGGATACTCTCCAAGGCCAGTAATTCCTCCCTAGGATTTGGTGACTGAACACAATTCTCCAAATGAGATCTGATCAGTACTCTCCATAACTGGGACGGAGCATGTTTTTTATATTCCAATATTTTATATTGATTGCTTTCTCTACCTGTCAACTAGATATTAATAACTTATGACTTAAACTCCTAAATCCTTGTGTTCATCAATCCCCTCCCCTCATCTCCTCCCTTTATTCCTCAATCCCCCAATTGCTTCCCTATTTAGAATATAAACTAAAGGTTTCTGCAGGGGGAGCAGGCTTCAGCTCAGCAATAGACACAGGATTAGATATCTCCCTAGACATTAATACATTGAATCTAAATAAAAAGCCTACCTCATTTCAAGATTCTGTGCAATATCAACCCACCATAAATAATGTGGCCCAACCTCCAATCAACTCTGAAGGGAGACATGAGATAGACATAAATACATAATGTTTGAAGTCAGTTGTCTGCAAACAAACACATTTTCCCCAAATACTTTACAGGTCTTGAACAGACATGTCTCAGAAGGGGACCTTATAGAAGCATAAACAATGCTAAATAAATTAGAGAAAGTTAATTCCCAAAATATTTTTAGATGAATTAAGGACAAGAGGCAACATGTTGATGGAAGGACAAAATTAGAAGGGCAATTACCAGCTGACATTCACGACTTAAATATATTCTGAAACATTCAATCATTTGTACTTTCAATTAATTTCCGAATGAAAATAGTGGCTTTGTTCTTTAGAAGCAAGATAATAAAACTACAAAGAGCACTTCTGCATTCTGGGAATAGTGCAGCTTCTGAAATAAAACAAAATAATATTAATTTGAACAGTCCCACCTGAATTAATAATTATATGTAAATTCAGATTGAAAATGGAAAGTGGAAACCATACTTAATGTTCAATGTCATCTAATCAGAACAAGGACTTTTCAGAATATGATTCGCGTGAGATGAATATTAAGTGCGAAGAGTTCTTGCAAAATAACCAACCCTTCAGCTATATTCCATTTAGGAAGCACTTTAGCAGCAAGTTAGGCTAACAGTGCTCAGTAAAGCACAATTAGGGAGAAATTCCACCTGGGTGTAGATTTACTCCATTTATGTAGATTTTCAGAATGTCCTGAATTTGGAAAATTATTGAATAACTTCATTTTGAAGCTGTTTTTTTCTGGAAGTTCTTTTCAGATCACAGCTTCTCGTTCAAGTTATACTTTTGATCAAATGCCTATTAATCCACGACAATCTTGTTTGGACGTAATCCCTTTCATTGTGTGGAGTACGTCCTTGCCCTCACTCTTTCCATCTCACACTCGGAAACTACTTTGTAGTTGCAAGTCTAATGTTTTCTCTGCTAACTTAACCCCCAATATATTTGGGTAAGTGCCTCCCTCATACCTGCACAATTTGCCTTTTACCCAATGTATAACCTTTGTTTTGTCTCTTCCTGGTCATTTTCTATTGTAGCAGTGAATCTAATATAATGATTGCTGAGGGTTAAAGCCTGCCAATTATTCAAAGCTAATAAAAACCATTTATCATTCAAGCCTGTCTGTTGAACATAACCAAAACTGAAAAGGAAATTGCTTGCTCTGTTTGGGTCTTTAAGGTCCAGGCTCCGAAATAGTAGAGGAGAGGTAATTAAGCGAGTTGTTTGTGTGAGTTAATTAAATAATTGATTGAACAAATCTGTATCAAAAGTTGTATGGATGATTGTTCAGAGACACTTCAGGAATCACCAATGAACAAACTATTCAAAGAAACACCCCTAAGACATCATTCTGGGGATTGTTCAACTTCAACGTCCAAAGGGATGGACATTACTAGGCAGATAGATATATATCCAGTTATGTTGGTTTGTGTTTAGGGGATTGGTTGGCAATTGAAGTGTTGTGCTCAGTTTTGAGCTCCTCATTACAGGAACAATGTCAGAGAGATGAAGAGGTCAGAGTACATTCATTGGAATGATACCAGGTTTGAGAGAACACACACACATATATATATATATATATATATATATATATAAATTGGGGCCTTTTCCTCTAAGGCAATTGATTAAGTAATGGGTGTTTTAAGATTTTAACCATGTAAATAGATAGAATGATTTATTTTAATCAGGGAATTTGTTAACAAGGTGTGTGGGGAGAGGAGGAGGAAAGGGTCAAATCAGGATTGTTCACAGAGAAATTAGAAAAGATGTTAGAATGTCTCTACTCTGAGGAAATTAGAGTTTGGAATTAATCATGGCAAGTGGCAACAGAGATCGGATCAATAGAATCAATCAAAAGGGAGATAATTCCCCGAGAACTAGAAAGAGAGATTGACAAAACAAGGGAGAGTTTTGAAAGTGCCACAGATAACAATTTTGCATTCGACAGAAATCAGAATGATGATCTACACACAAATAAAGCTTTCAGAGAGAAAATAAATTAAATTAGATATCAAACTAATTTGACTGTTGCTTGTGTTAACGAATCTGCTCATGTGCCATTCTGTCCTTATTATTTCCTAGAATTGGTAAACTCACACCCAGGCTGGTTGCCTGTTCTCTGCACCTACAGCCATTTTAAATGCAGCCGCTTAATGTCACCCACAGCACCCACAGTCATGTAAATATGTGAAAAAAAAGACACTCTAGTTTAGGCTATATCCTGTGGTACTGGTTAATGCCTTTATTGTGACATTCCCCGGAGCGGACAGACAGGGACACATTGGTCTCTGAAGTCTGTGTGCCGCAGGGAGACGTGTTGTTTCCTCCGCTCTCAGTCCTGTTGCTGATGTTAATGTGACTTTGGTCGGTGGTGGGTTGTAGATGTTGTTGGGATGGGAGCTGGTAGGTTTCCGGTACGCTCACGGTAAGGTGGGGTCGTCGACAGCATGTGCAGGGTCACAGGTAAAGGAGACGGTGATGGCGTAGCGGGTGCCCCTCTCCACCTTTTCCACATAGTGCAGGTTCTCTGAACCAGACGTGAAGAAGGAAATCCGGCCTGAGGCAGGAAACGTGGAACAATGAAGAACAATAAGATTACAAAGTGTACGTCGACAATCAGACAAACTCCGATTGTGTCATTCTTACTACAGAGGCTACAACCATTCACAAATTGTTTGATTCACAGGGTGGAGGGAGTGGGGGGTGGGGGTGATGATTGCATGAATCATCCATCCCTCCCATTGCATCTTCATCCTCCACCGGTTCGAATATATTTCCTATGTACTAAGGGATAGAGTAAATACAACACAATTGTATTTGTGTGTGTGTGTGTGCGTGTGTGTTTGTGGGGAGGGTGGGGGCAGGAGCTGAAGAGGGTGGAAGGATGACTGAAAACGCAGTCAAGGAGGTAAGTCTTGAAAAATAGGAAGACAGACAGACAGAGAGAGAGAGAGAAAACACACCTTTTCTAGGCTCTACTGTGCTGTTGACATGTTCATCAACAAACACAAACCGTCCCCCACCAAAGTCAGCCTTGTAGTCCGAGAGGTACAGCAGTGAGGTGTAATCAAATGATCCATATGTTACCTGGGAAGAACATCAGAGCAGCAGGTCAGGTCAGGTCATGCTAGCTTGCCTGCGTATTCTTTTGCACATTGGATGCACATTGTGAATTGGAGTGACTGAAATCCAGGCAGATGTTTGATTTATTTGTCTGTGGTTTTCAAAGTGAAAAGTAAAAGTGAAATGAATTCCAGGCTGGATGGAGTGGGGGTGGGAGGGAAGAGAGGGCAACAGACAGCACAGGATCCTTGTTTGGATCAGAGGAGGAAAAAAAAATAGAAAATAAACCTGTCACAGAATATACGGGTCTTCAAAAGACAAACTACATATGTGGACACACTGACTGACACATATGGTTAGAGCGTATTTTTAAATAAAAATCAAAGAATAAAAGAAGGCAAAAGACTAAAATTCTGAGATTTACAACCCTCACTGCTGGCATCTCCGTATGAGCTGGTGAAATGTTTGAGAAGTTTTGCTGTGAAGTTTGGGTTAATAGGGGATGTTCCAGGCACCATCAGCACAGGATGCTGGTGTTTGATTATCTTCTTAAACTGACAAGGTGCCCGATGAAATGCGACCTGCTGTGGCTATCTGTCATCTGATCAAGATACGTCAGCATGAAACAGCTCCGTACCTAAACAGCCCATTAAACTGCAGATCCTCTGCGTTCACTTCAACCCAAACTTGTGCGGCTAATTAGAGAACCCCAGGGCTCCACAGAGAAGTTAGTGTAATGAAAATCAGTTGGGAAAGTAAAATTCTGTGTTGTCCTCTCAAGTGCCGTACATGGCAATTTCAATCAAATAAAATGGTGCTGTCCAATACATTATCTATAAAGTCAGAACAGAGGCTCATAATTGTAGCTCTGGCACAGATAACTGATTCGAGTGCCGGAAATGAAAACGTTCATAAATTTGTCATAAAGGCCCACTAACTCAATAATAATAATATCAAAATTTGTTTCTCTATAAATAAAATCACCAAGCTTAATGTGCAGGATTTGGAGTTTAAAATGTAATCCAAACCCTTGCCTGACATACACTGGGGAATGTAATCAGGAGCACTGTGTCTCAGTAAGTTTTTCCATTGAAAACCAGTTTGAAATTCTTCTGAGGCAGCATAATTTGAGCAAGTGTCAAGCAACAAAAATATACAGTCACTACACTTTGCAGTGTGTTCTGTGAAGCACTTTGAGACATCTCGAGGACAAAAGCAAGGATTATTATTATTGTTCAGAATACTAGGCATGGGGAAAGAACATGACATAGGGATTTGAATAGATGGCTCCATCAGAGAAGCAAAACACTAACACTAATACAACTGCTTCCAGTTAAGTCGTATATTTCTGTAGTTCCGTACATGAATGAGTAGCAATGACTCAGTTCTCTGATACCTTATCAATGTGTGGGTGCCAGTACTCGTCATGCATTGTCTTGGCCTCAGTGCTGTTCATCCTTGAGAAGAAGGTGGGTTTTGTCAGGTGCAGGACATTCGGGTCAATCCCAAACGTCTCTGCTACTCTTTGCTGAATTCGCCATCTCAGCTCACTGCTCAAAATAAAGAGTCAGGTTAGAATTCATTCAAAATCATTAATAATAATAATAATAATCCTTGCATTTGATATAGCGCCCTATCACATCTTCGAGACGTCTCAAAGCGCTTCACAGAATATACTGTCAAGTGAATCCACTGTATATTTTATGGGCAAAATGAGGCAGCCAATTGTGCACAGCGGTGTCCTACAAACAGTTGTGGATTGAAGTGACAATTTCTTAAACTAATTATTACCCCCAGAAACGAGTTCCGCCAATCTATTAACAAGCAAACTAAAGACAACAATTTGCAGTAATGCCTTTCATGTACGGATAAGGTCAGAAAGACCGAGCTGAGTTGGCGGGGCGGGTGTGAAGGCAGACAGGAGATAGATATGTTTGTGTTTATACTATGCCATATATTGCAGCACCTGAACTAATGAGTCTCTCTTACCTGTATAATCTAAAGTCTTCTGCAGTAAACAGCTCTTTCACTTTCTCTCCAAAGTACCTGAAAGTACAATGTCTGAATATAATTGAATGCAAGATGCTCAGTTTCAATTCAGACAAGTAGTCCAGGTTTTGCCTTCCCAATCTCAGAAATAACGGAACCCATAATTCGCAAATATTCATATTGTTACTGTGCTCTCGGGCTCCTTCAGACTGTATGCAATATCTTATAATGATTTTTGTTTTTAAAAATCACCAAGTTTTAGATGCAAGGACCACATGCTGCAGAATATTATCCAACTCACTGTAATCCCAGGGGGTTGTGATGCCTTTGTGAATAAAAGTTGGCTCTGATCCAACGATATGATCGAGCGGCAAATTGGACAGAACACTCAGAAACATGGAAACTTTCTGCAAAAGGTAGTCTCTTCAGTTCATCTTGTCTGTGCCAACACAGACACTAATACAACGGGGTGAACTGCTGTGTTATAGATTTCTATGAAGAGACAGAATCCCCTTCCCCACCCACCCCCACCATCACTACTACTAAATTGAGGAAGAGTCAATAGCAGGCCCTTTCGCCACCATCAGTCAAAACTTCATCTTGTCTGAACACAGCTTACTCTTGACCTTTCCGAAAAAGAATTCAATTTATAAGTATAGATCTTACCGATAGATATTAACAAACTGCTTTCCCATGGACAGGGCTCCAGAATGCAAGTCAAGAATCGAGGCCTGGAAGGCAGATAGAAAAATAGCACAATTATTTCACAACCATTCCCACATTGGCCAGGCACTCACCAGATGAACGCCAGGTACTTGCCAGATGTTTGCTGGACGCTGGCCTAATTAATACCGATGTCGGTGGGGGGGTGGGTGGTGGGGGGGGTGAGGGTGCTGGGGAGGGGAGGAGACACAGGAGGGAGATATCCTTGTGTTTATACTATTCCATATATTGCAGTACCTGAACAGACAAGTCTCTCTTACCTTATAATCTAAACTCTTCTGTAGTAAAGAGCTGATACCACCCAGGTAATTACCGGATGCTCACCCGATGTCCATCATACACTCGCCATATACTAAAACATTTACTTACACCACCATCTGAGCCTCCCAGCGACAGGCCTCTCCTCGCTATACTGTGAATAAAAGGCAACTGTTACAAGCACTTTAGGGATAAATTCTTATTTTGCAGCAGCAAGTGGCAGGTCAAGGCAGCGCTGTTAGTACTGACATGATGAACCAAAGAAATGGCTTCCATTACAACCCCATGTGAGCTGTGCTCCTGTTTGACATTTCAAAGCCGAAGCTGGCCCTGCGCACACAGAGTCTTAGCCTAGTCAGAACAGTCGTCACTATGATCATCGTCCCTGAAGTGCTCACCTGCCCTAGACTCTGCACCTCTGACACAGAGTGGTGCATGCAGAAATTGCATCACTGTCAGGGTGTGGAGAGACCACAATTTGCTCAAACCACGACTGTTTGTGGGACGCCGCTGTGTGCAATTGGTTGCCGCGTTTCTTCCACGAAATATACAGTCAATTCGTTTTACGGTATATTCTGTGAAGCGCTGTGAGACGCTTCAAAGACGTGATAAGGCGCTGTATCAAATGCAAGGATCATGATTACCTGCCATCCCTGCCCATGAAGCAGCTGCGTGATTGAAGATCTTTTCCACAATTAACCATCATAAAAATCTCACCGATTCTTGAAACATACCTCAGCATCTTCTCTGCCTCTTCTCTGTTCACCACACTGTCCGTCACTGCCCGCCCGCACTTCACTGGAGTGCAGCCTGTAACAATACAGCAAAGAGAGACGGACCATTGTTCCAATCAATGATAGAATCACAAACAGTATGAGATAGACTTACGCAGTTTGTATATAAAATGCTGCTACAAGTTCACAGCTTTATTACATGTACTGAGTGTTACATTTCAAACGTCAAAAATTTGACATTTTCTGCACTGAATGGGTCCAATAGGCATATTATGTCTGTACCACTCCTCTTGTTTTTCTAAAACACTTTTTGTATTAATCCTACTTTCCAGCTTTCTCCACATATCGTTAAAGTTGTTTTATTACTCCTCAGTTGCTTATCCAGTTTCCTTCGAATGATTCTCCTGATCCAGCCTCAGCAGCCAATTGTGGCAATGAATTCTACTTCCAAACAACAACAGCAAAATTACACTTATGGAGCACCTTTCACGTCGGGAGGACGTCCCTAAACAACCCCCTGAGTGAAGAAGTTTCCTCTGACACTTTCCCTAATTGTTCTGCTAACAATCCTAAGACTAAATCAGGATTGTCTTATCATCTTAACTACCCTAATAAACACCTCTGTCATATCCCCTCTCAATCTCTTTTGTTCCATGTGTAAAAAAAACAATTTAGCCAGCCTCGTTTCATATATATAATATATACAATATTTATATGGGCTCAGACCAATGCATGTAATATTCTGTGACTGTACAAGAATAGGTTCCGAGATGTGAGACAGAGCAGTCACTGGTCGCAGATATGACCCATCTTCATAAACTTTGGAAATAATCTTCTAATGAGGCACATTTTTTTGCTTTAAATTCAAATAAACATTCTCTCCACCAATCTCTGACCCAAATTCAAACAAAGAAACACAGCACAGTTATGCCACCTCATGGACACGTACTGAAGTACAATACAATAATAATAATAATAATCCTTGCATTTGATATAGCGCTTTTCACGTCGGGAGGACGTCACAAAGCGCTTCACAGAACACACTGTAAAGTGAATTGACTGTATATATTTGTGGGCGAACGCGGCAGCCAATTGCGCACAGCAATGTCCCACACAGTCGTAGATTGAAAATGACCAATTTATTTTTGGTTTTGGAGGGATTATTATTAGGGCTGTGCGTGGAGTAAGGAAACTTGCCCAAGGTTTCGCCCTCTGCCTGGAATTAAACTCAGGTCTCTCGCTTGCAAAGCGAGTGCTCTAACCACTGAGCTACAGGACTCCACGCTAAATAAAATTGCATTTGTACAGCGCCTTTCGCATAGGCAAGACATCCCAAGGTGCTGGTTAGTTAGAGATTTGGACCCGAGTAGGAGGGGGGGATCAGGGAGGATGGAGGGCAGAGAAGGTGGCGAAAGGCGCGGTCGAAGAGGAGGGTCTTAAGACATGCCTTGAAGAAGATAAGCGAGGGAGCGAGGTGAAGAGAATCTGGGATGGAGTCCCAAAGCTGGGGGTAGATAACCGTTGGTGGGTGGACTGGGGATGTGGAGCAGGCCGGAGGGGAGCGAAATACATGTATTTCATGGACCCTAATGCAGATTAAACTAATCTCAGATGCATTTCTTCAAACGCTTCCTCTCACGCCTGTGACTTACTGTACAAATTAATAATAATAATAATCCTTGCATTTGATATTGCGCTTTTCACGTCTTCTAGACGTCCCAAAGCGCTTCACAGAATATACTGTAAAGTGAATTGACTGTATATTTGTGGGCAAACGCGGCAGCCAATTGCGCACAGCAATGTCCCACAAACAGTCATGGATTGAAAATGACCAATTTATTATTGTTTTGGTTTTTTTGGAGGGATTATTGTTAGAAATTGTCAGTTTTGAACAAAACTCCGTTTAGTCTGTGAGTGTAGGTCATATATTCTGTATATTCTGTAGTATATTCTGTGAAGCGCTTTGAGACGTCTCAAATGCAAGGATTATTATTATTTGTAGATTTATATGCTGCATGATGTTTTTCCTCTCCTTTTGGGATGTACACTTTTCTGCAGCACCACGTCATAAGGCGCTATGTCAAATGCAAGAATTATTATTATTATGGAACTCACTGTACCTGCAAACCTTTGGTAACTATCGTAATCCTCAGAGCACTGCACCTCAACCACCTTTCCGTCCAAAATCTCAGTCTGACGTGCAAATACTTCCATGAGGTCATTGTTATTGTACAAATAGTCAAAGAGCCAGGCTCCACAGATACTGCCCAGCACCAGCAGCATAATCCGAAGCCATGTCCACCGTGGTTCTCGCTTCAATCTGTTTTTCTGCACACTAAAAGAGTAGGATAAAAATTGTTTATCATTAATCCATCCAAATCCTAGCTCACTATCAGCCATGAACAGCGGACATGCTGTCACTGTTCAATTGTGCTCCCAGCGTCTACGTTTCAGCGCATTGGTATCATAAAAATCGTAGAATGATCAAACGTTACAGCACGTTTTTAAGCCTATTTGCAATTGTAACACTGAATCATTAAATTAGCGCTGGTGTTTTTAATCATAATTTTTATTAAATGATCATATTAAATCTGCATTTGCAAACGTGCCTTTCATGTCAGGGGGACATCTCAAAGCAGCATTTGTTGTAAAAAGGTACGACACTGTTTTGTTGGCAAACATGGCAGGCAACTTGCACATAGCACTCTTGCCTTTCGCCCCACAAAATATAGTCAATTCACTTTACAGTATATTCTGTGAAGTGCGTTGAGGCATCTCAAAGGTATGATAAGAAGTTTTCTCAAATGCAAGGATTATTATATACAGTCCTGTAGCTCAGTGGTTAGAGCACTCGCCTCGCAAGCGGGTTCGATCCCCTGCAGGGCGAATCATTGGGCAAGTTTCTTTACTCCACACGCCTCTGTTTACCTAGTAGTAAGTAGGAATCTGGTCGTTAGTCGATTTGCAAATCGCTTTTTCGGAGCTAATAATTCCTTCCAAAAAAAATAAATAAATTGGTCACTCAATCCACGACTGTTTGTGGGTTACTGCTCTGCACAATTGGTTGCTGCATTTTGCCTACAAAATATACAGTCAATTCAGGATATTCTGTGAAGTGCTTTGAGATGTCTCGAGGACGTGATAAGGGGCTATGTCAAATGCAATGATTATTATTATTATTTAGTTTGCCCCTGAATCAGAAGATCGTGGGTGAGCGACCCACCTTGGGATTTGGAACCCATACTGCCTATGCTGACATTCCAGTGCAGTGCTGGGGGCTGTTACGTTGTTGGAGGTGCCAACCTTATCAAGTTAGCGCGGCGTGTCAAAACACTTCACAGGAATTTACTGTGAAGTGCAGTAACTGTGTATTTGAAGCAGAAAAAGGCAGGCAATTTGCGTACAGCAATGACCCACAAACAGCGATGAAGTGAATTGCCAATTTTATTTGGGGGGGAATTGTTGGCCAAGGACACCGTGTGAAATTCCCTTCTCCTTTTGGATAGCGTCTTTAAACGTGGAATTGTTGGTGTCGAGCTTGAACCCAGAACCTTTTGACTCAAGAGGCACGAACGCTACCAACTGAGTCAGGCTGACGCCAACACCACGCTATCTCTGCGCTCTTCCAACTATCTGCAATAGTGTAACCGCAGAGCAGTAATAATAATAATAATATTATAATACTGATAATAATCCTTGCATTTGATACAGCGCTTTTCACGTCTTCTCGACGTCTCAAAGCGCTTCACAGAATGTGCTGTAAAGTGAATTGACTGTATATTTGTGGGCGAACGCGGCAGCCAATTGCGCACAACAGTGTCCCACAAACAGTCGTGGATTGAAAATGACCAATTTATTATTGTTCTGCTTTACACATCTTTGTTTTATTTTTATTCTGACCTTCTAACAAAACATTACATGACAGCATTAGATATTTTAATTGATTTCTCCAGTGGGTTTTAACTGATTCATTTCTTCAATGAGTAATATTATATTAATATTAATAGTGTAACCGCAGAGCAGTAATGGTGTAACCGCAGAGCAGTAATAGTGTATCCGCAGAGTAGTAACAGTGTAACCACAGAGCAGTAATAGTGTAACCGCAGAGTAGTAACAGTGTAACCACAGAGCAGTATGGTGTAACTGCAGAGCAGTAATAGTGTAACCACAGAGCAGTAATAGTGTAACCACAGAGTAGTAATTTCCTCCTTCAAGGCCGGTCTCAAGACCTTTCTCTTTGACCGTACCTTCAGCTCCGCTCTCGACTCTCTTCCCCCTCCTCCTTCCCTTCCCTCCCCTCACCCTGACCATCTCCCCCTCCTCGCTCCCTCCCTTCCCTCCCCTCACCCTGACCATTTCCCCCCTCCTCGCTCCCTCCCTTCCCTCCCCTCACCCTGACCATCCCCCCCTCCTCGCTCCCTCCCTTCCCTCCCCTCACCCTGACCATCCCCCCCTCCTCGCTCCCTCCCTTCCCTCCCCTCACCCTGACCATTTCCCCCCTCCTCGCTCCCTCCCTTCCCTCCCCTCCCCCTGACCAGTTCCCCACTGCTCGGGTCTCGACCCAACTGTCCGGCGCCTCGGGACGTCCTCCCGACGTGAAAGGCGCTCCGTAAATGGAATCTTGTTGTTGTTGTTGAGACCCCAAAGTCAGCGACATGTGACCCTGAGGAATGTGATGTGACCCTGGGAGGGGGGAGGGGGGCTGTGGTGTGACCCTGGGGGGGTGTGGGGGCTGTATGGTGACCCTGGGGGGGGGGGGCTGTGTGGTGACCCGGGGGGGGGGGGGGGGGGGCTGTGGTCACCCTGGGGGGCTGTGTGGTGACCCTGGGGGGGTGTGGGGGCTGTATGGTGACCCTGGGGGGGGGGGGGCTGTGTGGTGACCCGGGGGGGGGGGGGGCTATGTGGTGACCCTGGGGGGGGCTGTGTGGTGACCCTGGGGGGGGGCTGTGTGGTGACCCTGGGGGGGGGCTGTGTGGTGACCCTGGGGGGTGGCTGTGTGGTGACCCTGGGGGGGGCTGTGTGGTGACCCTGGGTGGGGGGGGGGGGCTGTGTGGTGACCCTGGGGGGGGGGGGCTGTGTGGTGACCCTGGGGGGGGGGGGCTGTGTGGTGACCCTGGGGGGGGTGGCTGTGTGGTGACCCTGCGGGGGGCTGTGTGGTGACCCTGGGGGGGGGCTGTGTGGTGACCCTGGGGGGGGGCTGTGTGGTGACCCTGGGGGGGGGCTGTGTGGTGACCCTGGGGGGGGCTGTGTGGTGACCCTGGGGGGTGGGGTGGCTGTGTGGTGACCCGGGGGGGGGGGCTGTGTGGTGACCCTGGGGGGGGGGGGGGGCTGTGTGGTGACCCTGGGGGGGGCTGTGTGGTGACCCTGGGGGGGGCTGTGTGGTGACCCTGGGGGGGGCTGTGTGGTGACCCTGGGGGGGGTGGGGGGGCTGTGTGTGTGGCTGTGGTGACCCTGGGGGGGCTGTGTGGTGACCCTGGGGGGGGCTGTGTGGTGACCCTGGGGGGGCTGTGTGGTGACCCTGGGGGTGGCTGTGTGGTGACCCTGGGGGGGGTGGGGGGGCTGTGTGGTGACCCTGGGGGGGGGCTGTGTGGTGACCCTGGGGGTGGCTGTGTGGTGACCCTGGGGGGGTGGGGGGGCTGTGTGGTGACCCTGGGGGGGGGCTGTGTGGTGACCCTGGGGGGGGCTGTGTGGTGACCCTGGGGGGTGGCTGTGTGGTGACCCGGGGGGGGGGGGGGTCTGTGTGGTGACCCTGGGGGGGGCTGTGTGGTGACCCTGCGGGGGGCTGTGTGGTGACCCGGGGGAGGGGGGGGGGCTGTGTGGTGACCCTGGGGGGGGTCTGTGTGGTGACCCTGGGGGGGGCTGTGTGGTGACCCTGCGGGGGGCTGTGTGGTGACCCGGGGGAGGGGGGGGGGCTGTGTGGTGACCCTGGGGGGGGGGGGGGGGGGTCGGTCAGGGGGTGTTGACCCCACACTCGGTGGCAGTGGGGGGGGGGGGGTCGGTCAGGGGGGGGTTGACCCCACACTCGGTGGCAGTGGGGGGGGGGGGGGGGGCAGTACCCGGTGCGGCTCCGCTTCCCCACAGACGCCGTGACCCACCCCCCGGGGCCGCGGTGCTGACTGTCTGCTCGGCCCCAGTCCCCGCGGTGGGGCAGCGCGGCGGGACCCGGGCGGTGAGTAGCCGCTGTTCGCAGCACAGGAGCGGTTCAGGCCTCACCTGCTGTAGCCGAGCCCGGGGCCCGCGCGCTCCGCCGCCGCCGCTCTCCTCAGCGCCGCCATCTGCTGTGTCCGGGGCTGGCGGGAGGGGCTCCCCCGGCGGAGCAACGCCCCCCGACCCCAACCCGAGCCCCAGGCCCCGACTGCAGCCCCGACCCCAACCCGAGCCCCAGGCCCGACCCCAACTCCAACCCAGACCCCGACCCAGGCCCAACTCCAGCCTCAGGCCCCAACTCCAGCCCCGACCCCAGGCCCCAACTTTAGACCCAGGCCCCAACTCCAGCCCCCAGGCCCCAACTCCAGCCCCGACCCCAGCCCCAACTTCAGCCTCAGGCCCCAACTCCAGCCCCGACCCCAGGCCCCAACTTCAGCCTCAGGCCCCAACTCCAGCCCCGACCCCAGGCCCCAACTCCAGCCTCAGGCCCCAACTCCAGCTCCGATACCAACCCCAGGCCCCAAATACAACCCCGACCCAGGCCCCAACTCCAGCCCGACCCAGGCCCCAAATACAACCCCGACCCCAGGCCCCAACTGCAGCCCTGACCCCCGACCCCAGGCCCCAACTTCAACCTCAGGCCCCAACTCCAGCCCCGACCCCAGGCCCAACTTTAGCCTCAGCCCCAACTCCAGCCTCAGGCCCCAACTCCAGCCCCGACCCAGGCCCCAACTTCAGCCTCAGGCCCCAACTCCACCCCGACCCCAGGCCCCAACTTTAGCCTCAGGCCCCAACTCCAGCCCCACCCCAGGCCCCAACTCCAGCCCCGACCCAGGCCCCACTTCACCCACCCCAACTCCAGCCCCGACCCCAGGCCCCAACTCCAGCCTCAGGCCCCAACTCCAGCTCCGATACCAACCCCAGGCCCCAAATACAACCCCGACCCCAGGCCCCAACTCCAGCCCCGACCCCAGGCCCCAAATACAACCCCGACCCCAGGCCCCAACTCCAGCCCCGACCCCAGCCCCAACTCCAGCCTCAGGCCCCAACTCCAGCTCCGATACCACCCAGGCCCCAAATACAACCCCGACCCCAGGCCCCAACTCCAGCCCCGACCCCAGGCCCCAACTCCAGCCTCAGGCCCCAACTCCAGCCCCGATACCAACCCCAGGCCCCAACTCCAGCCCCGACCCCAGGCCCTAACTCCAGCCCCAGGCCTCGGGGCCCTTCCCAGGCTCTGCTGCTGCTTCTTGTGTTTTATATTATTTATTGTGATTTGCTGGGAATGTCCGGCGCAGGAGGGAGGGAGACGCTGGGACACCGGAGTTTCCCTCCCCACAAAATGGGACCCGTTGAATGAGGGGAGCGAGAGACAGGGCTCCAGTCCCAACAACAACTTGCCCTTGACAGTGGCGGAGCACGACGCCGAGGCGGGTGGTGGTGAGGGGGAAGAGGAGGGAGGAGGAGAGAGAAGTGACCGTAGGCCCGGGCCGAAGAGGAAGGTCTTCAGGCGCGACCTGAAGTTGGGGAACGGAAGGGGCCCGGCGGAGGGATAGAGCGAGAGAGTGCCAGAGTTTCGGGGCGTAGTGGTTGAAAGCGCGTCCACTCGGTGTAAAGTCGGAAAAACAACCCCACGTCAACAACAACACATTGCATCTGTATCGCGCCTTTCGTGCCGGGAGGATGTCCCTCAGCGCTGGTCCCAAAGGTGTCTCGAAGCGTCAGATCAAGAGCTACAGAAATAAGCACAACAGCAGGGTCTTTGGATCTACAATACATCTGGGAGAAAGTTGGGTTAAGGCTCTGACTCTGGCACTTGCTGAGTGTGACACTTACTCCTATTAATTTCTTTTCATCTACTGTAAGGTGACCATATTTTGTAAACCAAACCCGGGGACACGTATATATTTTTAAAAATCGAACTCGCCACAAATCTTGATGCAGGCAGTACAGTACTGGAGAAAATTGCTGGATTAATGGTTATATTTCGTAGAATCATAGAATTTTACAGCACAGAAGGAGGCCATTTGCCTCATCGTGCCTGTGCTGGCACTTTCAAAAGAGCTACCAATTAGCCCCTCTCTTACCCATAGTCCTGCAATTTTTTAAGTACTTATCTAATTCCCTTGTGAAATCTATTATCAAATCTGCTTCCACCAGCCTTTCAGGCAGTGCATTACAGACTGTAACAACTCTCTGGGTAAAAAAAAGTTTCCTCGTCTGCCTTCTGGTTCGTTTGCCAATTATCTTAAATCTGTGTCCTCTGGTTACCGTTACACGTGCCAGAGGAAACAGTTTCTCCCCATCTACTCTATCAAAACTCCTCAGAATTTTGAACACCTCTATTAAATCTCCCCTCAACCTTCTCTGCTCTGAGGAGAATAATCACAATCTCTCGAGTCTCCCCACTTTCTCTGATGAATGTTATTGTTCTTGCTCAGTTTGTTGCTGAACTCAAGACAGGGCTAATTTGGCCAGGGACATAATACCTCATCCAGGGACTATTCCTGGAAATCGGGAAATTTACTCTCTTATAATCAGGACTAAGAGAAAGTCAGAGATGCAGAAGTTGGGAGGACTGGGGTTATAGGGAATCCAAGTTGGTGTTTGAAAGCCTGTTGCAATTGCTGGAGGGATAGGGGTGGTTGTGATAAGAGAGAAAATCGAAATGAAAGGTGAGGAAAGCATCATTTGTTCTTGTCTTCTGACCAGAATACTACCCTCATACAGAAGTCCTTTCGACGTTTTTATAGCGAGTGAAGAGATGTGAGAAGAAAAGCAAATGTTTGTCACAAAAAAGGATACTGAAGGCAGCACTTGAGATCAGAGGAGAGAGTGGTGCATGGCAGGTCTATAGATGAAGGAAAATTCAGAGGAGCCATCAGAGGTAAGAGATGGTAGATGTTAGTTGGACTCTGGTAGACAGAAAGAAACTGCACCTTTGAGAAATTGAAAGAAACCAGATTCCCTCGTGAAGGTCACGGAGGAGTTTGAGCTCTACAATCTTTGTGAGCAGTGAGCACGGAAGGGAGGGCATGGAATGCTGATCGTTCTCAGAAGAAATATCGAATATAAGAAGAAGGACTGCTGTTAGATAAAGTGTTGGTCAGTCCTCATTTGGAGTATTGTGTTCAGTTTTGGAGGCTCCATCAGAGGAAGGATGTACTGAACTTGGAGGAAAACTAGTGACAATTCATCTGAGTGATACCTAGGAAGGTAGGATTTAACCGTGATCAGAAGTTGAATAAACTAGGCTTATATGTGTCGAAGTTCAGGAGGATAAGGGATGATCCGATTTTCTGTTCAAAATAAATAAAGGATATTTATTTATGAATAAGCTCTTCTCGACCAAACTCTTAGCTCTAATTGCAAAATGCAGGACAAGAAATGTAATCTAAGGTGGTGAAGGGAGTGTAGGAAAAAATATCTTTATACAAAAGGTCGTGAGAGTTTGGGGCAGGAAGCTAGCCATGGAGAGAGACAGACAGACAGACAGACAGACAGAGAAAGAAAGATTAAATAAATAAATAAATAAATCTATTGTACTTAAGGAACATGGAGAAAAATCAGGGCAATTGAATCAAAGAGTTGCTTTCGACTTCATGTCAGGCTCCAATGGGACACATAAGCTACTCATTTTCCTATGTTGGCAGCAGGTGGATACTGCCTCCCTTTCGTGTGTTGGAGGAATGGCTAATGACCGAGGAGATAAGTGCAAGGAGACCAACCCAGTGAAATATGAACCTCCACAAATGGGCCTGAAATTTGTACACCTGGATTTAAAGGGAGCCCCACCCAAGATCTCCTATCTGGCAGAGGTAAATTATCAGCCTCAATCAACTATTCACAAAAAAAAGTGTTCATAAAAGTAGCAAATAGTTTGGGTGGTAATATGGTTTCTGCAAATTTTTATGAACTAGTTTAATAGAGAGGTAATCAGTGAATGTTATAATATCTAAGATGGTGAAGTTGTGGTGCGTTGAAGTTTTGGTTTGATTGCTACAAACGCTAGAACCAGTAATCAAAGAAGTACTGTGCTTATATAGTACTAGCTGTACTTGTTGCAGCTTCGCTTGCAACCAAAGGATCCAATATGGAATGCAGATTGACACAAAATAAATAAACATTTCATCTTTATCTATACTCACCTGGAAGGATTCCTTTTGTGAGGACTCAGTGGGAGGACTCGGCGCTTTAAAAATGTAATTTTGTTGTTGCCACACCTTAGCTTTGTTTGTGTTCTTTATTTTATTCCCGCTGCTTGGCTACGTGGGTGCTCTGTGACGCACGATGCCACAGTGTCACTTTGACTCGCCGGCCACCAGGTGTAACAGCAGCAGAAAACGCAAAACTGAAAATAACTCAGGAACGAGAGGAGATACCCGAAAATGAAATATGCCCATGTCACTCCTAGACCTTTCCAATGAGTTATAAATCATTACTTGTCGACCGATCCCTTCTAATCAATCAACGTAGTTTCTTTAAGAATGCTTATTTAAATCACAAATCACTTTGCCTTTGGTCACCTGGTTACCTCTACAATAAAAGCAAGCGATATTACCCGAGATTGGGAGCTGGCCAAGCTTCCTCAAATCTGGATGTCTCTCTCTTTCCTTGTCCCAGACGTAGGGGTTTCCCAATATTCTCCTCGTCCCAGACGTAGGGGTTTATGATGTTCCTTCTTTGATGTGGCTATTTCCTCGTCCCAGACGCAGGGGTTATCCGATGGTTCTTCGAATCTGCAAGTCTGCTGATCAGTTGGTCTTTGGAGTCGATCCGTTGAACCAAGGACTCACAAAAGTTTTATATTCCCATGCGACCTTTGATCACGTGACTCATTTGTTGACCCTGCAAGACCCTGCCCAATTCCATATTCTGAGTTGTTTTGTTCCTTTGCCCAAAACCGATCTGACCGGTTTCGTCTGGGTTCTTCTGGCTGCTCGGCAGGATTGTCCGATAGTAACCTTTTCTTCATTCTGCAACAGTCTCTATGTCAATCGGTTATTGAGATCCTTCTTGAAGCACAGACAGACATTGTCATTTTATTAGTATAGAAGATCTCTTATCATTTCCATACTCTCCATCATAAGCTTCCACCTTCACCTCTTAGTGGCATATTACCTATAGAAAGCCCAATGTCTTTTACATGAGTTGATCGTGACCTATCATTTGATATATATATATACATATGTATATATATATACATATATCTTTTTGTTCTTTTACTCTTCCAATTTTCTTGCATTGGAATACAACTACAGAAAACCATCTATTCACAGATACCACATACCACTTCTAAGAGGCCACTTTGCAAGTCTAATGGAGAATATCAGCACTGTATAGGGCCATTACAGTTGTTATCACCTAATAAAATTCCAATGTGGTCAATCTTTCATCATAACTCTGTCCCCTAGTTGCCTTTGCTGCACTCCCTCGAGTACAACAACAACAACAAAATTACATTTGTACAGCACCTTTCACGTCGGGAGGATGTCCCAAGGCTCTGGTCAGACAGAGTTACAGACCTGAGCTGTAGGTCGGTGTCAGAAAAGGGGGAGGGCAGAGGGGGAAGCAGGAAGATTGAAAGCACGGTCGAAGAGTAGGGTCTTGAGGTAGGTCTTGAAGGTGGCGAGGAAGGGGGTGAGACGGAGGGACTGCGGGATGGAGTTCCAGAGGGTGGGTGCAGAGTGGCGGTGGATATGCCCGCCGATAGTGGGGCGAGCAAAACGGGGGATGTGAAGCAGACCAGAGCCCGCTGAGCGGAGGGAACGAACAGGGTGGCAAGGGGTTAGGAGGTTGGAGAGGTATGGGGGAGCAAGACTGTGGAGGGCTTTGAAGATGAGGACCAGGATTTTAAATTGTATCCTCTGTGTAATGGGAAGCCAGTAAAGTTGGGCGAGGATGGGGGTCTTGGAGCCGAGTGCATGAGAGGACACGGGCTGCAGAGTTCTGGATGATCTGCAGCCTGTGGAGGGAGGAGTTGTGGAGGCCGACAAGCAGTGAGTTTGCATAGTTGAGCCTCGATGTAATGAAGGCGTGTATGAGGGTTTTGGGGGCCTGCGGTGTGAGACAGTGGGGTGATGTTGCAGAGGTGGGGGAAAGCCGAGTGGGTCATGGCACAGATGTGGGATAGAATGGATAGTTGAGGGTCAAACAAGACCCCAAGATTCCGGACTGGCTTAGCAAGGTGGAGTGTGCATCCATGGGCGGTGATGCTGTCAGCGCCTGAGGTGAGAAGGTGCTGACAGGAACCAATCAGGAGAGCCTCGGTCTTGTTGATGTTCGACTGAAGAAAGTTAGCTCTCATCCAGGACTTGACGTTGACAGACATTCTGTCAGCGCAGCAGTGGTCCTGGAGTCAAGGGTGGAGGCAGAGAGGTAAAGTTGGGTGTCATCCGCATACGTATAGAAGTTGACCCCATGTCTGCGGATGATGCCACCAAGAATAAGGCAGTATAGTATCTTTTGTTGAACTAGGGACACAAATTGCACTCAGTACTCCGGATGTGGTTTTACCATCTTCAACGACTTCAGATTGAAACAGTTCAACTACTGAGAAATATTTATTTCTTAGATCTTCCCAGTTTTTGCTTACCTCGGTGCTGATGGAGTCCTCCTTGAGTACGAAGATATGTTTCCATATGAGGGGCAGATCGAAGTATTAAGGAGCCCGATCGCATACAGGTAGAAACCTTTGTAAATTGTTGATGTATTCTTCCAAAAGTTACTTGGCTATTTGATTACTTGGTCAATTTCTTCAAGAACAGACATTTCAGCGCTGAACACCATTCAGCTGAATGCTTCTATGTTGCTACTCCCTTGGGTTTTAAGTTGCTTCTGTCCTCACTTTCCTGATCTGATTCTGAAAGCTCACTTTATTATGACATTAAGCAGATGTGTAGAATAAATCGATTTTTAAAAATGTTTCTCCTTTTACGGTGATATAAATGTCTGCCATTAAGAGTAACTCTTTGTCACAACTGGCTAATAATTCTACTTGTTCTATATTGCAGTGTTCCAGACATCAAGGAGATTATAAATCTGGCCAGAGTAAATAATTTGGAAATCATTCCATTGGTACAAACCTTTGGTCATCTGGAGGTAGGTTCCCTGAATCTGTATTAATCTTACAAAAGGCAGAGGAAATATAATGAAATATTTGATGTTTCCTCAAACTGTAAATGATTTTCTTAAATGTTGTGTACCTTGCTCATATACCTACAGTGTAACTGATAGAATATTGGTTAATGCATGCTGCGCAAAAAGTTGGCTCAGTTGGTGGCACAGTTCCCTCGAAATGAGAGGGTTATGGTCTTCATGCAGTTCCATGAGATTGTTACGTGTTGCTCTGTGACTTTCTTTCTTCGCTAAAGTCTGTCAAACCAGCATTTCTCTTCCAAGCGCACCACTGCCAACTAAAAATAGTTTCTGGATGGAAAAGTTTGCATAGTTTGAGCTGCTAACGTAATGTTCCTGAAAAAGACAATGACACTAAAGAAGCATGGAAGAAAGAAAGTTTAGCTCAGTGTTGCTTCTTACAGTTTCACCCACAAAACGTGCAGTCAGTTCACTTTACATTATATTCTGCGAAGCGCTTTAAGACATCTCGAACACATGATAAGGCGCTATATCAAATTCAAAGATTATCATTATTATTATTATTACAGTGACATATTACTGACCTGTGTTCAGTAGTTCAGATGCGGTTATTGCCATCACTTGTTGAAGCTGGACTGCTGGAGCGTGTTGGTAGGCTGTAGAAAACCTCTTGCCTGTTAATACTGCAGTACAATTTCTCAGTCTTTCTCCCAGAAGCCGCCCATGGTAAAATTTGTGAGTAACCTTGTTAAACCTGTTTGACTGCCCTCTGTTGTAATCCTGACAAATAGGGATTGTACCTTGCTTCATTTTAAACTGATATTCACCAAATGGTGTACAACTACAGTATACAACATGCAGATGTAACATTGTTCATGGTTTGTGGCATTCTCACCGTGTTCTACCAATGTAAATTAATAAATTCAATAGCGTGTTTGGAAGTGAGAGAGATTGGTTACTGCATCTATGTTTCCCTGAAAAACCTAAATCTTTCTGCCGACAGTTCGTGCTTAAACATGAGAAGTTTTCTCACCTGCGTGAGGTGGAGACTTTCCCCAACACCATTAATCCTCACAAACAGGAGTCTCTGTACCTGATAAAGTCTATGATTGACCAAGTCATGGCAGCACATGTGGGCATCAGGTGGTTCCACATTGGATCAGATGAGGTACTGTATACACTTTTGGGTATAAAAGTTTGATTCATATTTTCTGAATACTTTCTAAGCACTTAGAGATCATTCAATAAACAATATCATGTTTCATGTTGAAGATGTTTTACTATTTTAGTGAAGATTAACTGTTGATTTGCACCTTTCTGTTTGCAGGTCTACTATCTTGGAGAAGGTGGGGAATCAAAGGACCTGATCCTCCAGCAGCAATTCAGCATGGAAAGCATGTATATGTCTCATGTCAAAGCTGTCGCAACTCAGGTCCTTGCAAACAACCCAGGCGTTAAGCCCATCATATGGGATGACTACCTCCGCAACATAGATGAGGACAAACTTAAAGGTATTAATATTTCCATCAGTTACACCTTTGTAGATAACATTATGATGGAAAGGGACTATTTGTTGCTTTGATATAAATAGCATTGTGCGACACCTTGTGTAGCTGGAATGCACAGCCCTGCTTAGCTCTTCTGTCTGCCTCTTTGATAGACAGCTGTGTTTTTAATACACTTTTTTCAGTGAATTTATTTAAACTGATACTTTTCCTCTGGCTGCTTGGGCTCTTCATAGTGCTATGGGGTGTTTGAGGGAAAGCAGAATTCGCAAATCCTGTGAATTCTCTGTGAGACTACAGTTTTGTTTTGGGCACAAACGTGTTAAATATACTTGACAATCGCTGGCTCCTCCACCAAGTCCATTGAAAAAACTAGCATCCATTGGGTTCAGGCATTATACATATGCCTTTTCAGATTAACCTTCAGGAACAGTGCATGGAGCTCAAAACTATTTGGTAAACTCATGTTACGTTTTGTCTTGATTAAAATATCTGATTTTAAAAACATGTTTCTCTTCCTTCCTACCCACAGAATCAATGTTGGGTAAACTTGTTGAACCAATGATCTGGAATTATAACTCTGTTCTTGATGTGCCCAATATCCGTATGTATTTTAGTTTTGCTTCACTTTCTTGTCAAACAAACAGAAAATCGGTAAAGTGTTTTCCTGTTTTGCTTTTTTTTCAAGCACAGAAATGCTCAGCCAGAGTGCAAAAGTGTTGCCTTCTGTTGTATGCTATCTATTGTTTCAGCAGATTGGTTGATAACTGCAACAACTATTGTAGGGGAAAGTGACTTAGTTCTTGTGAAACATAGCGCCTGAATTGCTGACTGATATAGTATTCCTAAAAAGTAGGAAAACGTAATCTTTGTAGAGTTCAGCTAGTTTACTGCAGGGAGAATAAGTAGGTTGTCTTTTATGCTCCAACTTTCGGATTCACCAAGACAGTAGAACAAGAGGGCATACGTTTAGAGTTGCAAAGAGCAATTTCAGGACAGACTCAGGAAGGATATCTTCATAAATAAAGATTTATTGGAATGACCAACCAAAAACAAATGAAGGTTGAAGCAGAATCCTTAATAGCCAAGTGAAAAGTGGACTCGCAAAGATTTGGTTTGCTAGTCCTTTTGAAAAGGATTCAGAGAAATATTAGAAAATGGAAGATATAAAAGGGTCTGAGGAAAGATTGGGGAAGTGGGACTAAACTGATAGCTCTTACAGATAGATGTCACGAGCATGGGCCAAATGAGGAACTCAAAACTGGCGTAGTACTCATGCACCATTCTCTCCACTCCAGTTGTCTCATTTTCACCCACTGACTGACTGTAGCATCTTCACACTAAGAGCGCAAGCCACTTTGCGTTAGCATTCAAGGTAAAGAATCGAGATGCAGTATTTATTGTCTGTGTTTGTGACCGTTGCACTGAGGTGACGATCATCTGATTTTATCCCCCAGAGCTTTTAATAGAAAAGTATCACAATAGTGGACTTTCGAAGATTTGGTTTGCCAGTGCTTTTAAGGGAGCTACAGGAGTAGCCCAGTGTGTACCAAATATCAGCTATCACTTGGAAAATCATTTACAGTGGCTAAAGGTGGCTGATGGCCTGCCAAAGCACTCCATTCAGCTACAAGGGATCACACTCACTGGCTGGCAGAGGTATGTTGGGAGGTACAACAACAAAAGCAACAATTTCCATTTGTATAGTACCCTTCATGCAATGTGGCATCCCAAAGCGCTTGAAGGGTTGTGTTTGAATCACTCCTCACAATGTCTCTCAATTCGGAAATATTCTCTCAGTTATAACCATCTGGTTATTAAGTCTTACATTCGATATTATTTATTCCTTACCAAACAACTTTAAAGCAACGTTGAACAGAATTAAAGCTTCTGGGCCGAAATAATGTATTTTTAGGCTTCAGTGCAAACTGATCAGCAGAGTACAGAACTGCAGCAATAGCACAGGGGCACTTGTGCAAATTAGGTTCTATTTATTTACAATAATCCTAATTGATTATTAAAATAATCAATGTCTCCAAGCTCTTCACAGGAAGTTGTAATTTTAGTTGTAGGAAAATGTGGTAGCCTATTTGCACACAATACGACACAAATTTACATTTGTATAGTGCCTTTCACGTCAGGAGGACGTCGAAATACGCTGGGCACACCCGTGAAGTGACTGACCAATTTATTTAGAGGATTGTTGGCCAGCACACTGGGAGAATTCTCTTCTCTTTTCTTCACCTGAACTCAAACAGATAATCTTTGATGCTCTGTAGTAAATGCCTTATTTTTAGTTTCGAAAACAAATATCCAACAGAACATTGTAGTGTAGGTTTCAGTAAATATCAGCCAGGAGAAAGTTTCAACACAGACTAAGACAAGTAAATTCTCTGAAGAACAACTGTATGATTTTTTTCTTTTATTTTAAGGTATGATCATTTCTCTGTCTTGTGTGAACTACTCCCCGTGGCGATTCCTTCCCTGGCTGTCTGTCTGCAGGCCCTGAAAGAAGGTAAGACTGCTGCTTCATGTGTTTTATATACCCAAGGCTGTGCAGCAGCACTTCTACTCTGTTCTTAGGTGTAATTATCAATCTTGTCAGGAGCTGCCTTGGAGATACAGCAAATCTTTGAATAGGAAAAATATATAAAAGAGTTGGGGAAGAGCAGGGTTGTGAGCCTAAGCACATCAGCAAGGGTTTGACGGGTCAAATAGTCTCCTTCAGTGTTGTCAGTGTGTCATGAAAACTGCTTCAACCATACTAAATACATCCACATTGATGGTTACGAGTGGGAATTCAACGCATCAGTAGCAAAAGATCTTTTTGCTCAGAAGCAGTTTAAATGCTGTGCAATTTGTATTCTATTTTCTACTTTAATTAAATTAGACAGCACAGGAAAGGTTTACACCAAGCATGCTGAGACAGAGGGGACGGGATACAGTTTTTATCGGGTTGTGTCATGGGGTTCTCGAAATGCAGGTACTTTGATCTGGAGCAAGACAGATTTTTATAGTTTTGCAAAGCAAGTCACATGAGTGACAGTTCCTGTGCACAGTGAACAATGGAAGTGACATCAGTTGCGTGGCCATTTTGGCGCATATTGTTATAATGCCGGATACGTGTTTATGGACCCAAACCACCATGTTATAACCGGGGTGGCCTGTAACTAGTTTCATGCATTGCTTTGAAAGATTGTTGTCTGTTCTATTTAGGAAACATCTGCGTAAATGAGGAGACTTTCGTGAAAAGGGCTCTTGAATTCTCAGATTCGGGTAATAACTTTACAAGGTAAGTGACTCAATGTGAATGCTACCTACAGATGAATGCAATTGTTAAAAGTGTATTCTTCACATAAAAATACAAATCTTTGAAAAATATATGTTTATCCTAACAGGCATTAGCCTGGCTCAGTTGGTAGTATTCTTGCCTCCAAAATTTCAGCTCAAAGTCTTAAGTTGGCATTCCTGTGCAGTGCTGAGGATGCGTTGCATTGTTGTGCAATCCTTCGTATGAGATGATAAATCAAGGTCCCATCTACCTTTTCAGATGCATATTAAAGGTCACATGGCACTATTCAAAAAGAGAAGGGGGTTTCTCCCAGTGTCCTGGCAAATAATCCCTTAGATAAAGCAAGGGTTTTTCACCTCATGGCTTCGTGGGACACTGCTGTGTAAACATTGGCTGCTGCATTTGTTTACAAATACACAGTTACTACACAAAGTGTTTTTAGATGTTTTGACATGATTTGGCATTATACGTTAGATGCAAAAATTACTGTATTCTGTTCAAGATTCAAGATTAGGCAGGCAGAGTTCATTGTTCGACTGATTTATGTAATCTGTACTGTAATAAGTTCAGATACCAAGTTGTAGTTTGTCAAATTTCACTTTATTGAACATCCACTTCCATTTAGGCCTTCTAGACGTCTCAAAGCGCTTCACAGAATATACTGTAAAGTGAATTGATTGTATATTTGTAGGCGAAACACGGCAGCCAATTGCGCACAGCAGTGTCCCACAAACAGTCGTGGATTGAAGTGACCAATTTATTATTGCTCTTTTTTCTTGAGGGATTGTTATCAGGCGTGTGGAGTAAGGAAGTTTGCCCATGGTTTGCCCTGCCGAGAATTGAACCCAGGTCGCTCGCCTGTTAGGCGAGTGCTCTAACCACTGAGCTACAGGACTCCAGAATGTTGCATATCTGCACGCTGACTCTCCACATTGGGCTGATCTGCTTGGACTGTGATATGGAAGTAAATTTGGAACTGCGGAATGATTTCAAAGCGGAAATAGAGAAAAATGGGAGGGAGAGAGACTAGAAGGGAGAGGTACTTGCGTGTTGCTGGGGAGAAGACAACAATGGATTTTACTGTAATGATGTGCAGTATTTTGCAATAAAATAACATTACTATGGGAGCTTTAGCAGAGACTGCAATAGAAAAGAGTAGAATCCGAGTCAGTTTCTGGTGCAATCTAACATTGAGTAGGCCTCCAAGCAATATCTTTCAAATGGTAACCTAGGTTGGACAGTAGCAATAAATGATGATATCTTGTCCAGGAAAATTGATCTATTGAAATGAATTGTACCCTGAAGAGCTGGCTAAGTGTAACTCAATTTGCTTTACAGTGGTGATGGTGCAGGGAAGTTTCCCGGCTACAAAGTGATGAGCCTGGTAGCTCAAGTGACGGCTGACTTAAAGAAGTCGATTGATGAACTTCTTGAAGAAAACATGTAAGACCTTCAACATTGAACTAACTTCTTTTATTCTCTATAAAATGTAAAACTCTTTCAGCCACTGCTCCCCGAAACTCAGGAACACTCTGTTCCTCCGTCTTGCCCCTTCCTTCCCCATCATCAGGTCATGCTGAAGACCGTTCTCTTCGACGTGCCTACAGTCACCCCCCCGTCCCCCAGCTCAGCGTCATGCTCCGCCACTGTCAAGTGCTCTCGGACGCTACCCTGCATGAGTGGGGGGGCTAGATAAATTAAAGTTGTTGTAGTTGTTGTCGAGGCAAGGACATTGGGAATGTGCAGCTCAGCACAAAGATCATGAAGCTGGGGTGAGTCGCCTGGTAGGCAAGAAGGACAGAGGCAAGGGCGCACTGGTGAGAGCCAAGCACACGGCCAGTTTTCATGTTCGTGTTCAGTTCAAAACTGTTACAGCTCTTAATGTCTGATAGGCAGTCAGTGTGGGTCTCCTCATAGCAGACCAGACATCCCTTCAGAGTGGAACAAAAATATTCGGACCAAACGTAATCATTAGTGGCCCCATTTCTTAAACTGGTGCGAGGAATGCTGGCATTTGTGACAGTGGATAGGTTGCAACCATTCTCTATTGAATGTTTTATAAAATGTAAAGACACCAATGTTATGGAAGTTACTGGTAGGACAGAACATCCTCTCAAGTGTGCATTATATTGTACTAGGTATATTAAAGGATGGTTCAGTGAATACCACAGAAGGCAGAAGATTGTTCATCCTGTAATGATCCATCAGTTTGAAGGCGATGTTCGAGGGTATGTTTTGCTATTATTTGTTAGCTATGCTTGATTTATAATGCTTATCTTGTTTGATACATTGTATGACATATTTACAGCTATTTAGATAGTAATATATCAGAAACTTTCGGTCACCTCAGTTCAATATCTTTCCGAAAGGGATTATTGTTGTGACAGGTCTAGTTTGAGTGATAATTACAATCACCCTTCTTCTAGTCTACATGCCAAGTGGGAGCAAGTTCTAATAGAGCTTCGCTCAGGGCTAGAGAGGATCTACTACCCTCTTACCGTGGTCGAGTGGCTGGAGGAACACGTGAGCCCAGCCTGGATAAAGCTGGAAAAGTTTATTCGTGATATGAATGAAGCCAAGAGCTCAAAATTAACACAATATGAATAAATGTAATGAAATAAAGTGAGTACTTAAACTCATTGAAGATCAGTCAAATGTCAATGGCTCTCTGATGGTGTATTTATTTAGGGATATGTGATCCCGGAAGGTGATTTACAGGATCGTTAGTGTATCTGATCACACAGAGTCTACCACAGCATGTCCAGATCTCGCTGCTCTTTTAAGAACTACAGAAAACATACTTCAAAGTTAAGACTGAAATCCACAATTTGCTGAAGGCGCTGGGAAAATGCAATTCATCTTTTTACGACCACTAGTTGTTGTAAAACCTAGTTGTTGTAAAAAGTTGAGTTGCATTTTCCCAGCGCTTTCAACAAATTGTGGATTACAGTCTAAACTTTGAAGTATGTTTTTAAACGTCTGGTCTGCTGGGTGGAGACCTACACTGACTGCCTGTCAGACATCAGCAGCTTTCATGAATGATGAACTCTTAAATAAAATAGGGAGCAGATAAAGATGTTGAAGCATCAACAGTCAAGGAGAAACATTTTATTTGAAGGTTTGAACATGATACCAAGGGAAATTCCATTCTCTTTTCAAATAGTGTCATGGGATCTTTGATATTCACCTGAACAGGCACAAGTGATTTCAGTTTAAGGTCTCATGTAAAGGACGGCATCAAATAGTCCTTGCATTTGATATAGTGCTTTTCACGTCGGGAGGACGTCCCAAAGCGCTTCACAGAACACACTGTAAAGTGAATTGACTGTATATTTGTGGGCGAACGCGGCAGCCAATTGCGCACAGCAATGTCCCACAAACAGTCGTAGATTGAAAATGACCAATTTATTATTGTTTTTGGTTTTGGAGGGATTATTATTAGGTGTGTGGAGTAAGGAAACTTGCCCAAGGTTTCGCCCTCTGCCTGGAATAGTGCATCAAAGTGCCCCCCCAGCACTGAACTGGTGTAACACCCTACATTATGAGCTGAAAGTTCTGACATGGAGCTTGAATGCTGACACTTTGAATACTTCTCATTCGTACTGAGCCTAACCTCACAACCAGTCAGCATTACATGAACAAGTCACTGTTTCCGTTGTAGAATTTCTTTTTATTTTCCTTGTTTACCTACCATTCAAAATTACAAATATATAAATGACTAAGTCGTTCCATCATTTCTTGGTGGCATTCAGATACATCTAACTGCACTTTACAATAACACTGCAATTCGAAACACAGGCATTTGGTTTGACCAGCAGAGGGTTCAACATGCATTATCTACACAGCTGCACTGACATCTTGGTTGCATCACTGGGATTCTGCAGCAAATGTGTTGTGGATAGACTTTAGTAAGGCAAGAAGGTAACAAGTGTTTTGGTTCTTTCCTTCCACTGCCACAAAGTCATTCTTCTTCATTCTTCTTTAGTCATAATTCTTCCTCACTGCTCTCACTGCTGGCTGAGACGGTTCTATCTTTTCAGCAAAGCCCAATTCATTAAGACCTAGAAACTTGGTTATAAGTTTTGCTACAGCTTCCACGTCACTGTGAGAAAAGACAAACATAAACATAATAATCCTTGCATTTGATATAGCGCCTTATGTCGTTGGACACATCACAAAGCACTTCACAGAATGTACTGTAAACTAAAAGTGACTGTATATGTTGTGGGCGAAATACGGCAGCCAATTGCGCACAGCAGTGTTCCACAAACAGTCGTGGATTGAGTGATCAAATTATTATTATTAAGGAATTATTACCCCCAGAAAAGTAATCCACCAATCGATTTAACAACCGTGTTCCTACTTACTGCTAGGTAAACAGGCATATGAAGTAAGGAAACTCGCCCAACATTTTGCCCTGACCAGGAATTAAACCCACGTCCTCTCACTTGCAAGGCTTGCGCTCTAACCACTAAGCTACAGGACTCCACTAAACATTCTAAAACATTATAATAATAAATTATATCATCTCAAACTCCAAACAGAAGCAGTATAACCTCTCCAGTCTCTCCTCATAGTTATATTCTCTCATCTCCAGTATCATCCTTGTGAATCTCCAATATCCTTTTGAAGATGCAACACCAAAAACTACACACAAAATTCCAGCTATGGCTGAACGGTTTTGCAATGATTCACCATTGCTTCCCTGCTTTGAATTTAACGGCACTGTATATACACCCACAAATCCTGTTTAGCCTTTTACTGGTCTTCTCTACCTCCAATCCTATGTTTGTTCATTTATGCATTTGGACTAAATTCCTCTTCCTTCTGAATTCCACTCCTGAATTTAGGAGAGAGTATCCCTTTTCCGCATTCCCCCTGCACACACCCCCTCCCCAAGCACACTGTACCTCCGACCTCCCAGCACCGCACTCTGTGTAAGCGGGTGTGAAAACCCAGTGGCAAAGCGGAGAATCACGAGGTGACCTGTCCCCAAATAGCGGACTCGCTCCTCCTCCACTTTCACACCTTTAATGTGCTGAAGCTGTGCCACAACTGCAAACACAAAAAGAGAGAACAGCCGTAACACACCCATTGCATACTCGTCACTGACGCATACTCATTGCGGGTGCCGGAGAAATCAATAGCGTAGGCATCAGTGAAGCAAACTTCCTTTGTTTCAGAGGCTCGTCTCCATGTCACTAGTTGGTATCACTTCAACAGCATCTAAAATTTGCATTTAGACAGCGACTTTCACTTAAAGCGAATGTCTCAAAGCACTTGATATATGTGCTGATGGCAATTTAGTTGGGGAATTGGAGGTTTGAAGATATTAAGAGAAGGCTCAGTTGGAAGAGCTACAATACAAAGTGGATTATGCAGGCAGAGAGAGAAGTGAAGAGGTTAATGAATAGGTGTGCATGGGAGAACTCTGAATTTTCAGTCAGATGAATCTTCTGGAGAGTGAGACAATCGCTGGAAAATCTACCCTTGGAAGTGTTTAGAACATGGAATAACGGTTTCAACAGCAGTGAAAGTGAGGTAAGGGTAAAACATGCAATGTTCCAGAATTGGAAAAAGGCAATTTTGGCAAAGGAATGGGTAAGAGTTTTCAACTCAACTGAAGATCAAGCAGACAGAAAAAATAATTTCTTTACCTTGGTCGTTGCTCATACTCCACAAAGTCAATATTTTTGTATAGAGGTTAAAATTTTTAAGAATTGCAGTGCCTTTATTCTTATCAAATATGACTTCCTGAAAAATAGAAAAAGACCATGAAAATGGGGTTCCAATCCTACCCAGGACCATCTTGTCAGTGTCACCTACTGACCTCTCTCGTGACCATTATTCATGTTTCAACCCAGACAACGAAGTTTAACAGGCTATATAACTCCAAAGTTATCACAGGGTCTCTGGCTAGCCATCAGAGGTTCAACATTCAACCACGGTCTTAAAATTTAAGATCGTGCAGAATTTTGGAAAATTCTTAAATTCAGACTTAATTTGCAAAATAAGTGTTAAAAATTGGAAAATTTAACATATTTTACATCAACAGAACCTGATGAGACGCCACCCGGCGTGGAGGGCGCTATATAAGTTGTTGTTGATGATGTGACAGGTTCCAGGGTCTCATTCCACAATGAAAATACCCAGTTGTACATTAACCATCATAAATCACACAACCTTCCACCCAAAAATGCTTAGAAAATGAAGACTTGCCTACCTCCCAATCCTCCATATTCTGGATAGCCACAAATAAGCAACCGAGTATATAGAATAACTTCCAGCCCCAAGTATCTGCAAATAAAAGGTCTTGAGTTTTAATGCATGGACTCAACTCATAGCCTAAACAGATCTGGCAAAAAAAAATCAGCCCTTATTATTCAGCTTCCACCGCCCTTCCAGGCAATGCATTCCAAATCCGAACAACTCGCTGTGTGAAAACATTTTAAGTGGATAAGGACAGCATCAGGTTCGGTTACAATGTTCCTGATATCAAATGCCCAACCTACAGACACTCACTGTCTCGGCTGACATGTGAAAATAAACTAACTGGGAATAAAGGTATATGTGAAACAGTGCCCCAAGTAGAACAAAAAAGGAGCTAACAATTTTCAAGAGAGAAAAGAAGTGGAGAACTCCAGAATATAAATTAAATGTAACAATTATTTGTGTTCATCAAAATAAAGCACTCTGGCTCTCCGCAGGGCTAATCCTGTTACGAAAGGGTATTTCAGGTCAGATATCAAAGACACTTTTGCAGATGACCTTTCAAAGTCTGTAAAACATATCCAATTCTTTCACGTACCTGTACTGTAGTAACCAGCAGCCAGACCAACGGAGCCAATTCCTACAGACAAAAGATAAAATTTCACTCAAAACTACTGTATTCTGTACAGAAACCTGCTATAACAATAATAACACTTGCATTTGATATAGAGCCTTATCAAAGAAAATACTGTAGAGTGAATTGACTATATTTTGAGGGCAAAATTACTTTTCTATGTATATGGGACTGTATCTTCTGATGGGCTAAGTTTCCCATGTCCCAGCAGAATCTAGGTTGAACCAACCATTAATTCTAGGCAGTCAGACAATCCTGGCCTGACAATAAACAAGGATCAGGAGCGTGAAAGAGACGAACAGTTGATTTTAAAAGTTGATTTTTCTCACAAGTGGAAACGCTAACTATGTTGATGTCCCAGACCTACTGAACCAAGAAAACATTTCACACGAAACCCGATTTCAGTGCTTCGCTTACTCCATTAACATTGAAAATATCCACTGAATTAATCTATGCACTTACCAACTAAGACAGACCAGGATCTTACACCAGGTGACCTCTTAAGATGAAGTGTTGACTTTGTTTGCTGCAAAACTACCATGTACGCCATCTCTGCAAAGGCTGCACGTACAGTACACAAGCTGTGAATCGATCAATACCAGAAGAGATCTGAGAAGCCATGGCAATAATTGTAATGAGTTTCACGTTAACAAGTGGCTGAACAGTCTCTTGCATTATTCAATAATCATCAGATAATCTCTCAGGAAACCATTCCAGGAACTGAGACCTCAACGCTCCAGTAACTCCACCCAGCATGAGCCTCAACATTTTTCAAACTAAAATGCTTCCAAACATGAACACATCAGGGAATGAAAAGAATAGGTCAGTTACGATCAATAATAATAATTATTATAATAATATTTTCTCACCTATCTTAACTGATAAGATTATGATTATTGCCATATTGTCAATGTAAATTGCCAGTTCCAAGAGGGGTGTACAATATGATCACACCATGATCCGTTTTAAAACCACCTATCACTTTACAACAGGTGCACATTTTTTAAAAAAGTGACTGGGATTGAACCAGGGACTGAGGTTTCAGTGAGGGCAAGGTCTGACCCCGGCTTGGGCGAAATATATAAGATTACAATACAATCCTTGCAATTCATATAGCGCTTTTTCTAGACATCTCAAAGCACTTCACAGAATATACTGAATATATTCAGTAATATATACTGAAATGACTGTATATTTGCGGGTGAAACGCGGCAGCCAATTGCGCACAGCAGTGTCCCACAAACAGTCGTGGATTGAGTGACCATTATTTTGTCTCTTGAGGGATTATTATCAGGCATGTGGAGGATATCAGGATATAAGGGTTATGTGGATACATAATGGGAGTAGGTGACATGAATCGAGCAAGCTTTAGATCCTGCACCATTACTCAGCTTATTCTGTGTCCGGCCTCACCTACTAAATAGTCAAATTAAATGTAAAACTGCACGGATATCAATGCAGTTTAATTATCGTCATGGTTGCCCTTTGAACTTCAGTAACACTCTTGTGTAAAAGCCATGGCAATAATTGTAATGATTGCGTGTAAAATACTGCACCATTCCTTCTATTCGGTGCGTTCGGGCGGGCGGGCCTGCCTCAAGATACTTTTGCAAAACTTAGTCTGCTGTCTGTGCTTCGCAATCGATGTAATTAGTACGTGCGAAAATGGCAAGTCAGAGTCTGGTAAAGCGAGAGAGTGGGTAAAAGGGGAAGTAAGTAAGTAAGTCTGCAGGGTCTCACCCCCCATCAGGAAATATGTTCAGCCACTGGAAACTCCCATGATGGATGTTCTTGTCTCCACGATATTCCGAGCAACACTTTCTTTCTTTCTTTCTTTCTTTCTTTCTTTCTTTCTTTCTTTCTTTCTTTCTTTTTCTCTCTCTCTCTCTCTCTCTTTCTTTCTTTCTTATATTGTAAACCAAGCAAAAGAGCAGAGGTGAGTCCACCTCATCTATAGCCACAGCTATCAGTCCCCACATCCACCCGACAATACTTTCCTTCCTCTAAGTGATAACTTCTCCCCCTGGGACATCCCCCAAACTCCCCCCTATCTCTCTCTCTCTCTCTCTCTCTCGGCCACTTAATTATCCCACTCTCCAACTGGGGATTTGATTTGGTCCAACACACATCCAAACGCAGCCCTTCTCGAACAATAAAGTACTATAAAAGTACAACGTGTACTTGGATCCCTTCTTTGGGGGGTTTCACTATTCCTGGCAATGACATGAATCAAAACTCTTAATGTTGGGGGTGGGGGGGGGGTTCGACCCCACGGGAGTGTGGGATCGTCAGCTCTTAACATCTGTCCCACAAACGGAGCCTGTGGTGGGGCGTTTGTGTGGGAGATGGGGAGAGACGTGGAGAGGAGAGGGTTCGAGCTGTGTCGGGCGCGGCTCCGATTTAATTAATTTCCTTTTCGGTTTCAGGACTTGGGAGACAAAGACACCGTTCAGCCGGAGTTCACCTACACTTTGTTGATGTTTTGATGAGATAAGTTGGCGTTGGAGGTGTATTTAAAGGCCCCACAAACCCCTCCCACAACCCCACAACCCCGAGACCACAATAAGATCGCTCTGCGGATGGTGCGCGTAATCGATCACCACTCAAACACCACTCACGTTCCAGACGACCCGCAGTGCCACCAAAGGACTTGTGAGAACGTTACAAAGAGGTGCATCTACACCTGTGAAGGTCCTACATGTGTTTCCAGGTGTGTGTGAGTGTGTGTGTGTGTAAAAAAAAACACTTTGCAAAGAAGAAGAAGAAGAGAAACAAAGGCAAACAAACCTCTGGTGCAGCTCACGGTCCTCACAGCCACTTTGTGAATGAACCTTCCTGTTGCAAAGCGAGGACCCCTCTCATTGGCTCAGCTCTGGATACTCCTATACATGGCGGAGACCTTTAACCCCAGCAGTTGGCCACCAGAGGGCTGCGGGATGGCTGGCTGGGCTAGCGGGAGAGAGTCGAGTCCTGTAGCTCAGCGGTGAGAGCGCTCGCAAGCGAGCGAGCGAGCAGACCTGGGTTCGATTCCCGGCCGGGCGAAACCTCGGGCAGGTTTCCTTACTCCACGCACACGCCTGATCATAATGCCTCAAGAAAAAGCAATAATAATAATTTGGTCACTCAATCCGCTACTGTGGGACGCTGCTGTGCACAATTGGCTGCCGCGTTTCGCCCACAAATATAGAGTCAATTCACTTTACAGTATATTCTGTGAAGCGCTTTGAGACGACTCGAAGACGTGAAAAGCGCTGTATTAAATGCAAGGATTATTATTATTAAAATATAGTCAATCCACTTTACAGTATATTCTGCGGACATCTCAACGACGTGATAAGATACTATATCAAATGCAGGAATTATTATTGTGGAGTGGCAGGGTGTTTACTGTGCACTAAGCAGACAGATGCCACTTCTGTTTAAACATTTCATTTCGCCCACAAAATGAACAGTCAATTCACTTTACAGTACAATCTTTGAAGCACTTTGAGATGTCTTGAAGACGTGTTAAGGCCCTATATCAAATGAAAGAATTATTATTCCAAAGTAAGGCACTTCAATCAATTTCCTTTCTAAACATTTTAATTGAAACCTCTGTGGCCTATTGGGGGCAGTGCATTCCACATTTTCACAATCTTTTGGTGAAGAAATGTATTCTGATCTTTTCTAATTATCCAAGCTCTAATTATATTGTTCCCTTATTTGGATTCCTCTGTCAGATGGAAGAATCCTATCTAGCTTATCAATTCCCTACATTATATTAAATGCCTCAATCAGAATACTCCAAATAATATAGCCCAAGTTTACTTAGATTATTACCATTAGCTGCTGCTCAAACTCAAAACTTCCAAACTGGTAGAACCAATAGGCAGAGTGTTTGACTGGGCTGTAGGTAGGAGGATGGTGGTAATGCTCTCACACAGTTCATGCTGCGGTTTGCTGCTCACTATGTGGCGAAACCTTGGGCAAGTTTCCTTACTCCACACAGAGCCTAATAATAATCCCTCCAAAACCAAAACAATAATAAATTGGTCATTTTCAATCTACGACTGTTTGTGGGACATTGCTGTGCGCAATTGGCTGCCGCGTTCGCCCACAAATATACAGTCAATTCACTTTACAGTGTGTTCTGTGAAGTGCTTTGGGACATCCTCCCGACGTGAAAAGCGCTATATCAAATGCAAGGATTATTATTATTATTATTATTATCAGCAAGCATACATAAACATCCGAAACTGTGAGTAGTTTTGTTTGGAGACTCTTAACCATAGTGATGGTGTTTGCGTGTTTTGTGTGAGATACAATACACTATATTCCCATTGATAAATATCCTTTCACGTCAGACGTATACAGGTACCTCGATGACCAAACAAAAAAGCAGCTTCATTTCTTTCAGCACCTGCAAACCAGATTTGATGATTCAACGCAAAAATAGATTTGAACGATTTATTGACCCGGACCCAAATTGTTGGAATTCAGTCTTAACTTTCAAGTCTCGAAAGAATCGATAGAAGAAGAAGAAGGAGAAGGAGAAGAAGAGAAGAAGAAGAAGAAGAAGAAGAAGAAGAAGAAGAAGAAGAAGAAGAAGAAGTATAATCGAAGGCTACGTTTGAGTTTTGCCAATTTTTCTGACTCTCTAAAATTCTTAAGTGAAATACGCGTAAAATCCGTGGACCGCGTGGACCGACCCCCCCCCCCCCCCCCTCTAAGACCCCCTTTTCCAACCCAACCTTCTGACAGGTGGCTCAGGGTTACCTGTTTAAACAGCCTCACTGCGCATGTCAGTGCCAGTGGGCGTCCACTGCGCATGTCTCACGGTTGCCGAGCGACCGGTGTACACAACCATGGCGGAGGATCCCAACCCTGATGTGGTGCAGCTGGAGCTGGAGTCTGTTATTGGCTTCAACGGTAAGAAGTGGAGCAGCTGCACCCCACCACCCACCCCACCCCCCACCCCCAACCCCCCTCACCCCACCCCCCCCCCCAACCCCAAACCCCCTCACCCACCACCCACCCCCCCCCCAACCCCCCTCACCCCACCCCCACCCCACCCCCCCACCCCCACCACCCACCCCACCCCCCAACCCCAACCCCCCTCACCCCCCCCCCCCAACCCATGCACCCCCCCCCACCACCCCCCCAACCCACCCCCCTCACCCCATACACCCCCACCCCTCCCCCACCCCACCCCCCCATCACCCCCCCCCCCCCACACACACACACACACAGGCACACACAATTATTGTAGCTCAGGGACTTTAGGGCTCAGATACTTAAGCAGAACATTCTATACAGTCGCTCTCCAGTGTGAGTGTGTATGTGAGTGTGTGTGAGAGAGTGTGTGTGAGTGTGTGCGTGTGAGTGAGTGTGTGTGTGAGTGTGTATGGGTGTGTGAGAGTGTGAGTGAGTGAGTGAGTGAGTGTGAGTGTGTCCACACACAGCAACAGCACCACACAGAGACACAGACCGAGGACGCCTCTTCCAGTTGCGCTTCGAAAAAGGGGGACACTCGGAATTGGTCTTGAAAACAAGTGGTCTGTGCAACCCCCAACCCCCCCATACACACACACACTCAATCCATCCGATTGCCAGGAGTACGAGGGCAGTTGTCCAGGACGGTGATGCTTCTTTCCGATCAGCGATTAAGGAATTAAACCCCCAAAAAAATCAGAAATGCTGCACCACATAAACTGGCCATTTGGCCCCCTCAAATCTGACTCTTCCACCCAATCCAATCTATGATAAATAAATGCCAGTTTGGCCCACAGATTATTAAAGGAATAAGGGAGCAAGTGGAATAATAATAATCATCATAATAATCCTTGCAAACAAAGACAGAAGTCGCTGGGAACGCTCAGCCGGTCAGGCAGCATCTATGGAGAAAGGAAAGTGAGTCAAAACCAGTTTTGACGAAGGATCGTGGACCCGAAACGTTGACTCACTTTCCTTTCTCCGCAGATGCTGCCTGACCTGCTGAGTGTCCCCAGCGACTTCGGTTTTTGTTTTCAGATTTCCAGCATTTGCAGTATTTTGTGTTTTGTTTTTATAATAATCCTTGCATTTGATACAGCGCCTTATCATGTTGCGACGTCTCAAAGTGCTTCACAGAATATATTGTAAAATGAACTGTGTATTTTGTGGGTGAAACCGGCATTTATTATTTTGTCCACTGGGACTGTTGAATTGTACGTATTAAACTCTTCTTATATTCTATTTCTTTGTCTGCAGGAAAAGTGCCTTCTGGCTTCAACATCCATTTTGATCGTGACCATTTTATCTATCCACTGGGATGTACAGTTGTCATTCAGGACCTAAACAGTAACAAGCAAAGTTTCCTTCATGGTCACACCAACAATATTTCCTGTATTGCAGTTAGCAAGAGTGGGAAATATATTGCCACCGGACAGGTCACTTACATGGGATTCAAGGTGAGGAACAAGTAGCATTTTTACAGGCTGCTATAACGCCAATCAACAACAACAACAACAAGATTCCATTTATAGAGCGCCTTTCACGTCGGGAGGACGTCCCAAGTTGGGTCAGGACCCGAGCAGGGGGGAAATGGTCAGGGTGAGGGAAGGGAGGGAGCGAGGAGGGGGTAGAGAGTCGAGAGGGGAGCTGAAGCCACGGTCAAAGAGAAAGGTCTTGAGACCGGCCTTGACAGAGGGTGTGTCACAGAGGATGGTGGATTTGTGTGGAGGAGGGGGTAGTGTTAGGAACACAAAGAGGCCATTCAGACCATCAAACCTCTTCTGCCATATTATTAGATTGTGGTTGATATTTTAATACAATACAATACAAAATTACATTTGTATGGCGCCTTTCACATCGGAAGAACATCCCAAGCCACCATCATCAATTCTGCTTAACAAGGCCACTGTATTATGACCCTCAGAGTGGACTTTCAGTTGCCACTTTAGAAACATAGAAATGTTCTGTGCAGAAAGTGTATTCAGCGTATTGTGTCTAAACCAGTGCTACCTGTCATTCCAAATTTTTGTATAAATTAATCTGTTCATCAGCTCTCTCATCATATCCCTTCATTTGTTTAGGGCCCATGTGGCCTTTTGAATGATTGTATTGATTCAGCCTCTAGAGCAATTTTTGGCAATGAATTTTAAACCCTAACAGCCTTCTTAAGGGTAAAAAAAAATCCTCTTGCAGCTAACATTCCCAAGATTGTTATCATTTCCCCAAATAGAGGAAATAGTTTTTCCCTATCGACAGTTCCCAGTCATGCCCCTTCAGTATCTTAATTACCTCTATTATAACCCCTTTGAAACTCCTCTGCTCCAGTGGAAGGGTCCCAATTTAGTTAGCCTCTCTTCATACATGCAGTGTGGTTGAGTTCATGGTGATTCCGCAGGCTGACATCATCGTCTGGAACTACGCTGAACGATCGCGTCATGCCAAACTAATCTTGCACATGGCAAAGGTAGAAGCTGTGGCCATCTCACCAAATGATCTCTACTTGGTGTCACTTGGAGGGCAGGATGATGACAGGTAACGCACATTATATGTAAAATAAAACATCAAATATGCAATGTTTTCACGTCTTGAACAGTTTAGTGAGACAAAACTGATTGGAGACAAACTTTATTCTGGATTTGTGAATGATGGAACTGTAGGAAAATTATTTTTCACTGTGACAATGTGAATGTGCTACACTATATACTAAAATATTGTTTACAACAAATAACAGAAGATCAATGATTTAATCGTTTGTTTACCAGTTACTCTACTTACTTTACCAGTTACTTATATTCACAGTCAAGCTTAACACTGTTCTGGGTAATCTATAAATCTATAGTTCACTTTATTTCAATTCAGAAATTATTACTGAAAATATACAAAGCTATCTAATATTGTCTTGATTAAGTATTGTCTCAAATAGTACTTGATTCCCTCCCATTCCTGCCCCCAGATGAATGTAATGATATCACTGCCCCTCTCTGAAAGGAGTAGGATAATGCATCAATTAAAGAGACCCATGAAGTTCAGAGCAATATAGGCCATTGGGATCGGCAAAGATCCACCTTCTAAAGCTCATAAAAAACAATAGAGCCCACCTTTCTCTAGGAATGGCTTCACATGTGTTTAGATGTCTCTGAGCCAACAGGAACCAAATATGAGTCTCACTGTGACTGCCTACTCTGGGCAGTCTCTGAGCCTGGAGCATCCATTCAGGCTGTCTCTGTAGCACCTAATACCCCCCTACTTCCAGCTCTTTATTTTACAAAGGACACTTGTTCATCTCTTCATTTAGACCTGATTCAAAGTAAGGTTACAGATGTGAAGTCTTCCAACACGTTTTTTCATTCAGTGCTTATCCTTCCCCTTGAAAAGCTTCATAAGACAGAGTTTTTGTAATAATAATCCTTGCATTTGATATAGTACCTTATCATGTCTTCGAGGCATCTCAAAGAGTTTCACAGGATACACTGTAAAGTGTAATGACTGTGTGTTTTACGGGCAAAATTTATGACTTATTGGACTCCGATATGTTGATAACAGAAGTGTGAAATGAGAACTTAAATAAGTTGTTTTGTGACTTTTCTTTTCCAGTGTTGTTATTTGGAATTTAGAAACAAAACACTCCATCTGTGGCAGTCCCTCTACCATCCCAACCGCAGGGCATGCTTTGACTGTGAAATTCGCCAACCAGACCGACAATGTCTTTATTACTGGAGGAAAGTAAGTTTGGCGAGAGGATGTTTACTCTAATAATAATATATCCTTGCATTTGATATAGCACCTTATCACAGCTTCGAGATGTCTCAAAGCACTTTACATCTTATACTGTAAATTGAACCCATTGTATATTTTGTGGGAGAAATACGGCAGCCAATTGCGCACGACAGTGTCCCACAAACAGTTGTGGATTGAGTGATCAACAGTATCAGGAAGTCCAGATGGAAAAAGAATTACCCGATTCCAGCAAAGGGAGCTAATCGTCTTCCAGTTTAATAATAATAATCCTTGCATTTGATATAGTGCTTTTCACGTCTTCTAGACGTCTCAAGGAGCTTCACAGAGTAAACTGTAAAGTGAATTGACTGTATTTTTTGTGGGCGAAATACGGCAGCCAATTGCGCACATCAGTGTCCCACAAACAGTCGGGGTTTGAATTAAGTATCCAATTAATTATTGTTTTTTTTCTTGAGGGATTATTATTAGGCGTGTGGAGTAAGTAATGTGATTCTGTTTTGCAGTGGTACCTTACGCTTGTGGCAATTGGACCTACCAAACCGAAAGATTCGTCCGACTGAATGTCAAACTGGACAACTTAAGAGAATAATCACTTGTGTTGAAGTAAGTTTCACTGTGATGCTATGATGTTTTATTGCTCAACATTTGCTTACAGTCTGTGCGGGTTCAGTAGCTCACTCCTGCAGCACTGTTAGAGGTACTGTATAGTTACTCCCTCAGTAGAGTACAGTATCTGACATGCTTTTCTTCTCACTGTTCCATGTCCCTGGCTATTTTCAGCATGTGAAATATTCAGCCAAGCACTATAACGTGTTAAGTGGAATGCTTGTTCTAGTTCTATAAATTCAATTTATGCACTGAACTCTCTTCTATTTCAGCATTAAATTGCTTGTTGTTGACAGCAGCTATCTCATGCTTTGCTAACGTCTCTTTGTGCAGATAGCAGATAGCGACGCTTTCTTTTATTGTGGGACAACAACAGGTGATGTTCTTGTAATCAGCATGAAGACTGGACTTCTCAAAACTTATGGACCTATAAAGGACAAGTTCAGTTTGGTGAGTTGGCAGATGGATCAACGATACTGTAAAAAGGACCATTTTATAGCAAAGAACTTTTTTGCAGCATTCTGAAGCTTCCTTATCCTGAAATACTACAGAATAAGGCACCCCTATTGGGCTTTGCTGGAGTGTGTGGCAGATTAGCTTTGTTAAAATCTTATTAACGTATTATGATTATTAGAAGTTCTTCACCACATCCACTATCCCCAAGGGATTGAGTTTAAGATCCCTGTCCTTACCTACAGACGCCGCCACAGCTTTGCTGCATCCTATGCAGTGCTTCAAGTATTATATAGTATTATTATTATTAAGACATCTATTTTATGTGAAAAGCACTATATGAATGCATTTCTTATTATTTACTATTATCTGGCATAATTCCGCCCACTCACTGAATCTGTCTTGGCCTCACTGCAATTTTCTATTCTTTTCTTCACAACTTCTAGCACCTCTCAACTTAGTTTCATCTGCAAACTTGGAAATGTTACCCTCTGTTACTGTAACCAAGATGAGAAATAGCATTTCTCCTACTTGGCAGCTGTTAATTCTGCAAGCCAAAGCCCTAATGGGAAAGATGGTCCTAACTAGACAAGCAGAGGGAAGCTTGCCAATGTTTGCAATGGTAAGCTGCATGGTTTTAGCTGGTGAAGCTCCAGCAATACAATTTAACTCTGACTCTTGTCAACCAGCACCTAAACTCTGTGGGATTAGCACTTTGGGACGCTGCCCTGCATGGAGGGTGCAAAAGAAAAGCAAGTTGTTATTGATTAGATAAGCAGGATACATCTCTTTAAGGACCAGGCATGTGTAGACCTTTCCGTACATTAAGCATTGTTTTAGAGTATTAGAGTATTATTACAGAGACACTACCTGTGTGAAGGGCACTATACAAATTCAAGTTTTTGTTGGTTTGGAGACTCCAGCACAATAATGATTTTCTGTATAAGTCAGTTATCAAACTCCCATGGAAGAAACAAATCCTATTTACAGGCCATTGATTGAGAACCAATTACTTGCTTTAATTGCGATCTGCCCCTTATGTATGACATTATTACAAAGCCCTCCATGGTCTTGCTCCCCCCTACCATCCTGCTCACTCCCTCCACTCAGCGGGCTCCGCCCTGCTCCACTATTGGCGGGCGGGCCTTCTGCCACTCTGCCCCCACCCTCTGGAACTCCATCCCGCAGTCCCTCTGCCTCGTCCCCTCCCTTGCCACCTTCAAGACCCATCTAAAGACCTTCCTCTTCGACCATACCTTTGATCTCTCTGCTTCCCCCCCGGCCCTCCACCCTCCCCAACTCCAATCTCCATCTCGGGTCCGAAACTCTGTCTGTCCAGAGCCTTGGGATGTCCCCCAACGTGAAAGGTGCTATACAAATGTAATTTTGTTGGTGGTGTTGTTACTAAGGGATGTACCTTATGTATGACATTATTATGTGCGTGACCCAATGCTTTTGTGTAGGTAATACAGCGCTGTATCCACTTCTACATGATAAACCATCATGCGGATAATTGACTTTATAAGTTGAAAAGCTGGGGGGCAGCACTACTCATTGCTCACTAGCCAGAGAATGTTCCTGTATCCCAGATCCGCCTCCCAACCAATTTCCTTATCCAGGTCACAATATTGCCTTTAATTCCACGTGTCTTAGTTTTAGCCAGTAATCTCTTACGTGGCATCTTATCAAACTGCTTCTCAAATATCTGTATTAATCATATCCTCCTTCATCTATCATTTCTGTATTTTGTGCTTGTGAGATATGATATATCTTTCAGGATTACTTCAGCTCATGGTGTATTGTAGACTGGGATGGGGGTGGAGTACGTGCTGAAAGGTTTTTGGCCCCGTTTTTATCTGCGTAGAGTGATGTTGGCAGATACCTTGCAGCTCCTGGCATGAATCTGTGTATGCCATGGCAACAGTATAGTAAAGGGAGAACAGATCTATAATGGAATGTTTCCAGAATGAAGATGCATTCTTCATTGTAAATATCACAGCATTTTGCTACTATCTGATGCACTGATATCAGTACTGAGTATTCATGTCGCGTTTCACTACAGGGAATCACAGCAATAATGGAGCTGAAATCAGGTGATATACTGATTGGAACAGGAGATGGTGTGTTAGCACTTTGCAAAGCATCCAATTTGAAGCCAATCAAGTAGGTTTGAATCTATTCATGTAGCTTTCTTAAACATAATAATAACATTGCATATAATGACCAGGCAACTTCTCACAAAGACATTTGCATTCTTCTTATATTGAAATTCACCAAAGCACAAAGTGCAGAAGCACCATACAGCGAAAACGCATAGTTTCTATTCCCAAACACTCACGTTTGCTTCTGTTAAATTATAGATCACCTGTCACGTCATATGCCTTTATAAAAGGTAAAATAATATATGTTCCTTTCACACAAAGATATTTCAAGATAATGTACTGGGAGTTGTTTTTCAGAGTAACACCGCGGGCTCATTGTGTTCATAATCCATCCTCTCGGCTTTTGCCAGGGCTCTAATCAGTTATTGGGCTATGTGTAAAAACAGTTGAGTAAATCTCCTTCAACTGTCTCTGCATAGTATTATGTCCTCTGTCAGCGGCATGTTTGGGAACGCAAAGCTCGTGTGAGTGCAACACCATTGCACCACTAGTGAAACACCAGCACTGTGGACCTAATTCTACAACTATGATACAGAGGTGGTGATTGCCAGAACTTCTCTTGAGAATATGGCACATAAAACACATCATTTCTGTTCAAACTTGTTCGTGAAATATTGTGAAATTCCCCTTTTGTGATACCTGCCACATCCAACTATCTCTGGGGACAGTTTTAGTGCTTGCAGTTTGCTAACAAACTGAGTTAAGCTCCATTTTGTGTCTTGCATATAGCATATTCCCTTTGTCATTCAGTGCAGCAATGTACTTATATTAAAATGGAAGGAATTTCTTTCTATTGCAGAAAGGTGAAGGTCGACGGTGCTGTTAACTCCATCACTCTGCGTGGTCAAGGACACCAGTTCTTTATTGGTACAGGGAGTTGCCAGATGTATCGATTTAACTACACTGAGTTCAAAGAGGAACTAATTGCCACATGTCACAGCGACGCTGTCCTCGATGTGGCGTTTCCTTGGTAAACAAATTACACCTTCTCACGTTCTGAACATTGGAGGAAAAGAGAGTTTTAAAAATAGACTTTTGTTAGGGGTTAAAAAAGCCTGCAAAACAAAAAGTGGATTTGTATTTCATAGAAAGAGAGAACACGGTTTCTTCCCACTCACCTTCTGTTAACGCTGCAAGCCAAAATTCTTCAGTAGGTGGTCTTACCTGGACAAGCTGCAAGAAGCTTACCAGTCAGTTTAGCTGGTCCAGCAGGACCCCAGTGTGCTCTCTTGGATTCCAAATCCCTCGCCTAATATCTTCCAGAATTAGGTGAAAAGACTGTGTTCCTCCAAGGAGAGAATGTGCACTCCAAACAAACCTAAATTTCCATGGTTATGTGCCATTCTGAAAGCTATGATTTGGATACCCATAAGTGTGGTGCTGGGTTTCTGTGTCTGTCTGTGACTGATCAAAAATCCTCATCGAAGATGTTATGATACACGAATAAGCCATTTGACCCCTTATATTTTCCTTCACATGAGCCAGCTAACCTCATCCCACTCTCCTGTTCAATCCTTATTCCCTTTAATAGTCCTCCTTTTTCAAGCATCTAATTCCCTTCTAAAGTAATTGATGGACACTACCCCAACTACATTCACATTCTACAATTCTAGAATTCCTTTAAGGTGTGTTTGTTTCCCGATATAGCGGAACTTCAGATTTGTTCTGCACCTGCTCGAAGGCTGAGATTAGAATCTGGTATACACCGAACAACAAGGAGCTCCTGCGCATCACTGTGCCAAACATGACCTGCCATGCCATCGAATTCATGCCAGACGGGAGGAGCATCATCAGTGGTAGGCAATTGCAGTCCTATTACATACATTCTGAAGGACTCAAATCAATACTAGGGAAGATATGACAAACTATAAGTAAGAAAATGTTGGTGCCTACTCAATAGTGTTAGAGCCATACCTGGTGATAACACTCTGTTATTCTCCACACAAAAAACTAATCTCACTTTCCTGCTCGCTGCTCATATCCTTTCATATTCCACTTTAAATTCCCTTTTCAAAGAATTTAGCAACTCTGCTTCAATATTTTTTAAAAAGATTTGCAGATGATACAAAGGTAGGGGAAATAATAAATTTCAAGGAGGACTAAAATAAAATGTAGGTAGATACTGATCTGATGGCTAATGGGCAAACAAGTGGCAGATGGGGTTCAGTGAAAAATAGTGCGAGGTACTTCATTTGGGAAGGAAAGACATAGGAAGAACCTACAACTTAAAGGGGAAAAATCTTAAAAGGAGTAGAAAAACAGGGATTTGAAATCCAGATTCACAGGTAATATGATCTGTTTCTGAGCTTTACCATCTATGAATCTATAACTATAGTCTGTGGCAGGGAAATCTGCACTAAAATGTTAGTGGAGTTCAGTCAAAATGGGGAGATAGCAAAGGACATTGTTAGGGCAGATACCAGGAAGTATATTTTTTATACAGAGGGTGGTCTACAGCTAGAAAAGTTATGTGATGTGAGTAGAATGTCTCCAACATTAATAGTGGGTATTTAATTATCTCAGGAGGTTATCTACCCCTGGATTGTTCAAGCAACACATAGGGGAGTTTACAGTATATAGTTTGGGACACGACATGTCAAGCGACTGCCAGGATAGTGGAAGTCGAACTAGATGGACCTTGGTCTTCTTTCGCCCGCAAGTTCTTATGTTCTTATCCATGAACTGGAATACCCTCAGAGGGCACAAAAACTGCAGTTTAGAAATAGAAGCATACGTGTTTAGCCAGCACCAGCCTGTGTGGAGGAGTTTCATAAAAGGGAGGCGCAACTCATTGTTTCCTTTCTATAAATAACCTACCTGTAGCTTGGAACGATGGGAAAATTCGAGCCTTTACACCAGAAACGGGCAAACTGATGTACATAATCCATAGTGCTCACCACCAAGGCGTAACAGCAATCGCGGTGACTGGGGACTGCAAACGGATAGTCAGTGGAGGAGGTGAAGGGCAGGTATGTACCAACATTAAAGCACCTGCACATACTATAATGTACCACAAACCAGCAGAGTGTAGGTTTGCTGTTGAATCCACCTTTTCCATACACACTGCACCAGACAGACTTGCTGTCTGGCCTCTGCTCCCAAATAAAACTACCTCCTCTTACAATCACAGTCTTCTCTTTTCTCAGGAAAAGAATCTGACTCTTTGATGGTGCAGCAAAGCACAGCCTCCACATTCCTCTGCCCCAATGCATCATTGATCTTGACTGTGCTCAGTGACCAAATGTCTTGTGCTGCAGACAGGGTTTTCCTGTGCGAGTAGCTTCTCTGAGGAACATTCAATGAGCTTTCTTGTTGGTTCCAGGTGCGGGTGTGGGAGATTGCACAGAGAAGTCAGAAGATGCTGGCTGCAATGAAAGAACATTCATCTACTGTCTCATGTATTAAGATTAAGAAAAATGACCGAGAATGTGTTACAGCAAGTTTAGATGGAACTTGTATCATCTGGGATATTTTGTAAGTACTGGGTTCTCAAACAGGTCACCTTCCTGAGAAACATATGAGTCTTTGCCATTTCCCTAGACCTGATCTGTCTAGATGAAACAACATAAATTCTTACAATCCTCATTTTTGGATATTTTATTTTCTCTCTCCTCCTATCCTGAAACGATGACTTGTGATAGAGTAGTTTCTGTTCCTTGCCTAAGTGACCATTCTTCACCCATGAGGCTTCATTGTCTATTCATGGAGGCATCAGAAGCTCTGCCATGTCTACTACCTCTACTGTGTAATTCAGTTGGATTTACAGAGCCACCACACACATACACATTTTTTTTAAGGAAATTAAGTTTGCTTGCCATTTTTTCTGACTTATCTTCCCTCCACGTCCAAATTAACCCGCAAGGTGAAATTATTTAGGTACTTATTCTCAACGTTGGGCAATTTAGTGTCATGCTTGCTTCCACTAAACATGCACTTCTTTTTAAATAATGTTTTGCTTTGAGATGTTTATTTGGGATGAAAAACACTATAAATGCAAATTGTTGTTGCTCCGTTCACTGTGGATTCTGCTCCGAGTTGTCATATGGTCACTTCTTATGTAAGCGGCAGTGCAGCTGTGAATTTGTATTCACGTTTCCTGGCAGCAAGTGATGATATAATTGATATTGATAAATTGATAAATAGTGACCTTTATACTTTGGCTTGTAAATATTGTCCAGTGCACTGGAAATGTAAGCGTGTAATCCTGCTGAGATTGTGTGTGTGTAATGCACTGGGATTGTGGTTGTATGTATGATGTCTCAATATTTTGATCTCTGACTATGCCTAAACTATCGATCCTTTGCTATGTTCTGCCTTACATAATGCTCATTTCTCACAGACGCTTTGCAAGGAATCAGATGGTTTTGGCAAACACACTATTTAAGTGTGTCTGTTATCATCCTGAGGAATACCAAATAATAACCAGCGGGAAAGATCGCAAGGTAATGAGCATTGTGCACACAAATTAAAATTATAATTCATGGTTTCACGAAGAGTCAAAAGTGAATATGATATTATGTTGAATCTTTTGATAGACATTCTCAATAGGTGCAGCATTGTGTCAACTCTTACTGTGCCAGCTGCTTGTAAATACCTAGAGCTAGAAAGACATTTGGTAATGTTAATGTTCAGTTACACTTCAAGAGTAATAATAATAATAATCCTTGGATTTGATATAACGCCTTATCACATCTTCGAGATGTCTCAGAGCACTTCACAGAATACACTGTAAAGTGAATTGACTGTATATTTTGTGGGCAAAATGCGGCAGCCAATTGCGCCAAGGCAGTGTCCCACAAACAGCCGAAGATTAAGTGACCAAATTATTATTGTTTCGTAAACTGAGTTTTTGGGCACAATGTGTGTTGTATTGGTGTTTGCTCTTCCAATGAAGTCATCTGTTCTAATCCCAACTCCCTGCTCTTCGCATACTCTAATATCCTTCGGAAATGGAACTGTGCCCAAATGCACTGAAACTCCCAATTCTGCCATTTACCCATGGAATGTTGCTTATTCTAAAGTTATCAAATACTATCAAATGGTAATATATTTACTAGATTAAATATACAAGTGAAAATCCTGCCAGCACCAGTTATGATGAACTGGGGTTATGTAAAGCCACTTGCACTGTAACCACTTCCTACAGTGACACCAAGCTTTCACCCATTACACACACACTGGGTTAACTTCAGTTTACAATGTTCACTAACTATGCAGGGAACCCGAGGTAACAATCTTTTCTCTTGCCCCAGTCTCCCTCCGGTCTTCTCCCTTTCTTCGGTCTGCTCAACGTTTCCCTTTCCCCTATGCACAGAGCAACACAGTGCCATAATGGGTTTGTGTTGTGTAAAGTGCTAAACATGTCGACTGTTATTAATCTGCCTTGGAATAGCATGGCAGCAATTCTAAGTTATGGGAACTGACTGCAAAAGTGAGCTCGCCAACAGCCAATCTAAAGTTAGTCAGACAGATGTCGAGATGGAATCCATGTGTAATATTCCCCTCAGTCTTACTTTGTAAGTTCCAGTTGAAAAGATGAATTATTGATTGAGACATGTCAGAGCATCTCTGTGACATTTACAGCAACTACAAGATTCCTTTTAAGCTTTTTAAAGAGCAAAGAGACAAGCAACAACAATAACTTGCACTTATATAATGCCTTTCAAATGTTTGCTGGTAATTGCGGTTCTTTGCAGTATCCTTTAATAGCAGTTGCCTCAAATCGTTTGGATTACTCATCTTATGCAATTGCCTTGAGTGGGTGATTGACCAAAAGTTAACCCAAAGGAAGAACCTCAAGAGTACCGGTGGCATCCTTATCCAGTCTGATCATTTACTGCACAGTTGTAGCTTAGGATTTCCAGTTTCCACCATCACTGCCATTCTGGTCTACAAGGTTTCCTGTGTGACTATCCTTCAATGAAATAGGAAGAGGAGTAGGTTTATTAATACTAGCTACTAGACTGGGACTATAATTGGGGTAATTGAGAAGAAAGGTTTTTACCGAGAAATAATAGACTATATTTTACAGAGCTTTACAACCCCACATGTATTTAAGCTTTTAAAGCAAAGAGCTAGCCTGCTGCATTTTATTGTAAATGTATATTGTTAATAAATGTTGTGCCTGAGTAACAGATGCAGTTTCTTGGCAGGTTGGGTACTGGGAAGTGTATGATGGTTTGATGATCCGGGAACTGGAAGGCTCCTTGTCTGGCTCCATTAATGGAATGGACATAACTCCAGATGGGAGCTACTATTCTACTGGTAAGATCTATTTTTAGCTAAGAAATGTTTGAAGAGGAGCAATATTAAAGGGTATGGGGAGTGAGCGTGAGAGTGGGTTTAGGTTAGGTGTTTCCGACAGCAAAACAGAACAGCACAGACTTGATGGGCCAAATAACATATTTCTACACTGGAGCAGCGTATGATTGTTTGAATACTCCTGATACCTCATCCCTCCAAGGGAAAAGGGCTCAGTAATGAGTTTTCAAGATGGTGAGTCAGAGATATGCATAAATACATAAATAAATGCAGCCGGGATATTGACAGCATGATGACTTAAGTGGTAGTGACAAAATCGATTTATTAGGAGTTTGCTGTATTCCTCTTGACCCAGTTAGAGTTCAAATTGTCCTTCATAAGCTAACAACATCATTTTCCTTTTTTCTAACATTCTTGTGATTGCACTACCACTGAGCGAATCATGAATGGGTATTAGAATGATAATCCTTCATAAGCCTTACATTTGATATCAGGCCTTAAATCACTTCACAGGATCTACTGTAAAGTGGAATGACTGCGTGCTTTGTTGGATGAGCTCTACAGGATGTATCCCACACGTTATACTAATATATTTAACTTTGAAAAACAGGAGGTGAGGATAAGTTGGTTAAAGTCTGGGGATACGATGAAGGTGAAGTTACACATGTTGGAATAGGACACAGCGGGACTATCAATCGCCTTAAGATCTCTCCCGATATGATACACATCATCAGCGTTAGTACAGATGGAGCAATACTACGGTGGAAGTTCCCGCATCTGAAGAAGACCTGAGTTCTCAGTCATACACTGTTCTCTTCCTCTATTACTTTTATTTTATTTTAATGGTAAATATATTTTAAATGTCAGCTTTATATTCAGGAAATTGAACTCAGCACAAAGCCCTTCCTTCCTCTTACTTTTAAACTTTTTGAGAATTCTGCCTTGTAATATTGTCAGTAATGGATCTGAGGTTTAACAATATTGGACATTTTCTTTTTCTGTATAAAACAAGTGAAAAAATGAATGTATTTGCTTCGATTGATGCTCGTTTACTGCTACTTTAGAAGCTTAATTCTATGCATTTGCGTTCACGTTCTAATTTGATATTGCTTCCTGAGAACCCTGATCTATTTACTTCTGATGTTGCACAATCCACGGTTTACAATTGCATTGTAAGTTATAAAAAAAATAAACATTCAACTGATGTCTGAAGTGGAGAGATGATTTATCGGACAAACACGTGCATCTTGGAGATACCCACTTCTAACGTGGGATGAAATGTGATCTGACTTTGAAGAATGGTGTTTTATCAAAGAGAGAAAATAACTCATAAAAAGAACAGAGATACCCACGCCTATTAAAGTTAGATTATGGTGATGAGGTTAATTTCATCAGTACCCTCAATTTGGCTTGGCAAATGGTATGGTTTGAGAGTGACTTCTGGGGATTTAATATAACCTCGTCTTCTTGTTCCTTGTATATTGCTGAGTAGAACGGTTTCATGGATGGTTTAGGTTGTGTCAGCAGCTGGTCTTAATGCCTTTATATAGTCCATCATGGCATTTATTTTACATGCCATCTGAACTATACAGGAATCGCCACCAGAGGGTAAAATAAGCTCGCTCCTTTCCTTAATCAGGGGAATTCTGCCCAAATTTAGTTCCTGCTGAATCAGCCACAGTAGCAAATAACTTCTCAGTCCTTGGGGGGGAGGGTGGGTGGTGGGGAGAGAGAGATATTTATGATGATGTTGATGATGCAATGGAAGAATCCAGTTGGGAGACAATTATATTCTGACAATTATTGGAACTATTCTGACCGCACCCTCTCGCAACTCATGAATTTGCACTTTGCAAAATTTCAACAGCAAAAAAAAACTGGAGTCTGCAAAGACAGAGCAAGATAGACAGTGTGTCTGTGTGCCTTCTGATCCACCTGTATTGCCTGCGACCTGCATATTATTTTCGCCTACATGTGGACAGCTGTACACATTCTCGAACACACTCTCTGTGCATTGCCAGGTGCCAGGCAGTGTGAGGTGTTAGTGCCAGATAATAATAATAATAATCCTTGCATTTGATATAGCGCTTTTCATGTCGGGAGGACGTCACAAAGCGCTTCACAGAACACACTGTAAAGTGAATTGACTGTATATTTGTGGGCGAACGCGGCAGCCAATTGCGCACAGCAATGTCCCACAAACAGTCGTGGATTGAAAATGACCAATTTATTATTGTTTTGGGTTTTGGAGGGATTATTATTAGGCTCTGTGTGGAGTAAGGAAACTTGAAGGTTTTGCCCTCTGCCTGGAATTGAACTCAGGTCTCTCACTTGCAAAGCGAGTGCTCTAACCACTGAGCTACAGGACTCCACAGTCGCAGCAACTTGGTGGTTCTGTCTGCCTCGCAGCACAGACAGGTTTTAATGTCAATTTCTGGGGCTTCCCAATAATAATAATAATAATAATAATCCTTGCATTTGATATAGCGCTTTTCACGTCGGGAGGACGTCCCAAAGCGCTTCACAGAACACACTGTAAAGTGAACTGACTGTATATTTGTGGGCGAACGCGGCAACCAATTGCGCACAGCAATGTCCCACAAACAGCAGTAGATTGAAAATGACCAATTTATTATTGTTTTTGGAGGGACTGCAGTCATAGAATGAAGGCGGTTTACAAATAAACCCTAAGCACTTGTTCTGTTTATCCTTAAGGAAGTCTTAAAGACTTAAAACTACCTTGTTTAATTGATATTTAAAAAGTTAAAAGTCTGGGGTCTTGGGATGGTGAGAAGGGTTTGGGGGATTCGGGTCAGTTTTTGCAGACGTCTCGGCCCCTATATTTTTTTTTAAAAAAAACTATAATTAGCACAGGTGCAAATCCCAGAAAAATACAAGGCCATGACTCGTGAGCTTTTTTTTGAGATGCAGCCCTTTGAAATCTGGGAATCGCAAAACGTCCCAGTTTCGAGCACATGGTTTATCTGCGAACTCAGGCGATCACCGACTGTGAATAATAAATAAACACAGGGCGGCCAGTCTCCGGCAAAGCCACACAGCTGCGAGTTTACCTGTATGATTATTTGGCTGCGTGTGAGTCTGTGTGTGAGTGTCTACCTGTAAAACCAGATATATGTGTGTGTGTGTGGGACCTGTATAACTCTTTAGCTGCCTGTGTGTGTGTCTCTCTCTGTGTGTGTGTCTCTCTCTGTGTGTGTGTCTCTCTCTGTGTGTATGTCTCTCTCTGTGTGTGTGTCTCTCTCTGTGTGTATGTCTCTCTCTCTCTGTCTACCTGTAAGACTTGAGCTATCAGTCTCTCTCTCTCTCTCTCTGTGTCTGTCTGTCTGTGAGACTCTTTAGATGTCGGGGTGTCTCTGCCCTGTGCGCGCCTCTGTCTGTCTACCTGTGGGACTATTTGGCTGCATTGCGTGTTCGTCTCTCTCTCTCTGGTGTGAAATCGTCTGTGCAGTTATAACACTCTTTGGCCATCTGTGTGTGTTTGTCTACTGTTAAGAAGTTTAGCTCTGTGCGTGTGTCTCTCTCTGTACCTTGTGGGTGGGTGTCTCTCTCTGTACCTTGTGGGTGGGTGTGTCTCTCTCTGTACCTTGTGGGTGGGTGTGTCTCTCTCTGTACCTTGTGTGTGGGTGTCTCGCTCTCTGTACCTTGTGGGTGGGTGTCTCTCTCTCTGTACCTTGTGGGTGGGTGTCTCTCTCTCTGTACCTTGTGGGTGGGTGTCTCTCTCTCTGTACCTTGTGGGTGGGTGTCTCTCTCTGTACCTTGTGGGTGGGTGTCTCTCTCTGTACCTTGTGGGTGGGTGGGTGACTCTCTCTGTACCTTGTGGGTGGGTGTGTCTCTCTGTACCTTGTGGGTGGGTGTCTCTCTCTCTGTACCTTGTGGGTGTGTGTCTCTCTGTACCTTGTGGGTGGGTGTCTCTCTCTGTACCTTGTGGGTGGGTGTCTCTCTCTGTACCTTGTGGGTGGGTGTCTCTCTCTGTACCTTGTGGGTGGGTGTCTCTCTCTGTACCTTGTGGGTGGGTGTCTCTCTCTGTACCTTGTGGGTGGGTGTGTCTCTCTGTACCTTGTGGGTGGGTGTCTCTCTCTGTACCTTGTGGGTGTGTGTGTCTCTCTGTACCTTGTGGGTGTGTGTCTCTCTCTGTACCTTGTGGGTGTGTGTCTCTCTGTACCTTGTGGGTGGGTGTCTCTCTCTGTACCTTGTGGGTGTGTGGCTCTCTCTGTACCTTGTGGGTGGGTGTCTCTCTCTGTACCTTGTGGGTGGGTGGGTGGCTCTCTCTGTACCTTGTGGGTGGGTGTCTCTCTCTGTACCTTGTGGGTGGGTGTGTCTCTCTGTACTTGTGGGTGGGTGTGTCTCTCTGTACTTGTGGGTGGGTGTGTCTCTCTGTACCTTGTGGGTGTGTGTCTCTCTCTGTACCTTGTGGGTGTGTGTCTCTCTCTGTACCTTGTGGGTGGGTGTCTCTCTCTGTACCTTGTGGGTGTGTGGCTCTCTCTGTACCTTGTGGGTGGGTGTCTCTCTGTACCTTGTGGGTGTGTGGCTCTCTCTGTACCTTGTGGGTGTGTGGCTCTCTCTGTACCTTGTGGGTGGGTGTGTGTCTCGTTCTCTTCTGTACGTCTCTCTCTGTACTGAGTGCATCTCTGTGTCCACCTGTAAGACTTGTCGGAGCTCCTTCCCCCCTCTCTCTGTCTCTGTACCAGTCTCCGCTAAAGCGGGGCAGTGACTGGGCGGAGCGGCAGCCGGAGCGGGGGGGGGGGGGGCAGGTAACCGCGCACCTGCCCGCGAGCGAGAGAGAGAGGGAAGGAAGGAGAGAAGGAAGGAAGGAGAGAGGAGAAAGGGAAGGAGAGAGAAGGAAGGAAGGAGAGAGAGGAGAGAGAGGGAAGGAAGGAGAGAGGGAAGGAGAGAGGGAAGGAGCGGGAGAGGAGGGAAGGAAAGAGAAGAGAGAGAGGGAAGGAAAGAGAAGAGAGAGAGGGAAGGAGAGAGAAGAGAGAGGGAAGGAGAGAGAGGGAAGGAGAGAGGAGAGAGAGGGAAGGAGAGAGGAGAGAGAGGAAAGGAGAGAGGAGAGAGAGGAAAGGAGAGAGGAGAGAGAGGGAAGGAGAGAAGAGAGAGGGAAGGAGAGAGAAGAGAGGGAAGGAGAGAAGAGAGAGGGAAGGAGAGAAGAGAGAGGGAAGGAGAGAGAAGAGAGAGGGAAGGAGAGAAGAGAGAGGGAAGGAGCGAGAAGAGAGAGGGAAGGAGCGAGAAGAGAGAGGGAAGGAGAGAGAAGAGAGAGGGAAGGAGAGAAGAGAGAGGGAAGGAGCGAGAAGAGAGAGGGAAGGAGCGAGAAGAGAGAGGGAAGGAGAGAGAAGAGAGAGGGAAGGAGAGAGAAGAGAGAGGGAAGGAGCGAGAGAGAGGGAAGGAGAGAGAAGAGAGAGGGAAGGAGAGAGGAGAGAAGCTGCGATGGGCTGCAGGTGAGGTGTGAGAGAGAGAGCGAATGGCCGCCGCCGGTGCCGGTGCCGCCGCGGCTGCTGCTGCTGACGGCGGCGGCGGCGGAGGAGCCGCTGAGAGGCCGGAGCCGGAGCGGGACTCGGTGCCCGGTCGGCGGGGGAAGCGGGGCTCCCGCCGGGGTCACCGGGCCAGGCGGTCCCTCCGCTCGCTCGGCGCCTTCGTGAGGAACGTGTTGAAAAGTTTACTGACTTTGGCGCCGTTGGCGGGCGATCGGCGGAGCGGCGGCGGCGGCGAGGAGGAGGAGGAGGAGGAAGAGGGGGGCGATGAAGGTGAGCGCGGACAGAGAGACGACGACGGCGGCTTCAGGGAGTCGGACGTAAAGGACGTAAAGAAGAAGAAGACGACGACGACGTCGCCGCCGCCGTTGGGAAGTGGCGGGAAAAACCCGGAGCTCGAGCCGCCGCCGCCGCCATCATGGCCGCTGCCCCGCGGCTCCGGCCTACCGACCCCCGGGGCCCTGGGCTTGAAGAACCACGGCAACACCTGCTTCATGAACGCCGTGCTGCAGTGCCTGAGCAACACCGAGCTGCTGGCCGAGTACCTGGGCTTGGAGCAGTTCCGGGCGGCCACCGGGGGGACCGCCGGGGCCTCCCGGGACCGGGACCGGGACCCGCCGCCTCCCGCCCCCGAGGTGACGGCGCTGCTGGCGGCCCTGGTCCGGGCGCTCTGGACCCGCGACTACACGCCGCAGCTCTCCGTCCGCTTCAAGGTCAATCAATCAATCAATCAATTAATCTATCAATTAATCAATCAATCAATGCAATCGATTGTAATTAATTAAAGTCTCTCCCCCCCCCCCCCCACCGTCCCCAGCACCGATCCTCAGGGTGAAGGGTCTCCTCCCTCCATCCTCCCCCCCCCCCCCCCCTCCCTCTCCTCCCCCCTCCCTCTCCTCCCCCCCCCTCTCTCCCCCCCCTCCCTCCCTCCTCTTCACTAACCCCTAATTCCTCCAAAAATCCCCCCCTCCCCAAAACAATAAGAATAATTTGATCACTTCAATGCACCACTGTTTACCCGACGCTGCTGTGCGCAGTTCAATTGTCTGCAGCCATTTGGCCCACACAAATATACAGTCACTACACTTTACGGTCTATTCTGCGAAGCGCTTTGAGGCGTCTCGAAGACGTGATAAGGCGCTATATCGAATGCCAGGATTATTGCCTCCCCTTCTGTCCCTCCTTTTCCATCCTCCTTTCCCCCTCCCTCCTCCTCTTCCCCTTTTTTTCTCCTCTTCTTCGCCACGTTCCCCCTGGTTTTGCCTCTTCCCCGTCCCCCCTCCTCTTCACCGGCCCCCTCCTCTTCCCCGTCCCCCCTCCTCTTCCCCGGCCCCCTCCTCTTCCCCGGCCCCCCTCCTCTTCCCCGTCCCCCCTCCTCTTCCCCTGCCCGATCACTGGACCAGAACTCTGGCCCCTTTGTGGTGGGTTTAACTTTTCCATTAAATCCCCCCCCTGTGCGTAGGTACGGTTCTGTTTTTTTTGGAAAAAAAAGAGATTTATCGGTATGAAAGTGGCTGGACTGCTCGTGTCGGACTTTGACCCAATCTGTGAGCAATGCACTCGGCTCAGGGTCAGGGCAGAGTCGGGACAACTCCCCCTGGACTAGGTTTGGGTCATGTTTCAGCCGCTCAGCTGGGAACATTTAACGCAGTCTGACCTGTGTTATTGTCAATCCTGTAATTATAATCCTTGCATTTGACACAGCGCCTTATCACATCTTCGAGACGTCTCAAAGTGCTTCGCAGAATAGACCGTAAAGTGTAGTGACTGCATATTTTGTGGGCGAAAAGTGTAACAACAGGAACTTGGACTCCTGAGGCATGTAGCGCCTCAGGAGCGCTTCGATCGTAACATGTGCTTCATCTGTTTTTGCTGCCTTTACTTTGACCAGCTTGGCCTATTTATATTCACTCTTGTCTGCAGTGAGGGGGGGGGTTGTGTAAACCGATTCCACATGGTTAACACGTGTTTTTTTTGGGGTGGGGGGAGGAAATATACAAGTTCGAGAATTTGTGCCGGGTTCGTCTACTTTCAAATCGTGTAGATATTTTATATTTACCAAGCGTTGCCATACCTTACTGTTATAATAATTCTGCTATAATCCTGGCATTTAATACAGAGCTTTGTCACGTCTTCGAGTCGTCTCAAAGCGTTTCACAGAATATACTGTAAAGTGACTTGACTGTGTATTTTGTGGGCGAAACACGGCAGCCAATTGCACACAGTAGTGTCCCACAAACAGTCGTGGATTGAAGTGACCAATTTATTATTGTTATTTTTTCTTGAGAGATTATTATTAGACATGTGGAGTAAAGAAACTTGCCCAAGGTTTTGCCCTGCTGGGAATCAAACCCAAGCTTCTCTCTTGCGAGGCGATTGCTCTAACCACTGAGCTACTGTTGCCATCATTAGACAAGTTAAACTTGTTTTATGTCTGAGGTGTGGAGAATTCCTGGAACCGACAGACAAATGTTGCAATGAGTGACTGTCACTCATCTAAAGTGGGAGCTGTTTGACAGATGACTGGGGTAAATTGACCACGAGAGATCAAAAGGCATTTCTCTTCCATTTTCACTGTGATACGTATGGGCTTTCGTGTTTTTGAACTTGTCATAAATTATCTTGTAAATCTTGCCTTAATCCCTCGCCTCTGATCGTATCACAGCAACAGGTGATTTTTTTACATGAATCGTGAGTTCAATATTTGAATACAGTATTCATTGTTCAATGTTTTCCCCTTAATTTGAGAGGCCTTTGATACTTTTAAATGTGGGAAGTCTTCTATGCGGACAGGAGTCAGTGAGGTATCTGCATTTTAGTCTGCCATGGTCATTGCAAAAGTCTGTGTACAACAAACACACACCTCTCAGCGTTTCACATTGAAAGTACTCAACAGTTTTTTTTCTGCAACTAATTTAATATGTTACAGTCATGAAGAATAAAAGGGACAAAAGCCAGAGAAAGTAATATCTATACATGTGTTTTTAAAGTCTATTTATAAAATATGGGTAAATTGTGTCTCCTTTTATCTTTCTGGGTTGACTTTGTTTTGATTACATTGTGTTTTGAAGCAGGCTAATAAACCTCTCCCTGTCACTTCCTCACTGGAGCACCAGACCTGGCAGTCAGCTCAGTATATTTTTGGGACCATTTGGTCATGTGTGGTAATCCAGCGCTTCAATTCATTCTGAAATTGACAGCCTTAGCAATGTAACTGCAGGAAACTAATTAAAAGGCCTTAAAATTTACAGCATTTGTAATTATATAAACAATAGGAGTAAATGAATCCTGAAGTAATTAGGAGCTATAATGTTGTATGTCAGGGGTTTATGTGGGTTTGGTTAGAGACCATGTTTAAATTTAATGATGTAGTTTAATGCATTGTATTAATAAAACTGCATCCGATATAATGCCTGAAGCTACAGAAGTACCTGCTGTCAGGCAGCGTTACTGTGAATGTATAGACCGTCATGGTAACCAAAATTTTCCACTGCAAGGTTCTGCAAACAGTGAATAATTTGGAAGGTATTTGACCAGGGAAATCTTTTTGATCAGTTCATGAAATTCTTAAAGTCCTTGATCTTGCAGAGGAGATCTGAAAATGCAGTGTTCTTTGGTAGTCATTAATAGCTAATGTTGTAGTAATAATAATATAACATCAATAGCTGACGTTGTAGTAATAATAATATAACATCAATAGCTGACATTGTAGTAATAATAATATAACATTAATAGCTGATGTTGTAATAATAATAATATAACATCAATAACTGATGTTGGGGTTGAATCCACATCGTTCTGACTCTGAGGCAAGAGTGTTACCAACTAAGCCAAGTTGGTGCCTATTAAATGTCAAACCTCACTATTGTGCATTGTTTCATGAGAAATGTTGGTAGGGAGTTCATTAAATGTACCAGGTGAAACTTTGTAATAATAATCTAATGAGGAGTCTAATAACCTTCAAAATCCTGCGCCTCACCTTCAAAGCCCTCAATGGCCTTACTCCTCCCTACCTCTGTGACCTCCTAATCCCTTCGCAACCTGTCCGCTCAGTGGGCTCCGGCATGCTTCATGTTCCTCAACTTGCCCACCCCACCATTGACGGGCGGGCCTTCAGCCTCTCTACCTCCACCCTCCACCTCGCCCCCTCCCTTGCCTCTTTCAAGACCTGTCTCATGACCCTCTTCTTCAACCGTGCCTTCGGTCACCCTCCTACCTCTACCCTCCCCGCCCTCCACCCCTCCTGATCCCAACCACCAGCTTGGGTGCGCATCACTGACTGTCAGCGGCTTGGGATGCCCTCCCGACGTGAAAGGCACTATACAAATGTAATTTGTTGTTGTTGTTCTGTGTTCTGTGGGCTGAGTGTGTAAAATGGGTACACAATAATTATAATTCAAAATGCTTGTCTTATTTCAGAATATAGTAGCAAAATACGGATCCCAATTCCGTGGGAATTCTCAGCATGACGCTCTGGAGTTCCTCCTCTGGCTACTGGACAGAGTTCACGAAGACCTCAACTCTTCACCCAACAAAAGGTCGAGGCCTAATGCGAAGGTGAATTTAGGGTAGCTTCTGTGTTCCTTTACATTTTGTGTTCTCTTGCAGCCGTATAGTGGTTTGCTCAATCGCACACTCCCACTCACTTGCCAATGTAATGCTGTGTTTTTCTAAATGCAGTATTTTATTTAATACTCTGGTTACTTCTGTGCATGTTTGGTCGCCTGCACACTTGCGGGCACTTACTTCAACATGCACACTTACGCACAAACGCAGACACAAGCACATACCATACATACACACTTGTACACAAATTTACTTGGTAACAGTAAAAAAGAGGGTACCTGCACATTCATGAATGAGAAGAATTCGATTAAGTTGTGACATAATAGTCTTGCCACCAAAACGCACACATTACTCAGGCGTTCCTGGGGAGTAACGGAAACAGCTTGTTGTAATCTGTAACTGGCAAGTTTTGAATAACATTGATCTGTAAATGTTGGTGATTCACACAGTTAATATTGTTTTGAATAATCATAGCTGCTATAATTGTTTGCACAGTCAGATACTACAGCGACGTGTTAACTACTCTTTAGACATAAAGACTCTGGGTGATGGTTTTGAAGCAAATTCTGAAAAGCTCATTCACAGCTGCCCAGGGGAATATGTCTGTGACTGTCTTTCCAGTGACAGTGAAATGAGTACTTGTACCAAAAGCATTTTCAGTAAGTGGAGTATGGGAAGTTAAGATACTCTTTTGTATCACTGCAAGATCAGAATGCAGCTTCCAGGCTTCCTGACGTCTTGTTCCTTGTGGTTCTAACAGGTAAAGCTTTAAATAGGAGTTGTCAGGTTTGTAATCCCTCCAGGGAACCCAGCTCTCATTTGTGGTGTGTGTCTTATGTAGCAGGAAACAGGGTGGTTTGAAAATTGTGCAATAAGTGGCTCGGCTCTGCTGCTGAAATCGAGAAGCACTTTTGAGATTCGGCCTTGCGTGGAAAGCCTTCGGCAGCAGTTTAGGTGCCCAACACAGTGCAGTGCTGTTAGTTATTAGGATACATTCCCCTTAATATAGAGGTGGTGAGGACTGCTTACTGTGACCGCAGAATGCATCACCATGAAGAGCTGTAATATATAATTGTATCTGCTTGCTCCTGGTAATTTAACCCATCAGTTCATGGCTGGTTGTGAATGAGCAAATAGAGACTTGGGACCCTTATGGAAGGTTTTCCCTGACAGATAGAGTGTGAGGCTGGGAGGAAGCGAGGGATGGATGAGATAGGGGAGGTAGAGAGTGTGGGAATTGCAGGTGTTTGGATGATGAAAGAAATTGGGGAAGGGTTTTATTTGAGAAAGGGATTGGGAACAGACGAGGAGCATTTCTTTGTGTTAACCTTAATTACATCTTTTCAGCCTTCCTGTGTTGGGGATGAAAATACCATGGGAATCCAGCAACCTGCACAGCAGACAGGCAATCAGAGCTTTGTCCAAGAACTTTTTCAAGCCCAGTACAGGTACTGCTTCAACTTCCACGCTTGGAATTGTCGGTTTATTATTTATTTATTATTGATCAATTTCTTTACTTTTTTTATTATTTACCAATTGCTGTGTGCAATTGGCTGCTGCATTTCGTCCATAAAATACAGCCGATTCACTTCACAGTATATTCTTTGAAGCTCATTGAGACTATAGTACACAGGTAGTTCGAGACTGCTAGGAAGGTGGAAGGCGAACTAGATGGACTTCTAGCATTTCTTGTGTTCTTATGTCTCAATAGCGTGATAAGGCACTATAGGAAATACAAGTATTATTATTATAATACTTATTGATTGAGGCCTTGTCAGCCTCCACAGTAATGTATACGGGGGTCTGTAACAGCATCCTGTGTCTGGCGACTTCTCCCTGTGGCTGTTGACAATAGTGTTGTGGTACTTTACAAGCCTTGTGGGGAAAGAGCAGGGGAGTGGGACTAGTTGGTACCTCTTTCAAAGGTAGCAAGGGAAATGAAATAGTAATAATCGTTACATTTGATGCAGCGCCTCTCACATCGGGACAATGTCCCCAAAATGCTTCACAGGATATACTGTAAAGTGCAGTGACTATGTGTTTTGTGGGTGAACGTGGCAAACTATTTACAAACAGAAATGTCCCATGAAGTAAACTCTCTCCAATAGTAAAATGTTTAATGGAGGAGAGAGACCTTGAAGGGCAGGTGGTACAGATTTTCGGAGGTAGATAAGTCCATTTATATAAAAAAAGGAATTGGATTCCTAGGTTTTATATGTAGAAGTGTGGTAAACAGTTAATATTGAATTTGCATGACCTAGGCTAGTTATTGGTTGAAGCATTTTTCTCCTTCTCATCACTGCCGTTCTTGGGAGAGTTGACATATATCTGAGAACTTAACAGTGTTGCAACTGCCGTTGTAGACTTTCAACATAAAACATGAAAGATTTGAAATGAAAGCTGCTGTTTGTGTGAGTAATTGCACACGCTCTCTCACTGGTAATGCCTTTCCTGCCGCAAAATATTAAATAGAATCCTGTTCTGTTCAGTCACATTCTCAAAATGGGTGAAGCCTGATTTTGGAAATCATTAAACATGAAGCTTCGCAGCTCAGGTGTCTCATGTTTCAAGTTAGAATTTTTTTTCCCTCCAACAACAAACAGACCTCAGTCTCAAATGAATAGTTTTGTTCAGGAGCTGAGTATCAATGGCTGCGGTTGATTTTAAAACCCTCCCTATTTGTTGAGATAGGAGAGTAGGATTAGATTACATCTCTCACAGGAAGAAAAACATTCAATGATTCTATGAAGTTTGCATGAAGGAATGACCCACACATGATGCATTGGGGAACACAGTATATATAATTTGGGTTCAGGATAAAATCTGTAAGTAGTGGGACGTAGGTAGAGATGTTTCCCAGGGAATGCGGGTTAGCTTGCCATGTTCCTATGTGCAGTAAAGCTTCTGCACAGCAGTATCCTACCACAGCTATGAAACAAATGTCTGTGGATTGGGGGGAAGGCGGTTGGTCTGTACTGTGAAGTACATGCACACATACACGCACACACCCTCTGTTTTGTACCTGATCACAGTAATGATTCAGTGAAATTTTTAAATTTGGGTTCAATTCCAGGCAGAGCGAAAGTTTCCTTACTCCACACGTCCAATAATAATAATCCCTCCAAAACAAAACAATAATAAATTGGTCATGTTCAATCCATGACTGTTTGTGGGACACTGCTGTGCGCGATTGGCTGCCACGTTTCGCCCACAAATAGTCAATTCACTTTACAGCATATTCTGTGAAGCGCTTTGAGACGTCTAGAAGACGTGAAAAGCGCTATATCAAATGCAAGGATTATTATTATAATTTTTCCTATTAAATTTTATTTTTAGCTTTCCTCGTTCAGATTCACTATCTATCTCGGCTGACAAGAGTCTTCCTTCCCTCTTTCCCTATTTTCTTGCACATTGCATAAGGTGTAGAAGCAGTGTGACATTGCGGGAAATTGAAACTCCTGCAGTTTGTCTGGTAATTACTGAGCTGGTCATCGAGCAGCAGATTATTTGTGGTGTTTCATGTGGTGTCTGTAGATGTTGCGTCAGATACCAGGAGACTGTGGGGATACAAACTATAAGGAAATTCTCTTGAGGTCCTCTCATATCACGACTTTTCAGATCCAAATCTTGGCTTTTCAGAGCGAGATCAATCATCTGATGCCATGCCGGTAATTTGTTTCGAACGCTTCGATCATTGTGTTCACTAAACAGAGTTAATGAGCTGTAATTCTCTGAGCATTTCTATATTGATGATACTAAACGTGGCTTGGAATCAATGTGTGTTAAGTCTGTTAAAGAATAGACTGAGTTTGGAGGCCACAGCTCCAGAGAGATTCATGAGGTGCAAAGTCCATCCACCTGGACAGGTTCCTGTATATTAGTAGAACTATGTCAGCCGTAACCTCTGACTCTTCAACCTTTTAACCTCAGCAACTGGTAGCTTTGATTTGCTGCTGTTTTTCTTGGAGTCGGAGGCAGTTGGCAGACAAGCACATTGTGGCACTTTTGCAGGACATGTATTGAAGATATGATAAGGTGCTATAATCAAATGCAAGGATTATTATTATTATTGACACCCAGACCTTCTATAGTCTGTCAGTGATCAGCCATCTGACACGTGCGTTTATATAAGGAAATCTCCTCTCCCACTTGTGTAATGGTACACTCCGGTGCACGGCTGTACCTTGTCATATTATTCCACCATGTTTTAGTCCCACGAATCGCTCCTGGTTCCTTCAGCCCCATGCATCCATGCATGGCTCCACTATATTGCAGTCCCATGCAAGTGGCAAGTGCAGCAAATGAAAGGCTTCAGTGTCATTTGATGATGTGATTTGAGTTGTTGAACTCTTGATTGAAAGCAGGTTGTTACGGCTGCCACCACCTTCACAACAGATTTACAGTCTGCTTCCTGTCAGTGCCAATCCCCAGGAAAGGTTCAGAGTAAGGGAGATCACAGGCCAACTCCGTTTCCTCCCCAATATGCGAGCTACGCCAGACTCTGCTCCATGCTGAGGTCGGGCTATGCAGAAGCTGTTTCAGGGAATGAATGATTTGAATTGGGAATGTTATTTGGAAGAGAATTTTATGCGGTTTTATGTAATTCCCTGGTGAATTTGCTGACCATCTGTGCTCACCGCCTTGCTGGATCATCTATTTCATGGCTCTATTTGTAAATAATTAAATGTTCCTTTTACCCAATATGAGGAATGTGGGAGAAAGGATTTAAGGATATTTGCCAAATATTGAAATGCTGTGTAACTAAAGTAAATCATTACATAAGTGGAATTTTGTAGTTTAGCTCATAACAGTATCATTGTTCTGAACAATAAAAGCAATGATGTTTTGTGGCATATGTGTTGCCCTTTTCCTACTTAAACTGCCCAGGAGGTAGGAACAGATTATTAGTTACGACTGATTGGTGTCTAGTACTGTATAGGAAAAGAGTACAGCCTGCAGAGTTTTGGATAATCTAGAGTTTATGAAGGGTCAAGTCAGGAAGGCTCAATGATAAAGTACATTTAACACTGGAGTGACTCAGTATTTTAAAATGTCAATTGCAAACCACAGGACAACAACAACTTGCATTTATAGAGTACCCTTCACGCTGAATGACGTCTCAGAGCACTTTCACATGATTTCACACTCTTGATATCGACATTTTAAAAACTCCCCTGGGTTGGTTGCCTGAAACCAAAATGGTGGCTGACTCTCTCAGCCAGTCCCTTCACAGACCATGAGCAGTGTTACTGCATTCCCCACATTCCTATGGAACTTCTTGTTCCAGTTCTGCTCGGGTTGACTGTCCTCGGAGCTTACACTGGGCTCCCTGTTCCCCTGGTGGCTTGAGTGGTCAAAGCACAATCAAGTGTTGAACTGAGTTAGACAGATAAGCCAAGGCACCAGGTTAGATTCCTGGTATGCACCGAGTAACTGATCTCAGGTTGGTTCTCTTTAGTATTCCTGGAATAGGGAGCGCAATCAGCCAGCATCCCCACCCCTGATCACGACCCAGCAACTCTAGAATATTTATTCTGGAATTAGTGTCCAGCCCTGCAGAGCAGTTAGGGCCAGAATCTCTCTCGGCTGGTTCCTCTCCAGCCCCCCCAACGCCCCCAGATACACACACGCTTGCTTCGTGCTTGAGATCAACCAACCTAACACAGTGTGCGGATCAGAGGTTCCGACTATTTCACTGGAGAATGTGCAAGCAACTGAAACCCTTCACTGCACTGAGTTGTGAGGGAATCTTTCATTCATTTCTGGTTTCTTAAAATCAAAGCTGTATTTTACATTTCTCTTGCCATCGTTAGGATTGTTGCCAGATCCAGTAGCTGTGGCAACAGGATGGCTTTCAATGTCAATTGGAAATCACAGAAGACTTCACATGATCTGTCACTGTGCAGTTGTACTCAGTGTGCAGTGTAATTGCATTCAGCATTGTGTCACCCTGTAGCTACAGCAACTGTGCATATGGAGAGTGCAATCTGATGCTGTTTATGTAATTGTTAAAGAGCTGTTGACTACTTTGTGCCTGTTTCTCATTGACTATTTGTGATTCTCTCCACTAGGTCATCCTTAACTTGTCCTCACTGCCTTAAACAAAGCAACACATTTGATCCCTTCCTGTGTCTCACCCTGCCCATCCCTCCTCGGCAGACCAGGTATGTTGATCTTGTTAGTTTATTTACTTATATTTTAGCTTACGTAAGATCTTATTACTCTGCCGCTGGAATACTGGAACCAGAGAAACATCATGAGGTGGTGCGCACTGGGGGTTCAGCAAAGTTACGTAAAGATGTTTCAGTTTTCATCCTCCCACTTGGGTTACCAAATGGTATGTAATAACACCTATATTATATATATAATAATATATAATAATATAGGTGCATTCCATCTCAACGTGATCATCGCTGAAGTAATTTCTCTTAAGGCGTTTTGCATTGTGCCTGGAAGAGCGGAGACAAGCTGAAAATGGTTCCACGTTAACGTTAAATTCGGAGCCACTGTGTAAAAGCAATGTAATTTGACACTGTACAGCACAAACCCACATTCTTCCCATCCCACAGTCCAGCACCTGCCAGAATGCAATAAATCTGTGCTGTTTGCAAGGGAGGCGCTGACCTTTCTGTAGGAAGGACATTTCTGCAAAATATTTCACCTCAGAGACTATGACTCTCTTGTGGCCCAGTATCTCCCCCCCCCCCCCCCCCTTATTCTTAATAACGATAATCCTTGTATCTGATAAATGCCTTTTCTCACATTGAGAAGGCTTCTTAAAGCTCTTCACAGAGTTTACTGTAGATTGCAGTGACTGTATCTTTTAGATGAATTCCGCAGGCCAATTTGCACGCAGTGAATGAGCCATTTTATTTGGGGAAAGTTGTGCCGTGGAACAAAATCTTGTGCTTATACAGTGGACTTCACATAGTCCCCACCCTTCTACGCACAATTCCCTCAGCACACCAGTACTCTGAGAGTCTCACTCTCACTATGCTGTATAATTCTATGATTCTGATTCTATGATACAGCACTAGGCTCGATGGGCTGAATGGCCTCCTTCTGTTCCAATGCTCCCAGAAACCCATCAGAAATCAGTAAGTGCAGAATAACATTACCCCAAGGCAAATACTAGGAGTGAGAGGATATAAAAGCTCAACATCTCATTACTAAACCAACTTGCTTTCAACACAGAGTATTGGTGCTGAGGGAATTGTGTGTAGAAGGGTGGGGACTATGTGAAATCCACTGTATAAGCATACGATTTTGTTCCACTAAACTGCTTAGTTTTTTCAGCATCTGATCATTCACATGCTGCAGTTCAAATGCTCAGGATTAATACAGGATATCTAATCTGCTGTCTGCGCAATGAATCATTCACTGGGGACACTGTGTGAGAGATCGTTGGTTTAGCAATGAGATGGTTGAGTGTTTATGTCCTCTCACTCTCACTGTTAGTATTTGCCTTGTGGTAACATTGTACTGTACTTACTATTGCTAATGGGTTTCGACAACAACAAAAAATTACATTTGTATAGTGCCTTTCACGCCAGGAGGACGTCCCAAGGTGCTGGACAATCAAGCGTTTCAGACCCGAGCTGGGGGTCGGGATTGGGGAGGGTGAAGGGGTGGGGGGAAGCAGGGTGATCGAAAGCACAGTCGAAGAGGAGGGTCTTGAGATGGGTCTTGAAGGAGGCAAGGGAGGGGGGCGACGCGGAGGGATTGCGGGATGGAATTCCAGAGGGTGGTGGCAGAAGGCCCGCCCGCCAATGGTGGGGCGGGCAAGGCGGGGGACGTGAAGCAGGCCAGAGCCCGCTGAGCAGAGGGAGTGGGCAGGATGGTAGGGGGTTAGGGGAGGTTGCAGATGTAGGGGGGAGTAAGACAATGGAGGGCTTTGAAGGTGAGGACCAGGATCTTGAATTGTATCTGTGTGATGGAAAGCCAGTGGAGTCAGGCGAGGATTGAGATGATAGGGTTACGGAGCCTGGTGGCTGCTGTTTCCTTGTATCCCCTTAATCCCCTTCCTTCCCAAATACCTATCACTCCTGAACATCGCACTTGATTCTGCTTTTACAGACTTCTGGGGGAGCTGGGGGTGTATTTCACACACTCACAGATGTGGGAAGAAATGTTATTTCTGATCTCACCATCTGATGTATGCGGACAGGAGGAAGGGGCGTGTGGGCGAGGGTACTGGTGTGCGGAGGCGGAGGATGCGCTGAGGGAATTGTGTGTGAAAGGGTGGTGGAGAGGGCAAAGTGTGGTGTGTGAATGTGTGTGGGGGGAAGGATGTGTGGAAAGGGGATGGAGTGGTGGATTTGCGGTGACTGGAATGTTTGATTATCATGACATTTTAGACGCGCCAAGCTTGCCAGAAAAACACTTCAACACAAACTCCTGGTGCAGAATACCAGTCCTTCCAGTTATTGTATAATAGGGGCAAGTCAGCCAGTCACTCCACATTCCATATCATCACCACCCTCAAAACATTGATGCTCGTAATCCTGCTGTAAGCAGGGATCGGATCGGAGCGAGCAACAATACAGACACAACAGGCAAAGAGCAGGACATGATGGGTGAAAGAGCAGGGGAATTGGATTAGAGTAGATAGCTCAGTTGATCAGTTGTTCCGTATTACGAAGCAATATGTAAACGTGGGCACGTGTGAGGAAGTGAACACTCAAGTGTGTGTGTGAGGTTGTCTGTGTGTGTGGGGGGGGGTGTGAGTATGTGAGAGTGAGTGAGAGAGACACCTCCAGTTCTGTGTCAGCCTCCAGCTTCCTGAGCTCAGACCTCTGTTGGTTTGTTCTTTGCAGGAGATGAAGGGTGGCAGGAGGCACTGAATAGGCAATGTTAGCTCGAGTCCCCTTCCTGTAAGGAGTGGCTCTTACATAAATGGGGCAAACACATTTAATCTGAAAAACCTGCAATCATGTCAGGGTTTGTGAAGGTCCCAGTCCCACAGTGGTGACTCCCGGCAGCGAGTTGTTCAATAAAAGGGACGTCCTCCCGAAATGAAAGGTGCTATACAAATGTAATTTTGTATTGTATTGTAAAAGGGACATTTCTTGAAGAAAAAGTAGCCATCTAAAGTCCTGGAGTGAAAATCACATTCTAAAGCGTGCTGCATTGTGAGCAGTTTAATCTGTGTCATTCCCACACTGTATTTGTACATCAGAAACTAGCCGCCAAATTACAATGTATTTATGCACCTGTATTCAGCGCGAGGAGATCAAAACCAAGCTTACAAGTGTCAGATCCGCAGGGCAATTGTAGCAGATGTGACGGGTTTGGGACCAGCCGATTGTGTCAGTCACCAAATATTCTGCTGGGCCTGTGGAACATGGTTATTTTTAGTCTTAAACGTGTGGTCCTCTGAAGGCAAGTTCTCGTTTCTAAGTCATGAAAAGGCAGTGAAGGAATTCCAGCTTTAAAGAATCCTCTAGAGAGCCTTCCATTTCCAAACCTCTCCTTTAATGAGATGAGTTAAAACATGTTGTATAAACAGTTCCCTTTAATTATCCAATCACTTATCTCTGCCACATTCTCCTCCAACCCTGTTTTCATGTACCTTCAGCTCATCTGAATCCAGGCTATTGCTTATTCCTACGTCAAAGCAGACATTTGCAGCACCAAAAGTGGACTTTTAAAATCCTGCGGTTCTGTGATAAGCGAGACAAGGGAGTTGGTTTCTCCTAATGTCCAGACCAATGGTCCCCCAGATAAAATCGGTCATTCACTTCATGGCTGTTTGTGTGTATTGCTGTGTGCAAATTGGCTGCCGCTTTCGTCTACAAATGCACAGTTGCCACCTTTCGCAGTGAAGTCCCGTGAAGCACCTTGAGACATTTCAATGATGTCGTAAGGTGATCTATAAAATGCAACGATTATTATTAATATTCAATAATTTAATTCAAAATCTATTTGTGTTAACGGTGGAAATGAGATCGTCAGGATGCTTTTCTTTAGCGATTTCCATTAAGCTTGGTTAATATCTCCTCCCTCTCCTTCTTGACCTACATAAGTTTCGAAGTTGTCTGTATGATTAAGTGATAACTTTCTACATAGGGAACTTATAGATTACACTAGTCTCTAGACAGCGACTATAAAAGGAGAGGAACAGTTATATCAGTAAAACACAATTTAGCAGAGATGTGTTCAACTGGCAGTGGGATTTTTGACTCTGTAACGGTAATCTTGATCCAGTCTCAATCCTGCCCTCACCTGACATCCACACACTGTAACTTCCAGCAGGGGATCTCTGGATAGGAGCACTGTTATGGCAGACTAATTTGTCACTAAATCAAATTATCCTGAGGTAGCTTTTTTCAAGAGCAAGAAATTTTATTGGGAGAAAATTGCATTTGCAAAATTATTAGTCATAAAACTGCTTCACTGGATGAGATTTTCAGCCATTTATTAAAAAAAATTCAGAACAGACTGCAGTGCTCTGTCCCACATGAACTGAGCTTCTTAACTACATTTCTGTTTGTGCTCCCGTGAGGCGGAAAAGCAACAAAATGTGACTTGAATTTCACTGACTATAACTGTTCCCTTTTATATAGTAGCTGCCTGGAGATTGGTCACAACCTCTGGAGTCTTCTTGTTAATCTCAGCCACCAGCAGTAACAACTGTGAAAGTTTGGAGTATTGCCTTATAAACCCCCTTGTCAATCTACTGCAGTCTGAACAGGAAAGAGCAGATTAAAACTCAAGTGTCACTTTCATTTCCCAAATGCACTTTCCTACCAGTTGTAATTCTCACCCCTCTCTCTAATTGCTCCGTCTATCTATGTGACTATGTTGTAAGAAGGTTCATTTCGATATGAATATTTCATGCATCGTGAGCTATTATGGTAAATGGCCTGACCAACAATCTCACAGGTAAAACTGATCATTCACTTCACGGCTGTTTGCGGACTGTTGCCGTGTGCAAATTGCCTGCCGCATTTGCCGGCAAACACACAACCACTTGACTTTAAAGTAAATCCTGTAAAACACTTTGAGACATTTTGACCACGTAAAGCGCTCTATTAAATACACAGAACATTATTAAATTGTCAGGTCCATTTTCAGATGCTTTGTTTGCTGCATTCGTATGTTCAGGCCATGAACATGTTCTGTGTACTACATTGCATGTGACATCGCAGTGCGTGTGTAACTGGGATGTAGAACACAGAAATTAGATTTAATTGTAAATTTTAAGAACCAAAGACTTCCCTCCGTTGAATATTAGAATTACACAGTTATCTTGCAGTCTATCTGGTTCCAAATAGACTGAGGTAATAATAAATAGTAATTTAGACCTTATATTTGATTTAGCATCTTTCATGCGGGGTGTGGGGGGTGACTCAAAGTATTTCACAGGATTTACAATAAAGTGTAGGTGTCAGCCTGGTTGAATTGTTAGTGCCTTATGGGTTCAAGCCCCCTAGTCAGGGCTTGGAGTTCACAGTTCAGTTGACTTTCCAGTGCAGTACTGGTAAAGGTACACAGATTGGAAGAACCAAGGGTGATGCTGTCTTGACAGACACCAGCCATTGCCTTAAGATACAAATTCTTGAGATGTGGAAATAGCATGCGACTCTTTGCTAGCCACAGCATAGCAAGCACACACTGCTCAATGCTTTGACATGCTTCTCGGCATCCAGGTTACTCTCCTGAAAGAGGGTAGACGTGGTGTGGGTTTGAATGAACAGTGAACCCAAGTGTAGGCAGGAGAGTAGCTCTTATCTTTATGTGGAGTCCTGTAGCTCAGTGGTTAGAGCACTCGCTTTGCAAGTGAGAGACCTGAGTTCAATTCCAGGCAGAGGGCGAAACCTTGGGCAAGTTTCCTTACTCCACACAGAGCCTAACAATAATCCCTCCAAGACCCAAAACAATAATAAATTGGTCATTTTCAATCTACGACTGTTTGTGGGACATTGCTGTGTGCAATTGGCTGCCGCGTTCGCCCACAAATATATAGTCAATTCACTTTACAGTGTGTTCTGTGAAGCGCATTGGGACGTCCTCCCAACGTGAAAAGCGCTATATCAAATGCAAGGATTATTATTATTATTATCAAGCTCTCCTCCTTGGGGAGCTCCCTGCTTCATGGTACCTAGGGCTGTGTCAATCCTCTCCTGCTCCTCTTTTACTTCCTCCTCTCCTCCCATCTCCCTTTCTCCTTTTTCTCATCTCTCTTTTCTCATCTCTCTTTTCCTACCTCACTTCTTTCCTCCACCACAGTCCCTCTGCCTCTCTTCACCATGCTAACATTATTTGTGTTTGCTTCCAGGGCCCTGAGTGTAACCTTGGTTCTGCAGCCGAAGAATCTGCGATATTTACGGACAGGGTTTGCTGTGCCGCTCCTGGGAACAGTGGCTGATCTCCGGGAGCTGGTGGCACAGGAAGGGAAGATCCCTGCAGGCGAGGTACGGAGAAACAGCCCAGGTCGGCAGTGAACAAAGGAACGCGTTAGTTAGTGCTCGTTCATCGTGACGATCTTGCTATTCTAAAGAGAATAAGAATGTAGATTCATCATCTTAATGCAACAAAAAAAAATCCTCGTCTGGAATCAGACTTTGGATATGAGCAGCTGTGATTTTACTGCACTAATTGTGCTAGTCAGTGAATGACGCTGCCAGTGTGTGCTGAGCAGGTGGGTAGTGTGGTGCGTTGCGGGGGTGAGAAACAACAACAACTTACACTTCTATAACAGTGGCAGAGCCGGGGCGTGTGGGGGGTTTGCGGCAGAGCAGAGTGAAGCGGGGGAGGAAGAGGACAGTGAGGCTGGACAGTGCTGTGGTGAGGTGCCTGGTGACCTATTTGGGGAGGTCAAGCCAGACAAGAAGATGAAGGGAAAGCTAGTGAAGTTATAAATATGATAATATTCCTTGTGTTTGATGCAGCATATTATCGGGATGTCCCAAAGCCCTTTACAGGATATACTGTACGGTGGTTTGACTGTATTTTGCAGGCGAGAGTCATTAAGCGGAGCTATGCTGAATTAAACGTTTTTCAAAACTGGAATAATCTTTCAGATACTTTTGTCGGAAGTTTACCCCAGTGGATTTGAGCGTTCATTCTCGGATGCGGAAGACTTGAACACGATTGCCGAAGGGGACTGTGTCTATGCCTTTCAGGCTCCCAGCTTGCGGGAGGAGGGTCTGCCCGGCTGTCAGGTGGGTGACGGGATTCCCTTTCCCATTTGATTTCGGCTGCAAGTGATAAGCTGGTGCTCTCTCCTCTGAGCTCCTTTCTCTGCTCATGTTTTTTCCCTCGGTCTGTCTTATTCAGTTAATCTCTCCCTCACAGCTCATTAACCTTCACAAGTATATTAGTGCCTAATGCCCTGTTATATTAGCGCCCTGTTATATTAGTGCAGTTGTAAGTTGTCCCATCGTTCAAGCTCTCTCCTATCCCCAAATGTTCCAGGAATCTGAACCACTCCTTCCTACACGACAACTCGAGCAACACATTTACATTTCTCATCTAGCTGTCCATGTTAGCGAGAAGATTTGAGCTTTATTTGTTTTATATGTGTGAAAGCAAGAGTAGTTATGTGCACGTGCTGTGTGTGTATGGGGGGAGGGGAGGGAGAGAGTGTGGAATGCATGTGTGTGTATAGGTGTGGTAAATATGTAAATGGAAGGGTGTTTAGCGTAAGCATAGGGAAATATTTGTTATGGAGGTGTACGCATGGAGGGTATAGGCTGTGTGTGTGTATGTGTGCTTGTGAGCGCATGTATTCAGCTTACCTATTCTGTGAGACAAAGTGAGCAAAGCCACCTTCTCTAGTAGAGAAGTAACTCCGCGTTTCTAAATTGACGGAAGGAGTGCCCAGGGGAGGAGTGGCTGCTATGAGGAACGCTGAATAATCTGCGCCCTTCTTTGCCACGTGAATTGAACAGAACGGAACGTTTTCCAATGGTTTTCCCTGCGGCAACGGGGTGAGATTGCTGCAGAGCAAGTCACATGCTCTGCTCTGAGACTGGTTTTAGAGTAAGCAAATACATCTCCAAAAGAGCAGAACAGATGATCCACCACGTGGGTGCTTTGAAATTTAAATGTAGAAGAACATTTTTGAATCAAGCTCTTGAAATTGCAGCCCGTTGCACTTATCCGGTTGACATCTATCTCGAAGCATCAATTCATGTTGCTTCAGAAATTAACAACTCAGTGAACATAAGGAAACCACCATTCCTCCTACACACTCTGTGCTTGGTTCAGTTAGTCGCACACTCGCCTCAGGATCTGAAGGTTGTGGGTTCAAGCACCATGTCAGAACTTGAGCACTCTAGGCTTATATTCCACTGCAACAACAACTTGCATTTATATAGCGCCCTTCGCTCACGGTCTCCCATCCACTACCATCTATAAAATCCAAATCATTCAAAACTCTGCCATCCGCATTCTCACCCGCACAAAACTCCGCTCCCTGATCGCCCCAGTCCTTGCTGGACTGAACTGACTGCCTATCCCAGAGAGGATCGACTTCAAGATCCTCACCCTTGTATTCAAGTCCCTGGACCCCCCGACCTCTCTGACCTCCTCTATCCTCAAAACAGTGCCTGTTGCTTCATTTCTCCGGGTCTGGCCTCCTCGTCCCCTGAGTCTTCCGCTCCACCCTCGGTGGTCGTGACTTCAGCCACTATGCCATGAGGCTCTGGAAATGCCTTCCTCACTCCCTTCGTCTTGCTCCCTCCCCATTTTCAGGTCTCTGCTGAAGACCTTTTCGACCGCGCCTTTGGTCACCTTCCTCCCCCTCCCCCCTGCTCGGTCCCGGGATCGGTTACTGTAAAGAACTCTGAGACACCGTCCGGCGTGGAGGGCGCTTTATAAATCCAAGTTATTGTTGTAGGATCCCGGAGCGTTTACAGTACTGGGGGAGTGCTGGATCCTTCAGACGAGGCATTGAACTGAGATCCCATCTGTGTTCAAGTGGACGTTAAAGATTCCACAATAAAATTGTAAGAGGGAAGGAACAGCAAGCCTCCAGATACAGTCGTCATCACCTGATCGCTGTCTGTGTGATCTTGCAGCGTGCTGTGCATATAATGGCTAGTGTGTTTGCAGTTACAGTTAACAGTAATTACAGTGAAGTGTTTTGAGACATTTTGAGATGATGAGACCCTATAAAAATAACTGTTATTTTAAAGGTCGGACTAACCAATTATAACCTTCAGTCCCATTCAGCTGGTCCACACTCTGGAACTCATCCCACGGTCCCTTCGCCTCGCTTCTTCCCTTGCCTCCTTCAAGGCTGGTCTCAAGACCCTTCTCTTCGACCGTGCCTTTGGTCGCCTTCTGCCTTCCCCCACCCCTACACCACCCCTCCCCCATGCTCGGGCCCCGACACCTGACTGTTCAGCGCTTTGGGACATCCTCCCGAAGTGAAAGGCGCGCTATAAATGTCATTTTGTTGTTGTTGTCTGCTCTCAGGTGCTCAGTGCAGCACTGTATTGTGCACGAGTTACTGAAGTGTTCTGTACATATCGTGGATCATTACTGGCTCCCGTGTTCCTGTAGCCTGTTTCACTAAATAAACTCTGACGTATTGTGTTGGAAAGAGGTGGAAGCAACTGCCAGTCTCACCTGCTGTTACACTGACAGACCAGGCATTGCCTTATGCCAGTATCTCACCTTCTGCCACGCTGACGGACAGGGCACTGTCTTGAGTGTTTCGCCTGCTGGCACGTTGACAGGCAGGACACCGCTTGTTGCCAGCGACTCACCTTGAACATTTACAAGGAAACTGAGCAGCAGTTTCCTCAAACGGACAATGTGACCAGACTGCGCACGTAAAAATTCAGATACAGATTTTCTGTTAGAGGGAGTTAGAGGTTATCCTGTGTAAGACATTTTTGGAATGACAGGAAGAGGAAGGTTTGATGCTTTCTACCCCACTGCTGTGTGGAGCAGCGCAATATCATATAATATAATAATCCTTGCATTTGATATCAAGCCTTATTACGTCATTGAGATGTCTCAAAGCGCTTCACAGTTTCACTGTTTCACTGTGCATTTTGTGGGTGAAAGCGGCAGACAATTTGCACACAGCAATATCCCACAACAGCCTTGTGGAACAGTTTTGTTTTGTTTGGAAACTTAATGTGTTCCTAGATTCCTGGAAGCTTGGCTTTGCTGTAGGCAAGTTTGGCCCATCTCTCAGTCTGTGAACATCAACCTGTCACCTGAGCAGCTTCAGCATGTTCCGTCCAATGCTAATCCACTTTTATTAGGGATTTCCCGCTGTTAAGCAATGAGTTCTTTTAGGTAATATCCAACCACATGCTGTGTGCCTTTCAGGGCATAGTGCTACCTGGGCCCCACGTACTCACACGATGGTCAATAATGCTCTTTGCAACCAATGATACAATAAACACAAATGTGGCTTTTTTTTGTCAAGACCCTTTTCGACCGCGCTTTTGGTCACCTTCCTGCCCTCCACCCCTCCTGATCCTAACCCCTGCTCGGGTCTAAATCTCCGACTGCCCAGCGCCTTGTGATGTTCTCCCGGCGTGATAAGCGCTGTGTAAATGTAATGTAATTTGTTGTTGTTGAGATAGGATCAAAGGCAGTGTCCCGATTTGCCTGGAACTGGGAGATTTGCCACTTTACAGTGTGGACTGCAGGCAGAGGTGCCATCCTGATGCTTTGTCTTTCTAGTAATTCTAACATTTGATATTGCTTATTTCACGTTCAGGAGGACATCTCAAAATGTCTCAGGATATACTGTAAAGTGTAGTGACTGCAATTTGTAGGCATTTCTGGTCAAATTTGAACTGTCCAATCTTCTCGCTGTGATACAGGGCGTAGCCAAAGCACTGCCTCAGATGGATGCCCCACCGAGACTGTGTATCAAGGTGCCAAAGTGCTTCTCCTAATCTGCAACGTCGCAGGCTCCGGGACAAGGGCTCTCAGGTACGTGTAACCCCTCTCTGTTTCTGCTTTTTCTCTTGTGAACGCTTATAGCTCCAGAAATGTTCCTGGAATAAGACCTTCAATAATTGTGAAGGATTTGTAAATTACCATCTGCTACTCAGGCTGTTAAATCTACCTCACATCATCACAGTTTGATCTCTGAGTTGGAAGATTGTGGGTTCAAGGCCCAGTTTGGAAATTTTGAGCTCACAGTTTAGGCTGACGTTCCAGTGCAGGGTGGGGGGGGCTGCATTGTCAGAGATGCCGTCTTTTGGATGGTCTGTTAAACCGAGGTGCCCCCTCCCTGTTCCTGCAACACTTTGGGGAAAAAGAATGGGAATGGTGTGCTGACCCTTGAGTGGGATTTTCAGACCCTGTACACCTATAGTCTACACTGATGCTGGCTAATATTTCTATATTGCTTCTCTGAACAGTTTGTGCTGCTGATATTTCTGTGTAGTTCCCAAATGGAATAGTTCAGGGTGTTGAGAGGTCACACAGTGGAGTTGGCTTTTCAGGCAGATAAGTACTGGTTCTGCAGTGCCTTGCTTTGTAACTAATTACTGCTGCTTTTCAACCAAATTTGAAAAGATCTTGGTTTTAGAAAAGGAAAGCACTTAAACACGAGGCATGTAAATTAAACATCAGAGCTGGAAAGAGTTGCTGTTCAAAGATTTTAATATTTTATTACAAGCTCAGGAAAAAGCTCTGGAATGGAGTTAGCTGCTGTGCCACTGAGACTCTCAGAGTCTCTCTCTCTCTGAGCAGTGTCACTTCTGATAGTACCTTGACCTTGTAAACTGTCTTTACTGAAGCGGGCTGGAACTTTCTGCTTCAAAGGCAACATCAGCAGATCATACCTTACAGTGACTTTCTGCTCGGTGATGCGCTGAATGTTATGGACTTTGCACAAAATGTTCTGGCGGAGCAGCCAACGAGATAAACTATTGTCATGCCCCTAGAGTAACGATCCTACCTGACCCACTACCTCCACTTTGTCTCTAAAGGTTTCTCCTCTCACCCTTGCGTGGTTGTCTGTGTTGTACCTCAGGCCTTTATCCTGTGCCCCCTCCCATTTCTCATCTACATGCTCCCTCTTGGGGACGTCATCTGCAGACATGGGGTCAACCTCAACAAGAATGCGGATGAATTCTATATCTACAAAAGGTCCTTACGTACATGGTGTGGAATTCTCTGCCAAATCTTCATGTTAACTTCTGAAACCGACATTAAAGACTAGCTTGTCGCTTCCTTTAAACGGGAATCATGATGAGATGCTTTGAAAAAGGGAAGCTGAAGCAGCTGGAACAGCAGTTTGTGGCGAGGAGGTGTGGGCACTCTCTGTGGAGCCAGTGTTTAGGCTAGTTTTATGGTTGGGTTCTAGGTCAGGCACTCTCGCTGATTGTCAATAGATGACTACTGCCATCTGGTGCTCACATAGTGATGATCTCGTGCATCAGCCAATGTAGTGTGGAGGTGGCAAAGTGCATCACCCATCCAGCAATCTTAACTATCCACGTGCATGTTAGAGGATGTGGCACCCTAGAGTTCTGCAGCTAACATTTCCTGTTGGAGCGTCTGCTGCTGTTGGTGTGGGTTCCAGGAGGATTGCTCCTCTAGAAACTCCCTCAGCTCCTCTTGCGCTATCCCATGTCAGGCAGGGCAGCCAATCTCAGCATACGCTTGGGCTTTCATCGTGAACAGGAATCTCCGTGTGGAATTTTGCAACCAATTCCCGGGCTTTACAAATGTAGTCCATACACTAAGGGCTGAGAATGATAGACTTAACACAAGCCAGTGGTTGAAGCTGTGCACCAATGGGCCAGGTTGCTGCTTGTCCTAACCTGTCCTGTTGCCCAGTCTTGTGTTCTGCCGCCTGTCTTGTCCTGTGCTGCGTGCTATGCTGTGATGTGCTGTGCTTCCTAAGCTGTGCTACTTATCTGTGCAAAATTTGTCTGTTTTTTTTTCTTCACGCAAAGGTTTGTGAGAATGTAAAATGCAATGTCCCAGATAGCAGTACAGGCAGAATCAGGGAGATGTTTAAAAGGCAGATAATTACATACCGGGGAAATTATTATAATGGGGAAAGAGGATTAAAGTATCTGTCTTTAATCCTCTTAAAAAGCTGGTGGAACTGACTTGGTTAGCTGAATGACTTCTTCTTGTTCCTTTATTTATGATATTCCTTGCATTTGATTATAGGGTTACTCCATCCACCCCACCAAGGTGCCAGCCCTTCCCTTCCTCCGCTTTCTGCTCCACCACCATCACACACACACACTTATACATATACACACATTTAGATACATATATACACTATATATAAATACAACACATACATACATGCACACACACATTTATATATACACATACTCACACACCAGAGTGCAACCCCCCCCGACCCACCACGCACAAACACATGCCGGCCTCTCTATGTACATATACACACACACGCACACACACAATGCCAGTTGTGGAGGTGCATGTTGCTGTGGGTTTGATTTCGCACACACATTGCTCCAGCTCACTCGTGGTGCAGTATCTGTGGCAGTTTATTCCTTTTCGCTGTATGTCGCTGGCTTCTGTGTGAGCTGTGCTGCTGATCATTAGCCGTGCTGCTGTTCTAACTCCATTTACTTGTGGTCTGTCAGTTGAGTGTAAAAAGGATCTGCCTGCCGGGTATCTCCAGCTTGCTCGTGTTCACTGTCTGCATAAATTCATGACTGCCTCAATCCCACTTAAATAATTCAAATACTGTACTTAGGAATTCATTGTTTAATATTTGGTCTTCTTGAAAATTGGAACACGGTCATTTAAAAAATACGGTAACAAAAATAACTTCTACTCGTCTTATTGCTAAAATGCCCCTCGATATATGAAACACCCCATTAAAAACCGGTGTCATCACTCCTATCCTTAAAAATCCTTCCCTGGACCCATTTCTACTCCCAAACTAACGCCCCCATATCCAACCTCAGTTTCCTCTCCAAGGCCATGGAACGAGTTGTTGCTTCTCAGTTTTGCTCCTTCCACTCCCGCAACTCCCTTCACGATCAGCACAGAAACAGCCCTGATCAAAGTAACAAATAACATTCTGTCCATCTGCGACCCTGGCTCCCTCTGCCTCCTCGTCCTCCTTGATCTCTCTGCTGCCTTCAACACCATGGACCACTCTATCCTCATCCACCGCCTCTCCTCTCACCCCAACCTTCATGGCGCTGTCCTTCACTGATTCAGATTGCACAGAGCCTCTATTTCCACAAAGGGTTTCTGCTCTAGCTCCGCACCGTTTCGTGCGGCGTTCCTCAGGGCTCTGTCCTTGGTTCCACTCCATTTCAATATCTATATGTTCCCTCTTGGTGACATCATGTATGCAGTTGACACCCAACTCTACCTCTCTGCCTCCACCTTTGACGCCAGGACCACTGCTGTCCTGATAGAATGTCTGTCAGACATCAAGTCCTGGATAAGAGCTAATTTTCTTCAGTTGAACATCAACAAGACCGAGGCTCTGTCTGTCCAGCGCCTTGGGACGTCCTCCCAACGTGAAAGATGCTATACAAATGCAATTTTGTTATTGTTACTTTTCCCCCCCACCCTCCCACCGCCTCCAGCCTTAGTATACTTGTCTACTTCCGCGTAGAAATTCGGTGCAATTCCACCTTCTGAACGAACCATCTGTTTGATCATCGAATATTACAGCACAAAAGGAGGCTATTAGGCCCATCGTGCCTGTGCCAATCAGTCTCGCTCCCCCACTCTTTCCCCATATCCTTGCAATTTTTCCTCTTCAGGTACCTATCCAATTCCCTTTTAAAAGTTGTTATTGAATCTGTTTTCACCACCCTTTCAGGCAGTGCATAAAATCTCTTATGTTCCATGGGTTAATCAACTTCTGTGTCAACAGCTCAATTTAAATCACATATTCATCTTTTTGCCCCCTCTGAAACTGTGATCTCTTGTTACCAATTGACAGCACAGGAGGAGTTCATTCTATCATATTTGTCTGTGCTTGTGCTAGGTCCCCACTTGAGTTATCTACTCTAATCCCAGTCCCTGCTCCCTTTCATAACCTTTTATATTCTTCTGATGTATTTGTGTTGTGTTGTCCAGAGCTAGAATCAAACCTCTTTTATTGAATCTCCCTTCAGCCTACGTCATGAAAGAGACTGCACGAGTATGCACCACACCCAGCAGGAGAACATTCGAAAGAAAGAAGTACATTTGGCTTGTAGGCAGGAAATCAATAAAGCTCTTTTCAAAGTAAACCTATCTCACACTAGGAGGGAGAAAGAGATGTCAATAAGACAGCTCTTTAAAAAAACACTACCACTTTGTTTTCTGAACCAAAGGTTCTGATTCCCTTTAGGCATTTATCTCCCTCCCTCTGCAAGTGTGGTCGTCTACTATGGTAAATTACTGGAGATGTTTCTGGTGCTAAAGGTTACTTTACGCAGTTTTGGATAAGCAGATCTGAGACACTGATCAGAACTTTAGTGGCTTCCACTCCAGGGTCAATGCCATGTGTATAAATATTTTGTTCCCTGAAGTTTGGTCTCGGTGCTGACACCTTGTAGCTAAACACTCTCGAGTGCTGCCATGCAACTTGACGTGAGTTGACTCAATGATCTTCCTTTAAGGTTTGGGCCCCCATTCCTGGTGAGAGAAGATCGCTCCCTGTCCTGGGATCAGCTACAGGGCTCTCTCCTCAGTAAGCTAAGCCACCTGATGCGGAGCGAGGCCCGGCTACAGGTCAGTGAGTTGCTTCAAACCAGAGATTCAACCTTTCAGAAGTGGATTTATTCTGAGATGACAAGCAACTATGCCAAACTCGTGGGTACACTGTCTCCAGGCATTACCCCTCCAAATCTCACCATCCAATCTGCACAGTGTGGCTGGCACTTCCTTATCTGTCTTGTGATGTGATGTCAGTGTCAGACATTGGATCCTTACCCCTCACTCTCTTTCTTCCCCCCTTCCCCCAAACCCCCTATTGTTGAATTTAGTTTTGACTTTGAAGTTGGTTTTCTGTTGTTAAAAGAGCTTACAGAAAACCTTCTTAAAAAACTAAGACCGTGTTTAAGAAATTGCCAATAATCTAGACCTTCAGAAATGGTGAGAAAATAGACTAAATATTCGACGCAAGCAGCATTTCTCCCCAGGAGGGGTTATCTCTGGCTCAGATATTTCAGTCTAGGTCTGGGAACATTTAGTTGTATCTCAAAGCAGAAGCACCATTCCAAGTTAGCAATCACTAAAGGAATTCCGGAGCTGATAGTAAAAGCTGCCTGATAAATACAGCGCAGGACTGAGACTTTTTAATGTCAAGTTGTTACATTAACTGCAGCTACGACAAATGGACTTAGATGGTGGCAAAGATGTGAAGCATTGTGCAGCCAGTGAGTGACTGATGCACCAATTCGCCTAAAAATACAATTACAACACTTCACAGTGATTCCCACTATGAAGCGTCTCGAAGACTTGATAAGGCGCTATATTAAGTGCAAGGATTATTATTATGTCTGTGATTCACTGGTGCTACTGCTTGATAACTTTAACCTCAAAAACAAAATAAATACATTATTATCAAAATCCTGACATGTGATTCAGCACATGTCTGAATGCATGCCTCAGCATGTGTCTCTCTCTGCATGTCTCTGCGTGACCCTGGCGTGTCTCAGTGCGATCTCATTGTAGCTGATTAATGGTGCCTCTCTCTGTGTTAGAACACTGCATCTCTGTTCCGGATTCGGGTGGTTGGAACGTTGGCCGCTAACTTCTACCTCTCATCGCAGGACAGTTGCCCCCTGCAGCATCCAGCCGTGACCAGGTGGGCAGACATTAAAAACACCCGTGCTCAGTCTCGGGCTAATTGTGGTGCGCGCACGCGCGTGTGTGTGGAGGAGAAGGGGGAAGAAGGGCAGTCAGTGGCTAAATTCTGTGTTCTGTGTCTGTATCAGCCCTCTGAGACACTACCCCACCGGAAGGGCATTATATCAATGCAAGTTGTTGTTGTGTGTGACTGCTCCAGCGTCAGTGTGTGTGTGTTTGTGTGCGGAATGCCCCTTATCTATAATGATAATAATCATAATCCTTGCATTTGATATAGCGCTTTATCACGTCGGAAGGGCGTCTTAAAGCTCTTCACAGGATTTACTATGAAATAGAGTAACTGCATTTGTAGGCAAACATGCCAACCAATTGCCCAAAACAATCTCCCACAAACAGCCATGAAACAAATAACCATTTGGGGATTGCTGGCCAATGAAAAGGATCTAAATGTAATGTATAGCAAAATTGCCAGGAAATTCTGTCCAATTTGTACATTATCCAAACTATTTCACTCACATTCCGCATTGCAGGCGTCTGGGTTGTGGGGAAGCTGCAAACCTCAGTAGGAATTGAGAAATAGCCTTGATCAGTCTGGGTAGAAAGGACTTGTTGTAATTTGTGAGCGAGGTGACCGAACTTCTGTTTACAACAAAACCTTGTCATTAGAGACTATGTCTGTTCTCACTCGGGGACAGAGCGCTGCTTCTTGTCGGGACAATGATGCATTGAATTGGGAGGGAGAGGAACTGAGGATTGCGTGTTCACAATGCTGCCTGCGTGTGATGCCTGAGAAGCTTTGCTGAGTGATTGATATACTTGCTACTTTCAGGGCGCTGGACTCCTGTGCTGCCGCTGGGCCCTGCCACGTGAAGCTGGTGGTGGAGTGGGATCAGAGGGTGAAGGAGGAGTGAGTGAAGGGCTGAGGCAATGCGCTTGCGTGGGGGCCAAAGCCTGCGACTCAGACTTTGGCTTTGTGCTGCAAGCAGCCAGGGCAAGCTAATTGGGGGGTATCTGGGCGCATTTACCATTGCTGGGGTTTGTCATGTGCTCCAGTGAATCTCCTGTTGTTAGTAATAATAATAATAATAATAATCCTTGCATTTGATACAGCGCCTTATCACATCTTCGAGGTGTCTCAAAGCGCTTCACGGAATATACTGTGAAGTGAATTGACTGTATATTTTGTGGACGAAATGTGGCAGCCAATTGCGCACAGCAGCGTCCCACAAACAGTCGTGGATTGAATTGACCAATTTATTATTATAAATTTGAGTACAAACACCCTTTGCCACTGAGAGAGAGGGGATTCCACTGGCGTGGCCGGTGGTGGTGGTGGGAGGGGGAGGAGAGAGGCGAGTGGGAGGTGGCCCCAGTGTATATCATGGAGACTGTGTGTTCTTTAGACTGTTCGGGAGTATTCAAGAAGAAGTGGTTCAGGATGCGGAGAGCGTTCGTCTCCAGCATCAGCGGCACCAGGAGGCTCACAGCTGTACACTGGCTCAGTGCTTCCAGCTGTACACACAGGAGGAGCAGGTACTGCGAGCAACTCTTTGACAATTCGCTAATAACAACAGCAACTTGCATTTATATAGCGCCCTCCACTCCAGGCTGCATCCCTGAATGCTTAGTCAAAACCGGGGATAACACCGTCAAGACCAGAGATAGAGCCTGACCAAGAATCTGTGTTTGTGTGTGTGAGTGTGATTTCTGCCTCTCTGTGTATGTATGTGTGCGTGCGCACGTGTTGGGTGTGTTTGTGCACGAGTAAAGCAAAGCTCTGCAGATGTTCTGTATTGATCTGTCAAACAGTTTCTTATATAACTTGAGTTTTGATTCTAACCCAATGATGAATGACGCTTTAAGAAGCTTTAATATATTCCCCATGGTTACAGCCGGTGTTTCTCTCTCTCTCTCTCTCACTCTGTGTAGCTGGCCCCTGATGATGCATGGCGGTGCCCGCACTGTAACATCCTCCAGCAGGGAACCGTCAAACTAAACCTATGGACCCTGCCCGACATCCTTGTCATCCACCTGAAGAGGTTCCGTCAGGTATGCTGGCACCCGAGCCTGGAAGCCTTTGCCATGTCTCATGTTACAGGAGACTTTGAGAGCCACGGGTGGAGAGAAACTTGTAAGAGTTAACCAGACTCTGGGTATCAGGCCACAGGTTACAGGGATTTGGCCATAGGCATCACCAAGAAGGGGGAACGGTTGAGGAAGTGTTTGCACATTTCCTGTTGCTCTGATACCCGCTCAGTGTTGCTACTGTTCCATCTGTCAGCCAGGCTATTTCCTCTTGTTCCGACTTGTGTAAAAGTGGAATCTTCAATTTCTTGTAACACTTGTCTTACCAATCGCAGAACATTTGCAAAAGGGTGTAAGGAAAAAGGATACACAGCATGGGTTTGTAAAGGGAAAAAGTGGGGAACTGGGTTTAGGATAGATTGGCTTCATTGGGCATAATATTAAGTTAGATGTTCTTAACATGAATGCTTAAAATCCCATGACATAATTGAAAAAGAGAAGGGAGTTTTGCCCAATCCTGACTAACAATCCTTCAGATAAATTGGTCATTCAGCTCATAGAAACACAGAACGTTTCTGATTCATGCCTTTTACCAAGTGCCTTGTCTTAGTGCATTGATAACTAAATTTGCGATGATGGTGGAATGTAGGTATCTACTTCCAGTCTACATTGGCACAGAAGCACCTGAATTTGCCCCAACGCAGTGCAGACCATCAAACCTCACTCTGATGCTCTCGTGGCATCAAAGTGATGTGTCAGTTGTCTGGTGCTTCAATCCTGGAAAGACCCCCATTATACTGAACCTCGCAACAGCGAGAATCGGCTTACAATGCTGGTATTGCTCTGTCTCGCACTGGAAAATTGTGTGGATATGACTTTGAACTCTGTGGGTTAGTATGAATTATTTCCGCTATGTCAGACGTTCACTCCCAGTTTGTCATAGCTTGGGATGGTGATGGACAGTTGTACCTTTTATGGCTCAAAGGCCAGATGTTGCGTCCAGATGTTGTCCCCCCCTCCCCCCCCCCCCCAGTGTAGCCACCGCACTGCATCTCGCAGACTTTTTCACTCTGCTTTTCAAGCACCTCACGTCGCATTTCATTTTATTATTTTAAAGACTCGTTAAAATGGTGTCGATTTGACCCTCAGGTGGGGGAGAGAAGGACCAAGCTGTCGACACTGGTGACTGCCCCGCTGTGCGGGCTGGACATGTCACCTCATCTAGTGAAGAGACCCGCAAGCACCAAGAGCTTCCTGTCCCATTGGTCGCCCTGGAGGAGGCCGCGCTCACCTGGAGATAACTATGTGTACGACATGTACGCTGTGTGCAACCACCACGGGAGTATGCAGGGCGGCCACTACACAGGTAATAACATGAACAATCCTTCCAGTTGATATAGTGACTTTAACATCAAAACGTCTCCAAAGTGCTTCTCAAGTGCAGAGACTATGTAATTTGGTAATAATAATATACGTCGTCAAGACATCTCAAAGAGCTTTATAGGATACACTGTAGACTGTAATGTATATTTTGCGGGGGAATATTTTGTTAACTAACGCAGCAACTATTTTCACCATAACAAAGTCCCGAAAACAGCCATAAGGTGAATAACTAATTTATCTGGAGGGTTGTTGGCCTGATCGTTGGTCGAAACAAACTCCCTTCTCTTTGGTCGCATGAAATCTTCCACATCCACTCAAACTGGTAACCAGGTCTTCGGCTTAATGTCTTCCCTCTCCACAGCCCCCACCCCCACCCCCAAAGACTGATCTGGAGTGTCAAACTGGACTATGAGCTCAAGAGACAATGTAGGTCTCAGTGGATACGGCTCTTACATCTGAACCAAAGATAATAATCCCTGCATTTGATATGGTGCCTTATCGCATCTTCGGGACATCTCAAGCACTTCACATAATACTGTAAGGATGGGTGAGCATGCTTCCAACTGAGTCAAATTTAGGGAGGTGGGAGGTAGAGTGCTAAACTGATAAAGCACTCACAGGGTTGGGGGAGGGGGGAAGGCAGAGCCTTCACTGGTGAAGCCCACTGTATACAGGCTTGGGTATCTGTGTCACACAGGCTCCCAATCCAGATGATTCCATTGACCTCAGATCCAATCTTCTTTCTCGATTTCATGATCTTCCCTCAGTTCTCAGACACCAGGGAGTGCAACACTTTCACCCTCTCCACACCCCCCCCACCCCCCACCCCGGATAACTTGGATTCTCAGCTGCTTCCAGGTATTGTGTAACAGCTGTGCAGTCCTGGTTGTGACACAAGTAATCAAACACTCTGGTGCTTACAGCTTCCTGCAGGAACTCTGTGGACGGCCTGTGGTACAACTACGATGACAGTAACGTGGAACTGATTCCAGAAGCCGAGATTTGCACTCGAGCTGCCTATATCCTCTTCTACCAACGCAGGAACTCCATCCCTCCCTGGTCGGCCAACACTTCCGTGGCAGGTATTTGCAGCTCATTGATCCATTCAGGGAGCACAGCACGTTGGCATTTCTGTTACAACAAACAAAGTAACATTTGTGTAGCGTTGTTCATGCCGGGACAGTCACAGATTTGGACCCGAGCTGAGATCAGGGAGGGTGGGGAGGTGGCCAATGGCACAGTCGGAGAGGACTCAATGAATCGCAGGGTTAATGTGGAAAGCACCAAGTGAGACACCAAAGTCTGGGTAGTGCCAGGTGTTTAGCCACCCGGCCTCCTGCCGGTTCCTCGCTTGTTCCACCCCACCATCGGAGGTCGTGCTTTCAGCTGCTATGCCCCGAAACTCTAGAACATTCTTCCACAATCACTCTGCCTTGCCCCGCCTTTTGAAGTCCCACCTGAAAATCACCTGAAAATAGATGCTGACCAGGGGATGAGGGTTTGGTGGTGGTTCACAGTTCCCCTGATAGAGGAGACGGGTGAGGTTCAGCTGCCTTTTTACGGGTCTCTGTTTCTGTGCAGGATCCACAAGCTCATCGGTGTCTGATCACTGGCTGTACAGACTGACTGGAGACGACAAGAGAGGGAGCCTGGTGTCCCGAGCGTCCACCAATTGCACATCCCTCCCTTCTTCTCCGGAGTCTCCTGTCTTCCCAGAGAATCAACTCAGCGGTAAGTCTTACGTTTGGGATATCAGTAAGGTGATGAAATCAGAAACTCGCTCCCCCAAAAGGTTGTGGATGCTGGATACATTCACATTTTCATGACAGGTAAATAATATTTTTTAGGTGCAGGTATTAAGGGATATGGGGCAAGGATGGTAACTGGACTTGAGGTACAGATCAGCCATGATCTTATAAAATGGCGAAAAAGGCTCGAGGGGCTGAAAAGCCTACTCTGTTTCTATGGTGCACAGAGCCTTTACTCAGTTCTTCTCTGGCCAGCCAAGTGCCTGACATACACAGAAACCCATCACTATACGTGACAGTGTCCGAACCAAACCACTTGAGTAGCCTGCGTGCAAATATTCTTCTGTCTGGTGGTGTGTGCGCACCTTCTCACCAAAGGCAAACAGTTAATCCTGAAAGTATCGGGAGCAGAGACAGAAGAGCCAAGGTTTGGGGATTCCAGACTCTTATGTTGGGATTCAGCTAGGATCACCCGACAAGTTAGGATTTTGTGTGGAAGGCTTAAAAGGAGTTAAATGGGAAGAATCCTCTGCCCCAGTGACTGGTCAGACTCCGCCACTGTCAAGCGCTCCGGGACGCTACCCAGTGTGAAGTGTGCTATATAAATGCAAGTTCTTGACTGATCTACTCCTCCAAGTCTTACTGATGGGCCAGGCTGGCTGGCCAGTCACCATCAGCGCCTTGGAGTCTTGCATGGCTCAGGAACTAGCCTATCAAGAGGATAAACTCATTTCCGATATTCTGTTGAAAGGGCATAACCTTGGAGCCAACTTACCTCCAAAGGGACCCCATTTAACCCCTTCTCCACCGAAGGGGGAAGTCGAAACAGTGTGTTCCAATTAGCACGTTCCTGAAATGTCCCAAAGGTGTGTATGTGGTACATGTGCCAGCCTACGTCATGCTCTCAGCCGGAGAGGTTGCTTGGCACAGACTGATTGTTTCTGATCACATTCGATTGAGACACAGATTATGAGCCTATCCTGACTCTGTGGCTGTTGCAGGTGCTGTGGAGCTCCGCCCCTTTGCTCGAGGGACTCGGGGAAGAAGTGTGAGTATGAAAGCAGCTGCACCAGTTGTGCCGAAGGAACCTGGACTCAAATCTACGATGCGCTGGTCGCTGGGATCCAAGGACCGGCCCAGCTCTGTGCCTGGCGCCTTGGTTGAGTATTTGGAATCTGGTCGAAGGCCACGATGCACGACCCAGTCCATTGTGCCTAGAATGACCAGCACTGTGGATACACTGAGCTCAAAGCCTGAGCGGCAAGGTGCTGCTGAGGGAATCAAGCAGCAGGGCAGTGGGAACGCAGATGTCATGGGATCCAGGCTTCAGGAATGCTCGAGCGACCTTCGCCACAGTCGCAGCAACGAGATTTCCACAAACGAAAGGACGAGCTCGCTGAAGAGGAGCGGAAAACGAAGGAACAGCGGGTCGCAGCAGAGAAACTCCTTCACACTGGGTCCTAACAAAGCAGCGGTGGGGAGGAAGCCTTTGCAGGGCAAAGTGGAGGACTCGCTGTTGCGAGAGGATGGCAATGGCAAGTCCAGCGATACCGTTTGCATTGGTTCTGTGAGCAGCTTGGCTCTTAATGACACTTTGAAGAGAAGTAAAGGGCAATATGGCAGCAGGAAGCTGGATGAATCCTACTTGTTGAGAAGCACTGCTCCTGAAGCCCAGGGCCTGACTGAGGCTGGGATTCGGTACAGCTCAGGGGAAGAACCGAGACTCAATGACCGAATGCGTTCATTCCTGAGAGTTAGCTTTCTAAAGAAGGACACAAAAAGGCAATGCGACTCAGAAAATTTTAAGGCTGGCGTTCATGACCGCACACTTCCCATGGCAACCCTTCCCAATGGGGCTCTGAATGGGCAGCCCAGGGGGGAGCAGGCGTCCGTGATCAGCCCCAGAGCGGGAGTGGATGAAGCCAAATGTAGGGAGATGTTAAACAGCGGTAGGCGCAGTTTGTCAGAAGAACTCAGGCGTTCGCGAAGCTCATCCAGCATCGAAGCTACGGGATGGAGGCGAACAGGGTCTCTTGTGAAGAATGGACCAAGCTGTCAACAGGCCAGGCAGCTGACTATAGATAGAGGTAGGTCTGCGACACTACAGAGGACAAGATTCAGCTCCGCTTCACTGGGAAGAAGAAAGCCTGTGCCTGAATCCAGCTTTTAAAGTAAACGGTTCCCACAAAAAAAACTGGTAATTTTCTAATTAGCTGCACTGAAGTTTTTTTTCTGTTCCTTGTTTACGTAATGCCAACTCTTTGTAAATAACATTTTAATTTTATAGAAGTCTATCTAAGAACACGTGATGATATAGATTGGTTAATTTTGTGTATTATTATGAAGGGAGTTTATATATAACTTGACCCCACTGAAATTATTGGCTGAATGTAACTAAATGCAATAATGTAACATAGGGAAATTTGCAGAAAAATTCTGAGACTTTTATGCTTTAACAGAGGAAATGTTTTTATGGAAATTTTTTATTATCGATGATGTTTGAAGATGTAACCAAATGCTGGATATTTCAGGTACCTGACCTGTTGCTAAAAACAAATCAATCCTCGCCTTGAACTTTGCTGGATGAAATTTATGGGAAATTGCACAAGTTTTCATATGAATTAAACACTTTCAGAGTACAGCACTGTTGTAAAATGTTGTTGTTCGAGAGATTGTTCTAAAGATTGGATTGTTTCAGACTGCTGGGTTTGAAAGTACAATACAGTACAAAATTAAATTTTTTGTAAAGTCCTTTTTTCGTCGGGAGGATGTCCCAAAACGCTGAACAGTCAGGGATTAGGACCCGAGTGGGAGCGGCGGGGAATCGGAGGGTGGAGGACAGAGAGGGAGAGGGTAGGAGGGTGGCCGAAGACACGGTTGAAGAGGAGGATCTTGAGGCGTGCTTTGAAGGAGGCAAGGGAGGGAGTGAGGCGATACTGTTAGTCGTGGAGTTAACTCTGTTGAAACCAGCTTTTTCTTTTTGCCGGAATTTATATGAACAGGGAACTAAAGTCACTTGTATTTTATATTCAACTCTTGTTTATTTAATAAGACAAGAAAATGCCATTATGTATGTAGCAATGCTACTGTAATTACAATATTAACAACGACAAACTACATTTGTAAAGTGTCTTTCACATTGGGAGGACATCCCAAGGCGCTGAACAGTCAGGGATTTGGACCCAAGTAGGGGATTGGGATCAGGGAGTGTGGTTGTAAGGAGGGTGGCCGAATGTGCGGTTGAAGAGGAGGTTCTTGAGACGTGCTTTGAAGGACGCAAGGGAGGGAACAAGACGAAGGGGCTGGGGGATGGAATTCCAAAGGGTGGGGGCAGTGAAGTTAAAGGCTCAACTGCTGATGGTGTGGCGGGCTGGGTGTTCATAAGCTTCACAAGCAGGAGATGAAAAGTCTTAACTTCTTGTTTCTCGAAAACTTGAACTAGTGAGCGTTGTCTCAGGAACCGGCACGCTGTTAATAACTAATTTTCTCACCCACAAAATATACAGTGAATTCACTTTACAGTATATTCTGTGAAGCGCTTTGAGATATCCCGAAGACTTTAAGGTGCTATATCAAAATGCAAGGATTATAATATCCACCCTGTCATCTTCCCATGACAGCATGAAACTTAAATGAATCCTGGCCTCAGCCACTCTTCCTAGTAACCAGCTATTGGTTACTTTTGTATAAAGACATACTTCCTATCTGACTACTAAACTTGCCCTCGCACCTCTGAACTCGCCCTGCTATCTTGAAAATAATAATAATAATCCTTGCATTTGATATAGTGCTTCATCACATCGTTGAAACATCTCAATGTACTTCATGGGATATACTATAAAGTGGATTGACTGTGTATGTGCGATTTTTTTTTGTCAAACGCAGCAGCACAGCAATGTCTTACAAGCAGCCATCCGTGAGTGACCAATTTTATTTGGGAGATTTGTTGGCCAGGACAAATCATTTTTCAAAACTCCTCTTTTCGAATAGTGCCATGGGATCTTTAACGTCCACTTGAACAGGCAGACGGTACCTCGGTTTAATATCTCATCCTAAGGACGGCACCTTTCGACAGTCTAACACACTCCTAGCAATGCATCGGAGTGTCATCTTAGATGATGTGATTCCAAGTCCCGACATAGAGCTTGAACCCACAACCTTCTGACTCAGGCGAGAGTGCTTCCACAGAGCCAGGCTGACAGACATGAGGAAGGTTGGAAAAATGATTTTACACAGGCGTTGTTAGAATGTAGAATGCCTTCCCACAAAGCTATATCCATAAGAGCATCCAGCAATTACATTATATGAAAAAAATTGTGACATTTACAACAGACACTTATAAAATCTGTTATGACATGCTGCATTTTTCATTGCTCTGTTACTATGGAACTGAGAAGGTTAAGAGTGGATTTATTGCAGGTCTTCGAAATTCTGACTGTTTTTGAGGGGATAATAATGAAAGAGTTTTTCCCCTTGGTTGGTAACTTGGTAACAAGGCATAAATCCAGGACTGTCAAATTGGAACAGTTAAAGGGACGTTATAGAAGACTTTTTCCCACACAGGTGGTTTAGTAAAATATGGAATGTTTTGCAACAAGTGACTTTTAGGCCTGACACCAAGGGAACATTTAAAAGAGAATTGGATAAGCATTTGAACCACAAAAACAACTTGCATTTATATAGCGCCCTTCAGGCCGGCCGCAGTCTCAGAGCGCTTGAAGATGAATTTGAAAGGGTACAGGTTAAAGAGCGGAGGGTTTAGAGTAGAGGGGTTAGTTCCAGTAGAGGATCTGGGCCCAGATTAGAGTCAATGGGCCAAAATAGCCCCTCCTGTGCTATCATTCTATGTACATCTTTTATTGCTGTTCGCCGTGCACCAGACATACTGAATACATGCTTTTCTGTTTCACCTTGTTTAGGTGAGTTTGAGATCTCGGTATTATTCTTGTTTCAAATCAAAAATTCTTAGTTTTTTACAAACTGAGAAATCAGTTTCTAACTCCAGAAAACCAGAAGCCTGAAATTAACGTTTCAACTCACGAAATGGAGCTGGTCATTTTTGATGCCACAAGCCTTTACTACAAAACCCAATGCGAGTTCAGAGTGAGCTGCTTATGTACAAAATAGGACAGTTTGTGACATTTACACAAGCTGAACTCTAGGTGATGCACAACACTAGTGTGTAGAAGTCTAACTGGATTGGGCTGCTGAGTTAAACTACACTTCTCAGATATCGCCCTATCTAGCAAGCAATCAGCACAAAGCACTTATCAGCAACATCCTCGTGAAAATTATTCACTCTGGGTAGTGTTGGGCTGGGCTCAATCAGTATCACACACAAAATGATGGATTCTAGCCCCACAAGCCAGGGTTGAGCCATTTTTGCCCACAAATGTACAGTCAATTCACTTTACAGTCTATTCTGTGAAGCGCTTTGAGATATTTAGAAGATGTGAAAAGCGCTATATCAAATGCAAGGATTATTATTATTCAACCACGTTGACACTGCAGTGCCGTTCTGGGAGAGCGTTGCACTGCAGAAGGTGCAGTAATTCAGGTAAGATGTGAAGCTGAGGTCCTGTCTGTCATGTCCTGCTCTGCCTTTCCCCACCTCTGCAACATCGCCCGGCTCCGCCTCTGTCTCACGCGGCAGGCCACAGAAACCCTCATACACGCATTCATAACATCCAATTTTGACTATGCAAACTCCCTGCTTGTCGGCCTCCCCATCTCCTCCCTCCATAGGCTGCAGATCACCCAGAACTTTGCAGCCCGTGTTCTCTCCTGCACCAGGCTCCGTGAACCCATCACCTCCATCCTCGCCCAACTCCACTGGCTTCCCATCACACAAAGGATACAGTTCAAGATCTTGGTCCTCACCTTCAAAGCCCTCCATGGCCTTTCTCACGCCCCCCCCCCCCCCGCCCACCTCTGCGACCTCCTAACCCCCTACCAACCTGTCCGCTCCCTCCGCTCAGCGGCCTCTGGCCTGCTTCTCATCCCCCGCCTCGCCTGCCCCACTATTGGCGGCTGAGCCTTCAGCCACTCTGCCCCCACCATCTGGAACTCCTTCCCCAGTCCCTCCGCCTCACTCCCTCTCTTGCCTCCTTCAAGACCCATCTCAAGACCCTTCTCTTCGACGATGCCTTCGATTACCCTTCTTTCCCCCCCAACCTCCCCAATCCCGACCCTCAGTTCGGGTCCGAAACACTTACTGTCCAGTGCTTTGGGAGGTCCTCCTGAAGTGAAAGGCGCTAATACACATGTAATTGTGTTGTTGATGTCTGTTGTTATGGATTCAACGAAGACCAGGAAGTTTTCCCTGTATCCTGGCTAATTATCCTCCCTCATCCAAAGTCACATCAAAAATCGTAGCTCATTCATTTGCATTGCTATTTATAGGGTTTTACTAGTGCAAGTTAGCTGCTGCATAACCACAGTCACTACTGCTCATTGGGCCAAGAAGTCTCACATTTGCTTGTGTGGAAATCAAATGCAAATATTAAAGCAACAAATATCACTAATGGTGTGTGTGAACAAGTGTGAACCGGTCAAATGAATCGTCTAAAGTGCCACTTTGCTCACTTAATACCGTATATCGGGAAAGAGTTCGCCCCTGTACAGCAAAATAGCAATTAAAGCGAAAAGTGCACCAACATGCAATTAAATAGCAATGCAATTGGAAGAGTGATGTGAACGCCCCCCTCAGCTACTCGGAGCCTCCGCCCTGCACTTCCTCTGTGCAGCCTCTCCACGTCCTGTTTGGGTACAGACACAGAGCGCACACATCAGAAGTGTGTGGGATAGAGGCATCTCCTTTCATGTGTAGTTTTGTTGATGCAGGATGTGGTTACACTCTCGAGACCATCGTGCGAGCGCTTGAAATGGCACCAGAAGGAAGCCAGGCTTGAGGGGAGAACCTCCAATGTGCAGACCTCTTCCAATTCACAGTAAGTTTGGGCATTTGTTTCTTTGCTCCTGGGGTCAGTGACAACTGCTGGGGAGGGGGTGACAAGCGATTGCACGCTCGTTTCTGTGTGGATCTGTTGCCCACACACTTGGTCTGAGGTCCTGATGTGATTGCCATCTCACGTTCACGATCTTTAAATGCCTTTTGACATTGGAAGGACATCTCCAAGCGCTTCCCTGTACATGGGATGGGAGCCCAAGCTGGAGGTGGGAGAGAGAGCTGAGGAAGGAGGTGGGGGTGGTGGTGGGGGTGGTGGTGGTGGGGGGTTTAGAGAGATGACCAAAAAAAAGTGCAGTCAAGTAAACTTAAACCCAGAACTCACCTGAAACCTGACGTGCGTTGAGTATTGCATGTAGTTTTGGTGCTGAAAGGGCAGAGAGCGCACAGAGCCACAGAGAGGGTACAGCACAGATTGATTGGGGAAGGAGATGGAGGTGAGCGCTTGGAGAGGGTGGAAACTGCACCGGAACAGAGAGAGAGAGAGAGGTTGAGCGATTGACACAGTGGAGCTGTTGGGATGTGAATTTGTGGATGGATATATCCAGGGGAAGTCAGCAAAAAATACTTCTGCTCAGAGGATTGTCCAGGTGTAGAATGAATTACCTAGGGGGGTACTTTTTGGAGTAATAATAATAATAATCCTTGCATTTGATGTCGCGCTTTTCACGTTGGGAGGATGTCCCAAAGCGCTTCACAGAACACACTGTAAAGTGAATTGACTGTATATTTGTGGGCGAACGCGGCAGCCAATTGCGCACAGCAATCTCCCACAAACAGTCGTAGATGGTTTCTATAGAGAAGTAAAACACTAAAACGCTATGGGTCCAATGTACTTAATTGTACTTTTAATGTGGCTAAATTTACCTGGTATTTACTGAATTTGTTTAACTTTTTGCGTCGTAAAAAAAAATGACCCCATCCTCCCATTTCTCTCGCTACCAGTCCACAACCTTGGCTTCTGCTCACCAAACACCCAGCTTCCAACTAGTGGCTGTGTGCATCTCTCTGGACAGTAACTGTGAGAGAGTCTCTCCAACAGTAGTGCTTCTCTGACACACTATGTGTGTGTGTGTGTATCTCTATGACAATAGCTGTGTGTGTGTGTATCTCTGACAATAGCTGTGTGTGTGTGTATCTCTGACAATAGCTGTGTGTGTGTGTGTATCTCTCTGACAATAGCTGTGTGTGTGTGTGTATCTATGACAATAGCTGTGTGTATGTGTATCTCTCTGACAATAGCTGTGTGTGTGTGTATCTATGACAATAGCTGTGTGTGTGTATCTCTTACAATAGCTGTGTGTGTGTATCTCTGACAATAGCTGTGTGTGTGTGTATCTCTATGACAATAGCTGTGTGTGTGTGTGTATCTCTATGACAATAGCTGTGTGTGTGTGTATCTCTATGACAATAGCTGTGTGTGTGTGTGTGTGTATCTCTATGACAATAGCTGTGTGTGTATCTCTGACAATAGCTGTGTGTGTGTGTATCTCTGACAATAGCTGTGTGTGTGTATCTCCATGACAATAGCTGTGTGTGTGTGTATCTCTTACAATAGCTGTGTGTGTGATCTCTATGACAATAGCTGTGTGTATGTATCTCTATGATAATAGCTGTGTGTGTGTATCTCCATGACAATAGCTGTGTGTGTGTGTATGTCTTACAATAGCTGTGTGTGTGTGATCTCTATGACAATAGCTGTGTGTATGTATCTCTATGATAATAGCTGTGTGTGTGTGTCTCTATGACAAGAGCTGTGTGTGTGTGTGTATCTCTCTGACAATAACTGTGTGTGTGTGTCTCTATGACAAGAGCTGTGTGTGTGTATATCTCTATGACAGTAGCTGTGTGAGAGTGTCTCTCTGGCAGTATGTGTGTTTGTGATTTTTCAGATTTATCTCAACATGTGTGCGCTGGGTGGCCACAGTGATTGCCAGACCCCAATGTACTTTACCACCACAGGAGGCTAAGGCACTAATCACTGACAGCAGCTCTATATCAGGACTGGAGCTCACAATCTAGGCTGACATTCCAGCTCAGTCCTGGGGAAGTGCTGTAATGTTGGGTGGAGGTAAGTGTCCTTGGGTTTGCTGCCTGAATAGATGGATGCTAAAGATCCTGGGACACTTTCTGAAAAGAGACAGGAGTTTCTCCTAGGTTAAGAATAATAATTCTTGCACTTGGTTTAGCATCTTTCACATTGGACGAAGAGCTCCACACAATATACTGCAAAGTGTAGTGACTGTGTATTTTGTGGATGACAATGCTCCACATTAATTGTTAGTGAGACTCGCTGTGTCCAAAATGACTTCCATATTTTCCTATGAAACACGCTCACTACACTAAACTGTATGTACCTGTGCAGTGCTTTTAGATGTTATGCTGTGTTAAGACACACATAAAAATGGAAGTTGCTTTGTTAGTTTTTAATTCTCAGATGACATGATGAGGCGATATACAATCTATGGTGAAAGCAAACACATATATACTACATTAAATGACCTGTAACCTTTGAGCCACCTCAAACCTGCATTCCTCGGAGAGACCTTGAGTTATCATCTCTCGCTATTAATATACGTGCAAAAAACAGTTCATCTTCCTCTCAAGCTGAGCTTCTGATCTCAGCCAAACTGTCATCGGGCCAGTCAGTCAATATGGGGCTTTTTAGCTGCCAGCACCTGGCTAAAAATACAAAATAGTTATCTTATCTGTGATTTAGCTGTGATGCCTTTTCCACAGGAGCATTGTGCAGTCAGTGCAGATGTTGGACTGAGCTTGGCTTTGGTTGAGAATCTTTCTGAACAAAGAGACTCCCTGCTGAAAAAAGGCACATGAGCATTCCCGTTCAACCTGTTTACCTAGTGACCCTCTCGGATAAGAAAGTATTGCATGTAGTGAAAATGTAAATATTGTTGAAAGAGGAAGTTCCTTTATAACTTCCTCCTGGAATCCGATATGGTTCTGCTGTAGGAATTGCCAGGTGCACAAGTCATCATCAGGGTCAGATCATCCTCCCATGTGTCGCTGTATCAAGTCGCCTTGAACAGGTTGAGCACAGCACATTGTGGATTGGGCACCCTGTGGGCTGATTTTCATGTTGTCATTGACGGTGCCTTATGTAGCACTATGTTGATCTGCCCAGACACTTTAACATTCCATATTGGAGACACAACCCCTATTTCGCCCCCAAAATATACAGTTAATTCACTTTACAGTATATTCTGTGAAGCGCTTTGAGACGTCTCAAAGATGTGATAAGGTGCTATATCACAATGCAAGGGTTATCATTATTATTGGAGGAAGGAGGGCATTAAAAGTTAGAAACGGAATTTTAATTTTTTTGTACTTGTAGAGATAAATGCACTTGGTTTGTTGCATTTGGTTCTAAGAGGTGGCCTGATTCTCTTTAACTCCACAGCTCTGTATTTTGGGGGGTTTGGGGGCTGTTTGGGAGGACCCAACGCAACTTCTGACCATTTGGATGGGCTTTCTAAATGGTCAGAAGTTGCACTGGATCCATTCAAACACAATAACAAAGGTTAAAAATAACTGGGTGAATTCAGGAGTAAATTTTCTCAGCTAATTCAGAGAAGTGTGCCTTAACAATAGTTTTTAAGGAAATGGTTGTGGGATAGAGAGAGGGTCGGTGTTTGTGCAATGTGTGCAGGGTGTCTTCTCAGTCAATGACTTTGTTACGACAACTGAGGAAGGAAATAGGAATCGTGTAGCTCCGTGGTTAGAGTGCTCGCCTCGTAAGCGAAAGACCTGGGTTCGATTCCCAGGCAGGATGAAACCTCCACACGCCCTCAAGAAAAAAAACAATAATAAATTGGTCATTTCAATCCGCAACTGTCCGTGGGACGCTGTTGTGCGCAATTGGCTGCCGCATTTCGCCCACAAATATACAGTTAATTCACTTTACAGTATACCCTGTGAAGCGCTTTCAGATGTCTCAAAGACGTAATAAGGTGCTATACCAAATGCAAGGACTACTTATTATATTATTATATTATAAACACAGTCTGACCTGGTTCTGGGTCGCAAGTGAATGAACCAAGTGGGAGAACATTTGGGAAACGATGACTACAATAAAATTGGGTTCAGTGTGAGACTAAAAAAGGAAGAGTTCTTATAAAGTGTTAATTCTTTCAAAAACAAATGAGATAGATTTCTTTTAGGAAATAATATCTCAGGATACAGTATAGCGTTTGGGACATGACATGTGCATGTGACTGCCAGGATGGTGGAAGGCAAACCTGGATGGACCTTGATCTTCGTTCATCTAGCAATTCTTATGTTCTTATGAAGTCGAGGACAAGTGCCCTGTGGTGGGGGAGGGGTGCAAAACCTATTTCAGTGAGAGGCAAAGAACCCTTGCTCAGATTGATTTATGACGACATGTTGGGCACTGTTCTAATTTTGTCGACAAGTGGACAATACATATACTGTGATTAAAATTTCTGTACCTTTATATACATGTATTTTCCTTTATCTTTTTAAAATAGTCAAGTCAAGTTTATGTTTAATTTCAGTTGTGGGATCCGTCATGGTAAACGGAGAACAATAGACAATGATCAGTACTTGCAACATAATAATAATAATCCTTGCATTTGATATACAACTTTTCACGTCTTCTCGACATCTCAAAGCACTTCACAGAATAGACTGTAAAGTGAATTAACTGTATATTTTGGAGGCGAAATAGGGGTTGTGTCTCCATGTATGGAATGTTAAAGTGTCTGGGCAGATCAACATAGTGCTACATAAGGCACCGTCAATGACAACATGGAAACCAGCCCACAGGGTGCCCAATCCACAACGCGGCAGCCAATTGCGCACAGCAGCGTCCCACACACAGTCGTGGATTGAAAATGACCAATTTATTATTGTTTTGTTTTGGAGGGATTATTATTAGGCTCTATGTGGAGTAAGGAAACTTACCCAAGGCTTCGCCCTGCCTGGAATTGAACCCAGGTGTCTCGCTTGCAAGGCGAGTGGTCTAACCACTGAGCTACAGGACTCCACCCGGTTCCACATGGCTAATTTATAGGCCCAACCACTCTAACATTCATTCACGTGTCACACGTGAGGAGAAGGCTCTGTAGACGTAAGTGGTGTTAATGAAAAGGAGGCCTTTAATATTGTTAGAGACTTAAAAACAATTGTCAACATAACTGTGTCAGAGTTTATGTCGACATTGACAAAACAAAATCTCTCTAACTTCCCCTTTCGTGTTCCTCTCTATTACCTCATTAACCCTCATGTGCTGAAAAACATCATGTAAACTTTATCGGTCACATAGCTTCTTTCTGAGACGTGACATTCTGCTTATTTAAGAATTGCCATCACTATGGTTTAGTGAGGATCACGTGCAACAAATGGATCTCTCTGTACTCCTGTACACCCACCTTGCCAGCAGCTCGTGTTATACCCCAGCAACTGACAAGGAAATACTGGACGGAGCGCTGCTCCCTGAGAGAGAGAGGCCAGTCTACGGGGTGGAGGAGAAGTGGGGGGGGAGTTGCATTGTCGGAGATATCATCCTTCAAATGAGATGCTGAACCAAGTTTAGGTCTGTCTGTCCAGATGGACGTTAAAGAACCTATTTGAAAAGAGAAGGAAATTTCTCTCTCCCAGAGTTCTGGCCAACAATCCCCCAAATAAAATCGGTCATTCATTTCACGGCTGTTTGTGGAAAATTGCTGTATGCAATTGGACTTACACATTTGCCTACAAATACACATTCACTCCATTTTACAGTAATAAATAAAATAATAATCCTTGCATTTGATATAGCGCCTTATCACGTCTTTGAGACATCTCAAAGCACTTCACAGAATATACTGTAAAGCGAATTAACTGCATATTTAATATGTTCTATGAAGCACTTTCGGACGTCCTCTCGACAGGAAAGGTGCTACACCAAATGCAAGGAATATTATAATATGTTTTGAAATGTGGTAATGCTTTGGTGAGGTGAGTATTAGCACCGCGTGACTGAGAATGTCTTGTGTTACTTTAACACTGTAGCTTCTCTCTGCTTGTATCTATAGCTGATCCATGTCACTGCAAGTTGTCTCCGCACTGAACTTCTTCTCTGTTTGCCTCAGGGGATGATGTAAGATGCAGCACACATCCTGTACAGAGGATCGCATCCACCACACCCTGGAGAGGTGTCTGCATGGGCTGGACAAAGCTGCCTCCTCTTCAGCCAACTGGAACGGTCAGACATTTATTCTGACTATATTCTGACAACTTGATTCATTTACAGATTTAAATCTCAAATTCTTTATCTGGGTTTTCACCTCATCTGTGATAAATTGGGGGAAACAGTGGTGGAAATCCAGTTCAGGAGGAGTGGGGTGTGGGGTGGGTGTTCAAAACACCCAGTGGGAGCAAAGAGAATCATTGGTGTTGGATGCCGGAGTGGCTAACTGTCCCCAGTTCTGTTTCTATGGGCTACCAAGGTTAATCTAGTGAGACATTAACCTAAGTGAAAGGCATTTAATTGATGCAAGTTGTTGTATCACACTGGAATCAAAATCACCGCCACCAACAACAACAACTTGCATTTATATAGCCCCACCTCACCCCCTCACACACACACACAGGCTAGCGTCTCAGAGCACCACAATAACTAATAGAACTCAACATCCAGTTGTGTGAAGTTGTTAAGTTAACTGACATAATCCACCTCCACTTCCTCCCTGCATAGCCTTATTCCATATAATAAATAATAATCCTTGCATTTAATTTAGCGTCTTTTCACGTCAGGAGGACGTTTCACAAGAAAGCGCTTCATAGGATTTACTGTGACGGGTAGTGACTGTGTATTTGTAGGCAAATGTGGCAGTCAACTTGCGAACAGCAAAATCTCACTAAGAGTCAGAATGACCAATTTTTATCTGGAGGATCATTGACCAAGACATTGGGGAGAAACTCCTTTCTCTTTTCGAATGGTGCCACAGGATCTCTAATGTCCACCTGAACAGACAGACAGGGCCTCAGTTTATTGTCTCGTTTGAAGGATGGCACCTCTCAACAACGTAGAGGAAAGCTCCCCAGCACTGCGCTGGAGTCTCAGCCCAAAGTAAGGTGAGATCAAAGTCCTGACATGAGGCTTGAATCCACAGCCTTTTGACTCAGAGACGAGAGGCTACAAACTGAGCCAAACTGACACCCACAATCCTCAAAGCACAGAATTATAAAATTTAGGGATTTTCCACATGAGCTAACATCTCTTACTCACTCTGCAATGCTTTCATTTCTCGTTTTCAAGCATCTGTCAAATCCCCTTTTAAAACTATTATGAATTGCCTCGACCCGAGTCCCGCCTGTGCACACAGCGATTGGCCACCGACACGGCCTGTGTTACATTGGTTTAATTAAGTGAATGGGACCAGATGGCAGCTTTGCTTGGCAGCAGAAATGTTGTTTCGCACTGCGTACATCTGCCACCGATGCCACGCTTCAAACCCCAGCATTCCAGAAGGAAGTGACTTCATCCTTATTCATTATGAAACTCTCTGAGAATTTAAATTCAGAAACAGTTTGTGTAACATCCTGATATTTCCCCACCTGCCTTCTGCTCGAAACGTGAAGTCATTGATGAAAATGTTCCCCACTCTGGCTGTGCGTGTGCGTGCGTGTGTGTCAGTGTCACCCTGCTGATTTCCCCACTACCGATGGGTGTTTGTACCCCCTCCCCAAGTGTGCCAGCTTCCTTAACCTCCATGACTTGGTTCTCTCCTGCAGCCCCCACTCCGCACATAAGTTTCTCACCACTGTCCATATTTCTCTCTCCCCCCACCCACCCCCCACTCTCTCCCCACTACCCTATACCATGGTATCCTGGTCTCCCCTTTGTGGGTGCAAGAGTAGATAAGGCATCGAGCAGCTGTGTGTGTTGCTGGTGTATTGTGCCAGCGTTCTAGACCCATTTGAAATTTTCAGCACAGAATAATAATGATAATCCTTGCTTTTGATATAGCGCCTCAACAGATCTTCGACACGTCTCAAAGTGCTTCACAGAATATACTGTAAAGTGAATTGACTGTGTATTTTCTGGGTGAAACGCAGCACCCAATTGCGCACAGCAGTGTCCCACAAACAATGGTAGATTGAGTGACCAAATTATTATTATTTTTAAGGGATTATTTCCTCGGAAAAGCAATCCCCCAATAGGCTAACAACTGGGTTCCTACTTACTGCTGGGTAAACAGAGGTGTGTGGAGTAAGGAAACTTGCCTAAGGTTTTGTCCTGCCCAAGAATTGCAGATCATTTGGCCCATTGTGTTAGTCCTGGCTCTTTCCCGTTGCCTTCAAAGACTTTCAATTTTCGTTTCCTAGTTTTTGGTTAAATTGAAAGTTGGCCCAAGTTTTAATTGTTTAAGTTGGATTTAATTCCCCTTTTCGTTGCTGAAATATTTTCAGATTTGCCAGAAGGGAACTGATGCAACTCTAGGCAGCTGTTGGTGTAGGGATGTGTATATCAGTGAGTGAGCTCCGGTTCCCTGTGTGTGTGTGTGTGTGTGTGCGTGTGTGTTAATCACTGCTATCCTCGCACTGAGCAGCAATGTACAGCTAGCAACTCTGCTCTGCATATCCTGAGTAGAATCCAAAGTAGCTTCACAGTAATGCCCTTTGTTGTTTGCAAGCATTGGGTGTAACATCAACTGAACTGCTAAAAGTATAGCCACATGCCCTATCTTGCCTCCTTCAAGGCACGTCTGAAGACCTCCTCTTCGATTGCGCCTTTGGCCACCCTCCTACTCTCCGTGCCCTTCCTGATTCCAACTCCCTGCTCGGGTCCAAATCCCTGATTGTCCAGCGCCTTAGGATGTCCTCCCGATGTGAAAGGTGCTGTACAAATGTAATTTTGTATTGTATTTTGTATTATATCTCCTGCAGAGAGATGAGATTGAGTGGGAAACATTACTCAGCTCAACAGTAAAACCAAGTTGAATTCAAACTTCAGACTTAGCTCTTTTCCCTATCAACCTTGCTGAAGTTCAATCAAACCCCAATTTACTTAGAGCCAGGATACACCTGACCTTGTGCCCTCCCCCTGCTCCTACTTCCAATGTTTCTTGTATAGTTATGGGCAGATGCCAGCCCATTGGGACTCATTCCTTGGTCCCTCTGATGCTTTTAATATCTAAGCTTCTAAGGGTAAATTATCTTGTTAGCATCTTGCTTTACAACATCCAATTTTACACCAACGCACGTAATGCTGGTGCTCAGCTACAGAACCACATGTATTCCGTTGCTCACACTTTACATGTACAAAACACTTGTAAAGTTTCAACAACAGCTTTGTTTTTCAGCCTTACACCTTTCATTTTGAGAAAACATGACAGTTTGGTGGTTTCAGGGCTGGGTCAAAACTGAGTAAAAAATATTGAGCTTATGATACAGAGGGAACCTCAGTTTATAGCTGTGCTGAAGCTTTGGCTTGTGATCACTGTGACTCAGGTCCACAACAATCATCGTGACGATTGCTGACCACTGTTAATTGTGGTGTAAAGAATGTTGTGTAGCCAGTTTCTTCTGAGTGGTTTTTGCATTGCAACTCAGTGAGCAAGTTATTATAACGGTGTGAGACGTTTCTCATGATGAACGTGCGGTGATGAATGACAAATTGGTTCCAGGGTTTGCAAATTTCATTTGGAGACAAAACCAACAGCAACTTGGACAAAAGTTACAAGTTAACTTGTGTATATATATATAGCGCCCTTCACATGTATCGGAGTGCTTCCACCATGTTGGAAGATTCCCACGTTTTCAAATGCTGGAAATGCTCAGAAATCCTTTGAGAAATCATTCCAGTTTGAAGGTTTCAGGCTGAGTGAAGAATATCAAGCATTCAGATCCATAGGGTTTCACAACTTTCTGTGTGAAGAAATCCTTCCTGTCTCAGTTCTATGTTTTTTGGTACTGATTTCACGGATGTATAGCTTTGAAATGGATCCTTCTCTATCAAAGATTGAAATCGTCCATCACCTAACCTGGGAATTCCTTTCAATACTTGAAACATCTTGTTCCAAAACATGTTTACTTTCTTCAGCCCCAGTCTATCCAGCCTCTCATCATAACTAAGAAACTTCAGCCTCAGTAGAAGCTTAGATGTAGCTGACATAAACAGTCTAGTATTTCAAGTGCAGAGCTGGAGATTTAAAATGCATGTGTGCAGAGAAAGGCTGACTATTGGGTACATTTTCAGCACAATGTGTTGTGAATAAGCGTTGACAAGGTTGCATTCCATTCTGGTTGTCTGCTCCACCTAACTGATTCTGTAATGACAAACAATGACTGGGATAGATTATTTAGCTGTTTATGTGATGTCTGCACCGGAACACACACTCAAATAAAAAGCACATCTCTGGAAGGAAGTTTGAATTCTGTGGTCACAGAATGGTTGACACTCCTAACATCGGTCTTGTCAAGTGAGCTACAGTGAGAGTCTGCTATAGTCAAACAAGGGGACTATTTGCATTGCCCAGCAACATATATCAGACACGTATATTACAAACTTCAAGTGCCTCACTTTTAAGGGAAAAAAAGGATTCTTCAATTTATTCCTGAGTGCAGCATGAACAACAACTCATGGCTTGAAGTCATGCCCTATGATGGTGGCACCTCATCTCCTTGTATTTTCCATCATCATGTCGGAATCAATTATTCCAGCGATGTTCCACCCCTGAGCCTTTACTCTGATACTGGTTCCAAATCACTTTTTGGCAGACACGGGTGTAGCTATGATGCAAAATGCAAACCCCAGTATTTACTCCACATCCATGCCATGACCCACTTGGCCTTCCCCCGCATCTACAACATCGCCCAGCTCCGCCACTGCCTCACCCCTCAGGCTGCCGAAACCCTCATCCGCGCATTCATCTCATTTAGGCTCTCTCTGCTTGTGGGCCTTCCCAACTCTTCCCTCCACAAGCTACAAATCATCCCAAACTCTGCAGCTCATGTCCTCTCCCGCACCAGGTTTCATGACCCCCATCACCCCTACCTTCGCCTGGCTCCCCATCCCACAGAGGATAGAGTTCAAAATCCTCGTCCTTGCCTTTAAGGTCCACCACGGCCTTGCTCCTCCCTATCTCTGCATCCTGCTGACCCCATATCAATCTGTCCGCTCCCTCTGCTCAGTAGGCTGTGGCCTGCTTCACGTCCCCTGCCTGGCCCACCCCACCATCGGCGGCCGGGCCTTCAGCCTTTCTGCCCCCACCCTTTGGAACTCCATCCCACATTCCCTTCGCCTCGCTCCCTCCCTTGCCTCCTTCAAGGCGCATCTCAAAATACTTCCCTATGACGGAGCCTTTGGCCACCCTCTTACTCTCCCTGCCCTCCACTCTCCCCGATCCTGACCCCCAGCTCGGGTCCAAATCCCTGACTGTCCAGCGCCTTGGAACATCCTCCCGACGTGAAAGACGCTGTACTAATGTACTTTTGTATTGTATTTAACTTTAACCAACCACAGTTTTTTAAATTAAGCAGCCTTTTTCCCTGGAGAAGCGATGCCTTGGTCGAGGTGTCACCTCTTTGCATGGGAGGTTAAGCTGAAGTCCCGTTATTTGTTTAGGTGAATGTTAAAGAGGCAATGACTCTATTCATAAAGAGAAGGGAGTTTTTGCCCTTTTTCTGGCCAACAAAACCTCCCAGATACAATTGATTATTCACTTCATTGCCTGTTTGTGTGACATTGATATATACAATGGAGAAAGAACAGGGGAATGGGATCAGGATGGATAGCATTAGGGAGTGGTGGGGGGGAGGGAAGAGCAGATTAGAGCAGGATTAGAGCAGATATTTTCAGTGGGAGATCTAGCACAAGCCCAATGGGGGAAAGAGGACGGGGAATAGTATTGAAGTAGATAGTTCCAGTGTGGGAGCTGGCACCAACAAAGACAAATGGGGTCTAATGGCCTGTGTTGTAAACGTTGTAAACATTGATTCCTTGAATGCTTTTGTGCTGCAAAATATCTTTATCTGAGGCTAAGCGACAGAAAAGAATAAATTGAGGTTGGAGAACAGAAGAAACTAGCTCAAGTTGGACTCTCTGAGTACTGTAAATAATTCAGAAATTCTAGCATAGCAGCGTGAAGAACCCCATGGAAATCTCCAACACAGTAGGTGACTATTTGACCCATTGAAATTATAATAATAATCCTTGCATTTGTTTTGGTGTCAGTGTTTGCTCCACTGATCTATCTCATGAAATTGCTACTTAAAAATTTGCATTGTATTTCAAAGATAAACTTTGATCTCAGCCACATGTGTTGACATATTGATGTGAGCTGACTTCATGCTGATATCTTCCAGATAGTGAATAACATTCAATATCAAATACACGATTCAGCCAACAAGTATGCAATCAAACCACAGAGATAATGTGTGTGTATGTGTCTCGTGTAGATAGATGTGGGGGGTGTGGGGCGGGAGTTGAACTGATACTCAGCAAGTGCATTAAGTAGGTTACTTTATCAGCAAGAAAAAAAGCACATTTGACAAAATTGTTGTTGCTGTGGGTATTGTTTATGCTAGCAGCGATTGGAATGAGAGCATCCTTTCTTAGAACTCATTTACCCTGCAGTATCTCTCACTATCTCCAATCCTCCAGCCTTTTAAAAATAAATGTATTTAAGCTGCTGATGGCTGGTTGGAGGAGTGAAGTTGGAGGCTGATATTAGGTGGGAGTTGAATGAAACAGGCACAGTTGAAATGAAAATGACAGCATTGCTGACACACTGTCCAGTCTATCTACAGCCTCACGCTATCTGGCTCAGGAAATCCTTCATGCCAGCTCCTCTGCGATATATTGTTTTGTACAGATGTTCGAGTTTTGCAGAAATGAACCGAAAATAATAATGCTGTGCTGGAGTTCATTACAGTACTTTGGAGGAATCGCAAAGCTTGGATGTGGCTTTTTGCAGCGGTTTTGATTTCCTAGCCAGAATCATTAATTTTTTACATTAAAAAAAACCCTCTTTCAACATACAACAACAAACATGCAGAGCAAAGCTGTAAAAACAGAGTGTTCCCATCAGTGCCTCCGGGATCAATCAGTTGGTTGGAGAGATTTTTTGAGGCCTGAATTTTCCAAATTCTGCACAAAATTGAAGGCAATGTTTTTAAGACTAAAACCAGGAAGGATTCTGGGCCTTAGGACCATAATAATAATAATGATACTAATAATAATCCTTGAATTTGATACAGTGCCTTATCAAACATTTCGCCCACAAAATATACAGTCAATTCACTTTACAGTATCTTCTGTGAAGCGCTTTGAGAGGCCTAGAAGATGTGATAAGGTGCTATATCAATACAATATAAAATTAAATTTGTACAGTGCCTTTCACATCAGGAATACATCCCAGGGAGCTGGACAGTCAGGGATTTGGACCCGAGCTGGGGGTTGGGATTGGGGAGGTGGAGGGCAGGTAGGGGTAGGAAGATGGCCGAAGGCTCGGTCGAAGAGGAGGGTTTTGAGATGCGCCTTGAAGGAGGCAAAGGAGGGAGCGAGGCGAAGGGAATGTGTGATGGAGTTCCATAGGGTGGGAGCAGAGAGGCTGAAGGCCCGACTGCTGATGGTGGAGAGGGCCTCAGCCAAAGATTATTATTATCACGTCATTGAGACATCTCAAAGCGTTTCACAAAAGATATTGCTAAGTGGAATTGACTGTGTATTTTGTGGATGAATGCAATGATTTGGGACAAGATTATTAAAATGAAATTCGATAACGTGTTCTCAATGCTCTTCTAATTCGGCTTTCCTTTTGCAGCCGGGTTGTGTATGAACCGTTGGACCTTGGAGGAACTAGTGAGCAGAGAACCTGACAGCTTCCTGATCCTCCTCGAGAAGGTGCTGCTCCGAACCCAAGAGGTAACAGCAAGAATCCGGGTCATGTTTGATATCCCGTCCACTCCTATACTCGCCTTGCAAGCGAGAGACCTGGGTTCGATTCCCGGCAGGCAGGGCGAAACATTGGGCAAGTTTGCTTACTCCACACATCTCTATTTACCTAGCAGTAAGTAGGAACTCGCTTGATAGTCAATTGGCGGATCGCTTTTCCGGGGGTAATAATTCTTTCAAAAGAAGTAATAATAATAATAATAATTTGGTCACTCAATCCACGCCTGTTTGTGGAACACTGTGAATTGGCTGATGCATTTCGCCCACAATATATACAGCTTCTCGAGGAGGATCAGTCAATTCACTTTACAGTTATATGCTGCGAAGCGTTTTGAGACGTCTTGAAGACGTGATAAGGCGCTATATCAAATGCAAGGATTATTATTATTATTATTTAAACTCCAGCCAGAGTTTCCTTGCTGGGTGAGTGCTTCCCACCATAGAACCATAGGTGGCAGTCTGGCTCATCTGGTAGCACTCTCAGCTTTGAGTCAGAAGGTTGAAGGTTCATGTTCCACATCGGGACTTTGAACCCACCTTATCTAAGCTGATGCTCCAATGCTGTGCTGGGCGTGTGCTGCATCGTGGAAGGTGCTGACCTTCAGATAAGACAAGAATCTGAGGTCCTGTTCAGATGGTTGTTAAAAATCCTTTTGACACCAGAGAGCTTCTCTCCGCCAGCGTCCTGGCCAACAATCCCCCAGATTAAAATCAGCCATTCACTTCATGGCTGTTTGTGGCAATTTGCTGTGGAAGATCTTAGCTGAGGGTAGACTTGGGTCATGTTTTTTACGGCTGATGTGGTTAAAGGTTATTGTTACATAGATTTACATGCTGTCAATCTGTCATACAGGTGCAGGAGATGTGTCAGTACGATTTGATGGCCCCACTGGCCTTAACCTTTTATTCTGCTGCACTCCAAGTAAGTGTTGGGCTGATACCGAGGTTTTGCCTTATCTTCCTTCATTTTATTTTATCGATTTTAAGAAGCTTGTTGAGCACAGCCTGACATTTAGAAATGCTGACAAACTTAATTAGCTTCTGTTAGTCATTTCATTCCATGTAATAGCCTTGGGAAGCTGATTAATAACTGAACTAAGACTGACTGGCATATAATTTTCCATCTTATCCTTCATTTGTTTAGTACCCCATTTGCGCAAATTATAATCACCACGCTTCATAGTAACTCTTGTGAAGCGCTTTGAAACGTCTCGACGAATTGATAAGGCGCTGTATAAAATGCAAGGATTATTATTATGTTATATATTATGTTCTTCAATAGCATTCCTATTTTCTTTCCATTGGCCCCCTGGCTTTCTATGTTATTACCTGTCCCTTAAGCACAGTGTGTGTTTCTCCGGTCTCCTCTAGCACCCCCTATGTGGTGTATAGACTCTAGAACCTGATTGCAGAAATTTGGTTTGTTTGTGAAACATTGGTTGTGAAATGTTAGGGTAAATTTAGAGATGTCACACATGACACGAAGCACTGAGTTTACTGTTTTCTGCTGATCTGTTTCCCATCCGCGGCTCGTACTTATTCATCTGTTCCGTCCGTCATTGCAGACACCACACTTCCCTCCGGATTCCCAGCTGCTGCAGAAGGCATTTGACATCTACCAGGGACTACTAGCCTGGCCCATTCCTTACTGCAACATCTGCCAGCACCTCCTGACATTCATCCGCGATGAGATGAGGGCACCAGGTAAGCCGAGACGCTGGACCAATGGGTCTGGATTTATTCAGTCAGTGCTACTGGTGTATTTACTCAGTCAGTGATGTAGTAGAATATCAGGCTAATTCCCCATTCAGAAATATTGTTATTGAACAAAACTTCCAATGCCCAATAACATTGCACAAATCTCAGTAAATATGAAACATTCTCCTGGATTGTCACCCAATGCAACATGTTTTCAGAGACAGCTGTACACATGAGCAGCAATGGACTCTTCCCCTCTTTCACCTCCCACACAACACAAGCCCCATCTCCCCCCCCCCCCCCCCCACACACACATCTCATTCCCCCACCCCTTCCACACAGACACATTCCCTTCTGTGTTTCCATTGCCAGCTTCAGTCACTTGGCTGCTGCCGTGTTTTTTAACGCTTAGCGGAAGCGAAGCTGTGTGTGTGTCAGGAATGAGACAACAATGACTAACGTTTTTCGGGGAATTTGCAGCTTTTTTTTTCCTTCCCGTTTGCCATTTCTGTATCAAACAAACTACTTCTGCTTTCACCCCCCCCCCCACCCTCTGCAGGAACCACAGTTTGCAAATCAGAAATTTAAATAAGTGAGTGACAAGCAGTAGCATTATCACAGATTACCTGAGGGTAAAGGAAGCAATGAGACACCTGAAATAACAGGAAAATGGCTGATTAAGTGTACATGTGTGAGAGAGACATTTTATCTGTGTGTGTGTGTGCGTTTGAGACCATCCTATCTCTGTGTGAGTGTGTGGATATGACACCTTGCCTCTGTGTGTCTGTGTTTGTGCATGTGTGTTTGAGGACATCCTATCTGTGTGTGTGTGTGTGTGTGCGCGCCACCTTGCCTCTATTTGTGTGTGAGCGTGTTTGAGAACATCCTGTGTGTGTGACATGAGACATTCGATTTGTGTGCATGCATGAGCGTGTGTGTATTCCCACCTGTGTGGAGAGAGAATGTGTGAAATTTCAGAAGCATGAAATGTCAACTCTTTGAATGACTGGTGTATGTAGGAACTTCTCCTTCTGTATGCTTCAGCTCAAAAGATTATTTCTTCCGGTGTAAGATTTTGAAAGCAAATGGGATTCTGAGAATTTCTAAACCAAGCTGTTGAATATAATAGTGAATTTTAGTTGAGGATGTATAGAACATTAATGCGTGGTTAGAATATTGGATTCAGTTGACTCCCCAATACAGGAAGAATGACAGAGAGATTGAGAGGTTTCAGCAGCTATGGATATGAGATCAAAAGGGAACTGGATAGGACCTGAGCAGCAAAAACAACAGAGTTGAGAAGTGGGATTAACACTAGGGGTGCCTTAGTAAAACAGCTCGCAATGGTGTAGATATTGTGATTGACTGAATGGCCTCTGGGTAAAAATTACTGGTTCTATGTGGTTTAAACAGATCATTTAGAGCCTTGCAAGTCATACGTTCCAGGCGGTGATGCCCTTCAAAGTGATGATTTACTGATAAAAAAACGAGAGTTGGGATGTGCACAGTCTGCAGTTGTTAACAGCAGTGCATTTTTGTGCCAAGGGTTTTCAGTATTACCCTGAAAATGGAGAGAGTGCAAGTGTGAAATGCCAACTCTCTCTATATATATGACTGATGTATTGAGGAACTTCTTTCTAAGACGTTCCCAGTAAAAGGAATAGTTTCTCCCTGTGTCCCGGAAACAATCATTCAGACAAAATCAATTATTCACTTCATGGCTGGTTGTGAGACATTCTGTGAAGTGCTTTGAGACATCTTGATGAACTGATGAGGCGCTATATCAAATGCAAGGATTGTTATTATTATTTGTGAATATTATACGTTAATGTATTATTTTTTTTCTTAGGAATCTCTTTCCAGAGGCTGGTGAGAGCAGAACAGGGCCTAACAACCCCAAATCTTCAGAGCAAAACCATGTAAGCAAACCCACAGCTTCCAAACCCAAAATGGTGTCTTTGCTGAGCTTCACCAAGCTGCCACTGGATATCACACCCAGAGAAGGAGCACGGAGTAGTCATAGAATTATACAGCACAGAAGGAGGCCCTTCGGCCATCGAGCTGTCCAAATTAATCCCACTCCCCCGCTCTCTCCCCACAGCCCTGGAAATGTATCCTCCCCAAATATCTGTCTAATTATTATTATTTTGTCCGTCCACCTATGCCTGTAATGTACACCTGATTGGCAGCACTTCCAGCAGGCATTAGATTGGCCCGTTAATACCCTGACTGTTTGTGATTTCAGTGTTTTGGTTATTGTGATCAGCCTCTGAGGCAGTTCAGGGAGGAATTTACAATGCACAGCCTTTTGCCTACAAATATCCAATCACTACACTTTACTGTGAGATGCTCTGGAATATGATACGGTGCTGTATCAAATGTAAGCAACATTATTATACCCACTGGATAGATAAATTTGAAAATAATTTAGCGAGGCATGGCTTAATTAATCATAGATTTGTTAAAAGCAAGTTTTGCCTAATAAACTTAATGGAATTCTTTGAAGAAAATAACAATGTTGATAAGAAGACTGTGGTGGGTGTTGTGCATGTTGATTTTTAAAGGATATTTGATGAAGTGCCCAATGAGGAGCTTGTTCAATAAATAAAGCACACAGTATTAAAGAGTATGTGGTAGCATCTGTGGAAAGTTGACGAAAGCATCGAAAACAGTGAGGATTAAATAAGTGTTTTTCAGACTCGAAGGATACAGCTAAACAGTGGTGTCCCCCAGGAGTTATGGGATTGTACCATTTCAATTCTCTCTCTCTCTCTCTCTATATATATATATATACAAACACATACACAGGGTGACCAAAAAGTCGTGATACCATTATAAGTCTTAAAGAAATTATGATTTTTTTTTTAGATAATAGGGTAGATATGACTTTTTGGTCATCTTGAATATATATGTATTGCACCCCAGCAAGAGGAGGATGGTGATTGGGGCAACCTTAGGCAATTCTGCCCCCAACCTCTGTATGTATATATATATATAAAACTATACAGCGCTTCACAGGATTTACTGTAAAGTGTAGTGACTACATTTGTAGGTGAATATAAATAATTATATAATTATTTTGATCACTCAATCCATGACTGTTTGTAGAAGACTGCTGTGCGCAATTGCCTGCAGCCTTTTGCTCATAAAATATACAGTCAATTCACCTTACACTGTATTCTGTGAAGCGCTTTGAGACATCTCGGCAACGTGTTAAGGCGCTATATCAAATGCAAGGATTATTATTAAATGATCCAAAAGGACTTCGGTGCTGCACAACTCCAACATTCTTTAATGTGCAGAATCCTGTCACTTACATAATAATAAATAATAAACCTTGTATTTGATATAGAGCTTTGTCGTGTCATTGAGACGTATCAAAGCACTTCACAGAATATATTGCAAAATGAATTGACTTTATGTTTTGTGGGCAAAACACATGTGTCCAAGTACATGTGTGGAGTAGGTAACGTGCTGGAGATGTATGTTAGCACACGGCAAGCAGAGTGCACGGGTGGACACGGTGCAGGGGGTGGGCGATGCAGACTTGCGCTCGCTGCGCAGGCAGCGCTGGGTGTGGGAGGTGGATCACCGACTGATCCATGCGCTGCTGATTTCATTTGACTGCTCCGCCATCTGCTGGTGGTTTCACTGCGTTTCTTGTTGCAGGACGGTGCTGCTGCTGAACTCCTCTGAGGTGCCGAGTGAGTTTATGCTGGAGGCAGAGAGGATCGCGAGCCGGAAGCAGTCTCGGAGGCATTGCTGTATCAGTCTGGTTAAACATGCCTATCAGGCTGCGTTCGGCACCAAGTACAACCTCAGTGACATTCAAAACGCACTGGAGGTAAAGGCTATGGCTGATATCAGCCGATGTATGCGAATTCTGCTGTAGTCTGATCAACAACAGCAACGACAGCTTGAACTTATAATGCGCTCCTCATGCAGCCTAGTGTCCCAGAGCACCTGATAGTGGCAGAACAGCAACAACAACAAATTACATTTATATACTCTCGATCCAAAGAATTAAACAATAATGATAGAAAATGACTTCCTTTAGAAAAAAACAACAGATAAGGCAGCTCCAACGGTGTCGTGGATTACCGACCAGGAATTAACTCACTGGTTTGAATGCCGCCTGTGTTTGAGTTCACTGCTGTCAGCCAAGGGCTGCATAAGGAAGTTAAATTAGCCCCCGGCTTCCTGTAGTTAGGGAAGGGAAACCAGCCTCGCTCTCTGCACCTTTCACTGGTTGTCACCCAAGTGTGACAGCCAGGTGAGGAGCAATCAAGATGGGCTCTGACAGTCGACTGTCCTATTGACGTTCAGTGTCGAGGCGCACACAATGAACAATGGCCATATGGGTGGGGGGCAGGGTGTGTATGGGTGGGGGTGTGTGTATGGGTGGGGGTGTGAGTGGGGAAAGGCAGGGAAACCAGCACCATGGAATTGCTCCCCAGCAAGAGGAGGGTGGTGACTGGGGCAACCTTCCATCCCCCAATCACTCCACCTCAGCCCCTCCTTAGCCTCCTTCAAGTCCTGCCTAAAAACCCTCCTCTTCGACCATGCCATTGGTCCCCTCCCTTCTCCCCCCTGACCCCAGCTCGGGTCTGAAATGCTGTACACTGTCCAGCACCTTGGGACGTCCTCCTGACGTGAAAGATGCTATACAAATGTAATCTTGTTGTTGTTGTTAGGCAAGATCCCCTGTACCAATGAGGAGAAAAATCAGAAAAAGAATTGGACTCAATAATAATTATCCTGGCGTTTGATATAGCACCTTATCACGTCTTCGAGACGTCAGAAAGTGCTTCACAGAATATAATGTAAAGTGAATTGACTGTATGTTTTGTGAGCGAAATGTGGCAGCTAATTGCGCCTCCCGGTGGGGGTGGGTGGGGGGGGGCTGGGAGAGAGCTTTTTGTCTATTTGTCTTTTTTGGGGTGGAGTTGGAGAGAGGAGTGAATTGGTGTATTTTGGAAGTGCCAGAGCTATTTGCTGGTTTATTTGTTGAAGAGGCTGTGAGATGGCTTGGGAGGGAACGGAATTCACATGGTCTTTGCCCTGATGCCCAAAAGTGACTCCTCACTAGGATCAGACAAACCCTGTGCTGAGAAGCTATTTGTTGTGGATGTGTGTGTCTGTGTTTGTGATAAATATACTTTCATTTCTCTGGGGAAGAAAAAGAACTAAGTGCAAGCTTTTAACCTGGTGGCATTTTTTTTTCAGTCTAAATCGACGGAGGAGGTGCTGGAGATCTCGTCGAAATGTTCAGAGGTTCTGGAATCTGCTGGAGCCATGAAGGAAGTGGTGAAGAGCAGAGAGTATGTAGTGAGCCGACTGGAGGAGATCAGGGAAAGCTTAGGATTCACCTTGAGCTCAGGTACCTTCAAGGGCTGGAGAAAAGCCTGGATATTTCTTGTGCTAATTTTATTTGTTCTGAATTAACCCCCCTTCAAACGCAGGCTGTGTCCTCTGTTAATTGTTTTGTACGAACGATATGTTGAGACCGCTAAATGATGGGGAGAGTGAGTTACTCTTAAGCACGGTGAAGGGGTTCCCCATGTGCCACACACGCGGCTGAACCAAATAAAACAATAGAATGGGGAGAGCAGCCTGTGTGGGGGCTGATCCACAGTCAGCAGAGCCCCTCAGTCGGGTGTCATTCAGGGTGTCATGTTAGTTAAACTGCTTTTGCTGCTTTAATGAAATTTTTCATCTCTTCCCGTCACAGACCAGGGAAGGCTGGCAAAGTTACAGACCATCCCACTGCCTCCCGCCAATTGCCACAGTTACCACTGGGACCAAGATAATTTTGGTAAGTGCACCACAGTTGAGGTGAAGATAAAGGATGGAGCGGGGTGGGGGGGTGGGAGTGGAGGGTAAAATGTTAAGTTAAATGTTAGTCACTGCCCACCCTAACGGCAGCACTACTAGAAGCTGGGGTGAGGATAGCCGATGGGTTACTGTTACTTCTCCGCTAGTTAATTGTCCTTTTAACTATCAGAGTCCTGTAGTGTATTGGTTAGAGCATTCGCCTCGCAAGCGAGAGGTCCCAGGTTTGATTCCGGGCCAGGGCAAAATTGTAGGCAAGTTTCCTTCTTCTGAGCGCCTCTGTTTACCCAGCAGTAATTGGAACCTGGTTGTTAGTTGATCGGCAGATTGCTTCCACGAGTGTTTGTGTGCACTTGGCTGCCGTCAATACACTTTACAGTATCTTCTGTGGAGACATCTCAACGTCATGATGAGGCGCTGCATCAAATGCAAGGATTATTATTATTGTTATTTTGCGTTTTAGACATCCTGCATGACATACTCCAGAAGGAATGTGATATTCCCAGCGCAGCTATGCTGCCGCTGAATGACGATGAGGATGAGGAAGAAGAGGACGAGGATGAGGATGAGGGGGAGGACACTTTTGGACACGTACGAGACTCTGTGATATCAACAATATCGGTTTCATCTAAGGAGATGATGAAGTCGTTTGTGTCTAACATGTCGGGCTGTGTGGACAGTGGGTACGCAGAGGAGGGAGAGGAAGGTGTGTGCGAGACCCGTGACGAAGAACATCAAACTGCGACCAAGAGGCTGACAAAGAGAATCTTTAAGTTCTTCAGGGCCAAGTCCAGCCTCGCCAATAACATGCTCCCACCAGACCAAGCCGCCTGCTCCTGGCCTCTCCGCAGAGCTGGGAGCCTGGACTACGCCACCACCAAATGCAAACTGCGTTTGAAATCCCGGCGCTCGCAATCCCTGCCCCAGCAAGTGACCGGAGCCCTGAGGGTGGACACACACTTGCCGCACAGCACCGGCTACAAGCGCCGGCCGTACCTCAGCTTCGAGGACGAAACTAAAATCATGACGCTGCGTGTTGTGGTGTTCGGCACCGACCGAATGCTGGGAAAAGTAGCGAGAGCTTACAGCAATCTCAGGTAAAAGATAACGAACATAGTCTGTCCTTCTGGGGAGCGAAACTGCCACTTGTTGCTGCCATTCACTGTGTGGGCACGGGCTGTGGCTCACTGTGTGGGCACGGGCTGTGGCTCACTGTGGGCACGGGCTGTGGCTCACTGTGGGCACGGGCTGTGGCTCACTGTGGGCACGGGCTGTGGCTCACTGTGTGGGTACGGGCTGTGGCTCACTGTGGGCACGGGCTGTGGCTCACTGTGTGGGCACGGGCTGTGGCTCACTGTGTGGGCACGGGCTGTGGCTCACTGTGTGGGCACGGGCTGTGGCTCACTGTGTGGGCACGGGCTGTGGCTCACTGTGGGCACGGGTTGTGGCTCACTGTGTGGGCACGGGCTGTGGCCCACTGTGTGGGCACGGGCTGTGGCTCACTGTGTGGGTACGGGTTGTGGCTCACTGTGTGGGTACGGGTTGTGGCTCACTGTGTGGGTACGGGTTGTGGCTCACTGTGTGGGTATGGGTTGTGGCTCACTGTGTGGGTACGGGTTGTGGCTCACTGTGGGTACGGGTTGTGGCTCACTGTGTGGGTACGGGTTGTGGCTCACTGTGTGGGTACGGTTTGTGGCTCACTGTGTGGGTACGGGTTGTGGCTCACTGTGTGGGTACAGGTTGTGGCTCACTGTGGGTACGGGTTATGGCTCCTTAATGCGACTATTGCTATCAGTCCCGATATCAACGACAGCTGTGTGTGTTGACAGTGTGTTCATTGCAAACATACCCGGGTCTCGGTTGTTTTGCCGTTGCTGGGTGGGTTATTGGATTCTGGATTATTTCACGTAAATGTTTTGGCACAGATCTATTCATGGACATTATGAGGGGGCAGGGAGGGAAGAGGAAACAAGGAATATGAAGCAACAAATACCATAAGCAGAAAAAAAGCTGAATATTGGATACCTAAGTGTTGTGTCTTGTATTAAAATCTGGATACTAGTTGGGCTGCTTGATTCCGTCACCTTAGCCAATGGGCCCTGGGAAAGGTGTGGCTCTGAACTGTAACAGAGGCATCGCCCAAACAGTCAGTACATCACACGGGAAAATTGCCAAGTGAATGGACACACCCAAACCCCACGTACGCAGTTCACAGCAGCATCTCTGCAAGCAGGCAGAGTGTCGGAGAGAACAGTCGCTCTTCTAACAGTCAACAGATTGCTCAAGATCTATCTTTTAAATGTAGTTTATTATGCCCTCGTGACGCCCATTAAACTCTCAGATTTCCCTGATGCCGTGATGATGAGGTGCGCGAGGGAGCAAATCTCTCCTCATTGTCTGTCATTGAGAATTACCCCCAGTGTCGGTTGCTCCCAGGTAATTTGTGTTCCATTACTCCAATGAATAGGCTTGAGATTATCTGTAATCTAACAGAGTTAGGTCCTGGTACAGTCAGCAGCTCTGGCTTGTTGTAGGACACTATCGATCAGGATCTGTTAGGAACATCAGAAAGAGCTATCAACAACAACTTGCATTTATATAATAATACTTCCCGTGGGGTAGTGTCCCAGAGCACTTGAAACCCATTATCAAGCCCAATGAGACTGCTCAGCCAGTGTATCGGATCACGACAGAACTTTAAACCCCATATCCTCACGTTTTCCCTATGCCCCTAAATACCCTTTCATCTCAGAGCTTATTTATCTCCCTTTCAAGTATTTCTAGTGATTTTGCCTCAGGTGTCTTCTGGGGGCATGACAACCTTCTCTGTGAAGAAATATATTCTAGACATCCTAATTCCCAATTTACGTGCCCCTCCACCAGTTGCTGTGGATGATTTGAGTCGTGTGTTGGATGATTTCCCGCTGGACGTTGGAGCCCTCATACTGCTCCGCAGTTCTGGGGAATTGCTTTCTGCATACCTGTCATCCGATTCCCAATTCATTCATCTAATTGATGGCTATCGGGTTGCCGGAGCAAGTTGAGGATCATTTGACGGGGGGGGGTCTATGTTTTAAATAGAGAGCAAACAAAGCATCTTTAGAGATGAGAGGGATGATGTTTAATTGGAATATTTTTTCACTTTAGGATACAAGAAAGCAAATCTCCTTTTCTCACGAAATACTTCAAGATGCAGTTTTTTCATATTCCTCTGAAAGAAAATATTCCAAGGGTTCCAGTGTCACTCAGCTCTGCCCCCGATAACCAACGTCGCTCATCCATACAGCAGGTAATCATTCACTGTGCACAGTCCTGGGACCAGGGAGTCCTATAGCGTAGTGGTTAGAGCACTTGCCTCACAAGCGAGAGGACCCAGGTTCGATTCCCGGGCAGGGTGAAATCTTAGGCAAGGTATAATATAGTAATAATAATATTACTACTACTAATAATATAATCCTTATATTTGATATAGCACTTTATCATGGCTTCGAGATGTCTCAAAGTGCTTCAAAGAATATGCTGTAAAGTTAATTGACTGTACACTTTGTGGGTGAAAGTTTCTTTACTCCGCGCGGCTCTGTTTACCTAACAGTAAGGAACCTGTTTGTTAGTCGATTGGCAGATCACGTTCCCAGGGGTAATAATCCGTTAAAAAAAATGTGGTCACTCAGTCCACGACTGTTTGTGGGACACTGGTGGGCGCATTTGGCTGCCGAGTTTGGCCCTCAAAATATACTGTCGGTTCACTTTACAGTATATTCTGTGAAGCGCTTTGAGACGTCTCAAAGCCGCAATAAGGCAGTGTATCAAATGCAAGGATTATTAGTGTTATTTACTCCCCTTATCCTGCCCTGTGTGGCAATACTGTATCAGCACTGTCCTCGCTAAGACACACCAGCTCGTATCTCACTCTAACCGTTCTCTTGCGTTGAGGTTAGGGCATTGCACGTGGTTGTGACGAGTAATGGTGTCTGATGGGGATTGCACAGCTGTCCTCGTGCTAATGGGTGGGTTTGAGCCAATCACAGTCATGTCAAAATGTTTGCCATATTTTGGATGTCGGAGCTGAGTGTGTCCAATCTGTGCTGATGGTGAAGGTTTCCTGCCCCTCCCCATTCGTCACTCAATCCCGGTTGTCCCTCTCCACCTCCCTCCATACGCCACTCACTCGCTGTAAATGCCCCGAGGCGCTGGGCCAGGAGCGAGTGAGCCACCTGGAAGATATTTTTTTTTTAAGCCAGGAGAGAAAAAGTGTTTAGTCGGTGACAAACCCTTCGCTTTGCTTGCTTTAGGACTGCGAGGACGCAGGGAAGAACAGCAACGACCGCATCGCTCAGTACCTGGGAATGCTGGATCCTTGGTATCAACGCAACGTCCTTGACTTACTGAACCTCCCCACAGACCTGCTGTGTCAGGTCAGCCTCACTCCCTGTGTGACCCTTGGAGTACGATCTCTCGTGCTCTTTCGGGATGCAAAGTCTCTGTCTCTACACTGTCTCCCTTTCTCTCCGCTCTCTCTCTCTCCCCTACAGTCTCTCTTCCTCCCACTCCCATCCCCACCTCTTGAGGGCTCCTCCTTCCCTCCCCATGAGTGTCTCTCTGTTTCTCCCCCACACATGTGTCCTTCTACTCCCCCCACCCCCACAGTGAAAGAAAGCGCCCCACTTTGCGAGGCAGTTAGAGTTACCGCTGACCAGGAGAGGGGGGGTCAGTGTAGTCATCTCTTTATCTCTCTGATTACAGGAGCCTTCCAAGCCTGAGAACGGTCATGGCGGAGGAACGCAAGACAAGCTCTCGATCCTCGGGGACCTGACGCTGTATTATTGCAGGAATGCAGCTCAACCAGTGCTGATCCAGCTGTTCCAGGCAGAGGTGAGTTGGCCCTGGGGTTGCCGCCCTCTGGCTGTGTCCCCACTCCGTGGCGCCAGCTCTTGTGCGAGAAAGCAGATAAATCCAAATGGCCATGGGTGGAAGTGATTGTCCGAGCTTTCAGCCAATATTGCCCGAAACTCTGGAACACTCTTCTTCCATCCCACTGTCTTGCCCTTTCCTTCCTAATTTTCAAGTCGCGCCTGAAGACCTTCCTGTTCGACCGTGCCTACGGTCACCCCACCATCCCCACCCAGGCTTGGCATCATGCTCCACCACTGTCGAGCGCTTTGGGATGCTGCCCTGCGTAAGGGGCGCTATATAAATGCAAGTTGTTGTTGTTGACCTACTGGACGTTGAACTGGACGAAATTCACTCAGCTTCGCTGATTTCTTTTAATCTTTTTGTCTAACAATAAATATTCTCCCCGATTCTGTGAGGGAGTAATAGTCATAATAATATTACAATAATATGCCTCTATAATACTGATTCCTTAGTGTAAAGATCTTGTGTAAAGTTGAGTCGCTGTGCATTTTGCACCCACTTGGTACACGCCAATGATGTCCCACAAACAGCCGCCAAGTGAATGATCAGTTTTATTTGGGGGATTGTCAGGCCCGGGACTGAGCCACTGTTATTGGCAACAAGACTTTCGGACAACCGAGGAAGAGGTTCTGCACTGAACACAACTGCATTTTATGGGCTTTGTTACAGACAACATTCCTGGCAGCATTGACCTGTAATATGGTACGGACATTGATGTGATTTACTCCATAGGAAAGAAGGAGGCCGTTCAGCCCTTCGAGCCTGTTCCACCATTCAATTAGATCGTGGCTGATCTCTACCTCAACTAATCCTTTCAATTCCAATTTCCTGCTTTCTCCCCTTATCCCTTGATACACTAACCTACTAAAAATCTATCAACCTCACTCTTGAAGGTGTGGATGGATGCAGCATCCACAGCCTTTTGGGAGAAAGAATTCCAGATTTCTACCATGCTTTGAGTGAAAAAAATGCTTCCTAATTTCACTCTTAAATGTCCAGGCTCTAATTTTAAGACTATACCCCCTTGTTTTGGATTCCCCCACCAGAGAAAATATCTTCTCTGTATCTGTCGAATCCCTTTAGCATCTTAAGCACCTCAATCAAATCACTCCTCAACCTTCTAAGCTCAAGAAAATCCAATCTACATTTAATTTCGCAGCCTTTCCTCGTAACTGAACTCTTTTAAGGCCTGGTAACATTCTAGTGAACCTGCAGTGCACCCTCGCCAAGGGCTAATATAACGTTCCTGAGGTGTGGTGCCCAAAACTGAACGGGGTCTGACCAATACTCTATAATAGAGTTGGTTAGAGTTTTCATCCTGTGGGTGTATCAATTTTGTCTTTGTCTCAGGAGAATGCAGCCCATGGCAAGTAACTAACTCATCTCATTTTGCTGATAGCTAACACTTGCAGGTGGGGAGAAAAAATCTGAGGTCTTCATCTACTCGTTGGAGATGGGTCAATCTGCTGCCACAAGGGCCATCAAGGCTTCAGGTGGGTTCTTGCAATGCTGTCTCACAAATACACAGATGTGTTAAGTAGCACAGAACAAGAATCCACAGAAACTCTCACTGAACCACAGTGTGTGTGTGTGAGTGTGGGGTTGGGGGGGAGGGAAGGAATCTTTATTGTACACACGACATTTGTGTTTGACAACGAAACAGTTAATACACTGAACAGCATTTAATGGTTGAGCGTTTTCAGAAGTTTTGAACTTCAAACTGTAAGTTCTTTCATTCCAAAGCCTGTGTCGCAAGTTGGAGCTGTCGACATGGATAGTTATGTTTAACTTTGACAAATATCTTCCTGAATCTTTTCCCCCTTGTTTTTTTTTAGGGGCAGGGAAGAAGCGTCTAGGCATCGATGGTGACAGAGAGGCCGTTCCATTAGCATTACAGATTTCTTACAGTCGGGTACGTGAATTACACACTGACACCCAGAGCTTGGTATGTGAATTATATACTGACACACAGAGCTGTGTATTTATATTACACATTGACACACAGAGTCGCTAAAATAATAATAATCCTTGCATTTGATATAGTGCCTTATCACGTCTTTGAGGCGTCTCAAAGCGCTTCACAGGATATACGTGTAAAGTTACCAAGTCAATGTGTGAATTACACACTGACCTGGTACCTGCTGTGAATGGGTCTGTTATGGAATTAATGAGCAGCACAGTACAGTACAGCTATGGCTTATTGGGCACTGATTCAGAAGAGACATAATCCTGGAGCATTATTAACATAATGAGATATTTTGAGTTCATTAGTTTTCTTAGATTAATAACATGTTATTAGTGACTTGCACTGTGTCTAATTGTCTTGTTCTTTGCTCCGCTGTCAGGCTACAGTCAGCAGAAGAAACCAGTGGAACGATGTGGAAAAAAGCTGCACATCAGTAAACCTGAGGAAGGCATGCAAGAGACACGATGGGCTGGGTAAAAACTCTACTCAATATCTTAAGAGACATCAGCCATTCTGCAGCTTCCTGTAACTCCAAACCCTGAGTGTCTTTGCCTTGCTTTCTACCTCCCTACAAGACCTGCATTAAGACCCAACTCTCTCTGACCGTGATGGGTCTTAAGGCTACCTCCCTCCCCCTACCCCTTCCTCCCTGAGCTTCCCCTCAATTCACCCTGCCTACCCCCAGCTCAGACTCCCAGTCAGCTGTGTGAAGCATTCACAGATGTTCTCCCAACATGAAAAGGCCTGTACAGATGTAAATTGTTGCTGTTATTCTGATCAAATTGCTTTATTGAGCTGAAAGGGAGAAAACTGCCGTTCAGTGCAGGGCTGTGCGATCAAACAGTAATGCCAAACAAAACTCCCAAGTCTATACCCTGCCCATCGTTGACTCCACATTCAGTTATTCACACATGTTAGGAGGTACTTCTATGTCCCAAGTACTCAGCATTTTTTCTGTTTCCCCAATTATGGCCCTTAAATTGGCCACTGGAGTCTCATGTTCCCATCCCAATTGATCAAGACCAGACCATGGGAAAAGGCAGAGGCACAATTCGATGGCTGAAGAGAGAAACAGGTCCAAGCACATCGATACCTATTACCTAGACCTGAATCAGCCCTGTTCTTACACAGTGCACTGGTTTTACCAACTTTTCTTTATTTGTGTCTGTGTCAGAAGCCAGTCCGGAATACCTCCATCTCTCGATGACTGAAGTGGTCAAGCGGCAAAACTCCAAAACCAAGATGAGTTATAATCAGGTGAGTGAGCGCAGGTTGCTTTGGCTGAGGTCGGTGTCTGGCCAGAGTGCTGACCTATCATCAGCAAAGGTTGCTAAAGACCAATAAAAGGTACAGAGAGTCGTCAGGAAGGACTCAATCACTCAGCATAAAGTGAATTGGTTATCTAGGCCCAGAACAGCGCAGGCTAATAAATTTTATTAATAATAATACTTGTTTTTGAAACAGCATTTATAATGATCGACCAAAGTGTTTCACAGTGAATGTTTGCGGTCATTTCTTGTGTACCTTAAGAACATAAGAATTTCTNGGCGAAAGAAGACCAAGGTCTGTCGAGTTTGCCTTCCACCATCCTGGCAGTCGCTTGACATGTCGTGTCCCAAACTATACACTGTATCCCGAGATATTATTTTCTACCTTACCAAATGTCTTCTGGGGAAATGGGGAGGCCAGTGAGGAAAATGTTGGACAATCTAAAGTGGAGGAGATAAAGGTGTAGATAAGGGTTTGAGAGGCTGCAGTGGGGTGAGGTGGAGCATAGGCTGTAATACACAGGGTTTGGTTCTGTTTGGATCTAAGGGTTTCTCTTTTCTTTCAGCAAATAAGTGTGACGCGAATCAAAGTTGACAAAGTGCAAGTGCTTGGGCGCAATAGCACCACCTTCGTCGTGTGCTTTGACCAGGATGAGCAAAAGGTTCTTCAGAGTGTGACTAGGTAGGCAAATCACCTCACTCTGTAATAATAATAATAATCTTTGCACTTGATATAACGCCTTATCACGTCTTTGAAGTGTCTCAAAGCACTTCACAGAATAGACTGTAAAGTGTAGTGACTGTATATTTTGTGGATGAAACGACAAAATCTAGCTCCATATCTTGTTCCTGGCAGCACAGATTTATGTTGTTTTCAGGTCAATAAAAATGCAAATGTTGTATGCATCCCAGTTAGTAGCAGTAGCCTAACTGCCTTACAGGCAGACCAGTACAGCGCCAGTGCAAATGTACCCTGCACAGGTTGCCCTTTTGCACCATGCAAGTTCCTAGAGTCTTCTTCAACAACAAATTGCATTTATACAGCACCTTCCACGTCGGGAGGACATCCGACATTGGACATTGAGGTGTTTGCACCCGAGCTACAAATTGGGATCAGAGAGGGCAAGTGGCGGTGGAGGAGGGAAGATAACCAAAGGCATGATCGAAAAGGAAGTCTTGAGGCGGGCCTTGAAGGAGGCAAAGGAGGGGGAGAAATCAGATTGCTTTGTGTTAAACAAGATGAAACAAGAATTCTCCGAAGTGTGGCCATCTTATGTATTCCAGTCTGAATTTAATAATAATGTGCCTTGCATTTTTTCTAGCGCCTTTCCCACCAGGATAACGTCTCAATCACTTCATGGGGTATGCTGTGGAGTGTAAAAGACTGATTTGTTTGCAGCGAATTTTAATCTGATATCTATGGTTCGTTTTTAGGTGCGAGGTGTCTGTGTGTTACAAGCCTGAGAAGATGGTGCTACAGAGGCTGAGGAAAGAGAGCCACTTTCAACAGCACCCATCAAAGTACTACTCCCTGCTCTGTCTTCCCATTGTTACCTTCAGTGGCCCAATACCATAGAGCCTCAGTGTGCATGGCACATCTTCCTTCCACACCACCGTGACAACACAACACTTCACCGTATCGCAACGCACTTCCCTTAGAAAAGTGACTCTTCTTGGTGTTTCAAGAAGTATTCAGGGGAAGTGGCAAAGTCAAAGCGTGTAACAATTGACATTGGCTTTGTATTAGGGCAGCAGATTTCATAACATTCTCACGGAAGCTGGCAAGGTGACGTGTCACTGCTCAGCTTCATGAGGAAGTGAGAGAGCTCCAGGGGAGGCCCGAGAGGCAGACTCCCAAATATGTTTCTATCTGAATAGGTGGTCACATTGTGCTGTAGAGGCTAAGATCCAATCATATAAAGGGAGCTCCAAATCTCAGGCAGATGATTGAAGGAGGTGCCAAGCAAGTGGTGGAATATCTGGCCATCCCAGGCCATTGCCATACATCCTGAAGGCTGGCGTAGGTGGTCTGCCTCTCTGTGGCTGTGTGATAGCGTGTGATGTGGAGAGCGGAGGCGGTATGTGGTCTACAGAGTGGAGAAAGTGAGTGATATTGAGAGTGTGTGGGGGTGGAGGGCGGGCAGTGGCGGGTTGGTCTAGAGTGCATGTGATTGACTGAGCTGAAGGAAAATTATTACCGATCACCGTAATAGTAACGTCTGAAATCCTGAGATTCAGTTTCTAGTTAATGAAGAGTTGTGGGGTAAGATTGCCAGAATAAGATTTATTTCCATTCCTCTTGGTCAAGCTTGTTGCACTCGCGAAAAGTTCAAAAAATAATATCCTTAACTGTTTGAAGACAAGAAGAGGCTGCGCTAAATGAAAGTCAATCAAAGAGTTCCTTCTGCTCAGTATCGCACTTTGTAAACTTTAAGACCATTGGAAGGTTAACAGGCCGTGATGTTTTGCAGATATTAAAATGATTGATGCACGTACGTTTGAAAGTTGAATACAGGAGTTTGAATGTTCTCTGATTGACGTGTGACTGGAATGTCTTCGAGGCTGACCACAGGAATAGTACCAAGGGTTGGATAAAGTGTTGATGTCATACATCATTTACTTCTACCTCACTTGTGGCTACACCTTAGAGACCATACAGCGAGATGGAATTTATGAACACTTCGAAACGCTTAGACTTATAAAGGGCAGGACATGCTTTATGAATTTTACTGAATTCTTTTAAGGAAATCACAATGTATGTAGATATATAAAGGGACCTGAAGCCCATATTCTTGTACATTTTTAAGAGACACTGTGATCTGAATTGTACAGTTAAAAATGGTCAAAAGATTCTGTAAAAATGTCTTGTTTATTTTCACCCCATGAAGGTTTAATTCTAAAGAAATAAAAAGTCAAAATAATGAATATTCATAATTTAATGTTTAATGATTTGCAAGAACTTTGTTGGAGATTACATCTTACAGATTGACGGTATGGGTCTTGTTGCTTGACACTTTACACTTACATTTATTTAGCTTTACTTTCACCAACAATAACAACAACTTGCATTTATATAACGCTCGTCACGCAGGGTAAATCTTACCGCACACCTCTTCATTAACTAGCGACTAGTGCTCATCACGCAGGGTATCCCCCTGGAAGTCCTCCCTTTGAATTTTCCTCCGGCTGAATCCCCCTCTTCATAACGCTGAATGTTATAATGAAGTCCAGCACATTTATTCTGAAGCGGCTTCCATAACAGCTTCCCCCGTGTATCCAGTGAGTAACAGGTCTGCTGCCCTGAGTCAGCTGATCACAACCGGAGAGTTTTTGTGACAATTGTTGTGAGCGCTCGAAGAGTTCACATTCCTGATCTGGTGGCCATTGGTTTACAGGGTTAATGGTAACTGCCGATGAGCCAGGCTGGTTGGTGCGCAAGTGGCTTTGAGTTTCATGGACCAAACTGACTCGGGGTGGGGGGAGGGGGAATGACTGAGACTGCACAGAATATCAACTTGATTCTGATTCCACTGCAAGACTTGTCACCTTGGAGTCTCCAACAGACCCCACTGATCTGGTTGGTAATTTTGTGTAACGAAGCAGGGCTTATTGGATAATGAAGCGGGCTAATCAGTAATCTTGAAGTTAAGGCTCCTCTTGGGCAGAGTGACCATAATATTTTACTATTTACTATTAAGTTTGCGAGTGATGTAGTTAAGTTTGTAACAAGAGTCTTAAACTTAAATAAAACCAACTTTGTAGGCACGAAGGACGACTTGGCTAAAATCTACTGGGAAAGTAGATGGTAGACAAGTAATGGCAAACGTTCAAAGATATATTAGATAATTCCCAGCGAACGCATATTCCCTTGAGAAATAAAAATTCCACAGGAAACGTGGCTAAATAGAGAATTAAGGAAAGCACAAAATTAACAGAAGAGGTCTATAATACTGCCAAAAAGAGCTGTAAACCTGAGGAGTGGGAGGGCTTTAGCGATCAGCAAGAAACTGATTAAGAGGGAGAAAATGGAATACGAGAGTAAACTAGCTAGAGACATAAAGACAGATTGTAAGAGCTTTTACAAGTACATAAAGAGGAAGAGATTAACAAAAGTAAATGTAGGTCCCTTTAAAGGCAGAGACAGAAAAAATTATAATGGGGAATAAAGAAATGGCAGAATCACTAAACAAATACTTTGCTTCTGTCTTCACATTGGAAGATATTAAAAACTTACCAGAAATAGTGGGGAACCAAGAGCCTAATGTTAGTGATGAACTTAAAGAAATTAATATCAGTAAAGCAATAGTACTAGAGGAATTAATGGGACTAAAAACCGATAAATCCCCTGGACTTGTTGGCCTGCTTCCTAGGGTTTTAAAAGAGATGGCTGCCGAAATAGTGGATGCCTTGTTTTTATTTTCCAGAATTCCCTGGATTCTGATTCTAACACTGCTATTTAAGAAGGGTGGGAGAGGAAAAATGGGAAGCTATTGACCAATTAGCCTGACATTGGTGGTAGGGAAAATTCTAGAGTCTATAATTAAGGACGTTGTCATGGGGCAGTTAAAAAGTCATCATATGATTAGGAGGAGTCAACACGGTTTTATGAAAAGGAAATCATGTTTAACAAATCTTTTAGTTTTTTGAAGATGTAACTAGCAGGTTAGATAGAGGGGAACCAGTGGATAGTAATAATAATAATCCTTGCATTTGATAGAGCGCTTTTCATGTCCTAGACGTCTCAAAGTGCTCACAGAATATGCTGTAAAGTGAATTGACTGTATAAAGCACTTAGATTTTCAGAGGGCATTCGACAAGGTGCTACATGAAAGATTGTTACATAAGATTAGGGCTCATGGAATTAAGGGTAATTTATTAGCATGGATCGAAGAATGGTTAACTGGCCGAAAACATAGAGTAGGGAATAAACGGATCCGTCTCAGATTGGCAGGTTGTGACTATGGAAGGGTCGCAAGGATCAGTGCTTGGGCCTCAACTGTTTACAGTCTACATCAATGACTTAGATGAGGAAATAGAGCTTAATATATCTAAATTCACAGATGATACAAAGCTAGGTGGGAAAGTAAGCTGTGAGGAGGACACAAAGAGGATGCAAAGGGATATAGACAGTTTAACTGAGTGGGCAAGAAGGTGGCAGATGGAATATAATGTGGGGAAGTGAGAAGTTATTCACCTTGGTAGAAAAAATAAAAAAGCAGATTATTTTCTAGAGGGGGAGAAACTAGGTAGTGTTAGTGTTCAGAGGGATTTAGTTGTCCTCGTACGCCAATCACAGAAAGTACAGCAAGCAATTAGGAAGGCTAAAAACACGTAAGCACTTATTGCAAAGAGGTTAGAGTACAAGAGTAGGGAAGTCTTACTATAATTGTAAAGGGCCTTGGTGAAACCGCATCTGGAATATTGTGTGCAGTTTTGGTCTCCTTATCTAAGAAAGGACATACTCGCCTTAGAGGGGGTGCAATGTAGGTTCACTAGGTTGGTTCCTGGGATGAGGGGGTTGACCTATGAGGATAGATTGAGTAAACTAGGCTAATATTCTCTAGAATATAAAAGAATTAGAGGTGATCTTATAGAAACCTATAAAATTCTTAAGGGTCTTAACGGTAGATAGGGTGAGACTGTTTCCCTTGGTTGGAGAATCTAAAACTAGGGGTCACAGTCTCAGGATTAAAGGTCAGCCCTTTAGAACTGAGTTGAGAAAACATTTCTTCACTCGGAGGGTAGTGAATTTATGGAATTCTCTACCCCAGAAGGATGTGGATGCTCAGTCATTGAACATATTCAAGACTGAGATCGATAGATTTTTAAAAACTAAAGGGATTAAGGGGTATGGGGATAGGGCATGTAAATGGAATTAGGTTAGAAAATCAGTCATGATCTTATTAAATGGCGGGGCAGGCTCGAGGGATTGAATGGCCTACTCCTGCTCGTATTTCTTATGTTCATTAGACTGGTGGGAGATAGGGGAGATTATTAGGAAATAATGGCTATAGTAAAAATAATAATTCTTGCATTTGATATAGCACCTTATCATGTAGCTGAGACGTCTCAAAGCACTTCTCAGAATATACTGTAAAGTGAATTGACTACATATATTTAAAATATACAATGTTTTGGAGTAATAATAATTCTTGCATTTGATATCGTGCCTTATCACATCTTTGAGATGTCTCAAAGCGCTTCACAAAACATAAAAACTCCCCAAAACTCTGGAACACACTCCCTCAATCCCTCTTCCTTGCTCCTCTCTCGCCCCTTTTTCAAGTCCCACCTGAAAACCTTCCTTTTGGCCGTGCTTACGGCCACCTCCACCCACCCTCCCCCACCGGCTCAGAGTCAGGCTCCTCCACTGTTAAGTGCTCTGAGAAGCTACCCTGTGTGGAGGGCGCTACATAAGTGCAAGTTGTTGTTGTAATACTAATCCTTGTATTTGACATAGGGCCTTATCACGTATTCGAGACGTCTCAAAGCGCTTCACGGAATGCGCTGTGAAGTGGATTGACTGTATACTTTGTGGGTGAAATGCAGCAGCCAATTGTGCACGGCAGTGGAATGGGCCATCAAATCATCATTTTTTTTCGAAGGAATTATTATCTCCGGAAAAGTGATCCGCCAATCGACTAAGAACCGGTTTCCTGCTCGCTGCTAGGTAAACAGAGGCGTGTGGAGCGAGGCAACTTGCCCAACATTTTGCCCTGCCCAGGAACTGAACCCAGGTCTCTCACGTGTAAATTGAATTGACTGTATATTTTCTTGGGGCGAAATCTAGAGAAAAAGGGATTAAAATATCTGCCATGATGTCATGTACTATATATAGATTGGTGGGAGCCTCTGTTTCGAGTTTCTTTGAAACTCTCCCCAGTTGTAACTTTAGACGTAGGGGAATTTCCACCACTTCCTACTTTGGGGTTTGAGTGACAACACCAACACCCCTATCAGGACTTGTAAAGCCCTCAGAGGGCAGAATCTACTGACAGGTGAATCAACTGAGTGAGAAACTAGTGACTGACATCGCTGATTCAGATCAGACTCTACACCCCCTCCACCGCCCCCACCCCCAGCCCAGGACTGAGATCAGACTCTACACCCCCCCACCCCCAGCCCAGGACTGAGATCAGACTCTACACCCCCCCACCCCCACCCCCAGCCCAGAACTGAGATCAGACTCTACACCCCCCCACCCCCAGCCCAGGACTGAGATCAGACTCTACCCCCAGCCCAGGACTGAGATCAGACTCTACACCACCCCCCAGCCCAGGACTGAGATCAGACTCTACACCCCCCCACCCCCAGCCCAGGACTGAGATCAGACTCTACACCCACCCCAGCCCAGGACTGAGATCAGACTCTACACCCCCACCCCCAGCCCAGGACTGAGATCAGACTCTACACCCCCCCACCCCCAGCCCAGGACTGAGATCAGACCACCCACACACACGCAGCACCTGTCCAGCCTGCAGCACTCTGACCTGTACAGGTGAGTCCGGCTAATTACATTCACTTGTCAAGATTCTTGTTGCACTTTACATGTCACAGAGCAAAGCTGCACTTGCTTTCCAGTCTCTCTTTATCAATGAGGTAGGTGGGATGTTTGATACGGAAATGTTTTTTATTTTAGCAATTATCGGATGTAATCAATAAATTATCAGACTGATAAACAGCTGTCTGACTACCTTGTCCATGCCAATAGCAATAACTGGTGCATTCACTATTCTAATCTTGGTTTGCAATGACAGATAAAACATGTACAGTGGTTGGTGTAAAGAAATGCAGGTAATAATAATAATAATAATCCTTGCATTTGATATAGCGCTTTTCGTTCAGGGAAAGGCTGTATCTGATAGGAGAGGTTTATGTGTGTGAATGTCTGGATGTGTGTGAGTGTGTATGTGTCTGTGAGCTTCTGTGCTGGGGTTAGGGTGACCACACGTCCCCAATTCTCCGAGGACAGCCCCTGGATGAGTATTGTGTCCCTGGCCAAATTAGCCCTGTCTCGAGTTGAGTAACAAACTAAGCAAGAACTATAAAATTCTAAAACAGAACGGATACGTTCCTCAGAGAAACACAGCCATTCATCCAACAAGCTTCTCCAGCGCCGTACTGCCAGCATCAACGATTGTGGTGAGTTTCATTTTTTTTATATACCTGTCCCTGGATTTGTTTCAGATAACATGGTCGTCCTGTAAATGTATGGCATCATTGAAGATGTCATCTTTCAAATGAGATGTTAAACTGAGATACTGTCTGGCTGCTCATGGAGTTCTGTAGCTCAGTGGTTAGAGAACTCGCCTCGCAAGCGAGAGGACCTGGTTTGGATTCCTGGCTGGGCAAAACGATGGACAAGTTTCCTTACTCCACATGCCTCTGTTTACCTTGCAGTAATTAGGAACCCAGTTGTTAGTCAATTGGTGGATTGTTTTTCTGGGGATAATAATCTCTTCAAAAAAAAATGTTAAAAATAATAATTTGATCACTCAGTCCACGACTGTTTGCAGGACACTGCTGCGCGCAATTGACTGCCACGTTTTGCCCATAAAACATACAGTCAATTCACTTTGCAGTATATTCCGTGAAGCGCTTTGAGACGTCTAGATGACGTGCTAAGGCGCTATATCAAATGCGAGGATTGTCATTATTATTATAACATTATTCTAAAATGATTCAAAATGAGAAATGAATTTCTGAATGTCCTCGCTGACAGTTCCCCAGATAAAATTGATCATTGACTTCATGGAGGTTCGGGGGAATTTGATGTACACAAATTGGCTGATGTATTGGCCCACAAAATACAGTCAACGTACTTTACAATAAATCATGTGAAGCACTTTGAGAAATCTTCCCAACGTGAATTCCCCCATATCAAATGCAGGGGTTATTTTTATTATAAGGAGGTGGAGGCAGTTTGCATTAGCAAATTCAAGAGAGGGTGTTCAAGGTGTCACTTTGAAGTCATGTTAAACTATTAGACAAAGTGTATGCATTCCACCAGCAGGTCAAACCATTCTCAAAGTACTTACCTGTAATGGATTAATGGGACAGTGACTTGAGTCAGTGGCTGAATTAGAGCTATAACACTACATCACAATGTGTGTGCCTCACAGGAGCACATGTTGGAACTCTATGCTGGTTTAGTCCCACTCGCCACATCCGAGAGACGTCACTTACCCAATGATACATATTTAACCTGGACTATACTGATATAGGCACACTGTGTAGTAACTAACAATGTAGGCTGTCACATTTCGCCCATAAAATACACAGTTAATTCACTTTACAATATATTGTTGTGAAGTGCTTTGAGATGACGTGATAAGGCTCCATATCAAATGCAAGGATTATTCTTATTATTACTATGTATTGTGCAGACTGATGCAGTAGCCTATTTCGCATACAGCAAAGTCCCACACTTAGCCATTAAGCAAATAACTAATTTTTTCTAGAGGATTGTTGGCGGGAATCCTCAGAGAAATTCCCTTCTCTTGTAGAATAGTGCCATGGGATCTCAAGCTTCCAGCTGAACAGGCAGCGATTCCCCAGGAGTTATTGGTCAATAACAAAATGAATTTTCTTGATTGAATCTTTCTCGATTCATATCATAAATAAAACATTGATTTAAAACACTCACTTGAGACTTGTGTGAATGTTTGGAGGGCCACTTCTGGACCTGCCCATGGGCCACCACTGACCTCGACTATGAGCTCAATGTCCCAATACAGGGCTTCAACCCACAACCTGGAGTCAGGTGGGTGGTGGCCCTGGATAGGTGGGTGGGTGGGTGGTCCTGGGTGGGTGGGCCCTTCCTCTGCCTCAGGTACAGTGAGGTCAGGAATAAAGATTAGAGACAGATGCTGCCCTGTTTCTCACCCAGTGAAATTACACCAATCCATTCCTTTTCTTCTCGTACCTAATATTCTCCACTGGTTGGCTTGTCTCCAAACCTTTCAAAGATCATCCTCCAAGTTTCCCTCTAACTGAGAAGATTTGCATTTTTCCCTTGTTGCACAGTAAGTGGTTAATGTTCCACTGGAATGATTAGAAATCAGACAATGAAACCCTGTGTAACACTGCTACCCATCGCTTGGGGCGTAAACACATCACATTTAGCGGTTCCCATTCTCTGGACTTACATTACAAAGAAGTGGCACTGGAATTGATATTGCGCTGTGTTTATCAGTTGTCATAGTTACTAGCTGAGAGTATCCGTTGGTCTGGTTGCAGTGATAGGCCTCTTCTGAAGGCGAGGTTTTAGGCTCATGTTTTTGTGAGTAAGTAATGAACTGGATTAGTTTATCCTCCTATCGTCCAGAAATGTATTTCTGATCAGAATGCTTTTTTTTCAAAATGGGGAAGAGACACTTCCACATTTTTGGAGAGGGAACATTTTTTTTTGTCTTTATTAATACTTTTATTTTTTTTTCTGACCAGACTTTCAAGAGTTATGCACGTTTACTGACATTTTGTAGAATCAAAGACTGTCACTGCGCAGGAAAAAGACGTTGACGAACAAGAAAGCTTATCAGATGTTATAATAATAATCCTTGAATTTGATATAGCGCCTTATCACATCGTTGAGACGTCTCAAAGCGCTTCATGGAATATAGTTTAAAATGAATTGACTATATTTTTTTGGGTGAAATGTGGTAGTCAATTGTGCACAGCAATTGTCAAGTCTAGGCTTGTTCCTTTGCTTTTTTTCTCCACATGACTCATGACCATTAATCAGTCTAATCCCACTGTCCTCCACTCTTCTTATGTCCTTTAAGAAGTCCTTTAACTGTGCAAACTCCCTGCTTGTCGGCCTCCCCAACTCCTCCCTCCATAGGCTGCAGATCATCCAGAACTCTGCAGCCCGTGTCCTCTCCCACACCAGACCCCTGACCCTATCACCCCCATTCTGGACAGACTCCACTGGCTTCCCATCACACAGAAGATACAGAGCTCAGCGGGCTCCGCCTGCTTCACGAACCCCACCTCGCCCACCCCACCATTGGCGGGTGGGCCTTCTGCTACTCTGCCCTCACTCTCTGGAACTCCATCCTGCAATCCCTCTGCCTCGCCCCCTCCCTTGCCTCCTTCAAGACCTATCTCAAGACCCTCCTCTTTGACCATGCTTTCGATCACCCTGCTTCCTCCCAAGCCCTCCACAATCCTGATCCCCAGCTCGGGTCCGAAACAATGACTGTCCAGCGCCTTGGGATGTCCTCCCGACGTGAAAGATTCTATACAAATGTAATTTTGTTGTTGTAATATTCCTTTCCTTGAATCAACTATTTAGTCTCCCTTTAACAGAACTTGGAGACAAACTTTAAACAACACTTCGTGAATTCACATTCGGATTACCCTTCAGGCAACTATATGCTCCCCCTGTGGTGACATCATCCGCAGACATGGGGTTAACTTCCACATGTATGCGGATGACACCCAACTCTACCTTTCCTCCTCTACCCTCAACTCCACGACCCCCGATGTCCTGACAGCTGTCTGTCCGACATCGAGTCCTGGACGAGAGACAACTTTCTTCAGCTCAACGTGCGCAAAACTGAGGCCCTCCTGATTGGCTCACGTCAGCGCCTCCGCACCTCAGGCGCTGACACCATCAGCATCCAAGGCTGCACTCTCCACCTCTCAAAGCCATCAGGAACCTCGGTATTCTGTTCGACCCTGAGCTATCCTTTCTTCCTCATATCGGCGCCACAACTGGCACCGCCTTCCATCACCTCCGAAACATCGCCAGACTACGGCATTACCTCACCCCTCACGCTGCTGAAACACTGGTCCACGCCTTTATCACCTCAAGGCTGGACTATGGGAACTCTCTCCTCGCCGGCCTTCCCGGCCCTCCCTCCACACTGCAGGTCATTCAGAACTCTGCAGCTCGTGTACTGTCCCGCACCAGACACCGCGACCACATCACTCCCACCCTCGCTCGCCTCCACTGGCTCCCCATCCCCCAGAGGATTGAATTCAAGATCCTCATCCTCACCTACAAGGCCATTCACGGCCTCGCTCCCTCCTACCTCTCTGACCTACTATCCCCCTACCTACCTGTCCGTACCCTCCGTTCCTCTGGCTCCGGTCTGCTCCACATCCCCCGTCCTAACCGCCCTACCATCGGTGGACGGGCCTTCAGCCTCTCAGCCCCGACGCTCTGGAACTCCATCCCCCAGTGCCTTCGCCGCTTCCTCCCTTTCCTCCTTCAAGGCCGGTCTCAAGACTTTTCTCTTTGACCGAGCCTTCAGCTCCCCTCTCGACTCTCTACCCCTCCTCGCTCCCTCCCCTCACCCTGACCATTTCCCCCTCCTCGCCCCCTCCCTTCCCTCCCCTCACCCTGACCATTTCCCCCCTGCTCGGGTCATGACCCAACTGTGCAGCGCCTTGGGACGTCCTCCTGATGTGAAAGGCGCTTTATAAATGGAATCTTGTTGTTGTTGTTGTTGTTTAGTGGAGGGAAAAATTGTGAACATTATTTAATGTTCCATTCTTCAGATAAACTTTCTGGCCAATGTTGTCTTGTTTATGGTTGGTAGTTTCAGATTTAAAAAGAATACCAAATAAGAAATTAAATGAGCATTGCACACAACTCAGTGTCTGCTCATTCACTCAGAATTTGGTATCTTGGTGACACAGGAGAGCTGTGATCGGTTTTAATGATGAGTCTTATTGCACCCATGAAACACGATCCAATGCTATACAGTAAACTTCACATAGGCTGTATCAGTTGGGACCATACATTTAATATGACTTATGCAAAGTACGAGTTGTATCAAACTTGCATAGAATATAAACTCTTGAACGGGACTTGGGCAGATGTGCGACTTAGACGTTTATATGATTTATATAGATCAGACCTATGCGAGTTTTACTGTATATTCTTTCATGTAATGCAAAAATCTTGACAGAGTTCAGCAGAGCTTAGGGTAATATACAGTACTTTGCACATTACACCTGAAGTCACAGCTTCAACAGAGAGGACTGGAAATAGGATTGATTTCAATATGAAATGTCTGTCCTCAGAATAGCAAACCCAGGCGGTACCCACATCCCCTCCACAAACAGTTTCTGTACAGGATCTCAGACACTACCACAATCTACAGGATCTCAGACACTACCACTGTTCAATCTCAACTAAAATAACTTCACTGATTAAATACAGTGACGTAGATATAATTTTAAATTTAAAAAGCGTAAAAAAATATGAACAGTTTATTTACTGATGGTGACATAATCTGGTGGTTAGTTACTAACATACATGCACACATACACTTCCTGTAAACAGTTCAGAACCGCTATGAGATAGATGGCTAAGGTTTGACTTGTATTTTGAAGGCGGTGGAGGACTAGAGACAAAATGTGGGCTTGGGCAGGATGCAGAACCAGGAGCGACAGAGTTTAGCGAAAGGAGTCCTCTCTCTTCCAGTTGTTTGTGGACAAAGACGCTACCGGACAGCTGCAGAATGGAGCCAAAAGGTTTGTTCTCAAGCACTTTTCCTTGAAACTTCCTCCCGCCCCCACCCAAAAAAAAAAACTAACACCGAGTCCAGTTTGCAAGTTTTTCAAGTTTGCAACAGTCTATTTAAACGGTGGATCCTGTAGACATTTGGTTGTGCCTCAAGACAAAACTCTAGGACTTTGCTGGGATGCTAGTTTCAATTCTGACACCAGCCTCTCTGCCCCCAGGCCATAGTTCCTCTAGGCCATAGTCCCTTCATCTCACTCCCTCCCTTGCCTATTTCAAGGCACGTCTCAAGACCCTCCTCTTCCACCGTGCCTTCAGTCACCCTCCTCCCCCCACCTTCTGCCTTCCACCCCTCCTGTTCCCAACCCCTAGCTCGGGTCCAAATCCCTGACGTCCTCCTGACGTGAAAGCCGCTCTACAAATATAATAATTTGTTGTTGATTTATGTGAAGCTCATTGGGGTAAAGGGCGCTCCTGGCAAGAGTTCGGGGGAGTGGGTGTTCCTGTATCACACACCGTTTGTCACTCTGTGTCCCTGAAATGTGGCAGGTGAGGTTCCTCCCGGTGGTACATGGACCAGACAATAGGTATTTGGGATGTGTTAGCAATGTGTGTCTGAGTGAAACCTGTGTCTGTTTCTTGGTCAGCAACAGCTCTGAGATCAGCAGGGGACGTGGAGGCTGACATCCTGCACAGTGTCCAGGCCATCATCCGGGAATTGGATCAGGACAAGCCGACATTCCAACGCAGTCAAGGTAGGTATTCCTGTGCCCTCGGGGCAAGGTTTCCCAGGCTGCTGATTCAGCAGGGAACTTGCAATCGTTTACATAGATTTACATTGAATTTACAACACGGAAACAGGCCATTTATAATAATAATAATAATCCTTGATTTGATATAGCGCTTTTCACGTCGGGAGGACATCCCAAAGCGCTTCACAGAACACACTGTAAAGTGAATTGACTATATTTGTGGGCGAACGCGGCAGCCAATTGCGCACAGCAATGTCCCACAAACAGTTGTAGATTGAAAATGACCAATTTGTTATTGTTTTTGGTTTTGAAGGGATTATTATTAGGCTCTGTGTGAAGTAAGGAAACTTGCCCAAGGTTTCGCCCTCTGCCTGGAATTGAACTCAGGTCTCTCACTTGCAAAGCGAGTGCTCTAACCACTGAGCTACAGGACTCCACTGGGTGCAAGTTTATACTCAACATGAGTCTCCATCCACTCATTACTCCTTCCTTATCTTAATGAAGTGCTCTGGGATGCTACCCTGCGTGATGGGCGCGATATAAATGCAAGTTGTTGTTGTTGTATTCTCTTCTCCCGCCTGTGTGTATCTAGCTTTCTCTTCAATGCCTATATGCTGTCTGATTCCAGCTGTTCTGATTCATATCTGAAACGCCATCTTGTTCATCAATGCTAACCCGGGGCACATGTATGAGCACAGAGATTAGAACCTTAGAAATATACAAGCCAGAAGCTTCCTCACCCTCTATAATCACACGTCAGACCTTCCCCTAACCTGCGTCAGAACCTCCCCCGTACTCCATCGAGGGTGTCTATAGATTAGACTCCGAGAGATGGACGCAGCAGATTAACATGCAAATTAATTTCATCCAAGGGCGAGAGATAAAGCATTCAAAGGTGTTAATTCTCCTGGAAACAGTGTATTAGTGGAACCGAGTGAGTTATTGCTGTGGGGAAATTTTTGACTATGTGTCTGTCTGTCTTGTGTGTCTTTCTCCAGGAATGTTCAGGTGGACGTTACATAAGAAGATTGAACGGGATCCATACAACAGTATGATATTGGCTCGAATTCTTATTGATGAGCTCGAACAGGTGAGGAAGCAGAACCCCCGAAAAGTCCAGTGGTGACGAGACTGGTGACCCCCACCCTTGCACATGACCCTCTCCCCTCATACGTAACACCCGACCCTCATCTAGAAACCCACCTACAATCTCGTGCCTCAAGTGGCTCCCTTATCCTGCAATCCATCTTTCACCTGGCAACCATACCAACTCCCACCCCACTCCTGCAATCTGCTGAGCCCCTCTCCCTTCCCCTGTCATCCGATGATGAAGCAGTCTCTAAAAGCATTTGGTTGCCTGCCATCCAGTAACCTGAATATCCTTTACACAGGCTATGAGAGAGAACAAACCCTACCTCATCCCTCTCCTCAACACTCTGCTCTACACCATCATTCAGGTCAGTCACTCGCGGGAGTCAGGTCATGAACATTGTGGGGAGAGGGGCTGTGGAACAGGGCTTTGGCTGTCGAATTGCCTCGCGTCATCCTCGGAATGGCCTAGGCACCGTGCTCCGCCACTGTCAAGTGCTATGGGATGCTACCCTGCGTGAAGGGTACTATATAAGTCCAAATTGTTGTTGTAGAATGGTAGGTTCGGGCATTCTATTGACAGAGGCCATGGTTCGTTGCAGCTGTTTGTTGGGTTCAGAAACACAGTGATTGGCTCGTGTCAGCGCCTCCGCACCTCAGGCGCTGACAGCATCAGCATCCAAGGCTGCACTCTCCACCTCTCAAAGCCATCAGGAACCTCGGCGTTCTGTTCGACCCTGAGCTGTCCTTTCTTCCTCATATCCGCACCACAACTGGCACCGCCTTCCATCACCTCCGAAACATCGCCAGACTACGGCACTACCTCACCCCTCACGCGGCTGAAACTCTGGTCCACGCCTTTATCACCTTAAGGCTGGACTATGGGAACTCTCTCCTCATCGGCCTTCCCGGCCCTCCCTCCACACTGCAGGTCATTCAGAACTCTGCAGCTCGTGTACTGTCCCGCACCGAGCTTCGGGACCACATCACTCCCACCCTCGCTCGCCTCCACTGGCTCCCCATCCCCCGAGGATTGATTTCAAGATCTTCATCCTCACCTACAAGGCCATTCACGGCCTCGCTCCCTCCTACCTCTCCGACCTACTACCCCCTACTTACCTGCCCGTACAGTCCGTTCCTCTGGCTCCGGTCTGCTCCACATCCCCCGCCCCAACCGCCCTACCATCGGTGGCCGGGCCTTCAGCCTCTCAACTCCTAGGCTCTGGAACTCCATCCCCCGGTGCCTTTGCCTTGCTTCCTCCCTTTCCTCCTCCAAGGCCGGTCTCAAGACCTTTCTCTTTGACCGTGCCTTCAGCTCCCCTCTCGACTCTCTACCCCCTCCTCGCTCCCTCCCTTTCCTCCCCTCACCCTGACCATTTCCCCCTTGCTCGTGTCCTGACCCAACTGTCCAGCGCCTTGGGACGTCCTCCCGACGTGAAAGACGCTCTATAAATGAAATCTTGTTGTTGTTGATTGCTGCAACCAATTAGCACCCATGGTTAAAATCCATTTATCTTTGTTAAAGTTGAACGATTGTAAAAACAGTACATTTACTCCCAAGGGGAGTTTCTTGAGTTTAATTGATAGGAGCGATCAGATCAGGACCATTATAAAGACCATTGACACCTGGACCTGGACAGTAGAGGATTCATAGAATGATCAAAGCCCAGAATTGTCTCTTGATCTTAGACTGTAAAGACCATTTTGCCTTCAAATTTAAGAACCCGCTGATCTGTAGAAAATTCTTAAATTCAGCTTTAATTAGCAAACTGGTGCTTTTTAAGAAGTGTGAAAATCAAGCAGACCCAGGCTGTCTAGTTGCAGGTTGGTATTTGGATGTGGTGCACGGGCTGGGAGTGTGAATCATCATCATAATGATAATCCTTGCATTTGATATAGTGCCTTATCACGTCTTCAAGACGTCTCCAAGTGCTTCACAGAATATATTGTGAAGTAAGTGAATTGACTGTATATTTTGTGGGAGAAACGCAGCAGTCAATTGCGCACAGCAGTGTCCCACAAACAGTCTCGTAATAAGCTTAACATACGGAGGAGCTGGGATATTCGGATAAACCTATGAATCCAGTGAGTGTTGCAGGCCTCAGCACCTACACGTAAATCTTCCTCGCTGGAGTTCATCTCTTCTCTGGCTTAATTGTTTGCTGCCATTGACGTCCAGCTTCTCTAGTGTTGAATGCAGTTGAAACATGTTACGTGGGTGACAAAGCATTTATTTTTCAGGCCGTGTATATCCCTGACGACCTTTATGAAAAAGCGTACAAATTCTGCAAGGAGTTACTGAGTTGGGCAAGACCCTACTGCACCATTGGGTATGAATATGCAGTTATGTTGCATGCAGAGAGAAAGGCTCCAGGTATGTGCAATTTATATAATAATAATCCTTGCATTTGATACAGCGCCTTATCATGTCTTTGAGAGTTCTCAAAGCGCTTCACAGGATACACTGTAAAGTGAATTGACTTTATATTTGTGGGCAAAAGGCAACAGCCGATTGAGTCATGGATTGAGTGGCTGCTTTTGTTTGGAGGGTGCTCGGTAAACAGAAGTTTGTGGAGTAAGGAAGCTTGCCTTAGGTTTCGCCCCAACCGAGAAACGAATCCGGGCTCGCTTGCGAGGCGAGCGAGCTAACCACTATGCTATGGGACTCCACAATTTAATGCCCCTTCTGTGCCTGACCGAGAAATGCCACACTCTTCCGTGGGTCGCTCAGTGCCACGCTCTGTCGTGAGACTAATTAACGCCTGTTTTTTTTTTTTTTTGCAGGTGCCTTACACCAAAAACTTGTTGTTTCTGAGCACTGCCTGAAAAATGAGTCATTTTCTCACGGGGAGAAGTGAGTAAAGTGGCAACGCACAGTGACCCCACCCCTCCCCTCATACCCCACAAACTGAATGTCAATGATGGCTCGGGGGAGGGGGCACTCCCTCAGCACATGGGGGGGAATAATCGCCGATTCACAGAAGTCTATGCAGCGTCACTCTTCGCCCTCTCACTCACCCCCCCACCCCCATTCACCCCCCCCACTCACCGCCTCCATTCACCGCCCCCACTCAGCCCCCCCCACTCAGCCCCCCCCAATCAGCCCCCCCCCACTCAGCCCCCCCACTCAGCCCCCCCCACTCAGCCCCCCCACTCAGCCCCCCCCCACTCAGCCCCCCCACTCAGCCCCCCCCACTCAGCCCCCACCCACTCAGCCCCCCCCCACACTCACCCCCCCCTCCCACTCAGCCCCCCCACCCCCCCACTCACAGCCCCCATTGAACCTCCCCCTTACTCACCCTCCGCTGGTCACCTCCACCCACTTCCACCAACCCATCAGGTGAGCTCCTGAAGAACCTAGGAAGCGCTCTTGCCCATGGACCTCTTATTAACTGATTTAACAATGTGATTGGAGTGTGGTATGCGGTGTGTGTGTGTCTCGAGTGGCGGGTCATGCTCAAGGAGCAGGATTTCTCTCCGTCGCTAACCAGTCTCCTCCTCCTACTCTAGGGTTTTTGTATTTGCTGATCCTGACCTGGTCTCCAAGGAGGTGTGTGATGCACTCCGCACTGAAGTTCACTCAGCGACGGCCAGTCAGCCCTCCGCTGTATACAAGATGCACGTGATCCAGCACTGTCTGCAGGCAGCTCTGGGCGAGAGCTGTGATCTCGAACTACTCCTGGAGGCTCTTCAGGTCAGTGTCTGAAGCTCCATAAAAACCTGTTAATATTCTGTGTATTTCTGCAATGCTCTCATGGAATCATAGAATCATAGTATTACAACAAAGAAGGAGGCCTTTCAGCCCATCATGCTTGTGCCAGCTCTTTGGAAGAGCTACCCAATCAGTCCCACGTGCCTGCTATTTTCTCATCTCTAGAAATGTTTCCTCTTCAAATACCTATCCAATTCCCTTTTGAAAGTTTACCAAACCCTCTGCGTGAAGATCTAACAATCTTGACACCATAGCCCCTTGCCTCCAACTAAAAGAGTTTTTCCTTATGTACATTTTAATGCAGCTTCAGTACCTTACGTATCTCTGGCATTAAACCCCTCTCATTTTCCTCTGCATCAATACAAAATGCTCCAATGTATCCAGCCTTTCTCTATGTAAGTACACCACCATCCAACTGAACAGGGCAAGCCGAACCTTGGTTTTTTCAGCACCTTGGGACATCCTCCCGACGTGAAAGGTGCTATACAAATGTAATCTTGTTGCTGTTGTGGCTAATAACTCATCCAAAGAACAACGCATTTAACAATGGAGGACCACACCCCCCCCCCCCCCACCCAACCCCTCACACTGGCCTCTTACCATTGTGGCCAGTTCAGGCACCATGGTCTGTAGACTGTTGATGTTCCTGTGATACCACGGATCTAATTCTCAGATACCGGGAGAGCTCACAAGAGTGATCACCATTGAGCAATGAGCAGACCTGGAATAAGGTATTTCAACAGAAAAATTCTTTAATTCTTAACACACATATACACAGCATTGCACGCAGGTATCTGCCTAATCTATATAAGTTCAAGGTCCCGACTTGAGGCTTGAACTCAAGTTCTGACTCAGAGGCGAGAGTGCTATCAATAGAGCCAGGCTCACAAACCTAATGTGAATTTATCTGATTACAATTGAAAAGCTGTTTTGCATCCTGTTTAAACCATCGCTTTTGGTAGGACATTCTATGTCTTTTAAAAAAAACCACACAAGCTCTCCAGCCCTTTGCTTTTTTTTGTGATGATTTAAAATGTTTGCCTTTTAATGTTTTCTTAACAATGCCCTATAGGCCTGGTCAATGTGGAGACTTCATGCAATAGGAAGTTGCTAGATTTTGCCTGCATGTATCTGGATGTGGTCATTCCACCTGTTCACCCGTACACTCACACCTCTGACGTGCGAGATATTGTTCCGTGTCTGGTGATCAGTAATTAGGCAGTGCGGGGGTCAGTGAATGAACAGCTTCAACCACTGAATATTTCCATTCACATCTTATTTGCTGCCTTGAGCTTTAAGGTCATGTACTGTGCACAGAGCCAGCACATTATAAACCGTTTTTCTGCTTCTGACTCTCCCACAGAGCAAACCCCACTGTGTGATCGAACGCTATTTCCAGGAAGTGGTAGGTGTCATGTACCATTCATGTTCTTCAAAGAAGGAAGTGCCGGCCACCCGCAGCAAACACAGTAGTCGATTGCATCAGCTTTACACCAACATCCTGGGGTCCACACACCAAGGTAGGCAGGTCTGTCACCAGGGTTGTGCTTCACCAGCCCCCACTCCCCGCTCCCAAACTTCACTCAAAGGGTGGTGAATGTATGGAACTCGCTACCCCAAAGGGCTGTTGACGCTCAGTCCTTGAATATATTCGAGACTGAGATAGATATGTTTCTTATTGCAAAAGGGATTAAGGGATGTGGGGATAAGGCAGGGTTATGGTATTAGCTGGAGTTAGATTAAAAGATCAGCCATGATCGAATGGCGGGGCTGGCTCAAAGGCCGAATGTTATGTTAATTCCTCTCTCCACCCCGCGCTGAACCCCACTTCCCCAGACCCTACCCCCTCGACTCCAACCTTAACCAACCCCAATTCTCCTCACCTGCCCCCGTTATCCCCCAAACCCGTGCCAACCCTCACTTCCCACACCCCACTCCATGCTAGTCCCTGGCCTCATTTCTCCTCCGTCCCCACTCCACCTGCCCCGCTTTATTATATTAATTTCGTTAAACCATTGCAAGTTTTGCTCTTTCTGATTTAGATACTTACTGTACATTTGAAGGAAAGTTTACAATGAAATAATGTGACGTTCATGTGTTTCAGTGACTCCCTTGAAGGGAAGACTCCGGAACATTCCATTGCCGAACCCAGATGTTCGTCTTGTGATGTGGAGAGAGGATGATGCCCTTTGTGAGACTGATATTTTGTTCCTTTCCTCTGACCCCCTCTGCTTTTCCATACACCACCCCCACCTTGTCTCCCCTGCTCCACACCCACCCTCCCCCACTCCACTGCTTCCCCCATCCCATCCCACTGCTTCTCCCACCTCTCCACTCCCATCCCCTCCCGAACCACTGCCTCTTTGTGTAATCAAGATTAGTTTTTTTTGGTCAGCCTGACTGACTTGACACATGCAGAAACGCATCACCATGCTTAAGAGTATCCAAACCAAAATAATCCATGCATCCCACCTACACATGGAAATCCCAGAGATAGATTATTGGAATGGAATGCGCACTCTCTCCCTGGAGGGATGCATCCTTCTTATCTAATCCCAGGAAGTATCAGAGATTGGCTAGAGCCAAGGCTCACGGACCCCAGAGTGTGGGTTGGGGTACTGCTGGAGTCTAACCAGCTAAAACCGCACAGCTTGTCATAACCGAGATTCTACTTCCTTCCAGGGCAGGAACTGGAAGAATTTGTTACAGGTCGGTTATGCAGTGAGGAGTCTTCTATGAACAGTGACATGGACAATGCTGAGATGAACGAGCACGTAAACTGGAGCAACAATGAACAGACACGACTATCTGTTCTGTCAACAGACAGTGGTATAGTGCGAGATTGCGGAGATGCATTTGCAGCACAGGATACAGAGTCTCCACAGGACTCAATGCTGGCACACAGTCCACATCCGGAGACCTGTGAGGTGGAACGGCCCAAGTTGTCCAGAAGGCACGGGATGAAGATAAAACACACGGGTTCAGATAAACAGACTCCGCTTTTGGATTTTATTGATGGTGCTTCAAGTCTGCAGCGGAGATCGGGGCGTAACGCATTGCTCTTCAATTTGAAAGTCCAGCGAGCTTTCACTGCACGGGTCGTGATGATTGGGAATGATTGTATACTGGGCCGATTAGCAAAGGCATTTCACTCCCTAAGGTACGTGAAAGAATCCTCTGCAGTTCACAAAGTGGGGAGCTGCACTCGCGTTTGCTACTGATACTGAATTGTGAGAAGGACTGCATAAGACTTCAGGAGGACACTGATAGAATAGAAAAATGGTCAGGCAGGTGGCAGATGCAGTTTAATGCAGATAAATGGGAGGTTTCAGGAAAAAGAATAGGGAGTGCATGTATAGCCTGAAGGATAAAGCACTGTTTATTTGGGGAATTGTCAGCTAAGACACCAGGACAAACTCCCAGAAGATGATGGGCCTTCTTCCTTGCTGCTAATTGAAGGGGATGGGCTGAATATCAAACATGAGTTCAGCTCAAACCAAAGGTTAAAATTTGATTATACAAACTCTAGATTTGGTACAACTAATCCAGTTCCTCAAACGATGACATAACATTTCCGCTGCAAATATTGTATTCATTTTGTTACCCAGGAAACGGGAAGTTCAACGACTGTTTCTAACCTCAAAATTGGACGTGGAGTTTTACTATGTTCCTGTTCTCAACACAAAATGGGCTTCAGCCTCTCTCAGCAAGGTACAGCTGCTTATTGGTAGCATCTCAGTCAGGCATCTCAGATTATATAATGTTAATTAAGCGCTCCGGGATGCTACACCGCATGAAGGGCTATATACAAATGCAAGTTGTTGTTGTACAAAGTTAATTAATCACAAACAGCCTTTTAGAAATCTATTAGAAACCAATTGGCCCTGATATTTTTCCCAAATGTCCCCCAATTTTTATCTCACCCACTTGCTCCGCTTCATTACCCAGACATTTTTGCATTAAAGAATTCTTCTGTTGAAATACGTTGTTCCAGGTCTGCCCATCGCTCAATGGTGATCACTCTTGTGAGCTGTCTCGGTATCTGGGAATTATAGATCCATGGTATCACAGCAACATCCATAGCCTACAGACCATGGTGCCTGAACTCGCCACAATGGTAAGAACCTAGTTTCATCTTTAACGTCATTACATGGCTTGGGATCAGCTCGTGGATCTCAGTGGGCTTTTCTGGCTCTGAGAGTTTCACAAGGCAAGGTTGTTCAGTAAAAGGAGGCACAGTAAGAAGTGCCTAACGGAGATGTAAAAGCTGTAAAACTGTGTCAACTAATCGCCTCAAAAGAGATTTGTTTGAGTGTCAAGCAGGGAAGAATCCTGGGGCAGATGAGCTGGACAGTGATGAGATACCAATATTGTACAATCTGACTGAGCAGGAAAGAACAAGCCTTGTCTCTCTGAGCACAAGAACTCTTGTCTAAAACTACCAAATTTGATTCTTTCCCATCTCCAGATCCCATCACAATATAGAGGGAGAGAGATGTTTTTTTACCTTCCTGCACAGCTAACCCAGGGCTTCCTTCCTCTCTTCCCACAGTCTGCCTCTTGCCGCCAGCCGTCCCGCTCTGATCCCTTTATTGTTGATGTTATAACATATTATGTGCGAATGGGACATCAGCCAGTCTGTTTCCAGATCTACAGTGTGAAGGTTGGTAATCTCTCAATTCTGTAACTGATTAAAATAAATAATGCAGCCGTACTTGTGTAAATGAACCAAACCGAGGAAAGGTATTGGCTTAAGAACTACTTAGTTTGCCAGCATCCATGTGCTGCAGCTTTCCCTCCCTCCGTTCCTCATTGTAACTTCAGTGTGAACTGACTGAGGCTGCCAGCAGCTCTGTATAACAGTTCGTCTACTTCACACTGCATGCTTTACACCTGAGGGGCTGGGGTTCTTCATTGCTAGCAAGAGTCAGCACAAGAATACTGTGCTTTGTGCTTAGTCTGTACAGGCTTGGCTGTAGTACAGTATTTGGCTACAGTAGTTCTGGTATCAGACAGTACTGTCTGGCCACTGCTCACAGATCCCATCATCTTGACTACAGAACTGAAGGTCTCTAATAATAATTACTATCCTTGCATTTGGTATAGCACCTATAGTGTTGAAGTATTTCAAAGAGCTTCACAGTAAATTCTGTAAAATATTTGTAGAATTCTGTAAAACCCCCTCATGCAAGCCTTCATTACAGCGAGGCTCGACTATTCAAAATCACTGCTTGTCGGCCTTCCCAACTCCTCCCTCCACAGGTTGCAGATCATCCAGAACTCTCTTGCACTAGGCTCCGAGACCCTATCACCCCCATCCTCGCCTGACTTCACTGTCTTCTCATCACACAGACACAGTTCAAGATCCTGGTCCTCACCTTCACAGTCCTCCAAGGTCTTGCTCCCCCCTACCTCTCCGACCTCCTAATCCCCTGCCACCCTGTTCACTCCCTCTGCTCAGTGGGCTCCGGCCTGCTTCACATTTCCCCGCCTTGCTCGCCCCACTATCGGCGGGCGGGCCTTCCGCCACTCTGCCACCACCGTCTGGAACTCCATCCCGCAGTCCCTCCGTCTCGCCCCCTCCCTCCCCACCTTCAAGATCCATCTCAAGACCCTCCTCTTCGACTGTGCTTTTGATCTCCCTGCTTCCCCCCTCTCCCACCCCGACTCTCAGCTTAGATCCGCAACTCTGTCTGTCCAGCGCCTTGGGACGTCCTACAGACGTGAAAAGCGCTATACAAATGTAATTTTGTTGTTGTTGTTATAGGCGAATACAGCAGTCAATTTGTATTCAGCAGTATTCTGCTAAAAGCCATAAAGTGAATGGCCAATTTATGGGCAGGGTTATTGGCCAGGATACCAGGGCTCAGAGGTCTTACTAGAAACCCTCTTTATCAATGGGTAAAAACAGCAGGTGGGTTACTGTGGGCTTATGAGTGTTGTACAGCTAATCTGATGTGTCTGTGTGTCACAGCTTGTGTTTGCACAGGAAATGACTGTATTTGTGGAGGATGTTTTCCTAATTCAGCTTCAGTAGATCTTCCAGACCTGAAGGGTCACCAAGGTAAGAAATCTTAAACAACTAACTATTCAGTGTTGCACTGTGGGCATGGATGTACTTGTCAGTGTGGGTGTTTATATCACTAACAACTTGCATTTATATAGCGCCCCACACACAAGGCAGGGTCCCAGAGCTCTGTATGTCTGAATTGTGTATGTGTGTGTGCTTGCATGTGTCTATGTACTTGATGAACAGATTAGTTTTAAATTGTGCATTTAATTCCTGACATTTCAATTTTTTTTAACAGTTAAATACATTAATGATCTGAGATGTCAATCTGATTGAAGGGATCTCATTCAGTCTAGCTGTCTACAGATCATTTTCGGGGATAATTATTTATATGTGGATATGCTCAATGCATTTCTGTTACTGGCAGCATTTGCATTGATACAGATCCTCGGCACATCATTGCATTGAGTCTTTTGAGAAGTCCTCTCATGTGAAAGACAATCAGAATGACAGACTTGTATTAAGTTTGGCAGCAGGGATGATGTCTTTCTCCTACAAATGTGCTCAGCAGGACAGTGATGTTAGCATTTAGAGGTGGCTGTGTTGATGCGGAGTCCTTGGGCAAAGCTATTTATTTGGGAAGCAAGTCATGTCCTTTGCGATTTGTCGCCTGATGCATTGATGGATTTCAGGATAATTTACAGCCTGCAGCCATCACAATGTCACCAAAACCTTTTTCCTGAATGTGCTGCACTATTAGATTAGAAATTCACAACCGCTGACCTTTGCAACAGCTATTCACACATTGTTACCCCGTGTTACAGAGAACACTATGGCGAGAAAGCGGACGAGTACAGAAACCTGTGGGGTGCAACTTTCAGTTTGCTATAAAAAGGTAAGGGCGCCAATGTGAGAGATTTCTTCACTGACATTCAAACCTGAGGAAGTGCACTCGTCAAAGGTACGAGATCTTCAAAGTTGTGGTTTGTAATTATTTCTGACTTTGTTGAATCAATGCGTCTGAATGTTATGTGACTCAGGGGTACAGTTGAGTACTGTGGTTGAGTCGATCAGATGTAGCAAGCATCCATTATGGGTGAGCTGTGTACCTTTATCTGCAGTGTCCTCTAGTGTTGCTGCAGAGGAACCACAGCACTGCCTCCCCCCCCCCACCACCCCCCACCACAACCCCCAGGTCTTCCCCCTTCTTCTAGTTTCAATGATTAACATTTGGCATTTCCCACAGGTCACACCGAGCAGGAGACCGAGAACCAAACAGTTCATTTGCTTCTGCACTGGAGCCATCCTAAAAGCCATCCCTACCAGTGGAAGTAACGGTGAGTGAAGATTCTTGTCATTATCAGAATCTATCGCTCAATTATGATAATAATAATCCTTGCATTTGATATAGTGCCTTATTACATTTTCGAGACGTCTCAAAGCGCTTCACAGAATATACTGTAAAGTGAATTGAACGCGGCAGCCAATTGTGCACAGCAGTGTCCCACAAACAGTCGTAGATTGAGTGACCAAATTAAAACATTTTAAGGGATTATTAGCCCTGGAAAAGTGATCCGCTAATTGACTAACAACCGGGTTCCTACTTATTGCTAGGTGAAGAGGTGTGTGGAGTAAGGAAACTTGCCCAAAGTTTTGCCCTGCTTGGGCGTAATTTTATGGTGTAATTATATGGTGTAATGTAAAGTCTTTTTCAGTATATTGGGCTATAACCAACAATTGTTTAGTTACACTGAGGCTGATCTCCTCACATGTGTGGAATTCTAGAAAAATGATGGAGCAATCATGTGTAATGTAGAATCAGAGCTGGGTTTCATTCCAGTACGAAGCTATTCCTTTGCCATTTCATTCAGTTCCGCCTCCTCATTGAGTCCTGTAGCTCAATGATTATAGCACTTGCCTAGCAAGCGAGAGACCTGGGTTCGATTCCTGGCATGGTGAAACACTGGGCAAGTTTCCTTACTCCACACGCCTGTTTACCTAGCAGTAAGTAGGAATCCGGTTGTTTTCCAGGTAATAAAGGTAATAATACCTTCAAAAAGAATGATTTTTTCCAAAGACCAGATAAGGTGTTATGTCAAATCCAAGGATTATTATCATATGAACTGTGTGCCTTACACTTTTGGCATCAAACTATGCCATTGTTAGGCACTCCCCCATGTAAAGGGATCTAGATAACTTGTTTTGTGTTTTTACAGATCTTGTTTGTCTGGATGTAACCATCGCTGAGATGATTAGTAAAAGCAGCCTATCTGGAAAAACCTACTCGGTAAGCAAAAGCAATGGCGCAACATGGAGTGAGGTGGTTATTACCCAGAAACTTCAAAACATCTTGCATTAGTCTTTCGCATAAAGATCATCTTGAAGCAGGTTACAGAAATGAGATTAATTAGAAAAGACATGAATGTTGTGTAGACTAATCTGACAACTAACGTGCACGAGCAATGTCCTACAAACAATGAGTACAATTGGGAAGGTGGGAAAGTGCAAGGCAGTGAGTTTGTATCCCCGACTTTCAGGTGTTAGACGTAATTCCACTAATAAACAACTAATTTCTGTTACAGGCTGAATACACCAAGTTCCAATCATCTGAAATAAAAATTGAAATTCAGGATAAACTCAGAAGGACGATGATGGTTTGTCTGGACAAGGACTGCAGAAGAATCTACAAAGATGTTGTGAGGTCAGTGCAGACGGGAGGCAAAATACTGCGGATGCTGGAAATCTGAAATAAAAACAGAAGTCACTCGGAACACTCAGCAGGTCTGGCAGCATCTATGGAGAGAAGAAAATGAGTTAACTTTTGAGGGTGATGACCTTTCGTCAGACCTCTGAAAAGTCATCGACCTAAAACGTTAAGTCACTTTCCTCTCTCCAGAAATGTTGCCAGACCTGCTGAGTGTTCCCAGCGACTTCTGGTTTTATTTCAGTGCACATGGGACCCGCCTCTCAATAGAAACATAGAACCAGGAGTGGGCCATTCAGCCCCTCGAACCTGTTCTGCCATTCTATAAGATCATGGCTGATCTGTACCTCAAATCCAGTTACCCGCCCTTGCCCCGTATCCCTTGATACCCTGACCTAACAAATATCCATCCACCTCAGTCTTAAAGATGTGAATGGATCCAGCATCCACAGGCTTTTGGGGGAGAGAGTTCCAAATTTCCGCTACCCTTTGGGTGAAAAACTGCCTCCTGATTTCACTCCTAAATAGCCTGGCTCTAATTTTAAGACGATGCCCCTTTGTTCTGGATTCCTCTACCTGGGGAAATAGAATGTGGCATAACTTATGCATCAAAGCATTTTATTTTCATGACGGTGAACCCATTGTAGCAGCAACATGATGATTGCCAGTGATTTGCATCTTTGTACCCACAACATACATCCATAGAGGCGGCACCCAGCAAGGCAGGGGAGAGGGTGGGAGAGACTAGGAGCACTGAAGCGAGATGAGGGGGGACCCAGGAATAGCCATAACAATGGACAATGGCAGGACGTTCCCTTTTATTTTAGGTAACACTTTGCTGCCAGGGCAGGGAAGAGACCCAGGTCCCTAAATGTAACGTTGAAGTTGTGTTTCCTGGATACGATATAATCAGATGAATGCGCAGCTAGTTCTCAAATTAAGGTCTCGCTGTTCGCGCTGAAATTCTGTCTTCACAATTGTGGAATTGAAAATCATTTAAAATCCAACCTGATGTTTTGTTCGTATACATTCCACGTGGTAAAATGAAGAATTCTAGGTGTGTCTGTGCTGCCAACATGTCTATGCTGGGCAGTGCTCTCAGAGTAAATCTTGTTTCAGCTCGTGGGTTGAATAATAATAATCCTTGCATTTGATATAGCACCTTATCATGTCTTCTCAAAGCGCTTCACAGAACCTACTGTAAAGTGAATTGACTGTATATTTTGTGGGCGAAAAACCATTCGATGTATTTTGTAAGTCGCCTAAATCCATTTGTTCAAAACTCGATACTCAAGAGGTGGCCTTTCGGTGTTGAATTCTCTGAAGGTTCAGAGCGAGGAAATTTGTCTTTGCGTTTTGAAGAAGTGGCTGAGCCAAGTCCATTAATTCTGATCTGTTTAAATTCAGCATTGAAGTGACCCCCACCTTGGAACCCGGGAGTTGCTTACAAAAACTCCGGACTTTGAGACTCTCCCAGAATGAAAATATCGGACTCACAAAATACCTGCAACTCCCAATCAACACCTTTTCTGGTGCCCTGCAGTAGGTGCCCTGCAGCCAACTTTATTAGAAGTTTAACATTAAATTGTGCAACTGAGCATCAATCAAGATGGAATTCACATCAGCTAGGAAACGGGATGAAAATTCACCAGCAAAGAATCTGCAAGCAGCAGAGAGATGATTTCCTTCAGAACAAAAACTTTTATCTGGATGAGCTTTTATTTGGGTATTTAAAGGGGTGTCAGTATTTATTTCTGCTGCGAGGCTTTCTGTCAATTGTTTACCAGAGTTTCAACAAAAGTCAGTAAACGTAGGTCAAAATGGTTTGTCCACCACACACTGAGTTCCATTGGAACATTTCCCCCCATTGGGTTTATAAGCACAGGCGTACTGTGGACCTGCACTTCACTGGAAATGCAGGGTATCTGGCTTTGGGCTTCCCACACTAAAAAATGTCTCCCTTTTCAGTTGTTGATGTAATTTCATTCGTGCTATGGGAAAGGAGCGCTGTAAGGTCAGTTCCTGTACTCAGCGTAAGAGCACTAAACACAGCGACAGAAGTGACATCAGTTTATTAATAATAATACTCCTTGCATTTGATATAGCGCTTCAACATGTCGTTGAGACGTCTCAAAGCTTCACAGAATATAGTGTAAAGTGGATTGGCTTTGTGGACGAAAGCATCTTGTGTACGCACAGCAGGTGGGATATCAACGGCAATCTCGCTGTGCAAAAATTCGACATCAACAAATTGCATTTATATAGCGCCTTTCACATCGAGAGGATTCGCTGCGGGTTGGGATCGGAGAGGGGTTAAAAACTCATTCGCATTTCCAAATGTTTTTACCCGAAAATTCAACCATATTTTGGCACTTTGCAATGACATGGCCGTCTGAAATGATGAGGCCAAGCCACCACCTGGTGATGGGAATGTATGTTTTAACTTATGGAATGCTTTGGTTACTAATCAGAATTAATTATTTATAACACACTAATTATAAAGTAGATGTTTGTAATATATACTGTGCCCATTGTCAACAGTGTACCAACTTTATCTGGAGTAAATTTGACTTTTAATTTTCATTGTGTTGGATGTAGATTTAACTGCGAGAGGGAGAAGGTCGCGCGCTGTGTCGGAGTATTGCGGGCGCTCACTGGCACAGTTGTGCTTTGGAATGCAGTAGTTGTGTCCACTGCACCGCAACTTTTGAGGAAGTAGCATTTGTGGAACTACCACTGAACGCTCATTTTCATAAACCCTTCTTGCCTTGGGGCCTCCCTACCTCTCCGACCTGCTTACCCCCCCCACCCCCCAACCCACTGCCTTCTTGGACAACGCCACCATCCCACACATACACACACACACTGAGCGGTGGTCCCACCAGTTGTGGAGAACTTCATCAGCAACTGCTTATCTGCGTTATCAATCGAGCCCTCAGTATATTGGCAAGTGGTGAAGAGCTCAGATATTAGGTAACGCCATCTCAAGCTTCCTGTTTCCTCGTCAGCTATTTGATGGGACATTGACTTAACGCATCACCGCAGCCCTACTGGGGCCGTGTAAAAGCATCAGTTATCGTCACTACACTACATCCTCCTGACACCAACACGAATTGACAACAACAATAATAATAATAATAATGAATAAACAATCGGGACCATGCCGCTTGCATCTCTCCATCAACATCTTCAAGGTTGATGAAGTGCCGTGACTGGGTGTAGTGATTGACTGACTCGGGTGTAGAGCATGCCCGCCTGGTAGGTGTAGTGACTGATTGTCCGTCGCCCACAGCACAGAAACAGCTTTGGTCGAAGTGTCCATCTGCGACCAGGGCTCCCTCTACCTCCTCGTTCTCCTGGACCTCTCTGTTGCCTTTGATACCGTTGACCATTCTCCATTCTCCTCCACCCCAACCTTCACGGCTCTGTCCTTGACCGGTTCAGATCGTACCTCTCACACCGTCTCCACTTCATCTCCACAAACGGCTTCTCTTCCAGGACCCCCCACCGTCTCGTGCGGTGTTCCTCAGGGCTCTGTCCTTGGTTCCCCTCCTCTACAACATCTATATGCTCCCCCCCCGGTGACATCATCCGCAGACACAAGGTCAACTCCCACATGTATGCGGATGACCCCCAATCTCCCCCTCTGCTGTCAACGAGACTGAGGCTCCTGATTGGCTCCCGTCAGCCCTGAGCTCGGGCCCGGACTCTGACTGTCCAGAGCCTCAGAATGACCTCCCGACATGAAAGGCACTACACAAATGTAACTGTTGTTACTGTTATCCAGTGTAGGGTGCAGTGACTGACTGTCTGGTGGAGGTGTAGTGACTGACTGTCTGGTGTAGTGACTGGCTGGTGGAGGTGTAGTGACTGTCTGGTGTAGTGACTGACTGGCTGGTGGAGGTGTAGTGACTGACTGTCTGGTGGAGGTGTAGTGACTGACTGTCTGGTGTAGTGACTGGCTGGTGGAGGTGTAGTGACTGTCTGGTGTAGTGACTGACTGGTGTAGTAACTGGCTGGTGGAGGTGTAGTGACTAGCTGTCTAGTGTAGTGACTGTCTGGCTGGTGGAGGTGTAGTGACTGGCTGGTGTAGTGACTGTCTGGCTGGTGGAGGTGTAGTGACTGGCTGGTGTAGTGACTGTCTGGATGGTGGAGGTGTAGTGACTGTCTGGCTGGTGGAGGTGTAGTGACTCGCTGGTGCCGGGAGGACCTGGGAGAGAACATCCCTGACCCGGGAACGGCCGCTCCATCACTTCCGGTTCGCCAATTTCCAGCCGCTGATTCCGTTTAGAAACTCGACCCCGAGAGGAGGAGGAGAGGCGCCGAGAGGAGAGGAGGAGAGGCCGAGAGAGGAGAGGCCGAGAGGAGAGGCCCCGAGAGGAGAGGAGGAGAGGCCGAGAGAGGAGAGGCCGAGAGGAGAGGCCCCGAGAGGAGAGGAGGAGAGGCCGAGAGAGGAGAGGCCGAGAGGAGAGGCCCCGAGAGGAGAGGAGGAGAGGCCGAGAGAGGAGAGGCCGAGAGGAGAGGCCCCGAGAGGAGAGGCCGAGAGGAGAGGCCGCGGGAGGAGAGGCCCCGAGAGGAGAGGCCGCGGGAGGAGAGGCCCCGAGAGGAGAGGCCCCGAGAGGAGAGGCCCCGAGAGGAGAGGCCGCGGGAGGAGAGGCCGCGGGAGGAGAGGCCGAGAGGAGAGGCCCCGAGAGGCCGAGAGAGGAGAGGCCGCGGGAGGAGAGGCCGAGAGGAGAGGCCCCGAGAGGAGAGGCCGAGAGGAGAGGCCGAGAGGAGAGGCCCCGAGAGGAGAGGCCCCGAGAGGAGAGGCCGAGAGGAGAGGCCGCGGGAGGAGAGGCCGAGAGGAGAGGCCCGAGAGGCGAGAGAGGAGAGGCCGCGGGAGGAGAGGCCCGAGAGGAGAGGCCGCGGGAGGAGAGGCCCCGAGAGGAGAGGCCGAGAGGAGAGGCCGCGGGAGGAGAGGCCGAGAGGAGAGGCCCCGAGAGGCCGAGGAGGAGAGGCCGCGGGAGGAGAGGCCGAGAGGAGAGGCCCCGAGAGGCCGGGAGAGGAGAGGCCGCGGGAGGAGAGGCCGAGAGGAGAGGCCCCGAGAGGAGAGGCCGAGAGGAGAGGCCGCGGGAGGAGAGGCCCCGAGAGGAGAGGCCGCGGGAGGAGAGGCCGAGAGGAGAGGCCCCGAGAGGAGAGGCCCCGAGAGGAGAGGCCGAGAGGAGAGGCCCCGGGAGCAGAGGCCGGGAGGAGAGGAGGAGAGGCCGAGGCCCCGGAGGGAGGAGGAGGAGGAGAGGCTCCGGGAGGGAGGAAGTGGCTGAAGACTGGAGATTAAACCGTAAATACTCGGCTGCCGATGTCATGAGGTGCGGGAGGAGGGGAGTGAGTGATGGGGAGAGAGTGAGTGAGTGATGGGGAGAGAGAGTGAGTGATGGGGAGAGAGTGAGTGATTGTGATGGGGAGAGAGAGTGAGTGATGGGGAGAGAGTGAGTGAGTGATGGGGAGAGAGTGAGTGAGTGATGGGGAGAGAGAGAGTGAGTGATGGGGAGAGAGAGAGAGTATGAGTGATGGGGGGAGAGAGAGAGTATGAGTGATGGGGGGAGAGAGTGAGTGATGGGGGGAAGAGAGTGAGTGATGGGGGGGAGAGAGTGAGTGATGGGGGGGAGAGAGTGAGTGATGGGGGAGAGAGAGTGAGTGAGTGTGATGGGGAGAGTGTGAGTGAGTGTGATGGGGAGAGTGTGAGTGAGTGTGATGGGGAGAGTGTGAGTGAGTGTGATGGGGAGAGTGTGAGTGAGTGTGATCGGGAGAGAGAGTGAGTGATGGGGAGGGTGTGAGTGAGTGTGATGGGGAGAGTGAGTGATTGTGATGGGGGAAAGAATGATTGATAGGGAGAGTCTGAGTGAGTGATGGTGGAGAGAGTGAATGATGGAGAGAGTGAGTGATTGTGATGGGGAGAAAGAGTGAGTGATGGGGAAAGTGAGTGATGGGGGAGAGAGAGAGTGAGTGATGGGGAGAGAGTGAGAGAGTGATGGGGGAGAGTGAGTGTGATAAGGAGAGAGAGAGAGAGTGAGTGAGTGATGGGGGAGAGAGTGAGTGAGTGATGGGGGAGAGAGTGAGTGAGTGATGGGGGAGAGAGTGAGTGAGTGATGGGGAGAGAGAGAGTGAGTGATGGGGAGAGAGAGTGAATGATGGGGAAAGAGAGTGAGTGAGTGATGGGGAGAGAGAGAGTGAGTGATGGGGAGAGAGAGAGTGAGTGAGTGATGGGGAGAGAGTGAGTGTGATGGGGGAGAGAGTGAGTGAGTGATGGGGAGAGAGAGAGTGAGTGATGGGGAGAGAGAGAGTGAGTGTTGGGGAGAGAGAGAGTGAGTGATGGGGAGAGAGAGAGTGAGTGATGGGGAGAGAGAGAGTGAATGATGGGGGAGAGAGTGAGTGATGGGGAGAGAGTGAGAGTGATGGGGAGAGAGTGAGAGTGATGGGGAGAGAGTGAGAGTGATGGGGAGAGAGTGAGAGTGATGGGGAGAGAGTGAGAGTGATGGGGAGAGAGTGAGAGTGATGGGAGAGAGTGAGAGTGATGGGGAGAGAGTGGGAGTGATGGGGAGAGAGTGAGAGTGATGGGGAGAGAGTGAGAGTGATGGGGAGAGTGTGAGTGAGTGTGATCGGGAGAGGGAGTGAGTGATGGGGAGAGTGTGAGTGAGTGTGATCGGGAGAGGGAGTGATTGTGATGGGGGAGAGAATGAGTGGTAGGGAGAGTGTGAGTGAGTGATGGGGGAGAGAGTGAATGATGGGGAGAGTGAGTGATTGTGATGGGGAGAGTGAGTGATTGTGATGAGGGAGAAAGAGTGAGTGATGAGAGAGAGAAAATGAGTGATGGGGAGAGGGAGAGTGAGTGATGGGGGGGAGAGAGAGTGATGGGTGTGGAGAGAGAGTGAGTGAGTGATGGGGAGAGAGTGAGTGACGGGAAAGAGAGTGAGTGAGTGAGTGGGATGGGGGAGAGAGTGAGTGAGTGATGGGGGAGAGTGAGTGTGATGAGGAGAGAGAGAGAGTAATGGGGAGAGAGAGAGAGAGTGAGTGATGGGGAGAGAGAGAGAGTGAGTGATGGGGAAAGAGAGTGAGTGAATGATGGGGAAAGAGAGTGAGTGAGTGATGGGGAGAGAGAGTGAGTGAGTGATGGGAAAGAGTGTGAGTTAGTGTGATGGGGGAGAGAGTGAGTGAGTGATGGGGGAGAAAGAGTGAGTGTGATGAGGCGAGAGAGAGAGTGAGTGATGGGGGAGAGAGGGAGTGAGAGATGGGGAGAGAGAGTGAGTGATGGGGAGAGAGAGTGAGTGAGTGATGGGGAGAGAGAGTGAGTGAGTGATGGGGAGAGAGAGAGTGAGTGATGGGGAAAGAGAGTGAGTGAGTGATGGGGAGAGAGAGTGAGTGTGACGGGAAAGAGAGAGTGATTGTGACGGGGGAGAGAGTGAGTGAGTGTGATGGGGGAGAGAGTGAGTGTGACAGGGGAGAGAGAGTGTGACGGGGAGAGAGAGTGAGTGTGACGGGGGAGAGAGGGAGTGAGTGTGACGGGGGAGAGAGGGAGTGAGTTCGACGGGGGAGAGAGGGAGTGAGTTTGACGGGGGAGAGGGGGAGTGAGTTCGATGGGGGAGAGAGAGGGAGTGAGTTCGACGGGGGAGAGAGAGTGGTTGTTGGGGAGAGAGTGAGTGAGTGTGATGGGAAAGAGTGAGTGAGGGTGATGGGGAGAGAGTGAGTGAGGGTGATGGGGGAGAGAGAGTGAGCGTGGTGGGGAGAGAGAGTGAGTGTGTATGATGGACCAAGAGAGCGTGAGTGTGATGGGGAAGAGAGAGAGAGAGTGAATGTAACAGTGGAAGAGTGAGAGTGAGTGAGTGTGATGTGGAAGAGAGAGAGTGAGTGTGTGATGGAGAACGAGAGAGTGGATGCGACGGGATGAGGGAAACATGCCCTTAACAAATCCCAGTCACTTTGTGTGGATGCTGTTTGAGTGGGAGACAGCTGGAGGTTAATCCGACTGCCTGTTTTTGTTCTGCTGCTGTCCAGGGACGTGGCATGAGATGAAGACTAGAACCATGAAGAGGAACAAACAGTGGAACGTTAATAAGGCTCTGGCTCTGGCCAGCCTCTTCCACTTCCTGCACTGCGCAGGAAAAGCCTGTGTCGTCCCCTTTCTCACCATCTACTTCAGGCAGCTTGGGTTGACTGCACCATTTGTTGGCATCATCATGGGAACAAAATATTTTATCTCCCTGGTATGTGCTCCCTTCTGGTCTTACTGCGCGAGGCGCCACAACATGAGGAGAGTTCTTGTGCTTGGTTCCTTGTTATCCTCAATAGGAGCAGGTCTTCTCTTGACGCTCATTTCACCTGTAGATAAGGAAGCGGGGTACAAATTTTGCAACGGAAGTATGCAGACAGGTCACAGCTTGGCCGATGGTGGAACAACTGTAAAGAAGGTAGATTTTGAGAAAAATAATATAGCACATACCACCTCTCCAACAACTACTTACATCTCTTCAAGAGTTATCGTAACGACAAAACAAGCAAGTGTCACATTCCCTAGACTAAATCTGACTGGAGTGAGTGTTGCCCACAGGACTGAATGGAGTCGTTCCACAGTTGCGAGGGAAATCTCACTGGCCTCAGCGTATACATCTCGTAGCACTTCAAAAAAAGCACATCATCGTTTTGACTCAAAACCAAGCCAGATTGTGCCTGACGCAGAGTCTTCAGGGAAAGGTAGAAGCCTGCTCCCTGCTGATGGACAAAAAAGGGCAAAGAAAGGCATCTCTTCTGGTTCAGGAAGCAACCAATTGGTTCAGAGAAATATTGGTTTGGACAATGACTCTCGCAATAAACAGAAAATGCACGACCAAAGTTTGGAGCCCAGTAGTCTTAAAATCCTGGATATCCAACATCAGACATTCGTGCTGATTTTACTGACAGTATCTCTGTGGGAGTTGCTGGCATCCACGCTGGAATGGGTGGCAGATGATGGGCTTTATGACTATCTAGACTTTGTTGACTCTGTTGACCGATACGGGAAGCAGTGGATCTGGGGGTCTTTGGGGACAGCTGTGGCAGCTTGCAGTGTTGGCATCTTTGTGGACAGGCTGAACTGTTTCCTCAACGCACATACCTCCCGAACTGCAGTGCACTTCTACAGCTACGCCGTCGTCATCACTCTGGCACTCCTGGTGGGAGTGTTTTATCCCAATCACACTCCTAAGAAAAGTGGCCCAGTGAACAGAACGGTCAAAGGGTTATACCTGATCGGGAGCGATGGGAGAGCCATCCTGTACGCAGTCACCGTCTTTGTGACAGGAGCTGTAGGATCGACAGTTAACAACTTTTTGTTCTGGCAAATCCAGAATAATGGTGGCACGGAGACCTACATGGGCATTTCTGTTGCAATTGCTGTTATAGCAGAAATCCTACTTTTTGTTTTCAAAGAGAAGATGCTTCGGAGCCTGTCGTTACCAGGAGTGGTGGGGCTCGGGTTATTCTCCTTGGCAGCCCAGTTCCTCTACTACTCTTTCCTCTGGACATCGTGGGCGGTGTTGCCGATCCAGATCTTGAATGCTTTCAGCAACGGTGCCTTGTGGTGGGCTGTTCATGCCCAATCCGCTGACCTGGCTACGCCTGGCATGGAAAGAACACTGCACAAAGTCTTCCATGGTCTTTCCTTCGGGCTTGGTGCAAGTAGTGGCAGCTTTGCCAGTGGCTTTATTGTGGACAATTTCAACCTAGCCATTCTGTACCAAAGCTGCTCTGCTGTGGCCGTGCTTTGGACATTGGTCTTTCTCGCTATACAGTCCAGAATTCCTCGGCAAAAGAGACTGAACTACTCACGGCTGCTCGCTGCAGATACCAGCGATATGAGTGATTCGGAAGATGAGCCAGATAAAGATTGGCTTGTTAAAGCCCTGAAAAATGATGACTTTTTATAGAGAACCATTTGCCTACTAATTCTCTAACACTGTCCCCTGCTGAGTATACAGGAAATTGCAGACTTAGCACAAGAATGTAATGCTTGCTTTAGGTTCTAAGCACAAGTAAAAATGTAGTAACATCAGAGTTGTAGATTGGTGTTACAGGGTGACCAAAAAGTCGTGATAGCATTGCAATGTTTAAGAAGTCTTAAATAATATATTTTTTTTAGATAATAGAGTAGATATCCCGACATTTTGGACAGCCTGTACTTCAGGGACTTTCATTCCAATTGAGGTGGAAAAGGTCAACTATGGTAACTTGTTGGGAGAGGCTTCGTACGCTAATATTTTATGCTTCTGAAATGTGATGGTTTACTTGACTAATCATTAGACCACAACTACAATAAATAGATATGACTGGGGTTGAGTAGTAATACTTTGGACTGATGCACACTGTAATGTATGATAATGAGGTGCCCCATTGCCAGTGGGTGACTAAGCACTTTGTAACCAAAGGCCACCTTCTCCTGCTGTTGCCCCCTCTGTTGGATTCCACCTCCACACCATATCCATCTCCACACACTGCTGCCATCCACGCTCAAAACTGCCAAATTCACTGCAACCACCCCCTCTCAGTACCAGTACCCATTTGGTACCCCAGTCGATACTGCCCTCTCCCCTCAGTACTGCCTTCTCCCCTCAGGAAACCCTTTCACCTTGGTAGAGACATTGCCACACACTGCCACCAATTCTGCAGTTCATTCTTTGCATTGTCCAAAGTCAGCTATAAAATTGAAACCGATGTGAAATAAGGTGACAGATTTATGACTTTGTTTTACAGCCAGATTTACATTTCTTCAGTTGGAGACCCTTAATTTACAGGAAGTTAGCAATCTGTGTTCCTCTGAGTTGCCAACTGGCTTCTTTTTCTGGGCTTGCATGTGACTGTTTGGGGGAAAATAGTTTGTCCTGGTTAGACAGGTGGTGTAGAAATGTCTAGTGTGCTTTCATGGCAGTGTTGATCTGCAGCTCACTAGCATCATTGGTGGATCGCTTTTCCGGGGTAATCCTTCAAAAAAAATAAGAATTTGGTCACTCAATCTACGACTGTTTGTGGGACACTGCTGTGCACAATTGGCTGCTGAGTTTCGACCAGAAAATATTTTTTACAGTGCATCTGTGAAGCGCTTTGAGACATCTCGAAGATGTGATAAGGTGCTATATCAAACACATGGATTATTATTATGACCAAGACAGTAGACACGAGGGCAATTGCCGGGGGGAATCTTTCTACAGTTCTATTTCCTTTTCAGAGGCACTGGAACATCAGGCAACCAAAACATTATGTGAGATCCTCTGCCTACCCTGCAGACACATTTAACTTTTAGAAAGGAATTAAAATATCTAGAAGGGTGGAAGTATATTTCAGATTTGATTGCTAAAATCTTTTTAATACAGTTTATCTCGTCCCAAGTAACAAAATTGTGACTGATTCAACTTTGAAAACACTTTGTGCGGAAAAGATGTGACTGCTAATTATATACTAAATTCAATGTTAAGTGTTTTTTTGGGGGGGGTTTGGTAATTCATGCTGAAAGACTTGGTGCTGTCGAACTGTATACAGTACAACTGCACTTGCTCTAATTACTGTGATGAATCAACTTCATGCCCAATGGGGACATTTTGTGGGTTAGTAATTGTAACTGGAGCTTTCTCTATACAGAATTCTCATCATCTGTAACCTGGTGTGCTTTATTGTGAAGGCATTTCATGGCTGTGAAGTCAAAAACGCTGTGTTATTTATGAAGCTTACTGTGAAAAGCTGAATGTACAGGTTACCTATTGGAAAATATTTCAAAATTATTTTTAAAATGTGTCATTGTTTGAATGTATAAAAGGTTAATGATGCACTACAGATGCAGTTAACAAGATGGTAATCGCCACATTTACTCCTGAGTGTGGGCTGATAGAAAATTGGGATGTACGTATGTGTATCTGAGATTTTTCCTCTGACGCACCTGGCTGTGTGGATGGATATACTGTAGTACAAGGCAAGTCTCCCCTCCTGTATATTGCATGATGGGTTCAACTGGAGACAATTACAGGAAGGGTAGGTGCCACATACAATTAATCTGCGAGGTTAATTCTAGTCGAATAACAAAATATATGAAGAGTCTGCTTTGGGGAATGGAATTGCACTGCACCAAATATGAGAAAAATTACTTTAAAATCTGACATTTAGATGGGATTTAATGCTATATGTAGTGGGACTTGAAGGTCAGTCTTCAAATATTACCTGTCGCTTGAGACTGGTCAATGTGACTGTTGTGACATTCTTGCACTGATGTTAAAGGGAAGGGATGTGATTCGGATTTCTATGTAACGCTGTGAGTTTTGCGAAGTACAACGAAGGTGCACTTTGTAGCTGATCACCACTGTTATTCGATGGTGCCTTCGGTACCAAACTAAATGATACATTTAAGTACCCTAACTGGTGGCTGCGGATATTACAAAAATGTGTGATTTGTTATGTGCCAGTAAATTATTTGCGGATTGGTGATGGTTATACTATATGTGCTGATTTAAATAAATGTTACCAACCAAGACCATTCTGTGCTTGTATCCATCTGAAGTTGAATTTACTGTGATGATTAAGGGATTGGGATGCACATGTATCAGATTGTGGGCATTCACCCCCAAATATACACTTTATAGCATATCCTGTGAAACGTTTTGAGACATCTCGAGGCCATGATAAGGTGCTATACCAAATATAAGGATTACTATTTATTAAATAATAATAATAATAGATTATTACTTGTAGGTTATGACAAAATTGCCACTGGAAACCTCAATTTAAAATATTTACAGCAAAGTTTCATAGTTTTTCAGACCAAATCTTGAAAGAGCTGAAATTGCAGGGATACTTGTCTCGTTAAGTCATACTACGGTGTTTCGTGCTGAGGCAACACTGAGCTCCAGCTTCCTACCGTTTAGTTCAAAGTCTGACGTACTCCTAATTTCTCGGGTAGTTAAAACACTGTGAAGCCGGACAGCAGTACACAGACCCAGGTAGTCCCAGGTTCAATTCCTATCCTGGGATGCACTAATTGATTGCAGTTGTAGTTGGCCTCTGTGCCAAGGGCCTTGGAGGAGAAAAGCAGACAAGGTCCCACTATGGCTGGAAAGTCCAAGCTACTATTGCTGGAACAGCAATCTGGTCCATCGCAGAATTTGGATGTGCAGATCAGTAAGTTGGGATAGGGATTCTTCCCACTAGACTCCTACTGTCCCTACAAGTCATAGCCCCAATGAGTAGGCTGGTTCTAGCTGGACAAGCAGTGGCAGGCTTTCCATTCAGTATTCACAATGGCAAACTGCACTGTTTTAGCTTGTTAAACTCCAGCAGTACCCCCAGTGCACACTCTGGTGACCCCAAGCCTGCCAAGCTGCAGATACTGCTTTTCTGGAGGTAGGGGAGAAAGTGCACACTCCAGTTAAAACACTAGAAATGTCTACAGATATGTGCAACTCACGGGGATTTGGGTTTGAATACCCATTAGGATAGTGATGGGATTCTGTGTGTCCGCTATTTCGTTTGGGGTATTTTTCTAAAACTTTCTTGGCTTCTTGCTGCTGCTGCTGCCAGGTTGTCACCTGTATTAACTGGCCATAATGTGGTTGGAACGGATGTAGATAAAATAATGAGCTAGCTGTGACCTGCATTAAATAGGAATGACTCATGCCTAGCTCCTGTCAGGTAATATTGACTCACTATACAAGCGCAGTACATCAGATTGAAAGCTCTGTGCTAGAAGGAGATTGGGGGGGGGGAGAGGGGGAGGGAAATGATCATATCTGTTCACAAGACCCTTAGCTTCCTCTGTTCAGTGTAAAGTATTCAGAAATAATTGAACAGTACTGCAGTCCATTCCTCAACCCTCACCATTGCAAATCTAAACAAATCCCGTCATTAACCCTGCAAGCCCAAGCTCTAGCGGGTAGGGTGGTCCTAGCTGGACAAGCAGTAGAAAGCTTGCCAGGCAGTGCCCTCAATGTGGTTTCAGCTGGTTAGACTCCAGCAGTATCCCAATGCACTTTCTGGGGTCCCCAAGCATTGGCTCTTGCCAACCTGTGCCTAACACTTTGCGGAATTAGGTAAGCAGGATGCATCCCTCCAGGGAGAGGTGCGCATTCCATTGCAATAAACATGTCTGGAATTTCTGGGATGCATGGAATTCTCAGTTTGATTTGGATAGTCTTAAGCTTGGTGACGGGTTTCTGCATGTGTCAGACACCCGGCTCACCAAAAAAACCACTTTGTGAGTTGTCAGGATTTCTCCCCATTTTCTTTCAGACTCATCTCAGTAAATCTGTGTAGAATTTCCCAGGTTCCATTATTATTCACCTTGAAACTATTTATTCGAATCTGAGTGCTGGAGAATTTGTGTTATTCGGTACAAAGCACGGACGGATTTGTCATGCAGTGTGTAGGAGGTTATTTTATACCTAATGTTACAGTTATTTAGACGTTTTTATCAGTCTTCTTGCTGAGATGATGTCAAAGTGACATCACCTCCAGTTTGGAGCTGCATTTGTGAGCCTCCAGAGCTGCAATCGTAGAATCATAGAACATGATAGCGCAGAAGGAAGCCATTTGGCCCATCGTGCCTGTGCCAGTTCTTTGGAAGAGCTACCCAATAAGTCCCACTTGCCCGCTCTTTCCCCATACCCCTGCCAATTTCCCCATGAACTGTGGATTTAATCAGAAAGCTACGGTAATGGATTCTGTTCAGAGCCTTTTACCCCTGTAAAAAGATGAGAACTGATTCCATAACTGTAGCTTTCTGTGATAGCAAAGAATCAACCAGTCAGCTCTGTCAACAGATTGAATTCTTTTATAAAATGAGAGAAGCGAACACTTGTTTTTTTAAAGTTGTGCCGGTCCATAAATTAAACAAAAAATTGATTAAGGGGTGTAACCGCATACGAAAACGTGTCAGACGTGACAATGGATTTTACAGTAAATTTACTGTGCTCTAGATTGCATCCCATTTCCATGGCAACTTGAGTTCTCTGCCTTTAGCATTCGGAATTTATCCTCCAGACCCCTGTTCAAACAGACTCCTGAGCAAAAGATACAAATATTCGATTAGCGTTTCACAATTTCATGTTTTTTATTGCAATAAAAGGAGGAGTCCTGTAGCTCAGTGGTTAGAGCACTCGCTTAGCAAGCGAGAGACCTGAGTTCATTTCCAGGCAGAGGGCGAAACCTTGGGCAAGTTTCCTTACTCCACACAGAGCCTAATAATAATCCCTCCAAAACCAAAAACAATAATAAATTGGTCATTTTCAATCTACGACTGTTTGTGGGACATTGCTGTGCGCAATTGGCTGCCGCGTTCGCCCACAAATATACAGTCAATTCACTTTACAGTGTGTTCTGTGAAGCGTTTTGGGACGTCCTCCCGACGTGAAAAGCGCTATATCAAATGCAAGGATTATTATTATTATAATCTTGTGAAAAATGATCGTTTTTTTTTATTAAGCAGTCTGAGTGGATCTGGGAAGTGCTCACCTGCTAAGTCCAGGTTCACTCCACTCCCCAAATGGTGGGTATGGTGCTAAAGCTACAGTTCATTGGCACTGTGAGGGATAGGGTGGTGTGGTGGAGGTACATCCATCCTCCACAACCAGGTACACAACAATAATAATAATAATAATCCTTGCATTTGATATAACGCCTTATCACGTCGTTGAGACGTCTCAAAGTGCTTCACAAAATATATTGTAAAGTGGATTGACTGTATTTTGTGGGTGAAATGCAGCAGCCAATTGCACACAGCAGTGTCCCACAGACAGTCATGGATTAGTGACCACATTTTTCATTTATTTTTTGGAACAATTATTACCCCCAGAAAGCGATCCGTCAATCGACTAACAACTGGGTAAACTGACAACTTAATGCTAGGTAAGTAGAGGTGTGTGAAGTAAGAAAATTTGCCTAAGGTTTCGCCCTACCTGGAATCATACAGTGGAACAGCCCTGGCAGAGTGCTGGGAACAGGCTGCTTGTGTGTATGTCAGTGGTGTATGGTGTAGGAGCAACGGAAACATAAAAAGAAAATAGGACGTCAACCAATTACTGCACATCAAACACAAGGATTCTAATTATGTCGAGAAATGTTCAGTCATTATTGAAACCCGGCCCCTTTCACCCAAGTAAGTCACAGTTTAATGAATACGTAGGTGAGTGAGGAGCAAATGGAGCATAATTAACACCTACATGCTTCTTAATTTTAGCGTATATAAAAAAAAGTTCAAATCTGAATTTCAAAGCTTATGTCCAGGCTCTGAGACTGAGTCTCATGTCTGGAAACCTATGAGCTGCTGCCTATAGGTACAACTTATGGCTGATGCAGGTATGTGGATCAGTTACATGCTTATCACGGTGTCAAGACATCTCAATGCATTTCACCTACAGGATATACTGCAAAGTGTAGTGACTGTGCACTCGTAGGCAAGTGGCGCACAGCAATGTCCCACAATCAGCCGTAAAGTGAGTCACCAGTTCTATTTGGGGTATTGTTGGCCAAGGCATCAGGAGAAAATCCTGTTTCTTTTCAAATAGTGTCATTGGATCTTTAACATCCACCTGGGACCTTGTTTAACACTTCATCCTGAGAGATAATACCTGCTTAGCAAAACAATTTTTTTTTGCTAAACAGGTGCTGTCTCTCAGGATGAAATCTAAACGCACATGAAAACGTGTCAGACGTGACAGTGGATTTTACAGTAAATTTACTGTGCTCTAAATGGCATCCCATTTTTAAAAAAAAATCCCCAAATTGATTTCCTTGCCCTTTTCCCTTCTCGGACAGCAGGATTTGTTGCCAAGACACCAAAGAGCCCTGTAGCATATTGGTTAGAGCAATCGCCTCGCAATCGAGAGGAATGTGATTTGATTGCTGGGCAGGGCGAAACTCTAGGCAAGTTTCCTTACTCCACCCGCCTCTGCTTACCCAGCACTAAGTAGGAACCCGGTTGTTAGACAATTGGCGGATCGCTTTTCCGGGGGTAACGATCCCTTCAAAAATAAAATAAATAAAAAATGATAATTTAGTCACTTCAATCCCCGACTGTTTGTGGGGACGCCGCTGTGCGCAATTGGCTGCCGCGTTTCGCCCACAAGATACACAGTTCAATTCGCTTCAGACTTTATTCCGCGAAGTGCTTTGAGACGTCTCGAAGACGTGATAAGGCGCTATACCAAATGCCAGGATCATTAATACGTGTATTATCATTAGTATAAGGATCATCGTTATAATCAGAATCCTCTTTATGGACTGCAGTTCCTGTAGGATACACGAGGCGTCCTCCAATGCAGCTCAGTGTGAAAACCCATCAATCTCACCCTGAAGAGTCGTGTGAGTAACACAGCACTGTTCGCCCTCTCGTATTAATTTCATTTGTACCCCCTCCACCCCCCACAATGTTATTACAACCTGTACTTGTGTGCAACGTACCCTGGGCTGCAAGGGGCTAAGCCTTTGCATCAGGAGGTGGATCAGAATTAACCTGTGTGGTGGTGGTGGTGGGGGGGTGGGGGGGTGGAAAGTGTTGTGCTCTCTCTGCTATATATATTTTTTAACTGGAATCTTTTAGAAATCATGGAGAATGAGAAACCATCCGCCAAACATTACGGGGCTCTGGAATCAACGACGTGGAATGCAGAGAGCGTCAAAGGTAAAAATAATACTACCACTACTACTACTACTAATAATAATACCAACTGATTTAAATGATTTGCAATGTTGTAGGGTCTTTAAACCCTGCGCATTTGTTTGGTATTAAGCTCATGCGTTGCCAAACTAGTGATGGTATGACAGCAATGCACTCACTGAGCTGAGCATCTCTCTCTCTCTCCCTCTCTCTGTCTCTCTTTCTCTCTCCCTCTCTCTCTCTCTCTGTCTCTGTCTATCTCATAAGGGCTTCTTTTGCTCCAGTGGTGAAGTTAAAATAGCCAAGTTTCCTTCCCACCTCCATCCCCAGCCCTGTCCATCCCCAGCCCTGCCCTGTCCATCCCCTGCCCTGCCCTGTCCATCCCCAGCCCTGCCCTGTCCATCCCCAGCCCTGCCCTGTCCATCCCCAGCCCTGCCCTGTCCATCCCCAGCCCTGCCCTGTCCATCCCCAGCCCTGCCCTGTCCATCCCCTGCCCTGCCCTGTCCATCCCCTGCCCTGCCCTGTCCATCCCCTGCCCTGCCCTGTCCATCCCCTGCCCTGCCCTGTCCATCCCCTGCCCTGCCCTGTCCATCCCCAGCCCTGCCCTGTCCATCCCCAGCCCTGCCCTGTCCATCCCCAGCCCTGCCCTGTCCATCCCCAGCCCTGCCCTGTCCATCCTCTGCCCTGCCCTGTCCATCCCCAGCCCTGCCCTGTCCATCCCTGAGAGCTTTTCTTTTTTGCATTCGTTTTATGTCTCTGGGAAATGTGCTCAAAGGTTTCTCTGAAATGCTGCTCCAGTGACAGGAGAAGTGATGCTCAGTCCCGAACATGGCAACTGTAGGCGATATATATCCTCTCCTCTCCTCTGCTCTCTCTCCTCTCTCCTTTCCTCTCTCTCTCCTCTTCTTCCTCTCTCCTCTTTCCTCTCCTCTCTCTCCTCTCTCCTTTCTCTCTCCTCTCTCTCCTCTCCTTTCTCTCCCCCCTCCCTCTCCTCTCTCTCCTCTCCTCTCTCTCCTCTCTCCTCTCCTCTCTCCTCTCCTCTCCTTTCTCTCTCCTCTCCTCTCTATCCCTCTCTCACTGTCTCTCAGCGATACAGTGGTGCAGTTTTGTACATCTGGTTGTAGGGAACGATGTTAGTGAGGTATTCACAGAGGACAGTATAGTAGTGGGTGGGGGTGGGGGGTGTTTGTTGATTGCTACACTGATCTGTCAATTCAGGAAGGTAGGATTGAAGCCCCCCCACTCCCCCTCACCCCCACCCCCACCTCCTCCCCGGCTCTAATTCATGTCTTGTGTCTGATCTGAGTCTGGGCAATGCCAGAACCCACAGCGCAAAATTGCTGCCAATGTGGCACAGTGCGTACAGTGTTAAACAGCCAACCATCAACCTCATTCATTCATCCAGAGGCACCAGGGATGTGTGGTGTATGAGGTGCAGTTAGAGTAGGGATCGCTCTGTCTACAGACGTTTTGCACCAACAGCGAAATCGTTTGCAGCCCCTGTTGATGAAATCGAAGGACGAAGTCGGCTTGTAATGCCCACACAGCGTTAGCTGCCAATGGCTTAAGCCGTTCGAACATTCCCTGAGGGAATCCCTTCCATAACAGACAGCAGACTTTGCAACGTCTGTCACAATCTGCAGACGTTGAAAAGTTAAAGAGAGTCAAAGGATTTATGCCCAAAATGTTTGAACCAATGTACACCCTGGGACTGTCCGTGTGTATTTTCTTGGTCAAGCCGGGTGTCTGACACAATGTGGAAACCCATCACCATGCCTCAGAGTGTCCAAACCAAACTGAGAATTCCATGCATCCCACCTACACATGGAAATTCCAGAGAAAGATTGTTAGAATGGAATGCGCACTCTCTCTCCCTGGAGGGACGCATTCTGCTTACCTAATTCTGGAAAGTATTAGGCGCAGGTTGGCAAGAGCCAAGGCTTGGGGACCCCAGAGTGTGCGTTGGGGTAATTGCCCAGAGTCCAACCAGTGAAAACCGCATAATTTGTCATTGATATTGCTGTCTGGGAAGCTTTCCCGCTGCTCATCCAGCTGGGACCATCCTACCCATTCAGGCTTTGGCTTGCAGGGTTAACTGTGTCTGTGTGTATACTGGGGGACTATGTGAGGGTGCTTTATGCGTTCGCTGACTGTATTTTCCATTTCCACCAAGAATGTGATCCCAACAGACAGCGCTCACTTTATTTACTGTTAGGTTAATAATTGTAATGGAAGGAACCAATTGGTGGTAGGAGTAATAAGTTACTGATGTGTATTTCATGAGATAGGGTAACGACGCACATCCTGTACATGCAGCTGTGTAGCACTGTGTGACTAGATTATTGATGTCTGAGCAGGGAGCTCTTTCCACTAAATGCATAGCACTGTTACTGAGCACCTCAGAATGCAAGGTTACAGTATATTGGGCAAATGTGACACGAAGTTGAAGCCAGGCTGAGATTATATTTGCTGATAGGTGCTCAGATGCAGAAGGGTTGTGAATGTGTGAGGAAAGCACTCCGCTCCCCGATCACCTCAGTCCTTGCCAGACTGCACTGGCCGTCTGTCCCAGAGAGGATTGATTTCAAGATCCTCAACCTTGTCTTCAAATCCCTCCACTCCTCTGCACCCCCCGACCTCTCTGACCTCCTCTCTCCTCAAAACAGTGCCCGTTGCCTTCGTTCCTCCGGGTCGGGCCTCCTCCTTGTCCCCGAGTCCTCCGCTCCACCCTCGGCAGCCGTGCCTTTAGCCATTATGCCCCGAGGCTCTGGAACTCTCTTCCTCACTCCCTTTGCCTCGCCCCCTCTCTTCCTTTCTTTTCGACCGCGCCTTTGGTCACTTTCCTCCCCCTCCCCCTGGCTCGGCCCTGGCATCCGTTACTGTGACGCGCTCTGAGAGGGCGCTGTTGTTGGTATAGCTGTGTGGAGTGGGTCCAGGCTTGTATGGTATCCACAGTGATTGATATGCAGAGAGGCAACCTGCAGTTGCAGCTGAAACTCGCCACTTCCAACTAGTGCATTGCTGGGTGTGCGTGTGCTGTGTGTGGGCAGGAGGATGGCAGCAATGCTCTCACACATTTCATGCTGAGTTGTGTTGCCCGCTAAATGAATTGCGAGAAGTTCTGGGTTCCTGCTGTCCACCCAGGGAGGGCTCACTCTGTGCTTCTCTGATGCCTATTGTGACCAACCAGTGACAATCCTCCTTGGGAGAAGCCAAACAAGGTCTCTCTGGGATTGAGCTGACTCTATAATAATAATAATAATAAAAATAATAAACCTTGCATTTGATAGTTGAGTTATCTCAAAGTGCTTCACAGAATATACTGTAAAATGAATTGACTATATTTTGTGGGTGAAACGCAGCAACCAATTGTGCACAGCAGGGTGGATTGAGTTAACAAATTATTATTTGTTTTACTCTAAACTGACCCCAAAGGATTATCTGAATTGAAAAGGTGCTGCTTTGACTTTTCTGGAACAGTGGTGGCCAACCTTTACGGTCGGCCAGTAAAATCATTTTTCTTGATTGAATATTTCTTGATTCATGCCATAAATCAAGAAATATTCAATCAAGAAATATTCAATCATGTGGATGTTTGGGGCCGCTTCTTGATGGCCCATTTGGCCATTTCCGGCCCGCGGGCCACATGTTGACCATCACTGGTCTAGAATAGAAATGGCTGATAAGTATGTAGAATTGCCACTATTTAATCTCTTCATTTCCCTGACAGACTCGGATGTTATTTCAATGGCAGACTCCACCATAACAGTGGATGATATAGAAGATGAACTCTTCAAAATTGAGAGGATCAGAGAGATTCTTGTTCGAAGAGAGTCTGAACTGCGATACATGTGAGTATCAGAGATTCACTCTGTAACATTCTAAACTGGGGTGACCCCAAGTGGGAAACATTGCTGTGCTCCAGGGACCACTGAATGAGTGGAAGGTGTGGACTCCTGCGGTGGGGTTTCTCAGCTTTGTTGTGCCTCCCAGGGACGTGCTGAATGGAGTCAGATTCCTCTTATGTACCAACGATCTTATGTAACTTCCATCATTCGTATCCATTCTGAACAGCTAGTGTGAGAGCCCATCTGCCTTTGGTCAGAGAACAGTGCGCAGTGATAGGTGAGGAACAACACTGTTTTCTTAGAAAAAATTAAGAGATTTGAAATGCAAAATATAATTTGCGAGTTCTCATATAATAGTTCAACATTTCGTTTTAAGCAAATCTGGGGATATTGGCAAATTAATGGCAATTTAATTTCCCCAGTTTATAAACCTACTGTAATGTTTTAAATAATCTGTGAGCGTGATATTGATCATTGAATCATCCTCCCAGTGAAAGTTCTCACAGTGGATTGACTAAGCTTGGTGGCCAATCAATTTAAGGAGAATTGCTAAAAGATGGGTTTAATTGCAGCTTTGGATTTGAACAAAGACACACAGCCTCCTCGCATGCCAAGGCCTTTCCTTTCTGCTGTGTTGGCATTCGATCATTGTTCTGCCTGAAGCAAGGTCAGGATGGGCAGCTGTACAATGCCAGCGAGTGGGTGTGCCCTTCACGCACTGGAGCAGTAATTGCAGTCACAGAAGTGAATCCGAGATTTGTCCTTCAGTCTCAGCGACCAAACTCCCGAAGTAACCATCACGCTTTATAAGTTGCCTTTCCCGTATTGTGAAGATTGTATCAGCCTGCTTGTTAGTGTTAGGAACGAATGTACAATTTAAGAGTCGGTTTCCAAGCAAAAGAGAAAATATTGAGAGTCGCCACCAGGCGTTTAAATTCATTTGGCGAGTCTCTCAGTTTGCCAAGTGCAGCCATGTGATGTTTCACTATACAATGTGTTTCTGCAAAGAGCTTTGAGAAGTCTCAATGACATTGTTTTGAAGGATTTATTACCCCCAGAAAAGCTTTCTGTCACTTCCTGTATTCAGCATGTTCACACCATGTAGAAAGTGATATCAGTGGCGACCTGATGATTCAGAAGATGGCCATTTTTTAGCATGTCTCATTATAAAGCAGGGTCTGAGGTTATAGACCCAAACTATTGCGTTATATCTGGTCACCCTGTACTTTGCAATCACAGCTTTCTCTAAAGGATGGTCCATTATTTATCCACCTGATCCAGCTTTCTGATTTTCCGCAACTTTATCTTTGGTTGTCACATAGAATGTTACTCAATACAGCTCTAGCATGCTGGTGCACATGCTTTGAAGCAATTTACTGTCTGCAGGGCAGAGTGTGCCCAGGAAAGGAATTAATTGCTATTCGAGGTGCTGTGAAAACAGCTGTAGTGAGTGGGCTTAGGTGCTTAGATTTAATGCTAGCTGTTAATTAGCAAAATGGCTTGTAATTGACTCAGTTATATAAATGGTCAGTTCTCCCCACAGAATAGCTACTGAACTAATCCTTTTGGGAAATGCAATCGGAAATGGCAATCAAGTGACTTCTGCAATATTGAGCTCCAGCTGTAAACACTGCCATTTCTATTCTCCTCATTGACTTAGAATTATCTTGTAAACCCTTCACAATGCCACAAGTGGGCTTTTTCACTGCACTGATAAGGCATATTCTATCCTATCCATGTCTTCCATATGTAACTGTGGAGTCCTGTAGCTCAGTGGTTAGAGCACTCGCTTTGCAAGCGAGAGACCTGAGTTCAATTCCAGGCAGAGGGCGAAACCTTGGGCAAGTTTCCTTACTCCACACAGAGCCTAATAATAATCCCTCCAAAACAAAACAATAATAAATTGGTCATTTTCAATCTACGACTGTTTGTGGGACATTGCTGTGCGCAATTGGCTGCCGCGTTCTCCCACAAATATACAGTCAATTCACTTTACAGTGTGTTCTGTGAAGCGCTTTGGGACGTCCTCCTGACGTGAAAAGCGCTATATCAAATGCAAGGATTATTATTATACCCTCCATTCTTCCGATTTTCTGATCTATTTATTCGCTCCCCACTTCTGTCCTTCACCATTGGCAGTTGAAGCCTTCAGGCAGCTGCACTCCTGTCCTCAACAACACACTTCTTAAACCATTTTGCCTCACTACCTCTTCCTGCTTTCAAATAGGATATTCTCAAAATACCCTCCAAAATAAAATTGGTCACTCATTGCATGGCTATTTGTGGGTCATTGCCTTACAGAAATTGGCTTTTTTCACCTACAAAACACACAGAGATTTGAGACATCGCAACAATATGATAAGGCACTATGTCAAATACAACAATTATTTTTATTGTTATACACAAAATTCTTTGAGACATTCTTTTAAAACATAGGTTCTTACCACAAATCTGATTACGTTCCATACTTTGTCTAGTTTGAATGGATTTTCACATGTGTCAGACAGACAGCTAACAAAGCATTTAACACTGCATCGATTATCTTTGCGTTTAATACAGAGCTATCACTTGGAGGTATCTCAAAGCTCGAAACAGATAATTGTTAATTCTATTGACTGAGATTTGTAGAGCAAATATACTCTTGAGCAGAGAGCAGAGAGCCCAGCAACGTGAGGAGGGAACTGAGTGAGGTGGAACGGAGTAAGAATTCTGTTGAGGAATTTGATGAAAGTGAGAATTCCTCGGCAAGAGGGAAGTCTTTCATTCAGCAGAAGAGTGGGAGATCAATCTTGAGGTAGAGGCAACCTTATATGTAAGCAGGCAAACAAGTCAATCAGTAGTTAATCATAGGCCAGGTGTTGGGAATTAGAAAATATCTGCTGAACAGTTGAAACTGGGTGCTTTTGTTTGAGTCCTATATAAAGGAGAAGACTTGCGAGAGCCTCAGTTGAGCAGCAGTGTGAGGAGGGAACTGATTGAGGTGGAACAGTGTCAGAATTCTGTTAAGGAATTTGGTGAGAGTGGGAATTTGTTGCAGAGTGGGAAAGAGGTGCATAGTTATAAAATATATAAGTTATATTCTAATAATATAAAACATGACTGGGAATATGGCAGAGTAGCTGAGACTGGTTGCATGCACAATGTGTACCATGTGGGATGCTTTGTTTGCCCTGGACAGACACGTGTGTAGGCAGTGCCTCTGGCCGCTCGAGCTTGAGCTCAGAGTTTCTGACCTTGAGGAGAGGCTGGTGTCACTCATTACATAGCATATGGGAGGCTGAAGTGCTTTGGGATGTCCTCCCGACATGAAAGGCGCTCTATAAATGAAATGTTATTGTTGTTGTTGAAGAATTCATGAATCGAATGTTTCAGGAGGTGGTCACCCCACAGTCACTGAGGGTTCAGAAGGAGAATGAGTGGGTGACTACCCGGCATGTTAGGAAGAGGGGTCGGGCAGTGCAGTGCAGAAATCTCCTGAGAGTGTGGCACTCACAAACCAGTTCTCTGCACTGCTCAGGGTGATGACACCCCTGCAGAGTTCTGGGGAATGAAGTGGGGCAAGTGGAGCAGCTTTCAGTGGGAGAGCGTCTGGACAACAGTGATCACAACATCAATAGGTTTAGAGTACTTATGGAAAGGGACAAGCAACAACCAAAGGTGAAGATACTCAACTGGAAGAGGGCTAATTTTAGTGAATTAAAAAGGGACCTAGCCAAGCTGGACTGAAAAGAAAGATTGGCAGGTAAAAAAGAGGAGATAGTTTGGGGACAGAACAAATACATTCCTACAAAGGGGAAACGTAGGGCATCCAAACCTTCCTGGATGAATAAGGAAATTGGGATTAAAATAAAACAGTAAAAGGAGGCTTATGATAAATGTCAGGTGCAAAATAAAATACAGAAGATATTCAAAAAGAATATAGAAAGTACAGAGGAGAACTGAAAAAGGAAATAATAGAGTCAAATAGATAGTAGGAGAAAAGATTAGCAGGTAACATAAAAGGGAACCCTAAGGTATTTTGTAAGCATATAAAAAATAAAAGGTTAGTCAATGCAGCCAATGTCACAGTATCGGAGGAGAGGATAGAACAATTGGATAAGATAAGAATAAACCGAGAGGCGGTACTAAAAAAGTTGTCGGTGCTCAAGGTAGATAAGTCACCCGGTCCAGGTGGGATGCGTCCTTGGTTACTGAGGGAAGTAAGGGTGGAAATAACGGAGGCTCCGGCCACAATTTTTCAATCCTCCTTGGACACCAGGGTGGTGCCAGAGGACTGGAGGGTTGCAAATGTTACTCCCCTGTACAAAAATGGCAGGAGGATAAACCTGGGAACTACAGGCCAGTCATCCTAACGTCAGTAGCGGGGAAACTTCTAGAGACTATAATCCGGGACAAAATTAATTTTCCCTTTGAAAAATATGGGTTAATAAGGACAGCCAACACAGATTTGTTAAAGGCAAATCATGTCTAACAAACCTGATAGTTTCTTAATTAAGTAATGGAGAGTGTGGAGAAGGTAGAGCAGTTGATGTAGTTTATATGAATTTTCAAAAGGTGTTTGATAAAGTGCCACATAAGACTTGTAAACAAAATAAAAGCCCATGGTAGTAAAGGGACAGTGGAAACATGGAGACAGAAGTGGCTGGAGACAGAAAGCAGAGACGAGTGGTGAACGGTTGTTTTTCTGACTGGAGGGAAATGTGAGGTGGTGTCCCCCAGGAATCAGTGTTGGGACCACTGCTGTTTTTAATCTATATAAATAACCTGGACTTGGATAATAGGGAGTACAATTTCCAAGTTTGCAGATGATACTAAGCTAGGAAACGTATAAAGTGAGGAGGATAGTAGCAGACTGCAAGAGGACATAGACAGACTGGTAAAATGGGCAGACAGGTGGCAGATGAAGTTTAATGTGAAGAAATCCAAAGTGATGCATTTTGGAAAGAAGAATGAGGAGAGGCAATATAAGCTGATGGGAGAATGTTAAAGGGGGTGAAGGAACAGAGAGACCTGGGGTTCATATAAGTAAATCTTTGAAGGTGGCAGCACAGGTGGATAAAGCTGTTAAAAAGGCATACGGGAAATCTGGGCTTTATAAACAGGGGCATAGAATACAAAAGTCAGGAAGTTATGATGAACCTTTATAAAACACTGGTTAGGCCTCAGCGAGAGACTGTGTTCGGTTCTGGGCACCGCACATTAGGAAGGATGTCAGGGCATTGGATAGGGTGCAAAGGAGATTTACCAGAATGGTACCAGGAATGAGGGACTTCAGTGATCAGGAGAGGCGAGAGAAGCGAGGGTTATTCTCCTTGGAGCAGACAAGGTTAAGAGGAGACTTAATAGAAGTTTTCAAGATGAGCGGATTCGATAGGGTGAACAAGGAGAAACTATTCCCACTGGTGGGTGGGTCTGTAACCCGAGGACACCGATTTTAAAATAGTTGTTAAAAGAAACAGAGGAGAGGTGAGGAGAAATTTTTTCATGCAGCGAGTTGTTGGAATCTGGAATGCATTGCCTGAAAGGGTGGCGGAAGCTGATTCGATAGCAGCTTTTAAGAGAGAAGTAGATAATTATTTGGGCAGGACAAGTTTGCAGGGCTATGGGGAGAGAGCGGGGGAGTGGGACTGCATTGGATAGCTCTTTTCAAAGAGCCGGCATAGACACGATCGACCGAATGGCCTCCTTCTGTGCTGTATGATTCTAGAAAAATGCAGCAGCTAATGTTTCCCACAGCAATTTTCTACCAACAGTTATGAAATGAATAAGATTGTGAACATGGGAACTGAGGCAAGCATTGAAGAAAATGGATAGAGAAAAAGAGAGAGTCTGTGTTAGGATAATAATAATCATTGCATGTGATATAACACCTTATCACGTCTTCAAGACATTTCAGGATGTATTGTAAAGTGTATTGACTGTATATTTTGTGGGTGAAAAGTTGCATCCAATTGCACACAGCAGTGTCCCACAAACAGTCGTTAACTGAGTGACCAAATTATTTTTTTTTGGAAAGGATTATTTTCCCTGGAAAAGCGATCCGCCGATCAACTAACAACCGGATTTCTGCTTACTGCTCGGTAAACAGAGGCATGTGGAGTAACAAAACTTGCCCAATGTTTCACCCTGCCTGGGAATCAAACCCAAGACCTCTGACTTGTCAGGCGACTGCTTTAACCAGTGAGCACCAGGACTCCTGTGTTATTGGTGAATGTAATAGCTTCTTCACACACAGAGAATCTCTCTGCCTCTCTGAGCACTGCCGAGTAGATCAAAAGAGATTTATCTACTTTGAAATGCTGTACATATTGTACAGAGCATGTGCATCTGCCAGCATCCTATCAATTCTTGTCGTTGCCAGGAACATAAAATAAAGAAATGGGACAAAAGAAGCTGCATTGCAAGACAGCAGCAAGGAGGGATTTAGATGAAGTTATGAATTTCATGCCCGGCAGTTTATCATCTGCATCCACGTAATGTGTTCCTCCCTCGATCCACATTTCTGTTGCAGCTGAGTACCAACTGACTCCCCACACTGGGGAATCTGCTCAGCTACCACCCTGTCAGAAGTCACTTAAGGGGACAGAATTTCTTTCCATTCTCTGATGGCGTCCATTTCTGTGGGACCTTGTACATTCACTCACAGGCTATAAAGCTACAGCTAGGGGATTTGTGCGATGTAAGAGATGAAAAGGTCAATGTATGACTGGTTTACCACCAGCAGCTGAATCTGGGGCCGTCAGTGCTTTAACCTTCCTGTACAGTGTCTGCGTCAGATTGCCAGCAGCGTCATCTTTGCTTCCATCTTCTCAGACTCTTCCAGGGTTGCCAAAATGTGATTTCTTTTTCGAAAACATTTCCTAAACTTGAGAGATATTTTCTACGGAATTCTTTCGATCATTTCTGTGATGCATATAAAGAGAAAGGCAAAAAATGCTTTTCTGTAGCGTAACGCTTATAATTGTTCAACATCTGAAAGTAATGATTGGCATATTAGTGTTTTTATAAGCAAATGCATATGAACTGAGTGGCAATTTGGCTGTAGTTCAAAGTCTTGACATGGGACTTGAAGCCACAATCTTAAATAATATAATAACCTTTGCATTTGATATAGCACTTTTCGTCTCTTCTAAACATCTCAAAACACTTCACAGAATAGACTGTAAAGTGAATTGACTCTTCGTGGGTGAAACGCGGCAGCCAATTGCGCACAGCAGCGTCCCACAAACAGTCGTAGTTTGAGTTACCAAATTATTGTGTTTTTCTTTAACGATTGTTATCTCCAGAAAAGCAATCTGCCAATCGACTAACAACCGGGTTCCTACCAGTGGTTTACTTCTCTAGATAAATAGAGGAGTAAACCACTGAGCTATAGGACTCTCATAGGTGAGAGTGCACCCAACACAGCCAGATAAACACATTAATAAACAATAACAAATTAAATTTGTTTAGCGCCTTTCACATCAGGAAGAGGTCCCAAGGCACTGGAGAGTCAGAGTTTTGGACCTGAGCAGGGCGTTGGTATCAGGGAGGGTAGAGGGCAGGGAAGGTGGAGGTAGCAGGGTGGCCGAAGGCGTGGTTAAAGAGGAGGGTCTTGAGACGTCCTTGAAGGAGGCAAGGGAGGGAATGAGCAAAGGGACTGTGGGATGGAGTTCCAAAGGATGGGGCAGTGAGGCTGAAGGCCCGACCGCTGATGACATTCTCTAATCCCATTGTGGATTGCACTTCACTGTACTTGACTTTTGTATTTCATGACATCCTTGAACATGCTCCCAAGTCCATTTGTTTTGTGATGGGCCAACATTCCGATTCGTGAGATTTTTGTGAGATTTCTGATCCACGTATCGCTGTGCTGTTGTTGTGTCTTGGCATTTCTTAGGGGAACAACATGTTTAATAGGATTGGAACATTGAGCTAGCTTCGGAACAGCATCAGCTGACAAGGTTACGTTTTACCAAAACATAACACAATTTTCTTGCATTGTAAATGAATATTCCTTGCCTTTTGCTGTATTGCTAATAATGTCTAAATATCTCAAAGTGGTTCACAAGTGATAACTGTCAAGTGTATTTATGGACAATTATAGACTGTATTTATAAACAATTATATATCGCAAGAACCATGAGGTGAATGATCAGTTTAGTTGGACAAGACACGAGATCTAGGAACTCAAATTAATATCTGGTTGGAAGAATGGCACTTCCTCCAGCAACAACAACAGCGCCCTTCACATGGGGTACTGTCCCAGAGCATTTAAACACAGCTTCACTGAAGCACTGCCTCGACTGTGAACATTTTGATTTCATTTCAACATCTTGACCCTGGGGCCAGAGTGGTACCATCTGAACCAGGCTAATCCCTCTGATTGTCAATTATTTGAGGATGAGAGCAGATTCAATTACTTAGAAAATTGTCTATATGTTGAACAAGATGGAGAGGGAGGAATGTAGGGGTGACCTGGCAATCACTACAAGTCTAAGTAAAGGGATCAGCTGACAAACTACAGGAGTGAAACTGAATAATTTATAACAGTGACTGACTAAGATTCTCTTGTCAGCCGCGCTCTCTCCCTGTGTTTCTCAGAGGCACTGTGTCATGCTCTGAAACTCAGGTAGAAATGATGTACACAGAACAGGTCAGGGAATGGGATACTGTAAAACCGCTGAAACCACTTGTGGAAATGTCCTCATGTCTCTGAAGTTGCGATGAATGAGTGAGTGTCCTGTGCAATCGGCTCATCCCTCAGCCTCAAGAAACAGCACTGGGTTGTGGCATGAACAACAACAAATACAACTTGGACTTACATAGCACCCTTTACGTGGGGTAGGGTTCTGGATCGCTGCACAGTGGCAGAGTCCGATCCTGAGCCAGGAAGATAGGGTGGGCGGAGGTAACCGTAACACAATTCAAAAAAAAAAAGGCTCGACAAACCGGGTTTGGGATTTGAGGGTGCGGAGGTGACTGTTGTACCAGGGGGAGCAGGTAGGCTTATAATAATGATGATAATAATAATAATCCTTGCATTTGATGCAGAGCCTTATCACGTCTTTGAGATGTCTCAAAGCGCTTCCCAGAATATTCTGTAAAGTGAATTGACTGAATATATTTTGTGGGCCTTGGAGATGGTTTTCAGGGGAACAAGGGAATTGAAAGGTAAGGAGAGGTGATCGTTTAGTAGCTCAGGCTTCCTTTGACAGTGACACCTGGAAACACAGAGGAATTGTCCCATTAGTGCTGATGTGTACAGGACAGGGGCAGTGCTACTTGTAACCATCAATCTGTAAACGAAAAGGATTTCAGAAAAGGTGACTATCTAGGAAGTATCTAGTCATTCTTTCCATTATATTAAATATATATTTTCAAATCAAACACTGACTGTCCAGCATCTTGGAAGGCGCTCTACAAATGTAATTTTGTTGTTGTTTATTTTATTATGTGATTTCTGATATTGAAAGTAGTTATCTTTCGCTCATTGCATGTAGTGGGGGGCGGGGGAGCTAATAATAAGTTAATGTTCCCAATGTATTGTATCGTACTGTCATAAGGCCGGCCTGTCTATTGGCAGCCCTGTTGCTGTGCAATCAAAACTTATCCAAATTTTAGTCAGACAGTGCAAAGACAGTAACTAGTGTGTTTTTTTATTTCATACAAAGCCACGCTGATATAGACACACATCGTGGCGCCCCACACAATTGTTGCGAATGGCCTCTTATAGTTTACCTCAGCAAAATACAATTCACTTTTCAGGACAGTAAGCATGAACTCGCTAAGCTGTTGGATTCTTTTGAAACGCACTCGGAAAGGATTGTTAACGTTAATGACCCGTTGCTGTTTCGTGTTGCCACTTCTCTCAGGATGGATGACATACAACTCTGCAAAGAAATAACGCGGCTCAAGAAAGAGTTACAGAAGCTGGTCTCCATCCCAGGTGAGTGCCGTTCGCCCGGTGATTGTACATGAAGCGTTCTGGGACGCTACCCTGCGTGAAGGCCGCTATATAAATGCAAGTTGTTGTTGTTGATTGTCTATTGCCCAGTAAAGGTTCAGCCATCGTTGAGAGTTTGTTGAAAGCACTAAGCCTGACACTAACTATAGCACTGACTAGAACAGGCTGTGTTGCCCATAAAATATGCAGTCACACCACTTTAAAGAATATCCTGTGAAGCGCTTTTAGACATCTCGACAATGTGATAAGGCGTTATATGAAATGCCAGGATTATTAATATTTATTCTGTATCTTAAATTTTCTGCATACTGCTCACATGGCCCTGTCACTGACGATGTCTCTCTCCGGGTCTGAGCTGTGCTGTGGCTCCTCGCACTCGTGGCTGTGACTAGAAACCGGATTGTACAGTGCGAGTTTGTTTAACTCCTACTCTGATTGACAAAAATGCAGATAAGGACAAATCGAATGAGGATAAACAGAAGGAAGAAGAATTATTGCAACAGATTCATAAACTCGTGGAGACGAGAGACTTCTTGGTGGACGACGTTGAATTTGAACGACTGAGGTACGCATAGATGCTAAAATGAGCTTTGGAAATCGAAGAGATGCAGGCATAAATGTGAGGGTTGGGCATTGTCAGGTGCACGGGCTGCTCATCGACTGTGCCTTTGACCACCTTCCTACCCCTACCCTCCCTGCCCTACAACCCACCGATCATAAACCCGTGCTTGGGTCTAAATCCCTGACTATCCAGCACGTCGTCCTGCCCCGAAAGGAGCTACACAAATGTAATTTGTTGTCATTGTTGTCTTCTCACAGAGAGCGAGAGGAAGACAAGGAAATGGCTGATTTTCTGCAGACTAAATTATCCAGCGGCAACTACAAAAGAACAAGTAAGTTTTGGCCGGTGAGATCATTTGTATCAAGCGCTTTCCCTGCAGCTGTTTCCCAGCTTTGTCCCAGTTTGACAAAAGAGTTACATGGTCACCACCAGCGACTGGGAGAAGTGTTTATGGATTGGATTAAGGTCAAATCCCATCAAACACCCGGAACGACAGAGGCAGAATAACGGATAGGAGATAAAGTACTTTGAGATGACTCAACAATGTGATAAGGTGTTATATCAAATATATCCTCACACTGACACATACCGACCCTGCAATATCTTGTTAGCAGTGAGTAGGAGCCCACTTGTTAGTCAATTGGCGGATCTCTTTGCGGGGATAATAATGTGGTCACTCAGCTGTTTGTAGAACACTGCTGTGTGGAATTGGCTGCCGCATTTTGCCACAAAAACACACAGTCACTACACTTTACACTATATCCTGCGAAACGTTTTGAAACATCTCGAAGATCCGATAAAAGCAAGGAATATTATTATATTATTAAGAGTTTTGTGCCAGGCTAGTTTTTATCATGGTTTGCCCTAGTCACTGGGGAAATTTTGTGTCTATTCACCTGCTAACGTTCTGTCACTTGCTGCTGTGGTCGGTCCCACAGATGCTGTGAAGGAGACGAAGCGGGCAGGGCGAGGGCACCAGACATCCGCCCCCTTCATGGCTAAGACTGGGCTGACTCTGCTGAAGGACTGCTGTGGCTTCACCTGCTCAGTTATGTAGCGGCTTGGATGACGGTGGAGATCTCTACACAGAAATGCGTGGGAGGGGGGGGAAGGGGGACAGGGAGCATTCTGCAGCCCACCGCACCATACACTTGCCAGCAGGCAAACCAATCCAAGGAACTTGTCAAAAGCCGGGCTCTGGGGTTTGACTTTGCCGCATTTCACTGCCGCAGAGACAGACGTTAGCTCATCCCACCCCCCTCACTAACACTACAGCTCCCATTCCCACTGCTTCACAAACCATCTATTTATATTGTAGCACCAGATTATTGATAAAACAACTTACAAGCCACAGTAACCCTGGTCAGTATTTTCCCCAATGGCCAGAGACATCTCTAGAGGCCAAAGGTGGTGAAACCTCTTCACAGCCCTGTTCAGGTACAAGTCAGAGCCCCAGCCCCCACCTCTGTTAGACACTCCGCAACAATTGCTTACTTCAGAGCAGGGCACCTGAGCAGTCACAGTAAGCACACCGAGTATGACATAGTGAGCAGTCGCTGTGAACACACTGTGATATAGTGAGCATTCACTGTGATATAGTGAGCATTCACTGTGAACACACTGATATAGTGAGCATTCACTGTGAACACTAATATAGCGAGCAGTCACTGTGAACACAATGAGAGTGACAAAGTAAGCAGTCACTGTGAACACACTGACAGTGTTTACAGTCACTGTGAACACATTGTACAAAAACTCAACTGGTCTGACATCTGACACTTTATTAATGTAAGGGCATGGCTGTAGTTAACGGACCAATAGACTGGGAGATGTGAGCTAAGCTAATTATTATTCCCTAATTAATATTATTAATATAAATCCACAGGAACGTGCCTTTTTTGAAAATCACTTCTGTGTCCATCTACCTGGCCCAGTTTCTAAATACTGCACTGTTGCTCTCTACCTTTCATAGCCCCAAGTCCCAACTAATCTAAACCACTCTGGAAACTGCCAAACTATCTGTCTCCACTGCCTCTCTCTCTGGGATGTTGATTCCACATAATCACCACCATTGGTCTTCAGTGAATCCAACGCTCCCCCTTCCATTAGAGAAGGCAGTGCAGCAGATTAACTCCACACTCCATCACAGGCCACACTTTAGTGGTGAATAGATCAGTTGGCAGTGAGCAGCTCTTACAGGAACAGTAATGAAATCCCTCTTACGGAATGAATTGGACAAAAAAACCAATAAGATGATCACAATTTAATGAGAACCTGTTGCGAGGTCTTGTGTCTCTGGAGTGAGGCTAAGAACGAAAGAGAGTAGCAGCTGCTTCCTGTTGTAATACATTGTGATATAATTGAATCCGAGTGCTTGTCACTCAGTGGGTGGCAGTGCACTGCGTCCACTTGGATCCATGTTGTATGTTGAATAGAAGTGGGTTTTGCTCCATGTAACTAGGCTGTGGTTACAGACTGACATTTCCATGGAGCAGTGCCTGGCAGTGCTTGGTGCAAACATCATTATCTGGTCACTTGGAGAAACAGCAACAACAACAAATTACATTTGTATAGCGCCTTTCACGTCAGGAGGATGTCCCATTAGTCTGATGCAAGCTGATACAAGTATCACTGTATCAGTGGCTCCCATATTTTATCGTGTAATCTAAATCAAAATCCTTTGGGACCTACACTTAAATATTTGAGCAACACAGGTCTGATTCCTGAGTACTGTGGCTACCTTTTTACCAATAATGCCAAGATCTTGTATGGTGGTGGTGAGCTGGCAGGTGCCTCTGATGTTTGGTGCCGTTCAATGTGACTCATCAAAATTAAATCAGAAATAAACTGATCTTTCCAGCAGCGACTCAGCAACTTTATCCAGTGAGGAGCTGAGCATTGCAGATCAGGAAATTCTTGGGCTTCAATCCCGAACCTAGGTCGAGTTTCCTGATCTGAACTGGAGCTCAACAGTAGAGGGGTTACCATTGACCTCAGCGGCTCTGGAGCAACAAAGAGGAAAAACTTTCAGGGTTCCCACTTCTGGAGAAGAAAATATTTGACAAGAGAGAAGATTCTGGGTAAACACACCTGTATTCAAACTGGTTGAAGTATTTAAAGCCTCGTAAAGCATTAAGATTGTGCAGCTTATTGAGCTCGTGTGACCTTATGCATGTGTCCTGCGCATGAATGTTGTATTGTGAACATGTGAAAACATGTACATCGTTCAAATCAATCTATAAATTAATACGTGAGGTGCCTTGGTCTTGAAGTGATGAGCCTGCTGTGTACTTCAATGGGTTATAACAAATGTAAATATCTTCTTAAATTCAGGAAGTACTGTGTTGCTGTCTAAACCATGATCCCCAGGATGGGGAGTGTTCTGGAGGAATGTAAATGGATTTGCCATCAGGAATTCAAAGGGTGTGGGTACAGTTTGCTTGCTTTTAGCCTGAACCCCAGGATTTACTGCCTGGATTTGTTATGTATTTAGTGACAAAAACACACTATCAGGTTAGTGATGTGGAACAGATATGTCAGGGCCATCGTTCATGTGTTGAGAAACATAGGTATTTACTGTCTCCATATAATACATACATTTAGGGGTAGAGGAATCATCAGATGGGGATGGGGTACAGAGTCAGAACTCGTGCTGAAAACTCAATGAGACTTTTGCAATTGGCTCGGGAGGTGAGCACAGAATTGGTTTGTAAAACAGTAAATGTTCAAAATGTTCAGATTTTGATAAACAAAGGGATTTCTGAACCCTTCAAATCCAAAGTAGCCCAGATTCCATTTCCAGGTTAAGCTGTTCTCAGTACCATCTACAGTAGGAGATAACTCAGTTTGTATAAGTAGAAGGAAAAATCATTAAATTTCCTAATGTTGATCACCATCTTGTGCCCCCTCCCCTGCTAGAACAACAACAAATGACATCAGTATATCGCCTTTCATGTCAGGAGGATGTCCCAAGATGCTAGAAAGGGTAAATTTGTGAACATTTGATGAGGACAAGACTGGACTCAACTTTAATGATCCTGACAGTTGAATGACCCACCACACTGACACATGAAGAATGGCTGCTTGAATGAGGTACCAGAAGGTAATGGAGCCATGGACAGTAACTATAATAACATTTGGAACCTCTATAAACATTTGTTATCCTGGAATCAAATGTGTTGGAGTCTAAAAGTGAAATCATGTGTTTGAGTTCAGTGTTTGTTAATTCTTACTGTTGACAATTGCCAATAAATGGTTTTGAACTAAAGTCAGTGTAATGTTACATATCAGAGGTGGTGGCATAGAGAGTACAATATCTCGCCACTAGACCCAGCTTTATATCCTGCCCAAGCTGTAGGAATTCTGCATGAAGGGGCATCACAATCAGTAAACAAGACATAACTCCACCCAGGTCTGCAAGTAGGTGGCATCTTTAATTGGGAGTCCTGTAGCTCAGTGGTTAAAGTGCTCACCTCGCAAGTGAAAGGACCCTGATTCGATTCCTGGGCAGGGAAAAACATTGGGCAAGTTTCCTTACTCCACACGCCTCTATGTACCTAGCAGTGAACAGGAACTCAGTTGATTGGTGGATCGCTTTTCCGGAAGTAATAATCCATTCAACTTTTAAAAAATATATAAATCAAATTATAATAATTTGGTCACTCAATCCATGACTGTTTGTAGGACACTGCTCTGCGCAATTGGCTGCCACGTTTCTCCCACAAAATATAGTCAATTCATTTGCGGTATATTCTGTGAAGCACTTTGAGATGTCTCAAAGACAGGCGCTATATCAAATGCCAGGATTATTATTATAAAAATCAAATAAGAATGCTTTTGACAAGACTACTTGTGTGGAGTTGCCATAGGAACCATTCTAGAGAATGAAAAGTGAGCAAGGCTGTCCTTGGAACAGATAATATAAGAACAAAGATTACAAACCCATTGGATTTTAACCTTGTGAAGGTGTGGGGGGGAACATCCTTCATGAGAGCAAAGGACATTGGTAGTCAGATATTAGCAGAAAGGCATTGGACAGAAGACACAGGGTCAGGAAGCATTTTGCCTGTGGGCCATGTGGTTCACAAAGGACTTAAAGAGGTGTCAGGCTGTCATTTAAATTGGGGGAAAATCTTAAGGATCATTTCCCCCAGGTTGGCCCATTCGGTATGATTGATTGATGGTCTCCTATTTATGATATATTCCCACTGTTATTCACAGGTCTCAAGTTTACTGCATCAGACTTTGCCGTGTTACAATTCTATCTGCCCTAAACCGCCACTTCGCTTAATCCAGCAAAATGATGTCCTCACTATTCGCTACCTACCTTTGTTAGCAACAAACTGAGAACCACTTGCTTCTATTTCCATATCAATGTAATTTTATCACCTACAAGCATCCAGTCACTACACAGAAACCTTGTGAGGGCAGATCTATCTCTCACTAAACCATGATGATTTTCACTGATCAATTCATGTTTATCCAGAATATCTGTCCCTGGTCCCTGGTGATAGATTCCAGTAATCGGGTCAGAACCTATTGATATTTCCATGTTAACATCATGCCACATTTTGGGATCTGCAACATCTATGCAAATCTGATTTAAAATTCAACTCCAATGCATTCTGCCAGACAAACATATAAATGTCAACATTTTAAAATAAAAAAAGGCAAAAACTTGATTGATTCCAAGAGGTTAACTGACACCAGCTGAATACATCGATTACATTGCATTGATTACAAAGCAGCCCTGGAATCATTTAACTGCCGGTCACTTTATGTATGAATCCTATAAATGACTAAAGTAGATTTAAGTTGGTAATTTTCACTGGTGATTTATTTGCATAAGTACCAAGCGAGCAAGTATGTGTGTGTGGTTGGGAGGTGGATCTGTAATTAAATAGTATTTTACTTATTCAATCAGGTGGTTGAAATATATTTGGTAATTTGCCTTTGATGAGCTGAATAATCAGATGTTAAACAACCTCTGTATTTGTACTGCCATCCAGATGTGTGACCTCTTCATGCTGATCAGATGGCGTGACATTCCCTTTCCATTTAATCTCATGCATTTTTAGTGTTAAAATCAAATAGAGCTGGAAGCCTGACCTTGACACTATCAGCATTCTGCCTAGAATTGCGCAAACCATTGGTGCCAGCATAATAATAATTATCTTTGCATTTGATATAGCGCTTTTCACATCTTCTAGACATCTCAAAGCGCTTCACAAAATATACTGTAAAGTGAATTACCTGTGTTTTTTTTGTGGCCGAAACGCAGCAGCCAAATGTGCCCGGCAGAGTCCCACAAACTGTTGTGGATTGAGTGACCAAATTATTATTGTTTTTTTTTCTTGAGGGATTATTATCAATGGAGTAAGGAAACTTGCCCAAGGTGTTGCCCTGCCAGAAATCAAACCCAGGACTTTCGCGTGCAAGGCGAGTGATCTAACCACTGAGCTACAGGACTCCACAGCAGTTTCACATTCTCAATAATCTCAGACAGAATTCTATTAGAATTAGACTGCATTCTATTACACTATAATAATAATCCTTACGTCTAGTAATGCGTCTTTTATGTAGTTGAGAGGACATCCCAAAGCGTTTTGCAGAATAAATAGGATATTTGCTGACGGTGATATTATCAGAGTAATAATGGATGTTTGAAAATTGATTTGAAAAGCGTTAGCAAAAAAAACACAATATTCCGTGCAGCAACACAAGATTTCTATAGGGACACAATTCTGTGCATAGCAATACAGACTTGTAGGGATTATAATACTCTTTGCTGCTGTGTGAGGATGGGGGAACACTTCCAATGGCAATGTCAAGACAAAGAATTGCCTGTCACCAGCTGCCTGGCTTTTATTTCTCACTGCTTTTATTATAATAGCCACTAAACTGCAGCATTTTTCACTGATATCAGCGGCAAACAGCGCTAAGCAAATCCCATAAACAGAATGAAATATCACGACAGATATTCTGCTAGATGTCACGCTTTTGTACCACCTTATCACGCAGTGCAATTCCAAGGTAATATTTACATGCAGTTCCACATCACTGCGTTCCACAGCATTTTTATTTGTGGGAATTATTATGCCCGGAAAGCGATCCATCAATGACAAACTACCAGATTCCTCCGTATTGGGAGGTAAACAGAGATATGTGGAGTGAGGAAACTTACTTGAGATTTTGTCTCACCCGGGAATCATACCTTGTTTCGATTGCGAGACGAGCACACTAACCACTAATTATTATTATTATATTACTCTATAGGCCTAGGTGGGATGGATTCACCCTTGGTCAGTCCTGAGTTTGCAAATCCCATGCAAAGTCCTGATAGGGCTGCTGAAATTAGCCTCAACTCCCTTGAGAAAAAAACACACCAACCTGCTCGGAAGTATCAGGTGAAGCTACTGGCATGCTCCCTGTCATGACTGACACATGCGGCGAATTGGGTATTTTTCAACTGTATTTCCGTGTGTTGCTTGCTGTCTGTCCGTTAAAAATAGATTTTGCGTTTCCTGCCTTTAATCAACTGCATTCGGAGGAATGGCTGCTTTGAGATATTTAATAGCCTT